CTTTATTATTTCGTACCGGCCTAGGAAGGATAATAGCGCCGCTAATATATTTTTAAGGAAATCCGAAGATTTAAAGACTTAAAAGGCTAAATAGGAAATTTATTATATAATATATATTTTTAGGACCCTAAAGGACGGATTAATATTTCAATCCAACTAAAACCTATTATTAGTAGTAGCTACTATTAATATAAGAGTATTACCGGTTATTATAACTATTAATATATAAATTATAAAGGTAGACCCGGATATAGAAAGGGAAGTAGCTATAATAGATAATAACTATTTAGAAGGATATATTTTAATAAATCGCTTATTCTTCAAAAATAAAATAAATATTAAATTCGAAATTTATTAAAATATAACTCACTGGGGGGAAAATAAATACCAATTCGTTATATACAATAAAATCCTAACCCAATATAATAAACTAATCGTACCCCTAGGAATATTGAGGGCCTAAATTATATACGAACTATATACGAAGATTATAACCGTCTACCTTAGCCGAAATAAAATAAAATATTTAATCGTTATTTAATATTAATAACTAAGAATAATAGGAAATATAGACTAGTATATAGTAAATTATATAATATATTATACTTCGAAAATTCCTTATAATAAGACCCCGGGCGAATTATACCTACTATTACTAATAGAGAGAACTTAGTAATTCTTAGTAATAGATTTTAAATTTATGTTAAAGGATTATTAAGGATTTAATAATATATTAGTAATAGTAGATTGCTTAAGTAAAACTATATAGACGATATTATATTATATTAGCGTAATTGTAAGAGATGTAGCCCGAATATATTATAAAGGTTTATATTATATATATAGTTTGCCTAGAGAAATAGTATCGGATTGTAGTCTATAATTTATAACCGATTTTATAAATAAATTCGCTAAAATATTAAATATTAAATAGAAATTAGCCTTAGCAGGCTATAATTAGACGGCCAATTAAACAGAAATTATAAACGAATACTTCGATTAGAAATTATACCCTTTTATAAATTATTTTTAAAATAATTGGTCCGACGCGATTTTAGTAATAGATGCTATATAGATAGGTATACTATACGATAGTTTTAGTAGAATATAACTTTACGAAGTCTTAAGGGGATTCCCTATATTAAATACTTTAAATTAAAAAACGTATTCCGATTTAATTAAAATAATAGTAAGGGAATAATTTAATTATAGAGAGGTTCAAAAAATAATTAAAAGAATATAGAACTATATAAGTAAAATAAGAGAATTTATTTTTATTACTTAAGAACGTATAATAAAATAGGCTAATTAATATTATTAGGTCTCCGATTTTAATATAGAGAATAAAATTGTAATTATTAAAAGAGGAGAATTATTAGACTAATTTAATTATAAATTAGATTTTTTAATTATTAGTTAATAATTTATTATTAAAGAATAATACAATTATTCCTATTATTTAGAGGTCCTAGAGGGCTGGCGAAGCTCGGATATCTTTTATACGGATTATTTTCGGCGATATTCTAATAATTTATTATTTAGATAACGTATTAAATAATTAAAAAGATAATACGTAGGGGATAATATTAAATAGGAGGTTGAAGAGATTTTGGTATTACGAATATATTGAAGTCGGTTATAATACCGAGCGAATTAGCACGGTTATAACCCTAACCTAAAATATTATAATATATACAATTTTAAAAATTTACTAACGCTCCTCCGGGATTTCTATTATAAATATAGAGATTAACCGGGACCTCCTAAACAATTCGATATATAATTGTAAGTAGTAGAGATGGATAATTTTAATCCGGATTACAATGATAATAATATAGTAGAATAGAAGGGAGTACGGGTAATAAGGCGTTATATTAGGGCGAGGAGGTGATTTTTAATTGAGGGAGGTAGAATTATTAGGCGGTTAATTTAAGTAAGGTTATAGGGTAGGTTGTTTAATATATTGTAGTAGATAGTTAGTATAGTTAGTAATAGCGCGGGGGCCTAAATTTAATTAATTAATTAGAAGCCCGAAGATACCCCCCCTCTATTTGGAAAGCGATTATATTTGAGCTAAAGTAATAACGATTTTTTTGTATAGTTTTAATTGGAGGAGACGGGAAAGGACCTACTTTGTATATATAATAGTTTTTTAGTATATTTTTGTACGATTCGGGACGAGTCTTTTTTCTACCGGGGGGTGATATTACGGTATTGGTAGTTGTAACCGAGGTACGGGCTGCCGGACACAGTCGTGCACGCGGCAACCCGACCCACCGGGCCGGTGTATAGGGTACCGGGGCTCTAGGTCAAAACCCCAGACCCTGTGCACCTCTTTGTACGTTTCCTTTCTTTTCTTCTTTATTTTGTGATTCTATAATAGACCTAGAATTAACGTGTTAGCTTGCCTCTCGTGACCACGTCGCTCGTGACAGGGGGTAATTTAATAATTTGAATTTATAATTCGATATATATAATTCTATTGGATTTAAACGATTTAAAGGGTAATCTATATAATTAATATTAAATTACCCTATTTGCTTATAAATTCCTATATTGTAAATTAACCCCCTTCTCCCCCCCCCCCTCTTCCCTTTACTACTAAATTAACCCTCCTTAATTAAATTTACTATTCTATATTTCTCCCCTCCTTCTCAATTTATTATAATAATTAATTTATATCCTTCTAATAATACGGTTGTAATGTTATATTATATATCCCTTTATTCTTTTAAGTAATTTAATAGCGGTAAAATCTACCCTTCTCTCCTTATTGCGCTTAAGATTGACTATATTAAATAGTTTACTCTCTATTGCGATTACGTTATTAAGATTTACCCTTTTATTCGTTATAATATTGAAATAGTTATTAAGAGTATTATTATACTCTACTAATTAGTTTAATATTACTACGGTAATAAAAATAATTTTAATTTATATATTTATATTAAACCTGGGCGAATAATAGTAAATTCTAAACGTCCCCTTTAACTGACCGATTACCTTCTTAATAATAATACGAATTTATGTATAACGAAGGTTATAAAGTTCTTATATATTAATAGGACGGAGCCCCGCTCTCTTACTCTCCTTAAAGTAATATTAAATATTATAATATAGTACGAATAGTCAGTTATTATAATTATAACCCGCATCGGCGAGGTAATACCAGCTTTAAAAGATATAAAAATTATAAACTCCCTATTGTATAAAAGTACTATTAAGTATTCTTATATTATTAACAGAGCCCTCCTAACTAGGAGTATATATTTAATTCAACCGTCAAAATTATATACAATTAATATATTAATAGAATACAATCTTTTATAATTATATTACGGTTTAGCCTTACTAGTACGGGGTCGTACTTTAAAGTATGACTTATCGAATACGCTTAATACTTTACGAAAGTAGGGAAATAATTTCGGATTATTTTTAATAATATAGGCAGTCTACAGTTAAAGTAATCGGATTTTGTAATTACCTAAGGTAATATAGGTATTGAGAACCTTATAAAATACCTTATTATATTAGTAAGTAGGAGGCTATATCTAAATTTGAAACCTCTATTAATTAATTTATTAATAATATTAAAATTATAATTAAATAAGAAGGAAATAAACTAGAATATAATACTTTACCTAATTATAAATAAGAATATTAATAATTTCTCTTAAATAATTATATACTTCGACGAATATAATCTAGTATAATAACGAAATTATTTATATAATATATAGAAAGTCCGGGGCCCTATACGGATTAAATCTCTGAATTAGCCTTTATAATTATTCAAAAGCTCCTTTGTTACAAAGAGACTATACTATCCACACAAATTTATAGGAATTAGTAGCTTCTATAGAATAAGAAGGCTTGTTAGAAATATAGTAATTAGGACTACAATTTAGCGGTGTACTAGCTATTAATATCGACGAACTTTTAAAGTAGTAGATTGTATTATAATAGATTAGTATAGCGTTGAGGAGTATATATTAATAAGGTATTGTTAGTGAAAAGTAGGGATTTTTAAATATTGGAAGCTATTTTTAGAGGTTTGGAGGTCTGGAAATGAATTTTAGTAAATCTAGCGATTTGCACATATTTAATTGGTGGGATGGGGGTTGTAGGTCAAAACATTTACTGGAACTGATTTTGCGGGCATTTACTAGCAAATTAGTTACTGGTAGTTGCAGATCACAATTAGTAAATCCGGTCAGTAACGTTTACTAAAACCATTTACTAAGTTACCGAACACGCCCTTAGGGGACTAACCATCACTAAGTATACAAGTAACCGCTGGACGCGACCGTCACCGTGAGGTCTGTCGTTGGCGGGGTACCTGGCTAGGTAGAAGGGGTGGGTCATGGCTGATAACATACGTACCTACCTACCTAGATAACCGATAAGCTCCCTGATCCAGCCCGCTTCAGGGCTGTTGACATGCTCTAATTCTGCACTTGTACACTACTTGTAGACTATTGTAGTCTAGGACTTTCCGGCCTCCAGAAACCCGGCTCACTCCCGGGCTGACTCCACATCGCCGATCCGGACTCGAGCCGAATATGATCCCGTCGCCCAAGCCGCGATTGTGTCTCTTTGGCGATCTCGACTTATGCCAAGAGCCCGTGTGCCTCCAAATGCCTGCCGTCGATCTTTGCCAGTCTGGAGTGAGCAGTTCTTTACTACGCAGTATGTGTCGGTCACTACGGTATATAAACGTCTCCATACCCTCCTTACCCCTAGACCTCCCTTCCAGCATGAATTCTAGCTCGGGTGTACTCAAGTGCGCTATCTTGCCGTCTACTGAAGCCTGATCAAGAAACTTTGCCGGTAGGACGAAACGCAATGCTTTGTACTGTGTATTATTGCCGAGTGATGTCTATCTTGAACCTCAACTTGCACAGAGCCAGGAACCCAACGACTCGCGAAAGCCACTCGAACCGCAACGTCGATTACCGGTCACTACCATGAAAATCCGATCTCCACTCCTTAGATCAGTCCTAGGCCCAGTGGAGGTCAACCTCTCTGCCTTCCAACCAGTTCTCCATCTCACCATACATGCGCTTCCACAGTCCCTTGTCGTGCGGCGTAGGAAGGTTCACGTCGATCTCGTATCCCAGCTTGGCTTGCGCCATCGCAAGGTGCCGATATCCCTCCGGATACGTGCTCAGCTCGGACTTGTCCCACTTGGGTACAGTCTGGCCATCGACTGGCACTACCTTGTCCTTCTCATAGAACAGCTTGACATACTTGGCCTTCCACTCTTGGGTAGCCGCCTGCTTTTCGCAAAAGAAGATGAAACGGCAGTCGCAGTCGACATCATAGGCCACGTCGCCCTCGTTGAAGCGATGGGTGATGGTTGCCTTCATCTTTCCAATAGCCCGGGTACGGCTGTCGCCGAGCTCGGCCAGAGTGCCGCATTCGCGGTGCATGATGAAGACGCCGTTCTTCTTGCCCTCCTTGGAGACTTCAATGAATTTGTCAACCGGCAAGTCGCTGCTCCAGGCTATGAGTTTGATAGGTTAGCAAAATGACCTAACCTGCCAGGTAACCTCGTGAGCTGGCTAAGGTACGTACTAGTCCACACACAGGCATCATCCGTGAAGAGGGAGCGGTAGTTCATCCACTCCGACGCGTCGCGATACACAGGCCAGCCCTTGCAGAGCTCCGTAACGGCATAGCGGTCAAGTACGTCTTGAGATGATCCGTTGACGTGAGACCAGGTTCTGGTATGAGGATCCGCCGGTGAAGTCATGATTGCTGGAGAAGCTGTTGGGGAAGGAAGGGTGGAAAGATTGCTGGGTTGAATTCGAGAGCTGTAAGTTTGGTAGGTGCTCTTGACGACCTCTCTGTTCTTGTCTGAAAGCAACTGAAAAAATTGCAAATTCTGATGCGAGGAGTAGTTCCTTCTTATACCCAAGAAGACTTCCACTGCACTCGAGTATCCATCATGCCTGCATCTTTTCCAATCTCCGCCCATACATCCTCGCCACTAATCTTTCATCTCCCTCGTACCGAGTCGTGAGCGGTGAACTGATGAGACGGAAGGAGCGATGGAGGCTATTTCGTTTGGTTTATCGAGCAACGGGCTCCTACACCGAGACCTGTAAGCTGCCTAGCTTGATTGATGGAGGTTGTTGACTATCATGGCAATAACATTGGACAAAATGGCGGGCAAGTGAAGCCTCAACCGCTTAGCTACCTTCCCATCAGCTAGGAACTGAGGTTGGCAGCCGCAAAGGCCCAGTCACGTTACTGGTGTTGGAGGATCTTTCCTGCAGGACGGGATCGTGGAGTTCGTACAAAGCGGAAGTCATGGGCCTGGAGGAACATAGGCGAGGTGCATCCACATTATCTGGTTTGACAGCTCCAAGCAAACACGGTGTGCTGCGCTCAACCCAGTCATCCGCTTGGACCCGCCGTGCCTCTTTGAGTCCTCCGCCCCGAGGTCTAGGTCCGAAACCCGCATTAGAGCAACACACATTGGCATATCATGTCTTGGGAATAATGCGGGCATGAGAGATTGCGGTTCGTTGCTTCTGCCTGTCAACAAATCGTTCCATTTACCACACAAGTTTGCCCTTTCGGGACTCGACGAGCCGTTGCGCAACTACTACCGGCTGTCGGCATGGTCCAAGTATCCTGCCAATGCCTTGATATAATCCCGGAGGGAAGGCTACTCCTAGATTGTACTGGTCACTTTGTCGGGCAAGAGTCTCGGCGTCGAGTACGTGTTGTTGTCAGGGAAGATCATGGCCTTTCCAATCTCGAGATGACAGTCCAGGCTTCCTTCCTTATTGCAGGTGGCCGATTTTCACTCCGATCTCCGGAGCCAACCACCTCACTATTTATCCTTGAAGCTGAAGTAGTGTTGATGATGAAAGGGAAACAAAAGGAAACGGATCATCTGGTTTGACAATGATGGCTTATTGATATTTCAGTTCTTGACCCACCCGTAGTCATAGGCAGGTATAAGCGCCGGTGTTGCCCATGAAAGTTTCACTGTTAGAAGACTAGGTAGATGATGAAGCTGATTAAAACGAGCTCAGGACCGAGCTCTGTCCGGTTTGATATCTACGCAGCCGAGAGTGGAATGTGTTCCTGTACCTTTGCGCTGGTCAGAAATTGCAACTTGAATGTCTCTCATGGTTAAATGATACAAAATACGTAGAAGTACCTCCTCCATCTTGGGCTGACAGTAATCTGTGGGGGGATATCGACAAAAAATGCTCCATTCTCTGAGCTACGAATGAAAGCTACCTCTATGTCTCTTGCACACTCGAAACCGGATCACTGGCCCAGATTCAGCCGGTCAGCCCTTCTGCCCTGCCCACGCTGCCCACCCCCTCCTTTGCCCGAGTTAGCCTTCTCCTGTGTATTCACTCGCGCTTTTGGGCATAAAAAGCCTTCACTTGTGGTACGCGTGAATGCTCGTGTCCTTGAGTTTCTGGCGAAGATTGGCCGTATATGTCGTCATCTCTTCTTGCGACCACCCCAGGATTCAGCCAAATGTGAACTGAATGATGCCCTGAAAGTCTGAAGACACTTCAGCATAGGCGTACAGTCCAACATCCTCTTGCTTCGGATCTTATGGCCAAGGGAAGACTGGTATCTTGAATCACGAATTAGTATAATGCACTGCTGTTTGGCTTTTGGGACTAAATGTACTTACTTTGAATTCTTGTACCTTCCAATGCACAAACCCAGCCTTTTTCAAGCCGTTTTTAAGAAGAAAGTTATTCCCCGAAACTGACTGGGTTAATCCGATCCAGCCTCCCCGGACAGCTTTCCATACTGCTCTAATGCAGACCCAGTAACGACGGTCCCGTCATCACAGCCCACGGTAGCCGTGATGTCAACGTGTTCAATCCAGCCTCCCGGCTTGCATGCCCTGTACACTTGTTTATATAAAGCACCACAGTCAGGGATAACAATATCAAAAATCGGATATAGATGTAGTCGGAATAGTCGGGCTTGAAGGTCCATAGAGGTACCTCTATATTGGTGCGCCCGTTATTTCGAATTCAGGTGGGCACCAGATAGGCTGGATGGGCGAAATCGTGGTACCGATGGCCTTACCTTCGGAAAATCCATCGATGAATTGCCAGTACCCCCGAACCAGTACCGAATCAATCGCATATTTGATGCCCTTTTCGATGGGCGCTAGATACCATCTTCCGAGCATGACCTCGGCGATTCCCCCTGTCCAGATTGATGTCAACAAATCGCAAGAAGTTTGGTTTTCTCTCACGATTTTGTTCAAACAAGCGTCCTGCTCCGTGCCTCTTCTTCGATCAATGGTCAGTCAGCAGATTATCGCCGACGTTGGGGTTTGGTTTTCTGATGGTTCCCCCCTTGACGTGACATTCGAGCCCTTGACATGGCAAGAAGATGCGGTCGCTTGAGCTGCTACAAGATATTGGTTCGAGAGCGCTGATGTAGGTGCACATTTCCGTAGCTGCACTGGTCACAGTCTAGAAGTCAACTCGGCTGTTTCACAAACCAATCACGATCGAATCAAATTACAATGTTCCTGCATTCTCGTGAACACCCATTCTTCTTTCCAAGTGCGCTTCAACAGTAAATGGTCCAGCTGCCGATTAAAACACACGGAGAACTGAGGCTTCGCAAAATGTAGAGTGCAATGCCTTGATACAACCATTCATCGGCGTGTGGAAGCAGGTGTTCGACTATCTGCTCAGCCTGCCCTTCAAGGCGTCAATCTAGATCTAATTCCTGATTACCACTCTCATGCGAAGTGCTGCGACTCCGGAGACTGAAGCAGAAACATGGTGGAAACCGTGCAAGTTTTGTGCTGCCGCCTGGACGGAGAACTATCACGTCTCAAATGGATACAATGTTCCAGCCTGCCAGTCCCCATTGAGGCAACCTCACACCACAGCTTCCTTTTGGTGGAGGCCACAAACAAAATTGTTTCCGCACGAGAATCGGCAGGATTAGAAGTCCGAGTGGCCTTGGAAAAGTTGCTGTGTTGCGCATACGATGGTACTTGCATGCGCACACCCGTAGACGTCCGCTTTGAACTAAAACCCAGTTGTGTTTCCAGTAATGTCTGCCGTCACGATGTTATTCCATGACACAAGATGGGACGTGTCAAGATGAGTATCTCTCATGAAGGCTTTTCTCCATGCCATATTGATACCTGCACAGACTGGAACTGACTTGCCGAGTTACATGCATGCCCTGGGCTGTCTGCGTGATAAGCGAGACAAAGGTCGATCGATACACTGGCTTGTACGGAGGCAGTACATTCAGTATGATTACTGTGCCTTATTGGACATGCACGGCAACCACTCTGACCCGAACAATGATTACATTGTCACCACCTCCGACATCACCACTCCACTTTACCGTCACAAGGCTCGTGACCCAACAATTGCTCTCCGATGCGACTTGACCAAGCACAATCGGTAGTACGGACTTTCTTGGTTTTGGTTCCGATGAATAAAGCCACCCAGAATGCCTCCACGTGCAGGTCACCCAGCGTTCTATCACGTCCAGTTGTGGCAGAGCGCGGATGAGCAATGTGCGGAGTGGCTGACATGGGAGCGTGGGGTAACGGTGGTTGAAGTCAAACTACGCCTCACGTTAGGAGACCAAAGACACAGCCGAGGGCAAACATGAGATATGCTCAATGTCTGGGCCAATGTCGCTCGCAGGCCTCGACTCATAGAAACGGGGACGCGCGCGTACAGAGAGGCACGCACATGTTTGTCTGTTGGTCGTTGGTCGTTTTCAGCCAGCCTATCAGCCCCCAAGCATGGGGTTTGCGCCATCGTCGTCCTGTCTTTTTGACCATCACCTCGAACAGCTGAGTTCACATGCCGTTGTTTCTGCCTGAATCGCGCCCTGTTTCGGTTGTGAAGCCGTGTTCTACTCCGGTTGTTGCCTCCAGATAGGCAGGCTACGAGGTCATTTATGTCAGGTTCGTATCACCAAGACACTTTCCAAACGCTGAAATACTGTTGTTGTCGGTCCAAAAAAGAAGGCACATGTGTCGACCATCCAGGGTCCCGACTGACCCGAGCCCGAACCATCCTGCCACCCATCACTCGGCACACTCGGCGCACTCGGCGTACTCCCAGTGGCCATTGACGGACCAGACATGGAAAATCCTGCCCACGTATTCAGCCTACCTACACAATGGGCTTTTGTGGTCAAGTACGCGCATTGTCCATCGACGAAGCCGATATCGCAGTTCTATGATCCATCGATATAATCCCATTCAAGCCGACCTTCGACTGACCTTTCCGACAGTGGTTTGCCCCAGTTTAGTCACCCATACGCAATGCTGACTGGGGTTTGGACTGCGAGGGTGTCTAGAGAGGCCCAGTTCATTGCAAACCGCCATGTGATCCGATGGGAAAGAAATGACCGTCGCCGTCGGTGATCACCGGTCTCAAGTGGTGAGGAGTGATGCAAGGATGGGTCCAAATTCGCGCCAGGACGAGATGAAACCCGCGATTGAATTCGACCGTCTTCAGTGAGGCGTCGAGCATGCAAGTTCATTCACCTGCGGGCCACCCACCCGCTTCAAACTTGGACCTACTGCTTTAGCGCAAAGATCATCTTCTTGCCCGTGACGGTTTCGGAGTTGGGGAGACGGGAAGCACCGGCGGTTTGCGACACCAACGCCGATGCTATACAGATTGACCGAAGGCTCCGCGAATGACCTCAGTCACGCATGGCCCGTGCACCCTGTTATGCACTCTCTCAGGTTATGCCTGCTGGTGGCATGACGGAGACTCCCACACACAGATCGACGGCTAGTCTTTGCCTCACCTTCCGAGTGGGAATTCGATGCTTTTATCAGTTTTTCTTTTCAATTCGCTTTTCAAACCGACTGCTTTCATCTCGAGGGCCGCAATTGGGCATGAATGCGAGGGTGCTGCTAGGCGCTTCAGCTGGAAGTAGGGGACATGCTTTCGGGCAGTTGCTACTGACAGCCCGCCATATTGAATACTTTCATGACAGGTTTCAACGAGATGTTCAGTCAGAGGTCACCTCAATGGTATCATGGCAGCATCCGTCACCACGGGCGAGACCAGGTCGGAGGGCCTACTCTTCACATTCTTACTGGTGATAGATTTACGACCTTGGAGCAGGGTGCTTTCGCCCCCAAGCCATTGCACGTATGCCTACAGACAAAAAAAAGCCATGTTTTCGGAGTCAACTGTGGTCTCGAAGTTTCCTCAAATGATAGCAAAGATGCAGGGCATATGCTCGGCTTTGAAGGCCCTCATCAGTCAAGGCCGTCGTAGCGGATATGGTGCTTGGACCTGATGCTGTCGTGTTTGACCGGAAATGGCTTCTCGAATTGACCAGAGCCCGCGGGGCAAGAATTTCCTGTTACATCAGATGTATTAGGAAGGACACTTGCAATCAAGCGAAATGGCGATGGTTTGGAGGTCGTGTTATGTAGCCAGGACCCCAGGAAGTCCTCAATCAAAGAGGACAACCAGCCCAATACCACAGAGGTGGGCGGTAAGCCTGCGCCAACGATATTTCAATCGAATACGATCTGTAAAGGATAAATAATGGGTGTGACCTGTCTATCCCCTTCCACAGATAAACAGTGCAGTACGGGAAAGTGGTGTCTATCAAATCCATGCTTTCAGGCCCGCCACTTTCGAAACATCTCTCCCTCAAAGCAGTGGCCCGCCGAAAGAGTTGCAAACAGATTATTAGCATATACAAGCCCTGCTAGGTCATATCGAGACGTGACGGCAAGAGGGCATTACACGAAACAAAGAGTTTGCGCTCATCACGGGCACGACGGAAGCGGCAAACATCTAGCTTTGAGATCGAGATCACCAAAAGACCAAAGAGAAACCCGAGCAGGCATGGGGAGGCGAAACCGACGAAGACGATGACAAGGCTCCGCCGGGAGGTTATACAAGCCACGTGACTGATGTGACTTTATGAGGTCCAGTCGAGAAAGCAGTTGCCTTTCATTGCCGAATGAAGTTTTAAAGTGTGATAAAAAAAGGGGCGTATTGATGAGGATGGGATGTTGATGTTACGCAGTGCAGAGCGCGGCGGCACATACCTGCTGCCTATGCAACAGCAATCCGGCGACGCATTTTGCCAGCATTTGCCAGCAATACTAGGCATTGTTAGTGCTGGGTAGTTGAGTTGGTTGCTGGGGAACAAGGGACTGACTGGAACGCGGCGTCAAAGGGAAGTGGAAAAAAGAGAGACCAGCACTAGCTCGAGAGCGAATCAATTGCCAATTGTCACAGGGCACTCCGGCGGGCGATAGCGACACCACTGCAATGTCTGGCTGGTCGACGGCTGTCCACCATCCCCCTACTTGTAGTGTAGAAGTACCCTTCCCCGGGTCCACCCTGCCGTGCCCGTCCGCGTCACTTGACGATGGGGCGCGCGCGGGTGCGCGAGTGGACGCTCCATTCATTTTGAGATTTCGCGAGAGAGGCCATCCACCCATGCAGCCATGCAACTTGCATTTGCAGCGCCCGGCTCTTGGTTGCAACTTGCTCGGCTGCTTCTTGTTGTTTGGAGTTGAATTCCCATTACGCCCACTGCAACAGTTGGCTGAATCGACCGGCCGTGACAATAACGAAAAAAAAAGACGTTGTGTTGTGAGAAAACGGGGTTCGAAATACCACCCCCAGTGTGACATGACATGATACATCCCAATCCAATCAAACTAACCGCAGCTTGCTTGTTGTTGTTGTCTGGCGTGTCTCACTGGCAGCTCGCCTGGGAGAAAAGCGGCTGACCACCTTGGGCCACTTCCACATTGCTGCAAATGCTATCGAAAGCGAGAAACGAAGACGGACCCGCGACAAAATTTAACAATCTTTTGTCACACTGTACGGGCTCAAGGGAAGGAAGGGGTGGAATGGGCGCTTGCCTTTCCATGTCTTTTTCTGTCTCTGGCTTTGTCCACAAAGGCAGGCGCCTGAGTATCTAAGGCGAGCAAATTGAAAAAGTCATGATCTTGTTATTAAATGAATCAGTACGTGTCGCAGCCAAGATGAGGACGGACATCATAAGGTATGCAGCATATCCCATCCGTCGTGCCCATCCATCCATCCATCCACCCCTTCATCAGCAGAAGCAGAGCACAAGGAAAATTATACAACACCAGACGGATACGGATGTGATATCCTACTGGGTTGGTTACTCATCATATTTGGCTCCAACACCACAAGAAACGCTAACCAGGCTGAGAAGGAGGGCCACGGACCGCCTCAGTCATTGTCTCGTTGGCGTTTGATAGCTGGGCAAAATGTACCGCCCAAGCCGTTCCATCCGCAGTCAATTGTCCCTCATGTTCTTGTCCGAGTTCGGTTGCCAACATGCAATTCCTGTCGTTGTAGTCTTTTTGACCATGCCCCCATGCCGGTTACAATGTCGTCTCGTTTCGAACTATAGAAATGGAATTGGATTCCACCCTTTATCTTGCCAATAATCTGTGCACCAGGCCAAGGAAAAGTGGTCTTCGCCGCTTCATGCTCATTATCATCTTGCTTGGTATGTGTATGAAATGGGAAATCCTACCTCGCTTTGAAAAGCAATCAGGACCGATGATGGCCGACTGACTGCCTGCTTGCGACTAACACAAAACGGATATTGCTCACAAAACCCAGGTCAAGGTTCCCCGGGTGTGCATGCCCCGGAACCTCCATGTACTGGGGATCCAGTTCATCAAGTACTTTGGTGTATTGAACGACTTCGCTTGTCGACTTTTGAAGCTTAATGGTCCCATACAAACCAGACACTAGTAACGCCGGATCCTGGAAAGGGTGGAGAGGCTGGCAAGCTGGCAGAGCTGGAAAAGAAGGCTGGAGGTAGCAATTCCGCAACACGCAGACCTTTTTTTTTTTTTTTTTTTTTTTTTTTTTTTTTTTTTTTTTAATTTTTTATTGTATGGCGTCGCTCAACATCGTAGGATCTGCATGACACCGAGAATGAAGGCCACTTCCTTTCATTCACGCGGGCTGACGACATATGATGATGCTGCTTTGAAGCACCAATTGTCCCAGGCAGTCGCCGACCAACATTATTATCCGATTCGACTCCGACTCCTACCCACCCCAAGCGCAAGCGATGCGACAAAGTGGGTGTATACCCCTCCCTCACCATACATCGAGAGTGCTGATTGCAGCAAGATTTCAAAGACCAAACCAAGTCGGGGGGTACAGGCAATAAAGAAACTTTGATCCAGCCGCGGCACCTATCTGGACCTACTACGGTAAAAGGCAATTGATTCTCCAGCTACTATTGATTTTTATCATTTTAAACGAGAATCACGTGCAGTATGAAGCTCCAAAAGACATGGTTTGCAAGCATGGCAAACCCAAGGCTTCTGGAACTGCGCGTACTCGTCGTGCCTAGAAAGTCCGAGACGGCTGAGAACCCAAGTTGTGGCATTCAAATTCCAAAGCGCCGACAGGATGGATATTTCGAGACAAGGCTCCGCAACTTCAAGGTACGAAAAGTTTGTTGCTCATCCGTCCTTCGGATTCGTAAACCCGCGTTGGTGATGGAAAGTGGTTCCATTCGCTTTCTTGTTCGATCCGGCGATTTTCTGATGGTGCAGATGCGTGCACCATGTACGTAGTATGCTATGCGCGTACAGGATCGGGTTAACACCAGCAGAAGAAGACGGTGGAGTTGTTGATTCTGAACGGCGTTAATCCTTGAGCTGTGTCCCCAATCCCAACCACCACTCTCTTTTGTCCCCATTCGGACCAGGTCGGTAGGCAGATCGAGAACCGATCAACCATTACGGATGGATACACATGGGTTTTCAGAGGTTTTGAACATCCATGCACCGACAAAGTACATGGCTATAAGCCCGCAGCAAATTGGTTACCTTGATTACCTGGCATAGGCGCAGGATTCCGCTGTTTCATTTCTCAATCATGCCGCACCGCCGCCCTTCAAATATGTTCAATATGTTTTATGTAGGCCACAGGGAGCTACAAGTCGGGGGCGATGGCGCGGGCAACTGATGACCTCGACAATGTCAAAGGATCCGGTCCTTGTGTGGTCATTCTGCCACGACCTTCACATTCCGTTCGCACGGGATGTTAGATATGTGCGAAACACAAGACGGGATCCAACTTTTTGGAGTAACTTTGTTCGTGAATGGGCGCGCCCCGCAACAGTTGCGAATAAAGCAATTTGCTGGCGCTGCAGATCGAAAACAAGCCATAACCAAGCCATTTTTGCTCCTGGCTGGCCCTTTTGGTATGTGTCGGTTCTTCCACGCCGCCCACACGCCCTCTTTTGTGGCCTTGGCAAAGCTGGCACAACCGCAGTCGGTCGGTTGGAAATTTCCAGACCTGACCAGCATGGCAAAGGGCGGTTGTCTGGAAAGGGATACGGAAGACGCAAGAGCTGTCAAAGGAAACTAGGACGGATGTATAACGGCATACACCTCTCCTACGGGGCCGGAGTAAATGCGGTTGCAGTGCCATGACCGTGTGTGGTACGCTTACACTACCGTACCTACACAGCTGGGGCTCGGCTGTTGCTGGCCGAGTAAAGACATACATGCTCTATACTTGTGATGCTCCTCCAGGATAAGGGTTATGTCGTTTGATTGTCGCATCAAAGCTACGCAAGGTTCGGACGCATTCCATACGGAGCCGAGGCTTTTTGAGTTTTTGTCGTCTTTCCGCAAAGGGGAAATCACTCTAACCAAAGCGAGTTTTGCAAGACTGTGATCCGGAACGGTTGAGATGGGAGTCAAGATTAAAGATGGGGAAGAAAGGCGGGAAAAAGAGCGGGTCGCTGACGCTCCATTTCACAACCAGCTCCTCCAGGTTGTGCTCATCATGATGTTTCTGGAAACGGCAGAGTACACTACTAGTGTACAGACCTGCGAGCGACCTCGGATCGACCTGCGCTGATCAATCATTCAGCTCTAGGTAATAAAGAGGATCCCGCCCGTGTGCGCGTGCGTTTGTGTGTGCGTATGCGATGTGCCATGTCTCCAAGTCGGAGGTCTAGAAGTCATGTTGGATGCATCGTGAGGCGTTCTATTTCCAGACTTTCCGGATGAGAAAAGCTGGAGACGCACGAGTGACTTCGGGGAGGCCTTTTGCCTGGGCCCGGCGGCAGCACAGTAAGTTCCAGGGAGGGAGGGATCTTGAGTGGGCGAGTTCCGTGGCGGTTGCTCGTTCCGGCGAAGGGTTATTGAAAGAGGGACTCTGTTGGGCGGCTTGTGTGTTCAATAGCACTCCAGCGTCGCACTCTTCATCAATCTTTGACAAGGTTGTGTGGGTGTCGTGACGCGGTGCTGGCCGGAGAACAAGTGTTTTCGCTTCTCGATCACGGCATGATTTTTTTTGGATGGACGGCGAAGGCCATGCGCTGTGGTTTAACTTAAGTCATGGATAAACCCCCCTTTTGGTGGCATGGAGAGATGGAAAGTTGGAGACAGGGAGAGGGGCCAGCCACTTGGGATGCGCCAATCGACACTGTTGCCTTTTGCCTCTGGAAACGCGGCGTCAACTTTTGATTGGTAGACTGATACCGTACAGGGCATCGATGGCTTGGACGGTGGGCGAGGCTTTTTCAGCAAGCTATCAATGGATGGCGAGCCAAACCCCAGGAGAAGCCAAGCAACGCAAAGCCCGTGCCTCCTTTTTACTTTTGGTGATAAAGTGGTCCTTGTTTCTCCACTGCATCAACAGCCAGCGACGAGGGATGATGCTCGACACGGCAAAGATGATGGTCACTGGTCACTCCGACGATAACAGTGCGTGGACAAAGGTTCCAGTCCTAGCAGTACCTCTTCTACCTATGCATCCATTTCCTGCGTGAAACACCAGGTCCAGCACGGGCCGACATGGTAATGCGTTTGAAGGGCGAGGCAGACAGGCAAAACCGCTCAGTTTCCTCCATCTGACGCCAACTGACGTCGGGCCGTATCAGGGCTCAGACAGCACGAGCAGCGAAAGCAACAAACCAATAAGGCGACTGACTTTCCAGACACTCAACCCCGGATGGCATGACTGGTGTTGCACCTGGTGTTGGTGCCACTCGATGTGAGTTTCGTTATACACATGCTGCTGTTATGTTGGCTAGACAAGTTTATGTATGGGCCACAACAACTCTTAGAACTAGGGGCCTAAAGGGGGAGGGGGGAATTGTGTGGTGCTGCAACTTCGGATTGTACAAACGAGGAGGAGCCGTACGGTATGGTCCGGACAGGGCCGGGTCAGCTAAGCCTATAGGTACGTTATGTATGTACGTGTAGCACGTTCTTCTCCAGCTTCGGCTGGCGGTCTGTGGTTTGCGCTAGTCCGGTGACGCTGACCTCAGTCGCAATGTGGTGTGTCAGTGTGTGTGTGTGTTGGATCCCGACCAAAGGGACACAAAAGGAGACGCCGTTGACGGCAGGGATGAGGTCAACATGAACGGATCTCCGGACGCGCTAACCTGTTTTTATGGAAGTCTGACATAAAAAAGAGAAACGAGGTGAAAAGTCGCTCAAACCGCGTGGCCTGCCAATGTGTTCGTATCCTTGCCGAGACCTTTACCTTTTTTTTTTTTTTTTTTTTTTTTTTTTTTTTTTTTTTTTTTTTTTTTTTTTACTGATCCACGACTGGGACTGACTGATGGGAACGAGACAAAAGATGCACTACCGTAGTGTATACAAGTACAGTGCCAATGTGTGTGTGTGGTGCGCCAGTGGCCCAGTGTTCGAGTGAGAGCAATGCCAGCCCGCTAGGGACTTAAGTGGAAGGGTGTAATTGGATTGGTAGAAGGGTTCTCTTTGTGGATCCCCGGTCCGTGTGCTCATTGCCCACTGCCCCTACCTACCTACCGGTACCTACCTCACCACCACCACCACCACCACCACCCATTCTTCAGTCAGGCACGGTAACTCGTAAGACGCTAACAACTGACAAATCAAAAGCCAAATTATGGGAGTAGCAGCAAGTACGCACCTATCCAAGTACACGGACTACAGTCTTGATTGACCGGCACCGACTCGCAACAATTCGAGTTGTTTCCTGTCCACACTTCCTGTCCTGCTTGCTCTTTTCTACGGGGGTACAAGGCCAAGAATTATAGTGGAAGGAGCCAAGGAGCGGCCATGGCCATGCAGCGCATTCAATGAAGGGTTGGAAAATGGCAAAGACCCCGGACCACTCCTTGGTCAGCGTGATCCACCCATCGACCCAATGGAGCAGAGACCATCCAGCCAGTCAGAGGCAACGTTGGCGAGGACTGGATCTGCCTGTTCCACACTGAAGCCAGATGTCGAACAAAGGAAGGCACTTTACACGACCGGCGGTGGGCAACTGGACGCAGCTGCTGGAGCCTTCTGCCTTTTATTTTTTCCCTCTTTGCATCCGGGACCCGACAAGATACGGGCCGTGACTGGCCAGCGCCAAAACCTTGAGGAAGATTCGGAATGTGCTGACAACGACATTCGGTCATCAGTGATACTTGCTGAATGTTGCGTGAGTAAGTACCAAGCCCGAATACCTAGAGGTAGGTCGCGATGCAACAATCTCTGGCTCAGCAAGATCAAATATGCGTGAGAATGGCTTGGATGCAATTTCCATTGCTGGTCAGTCGGGTCCCCCCCCTCCTAGTACGCAGTACATACGTACATACGCCCTGGATGTAAGCAGGAAAGAGATATGTATCACCGTATCTCAAAAAAAAGAGACTGTCACTGGCAGCGGGTCCCGGGCTCTCGCAAGAGGAACAAGTGGAAGACGGGACATGGGAATGTACAGACCAGACCACAAGACCAGGGTCCGCTAGTGGCAGTGACCTGCAACGGAGTGACCTGTGGAAGCAGACAAGCATTGAACCAACATGGAAACATGGGATCCCCACTGACACGCTTCCCAAATTCACTTTTTTGGTACTCACCCGATACGGATACATACTAGTACGCAACCACGACGGGGAAAGACGAAGCAATCGAACGGAACACCGTGACGGGACCATGACCTCCTTCATCCCCAAACCCAACATGGATCATGGCAGAGGAAATGGAGGCTTTCACCTCGACTCTTTCTGTTTCCTTCATTATTCTCCTCCTCCATCCCTAGAGATAGAGGTACCCTGACCGGTATCCCTTCCCCCCCCCCCCTTCAACCTTCGACTTATTGTTCATTCTGCTTTCCCTTTCAGCCTCAGAGCATCACCCGTCGTCACCAGGGGCTTCGCTGTGACCAGTGCCTCATCCTCCCGTCACCACCATTCCATTGTCGCCAGAAAAGGTCACGGTGGACGTGTGTGTAAGGTAAAGAGGAAACACGAACAACAACGGACATCCACGGCAACGACCACGCCCACATTACCTCGATCGCGAGAACGACTGGACACGACACGATACGACACGACACGACACGGACCCGGGCCCGGGTACCAACGACTCGAGTCTTCCCCCCTTCTTCTTCCCTCCATGCTGTATCCTGTTCTTTGCCAATCCAGGGTGTCATTCCAGCAGCGAAGAGAGCCCTCCACAGACAAAGCTTCATTGCCCGTCGCAAAGGGAGGCGTTCTCCATAAAGGACTACGGTCAAAGAAGCGACACACCACTTGGCCCGGTACAGTATTGAATCAGGAAGCTCGTTCCCTCGATCCGGTTAACGACTTGCGACCGGAGCACTTTGGAAGTTGCCTCTGAGCCATCCACGCGCGCCGCCGCTAGCCCTTTCGCGCCTGCCTTGGACTGCCGGCAAGAGCAGGTTCGAATTCGGTATTGGAAGGAGCGATATACAAAACTACAGTCACCAACACATTCCTGTCCTCGATCTCCGCAGTCCAGTTTCAAATTGCCAAAAAAAAAAAAACAGACCACGGCAGAGAAAACGAGAAGGAAGCAATTGCCGTCTAGGCGTCACCATATGCCGGGGTTCCTTCTGACCTCAGAGTTCTGATCCAGATTTGAAAGCCATATCGTCAAATCAACTTCACCAATTGCTCACTTACAGTCACTGGTGCAGTAGCTTGTCGTCGTCGGACTTTTCCCCCCCCACCACGTCATATCCGCTGTTTCCCCCGCCGTAAGGAGTTTTCTCGCGGCATGTATCTCGCCAGGACGCGGTGTCAGAACCCTCTCCCCTCCTCGTCGCCCTTCTCAAGTCAGCATCAGTCTCCTGTCGACCGGTGGACAACCCAATCACTCGTATCTGGCTGGCGTCGCTACGGAAACCTCATCAAGAAGTCAAATCCAAGCAGTGCCGGTGGTCTTCAGACGCCGCCATACGACAACGACATGGGTACCACATACCAAATGCCGAAGTTGACTCCCTCCTACGAACAACATAGGTCTTACACTCACCCAACACTGCCAGCACTTTCCAGTTGTAGTGCTGTGTCCCAAAGGCCGCCTCGAGATTTGGCCCACATGTTTAACAACTCCGAGTCACTGTGTTCTTACTCGGATACACAGTCACTTTACCTCCCCAACCCACAGCAATGGTCGACTGCCGCTTCGTCTACTAGCTCGAATTCAGGTTCGGCACAGCGAGGTTATGCCCAGCAGCATCAGCAATACCAACAGCGGCAACACCAGCCACGGCAGCCAAGTCCACCACGGCAGCAACACCAACAACAATACGTTTCGCAGAAACAACAGCAGCAGTACCAGCAGCAGCACCAATCACGGAGGCCATCTTCACAGCGGCCCTCAAGACCGCCCTCACCAAGCCCCATCCGACGAGAACAGGAGATCTCGAAGCGGGATGCCGCCATGGCACTCCACAGCTTGCAGGTTCCGGCATGTATCAGTCCCAAAGGCGGAAGTCTCTCGGATTTGGTGGCTGATTTGACAGCACTGTTTTGGTTCGAAACTTCAAAAGTACTTGAGCAGGCCGCGACATACGATGCCCTTCGTCCAGGCGCCGCCCCTGTACGGCGGATCGAGGGACCCGCCATCGCTTGCCCCAACTTCAAGAAATGGGTCCACAACCTCTTGTCGACTACCCAGGTGACGCAGAATGTTATCCTTCTGTCTCTCTTGTACATTCATCGACTCAAGGTTCTGAACCCAAAAATGCATGGGCTCCCAGGCAGTGAGTATCGGCTGCTCACGGTCGCGCTGATGTTAGCAAACAAGTTTCTCGACGACAACACATACACCAACAAGACGTGGTCCGAGGTGTCCCAGCTTTCGGTGAACGAGATTCATGTTATGGAGGTTGAGTTTCTGGGAAATATGCGATACAGCCTTCTGGTCACCGAGAAGCAGTGGGAAGAATGGCTGGTTAAGCTGGCTAGATTTCGCGAATATCTGGAGCGAGCGCGACAAGTTTCTTCAGCAGATCTGTTGGCACCGTCACCAAACGCCCTCCCCGTTTCGGCTTTGCCCTCTCCCACAACAGGCCAGCACTTTTCCTCACCACTGCAGCCGACTCTGGCCGGACAGTCACCAAGCGCGAGTTTCTATGCGAAGCAGAGCTCTGGCCAAGGTTGGCCGACCCATGCCGCCGGCCAAACCCCAATCTGGAACCCGGCAAGCACACCCTTAACCCGAAAGAGGAGCATGCCAGAGTTTGATCTTTTAGAGCCGCCAGCTAAACGTCGGACGCCGTTGAAGCCGTACGCCTCCTCAGAGACCCTATACCCCACAGTAACGGTACCTGAAGCCCTCAGAAATTCTCGAGAATTTGCCTGTGCACCGCTTCCATCGACGAGCGAGATGGCCTTGAAACAAGCGCGCTTGTCGGTGTCAAACTTGACATTGAACAACGCTCAATCATCCACGGCAAATACGCTCCCGAGTGAAGTCTATTCCCGCGTCAGCTACGCACCGGAGAGCATGATTTCTTTGCCTCCCATCCTTTTACCTGCTCCGGGCATGGCTGCGACCTACGTCAACTCCACGTCGGCGGCTGCTCCCATTCCATCAATCTTGCCAACCAGCGGCTCTGGTGTCTCGCCGTCGACCGTCGTTGCAGCTTCGACAACGGCTCACCCGACCTCTCAGTATGCCTTGTCTGCGAACCGCCTACAGTCTCAGCACAGCCTGACCTCAAGCGGGGCTTATCTTGGCTCATCTCCCATCGGCGAGCCGCTCATACATACTCCGATGCCGGCAAGTTCTCCTTCCAACATATATCTTCAACAGCGGACGAGCCCGTACAGACCGGTCCGACATGCCGAAACACTGCTTCATCCCCCGCCATCGGCCTTTCTCCAACAATACCATCTTCCGAACCCGATTCCTCCGACTCAGCTACACTATCAACCGCTTGGGCGGCGGAACGAGGTGCGCACGGGCATTGTTCCAGAATTCGCCATGCCCAATAGTGGGTTGACAATGGCCGGAGCTGGTCGGTATCAGGAGCCTATCCCTGCCTTTCGTCAATCGTTTTCGTTGCCTTTACGGGATATTCCGCCGGCGACATCTGCATATTCACAGCATCCAAGGCGTTAGCATGCAATCTTAGGCATTTAGTTCACGAGGATGATCTTTCTTTTACGAATGCATTGACTCCCTGTACCATCATGTTATGCCCATTGGCCGTTACTCTTTTTTTCTTTTGCATGACTTGCATTGCATGGGCGTTTATATTGGTTGTGTCTGTCCCTATTTAGTTACATCGTATCTTTCCGGGAGCGACAAGCAAAGGGCGCTGAGGTCAAAGCGCCTCTATCTTATGACCATCTCGAAACGAACTGCCATTCCCCACCACTTACACTTTGGGCGTATCTCTTTGTGAGTTGAACAAAACCTGAGGTTATGGGGTCGGATTGGGGGGTATGCTTGGGACAAGGAGCACATGATGAACTTTGGCCATGCAATTCCGACACCTTTTTTGTGTTTGCGTTGAGTTCACACCACTGAGCATCTTGCCCGCTCACGCATATTGGGACTTGATAGAGGGCCAAGAATACACATTAGACATAGGATCACTGGGCAAATGGTGACCACAAAATGAGCTGGGAGGGAGAGAGGATGGGGGAGCCATGAGATAATGAGGATCCTTGGTTGTATTTGCATGCATTTAATTAGCAGCGGTACCCTTCCATTCCGCTGGGCCAGGATCAGACGACGCATGGTTAGGGAAGAGTAAGATACCTTAGAGATTAGCAAGATACCCTTTTGATTCACATCGCCGACCATTTTGTGTTCCTTTGTGACAAGATTTTACAAAGTTTTCCGTTCAAAAGGTCTTGAATGACCACGGTTACTTGGAGAGGAAATATGATGAGCACAAGGCAGGTAAGTGAGAACCCCTTGCGGTCGTGATACTAAACCGCCAGGTCATTCATGGTGGTCATGGGCACCGGTACTACTATCCTGAGCCTGACTTGACCTTCCCTCGACACCGTTGTCTGGCACGTACTTTGGGCCGACCGGCTCGCATCGGATGTGTCCGCGGAATTGCAGAAATTGTGGGATCAATCCGTCGACTGGCGGTGCAAGATCAGACAAGGAAGACACGTTTGAGAGTCGGTTTGGACACTCGCACAACGCACGACCTCCTTTTTCAAGCGAAGGAACCAAATCACGCTGGCACGTGAAGCTTTGATCTGGCATGTCTGTGAAGCTAGTATTTGCGAATATATTGGTCAGGCAAGAGCGTACCAGCGCCTGCGATGGTTGGAGGGAGAGAGGGGTGGTGATACCGACAGGTATCTAGGTGGTTGGTGGAGATGGGCGATAAAACTGACGCTTTTGCTTGGGGGTAAGCAACTAGGCAAGTGTAGGCCTATGGGGAATCTGGATTGAAGGAAATCATCTTTGATATAACTTGGAGTGTTTTAGAGGGAAAGATGGGGAGAAATCAAGGAGTGTCCTGTTCAATGCTGTTCCTTGGGTAGGTTTTCATGGGCCTTGGGGTCCAAGCTTCTGGTCAGATGACGGCAGGCAAAAGTCCCGGGCAAAACGGTCGAAGGGCCAGACTGAGTCTAGGAGTTTATATCGACAAAGTGTCGTTGTGTTGGTGAGGGACCAGTGTTTGAAGCAGGGATCGGCTAGGTGGACTTTAGCTGATCAGCTGAGCCCCGATGAAGAGGAAAGATGACGCTTCCTAGGCTGCAGGACGAATATATCGATCTGTGATGATGATATGCGAGAAGCTGGGTTGATTCAAGCCAGTCGACAAGATGGACTGGAATATAGAAGCATAATACGGAGCGAGGTACTTGTGGAAACTGGACGAGCTTTCAGGTGAGTGAACTAAGTGAGAAGAGGTAAGAAGCAAATCACTTCATCGTTTTTGACAGTTTGCGACGTCGAACACTAAGAAGCGAATCATCCAAACCTTTGAAGACACAACCTCCAGACCGTTTATCTCATCTCATCCTAATTTCCATAGGAAATTCCGAGTAGTCGCCAGTGGGAAGTACACCAGCATTGTTTGCATGGACTTCTTAGTAGAATAATCGCCAGCTTTGCTCGGCCACCAGCACTTTTCCCTGCTCTTGGCTCTTTTCATGGCTTCTCCCAACCCACAGCATCATCCCAACCGGAAGCAAACACTGCGAAAAAAAGTTGTAATCCCCAAACACTCCAAATGCATAAATCACGACATGATCGGCGGCTTACCAGTCATTCGAAGACAACAAACCATCCGTATCACACCAAGCGATAAGCTATGAGAAGAAGTTCTATACTTAGATTATCCACCGGCAGTCGGATCGTGCCTCACTTTGATATCCACATGACAAGACAATTGATGATGAATGACAAATGTCTCGCAGGAACAGCCGGGTGGAGGAACAGCGCAACAAGGAACTCAACGAATTGATGATATCCACAACTTTATCCGCCGCTCAACCGTTTCTCATCAAAGGTAGTTTGGACCGTTTTTTTTTTTTCTTTCTTTTTTTCACCGCCGGGTGGCTATCAAGGATTTCGCCAAAGTGCCGATAGTCGTCGGATCGTGATGGAGACGGATCCGAGTCGTATTGCGACTTTTTGAAACGACCGGGAGGCATATGGAAAAAAATGGAGATCATGCGGCAGTTACCGACAGCGGGAAGCGATTGCCGATCGATCGTGGGGACTTTCTCTATCGGACGACATGGACATGAATCGACATCGAAACAGACACGACAATACGAACGTGCTTGAGCACATAGGTAGGCACCCTGGAGAGGATATCGAGGCAGAATTTGCTGATTTGTTTAGTGATGATGCAGTGCAAGGAAGGCAAAGCGGAAAGGATAGAAGTGCGAGAGAGGAAAGGTCCATCCCGATGGAGTGCCGTTTCACTGACAACAAGGAAGGAACCGGAAGTGGGTGCGCTCCAAGGCGTTGATGTGGCATGTGCTCCTTCCATCTCTGCTCCCGCGCTTGGAGACACGCCGATGAAGGTCAATGGCCTATGATCTGATCATGCCTTCCTATTTTTGAGATCTTGCCCAATTCGCTGACCATGTGTTCGGCGGCTCCTTCCTCACGAACCGGTCACCCGCCGGAGCATTATAGAAGCGAAAATGAACTGGTGGAACCCCCCCCCCCCCACGGCGACGGACCGATACTCTAATAATACTTCACGGGGGAGACAAAACTTAGAGGTAAGGTTCATCGGGCGTAGTGGTAGAGTATGTAGCGAATTGAAGCGGATGTTCAAGCGAAAGGCCAAGCCGAAAAGTCTGGCCTTCCCGATCGGCATCCGTCGTACAGAAGCATGTGTTCTTGCAACAGTCAACATCCGTCAGCAGGATAAGGTAAGGTAAGGTAAGCAAAGGATGAGTGATCCAATCGGGAGATAACCACTTTGTAGTACACTACTTTCCACTTGCTCCGATTGATGGTTCGGGTCCGGGCTGGATACTTGAGAAATATTATCAAAGGCATCGATCGGGGTTGAGAGGGCCGGCCCATAGATTACATACCTACCTACCACTCTACCCACAATTATCCAGCACCGGCAGCACTGCATTTCCTCAATGCTGATTGAAAGAAAACCCACCATCACCGGACATCCTACCTATCAAGATCAGACGAGCATAATGAATCCGACAGATTTGACTCAGTCGGTGGTCGGTGGCAGACCACAGACCACTCACTGATCTCTCTCTCCCCGGCATGCAACTGGTCCGTACCTGACAGTCTGCCTAGGTAGGTAGGTAGGTAGGTAGGTAGGTAGCATTTCGAACAATGTGAAACCCACCACCCGCCCGGCAATGAGATCGATACACGTCGACAAGCCTATTCGATCGCGAACCGGATACTTTGGTGGAGACCGGTTGTGTGTCTGTCTGTTCTGGTCGACGACGACTCGTGCACTCACTCATTCACTCACTCACTCGCCGGTCTGGACAGGCGGCGGGTTGTGAGACGAGACGCAAAGAGGCAAATTGTCCGAACATGTGTTCATGCGGCGAAATTCTTGGATCATGGATTTCCTGACCGTGATGCTGGCCGCCGAGAATAGACGCATGGACGCATGGACGAATGGATAGATCGATCAATGGACGGATGGGGTCGCGGATGGAACTGCCTGCCTGCCATTCGCTCAAAGAGTCTGAAACGAGTCTATCTACAATGTTAGTGGCTGGAGGAACTGGGTTACTCATCCGGGCTTACGACGAATGTGGTCTGGTGAGATGGATTTAATTGATCTTGGGTGGCCACGGATTGGAGGATATCGTTAACTTGTCGTCTGAGGTGCGGGTTTCTTTATCCGTCGGTGTCTGGCCAGATCTGCTTGCCTCCAGATTGTTGAGACCCGGTTGATGTTCAGGGCCCGTTCAGGGACCAAGAGTGTCTAGAGTCGGACGTCGTGGATGATCTTTTCGTAAGAACGACCCATCCCTGCCATCATTCGAGGGAGAAGTAGCCGGACGGAGACGGTGGACTATTCACACAATGAGTGGACTGGGCAGGATAGTGGAGTCGGGTGTCAGTAGTCGTCGACCGATTATTGACGACTACCGACTGGTTCGTGGGGCCAAGAGTGGGTGAATGCTGTTATCTTATACCGCTCTTCTGCAGGCCGTACGGGGAAAGCTTGATAATCCAGCGAGCTTCTGACTCCCCCAAACGCGCTACAAGCATCGTGGTTCGCTTGTCCGCGTTTGTTTCGCATTTGTAGATATGTCTTGGCATGAGGTTTTTTGAGCGTCTAACTTGAGGCTATAAGTGGACTAGTGGTTCATGCCACGTCCACGATGGGGCCTTTTTACTTAACTAGGTGATTCTTACAGAAGTGCGGTCTGCACACCGAAAAAGATCAATGTATTCTAAGGTTTCTATAAGTACCGTCCCTCGCTCGGAAGTCTCGCCTGGCTGAGTTCCATGTGGGTTGGTGATTGGAGTCCGCTCTCCCACTTCATTGACAGCAGCAATGCAGACACGCCTCACCTCGAGTTACAGTTCAGGTGGGTAGCGCGTCATGGAAAACAAAGAAAAAGAGCCAAAGTGAAGTCGTGTCAACATGTCGTGGACTGGATCCTCAAAGCCTCTGTGGCGTTGTGAGTCGAGTCTTGGCAACCTTAGGCCAGGAACCCGGTGTGTGAGGTTGAAGAATACGTACCTGGATTGGGCCCAAGATGGGGCTGTTCGAGCCCTAAGACTGCCTGGGCAGCCGTTCGGAATTCCAGACTCTTCTTTGGCGACCCTTTCCCACATGGCACTGGCTGGGGATGGGAGGGGGCCAGACCACGGTGCTTGGAGTAGCAAGAGACGGCGAACGGGCGGGCGCCGGGGTTGATGAGAGTTCGGATTGGCTACCTCGCCACCAAACAAACAGACGGGAGAGTTGACCGTTGTGAATGTTCGATCTCCAGACTTTTGAAACTTGAAACAATCTGGGCCTCCCCTCATCGGTCCCTGGTTCGCCCGGGCCTCACCTTTGCCTCTTTGCTTGCCTGATCGCTTGCCTTCTCCGGGCTCCAGCGACGGGACGGCACGCTGTGGGCGTTTTCTTTCCTGTTGTCGTCGTTGTCCCAATTCTATCCCCGACCTTGATTTCTGGCGTCACGTCGATTCGGTAAGAATCAGGCCGCAACGAACAAGTGTGACAAGAAGCGATCAGGACACAAACTGTGCCCCATGCCCAATGTCCCATAACCCCCCCCACCGTAACACCGTTGGTCTTGGGTCAGAGGGTCAGTGATGAAGACGATGATTGCTTGTGCCGCTGCAGCCCGGGTTGTGCGACCTTTTTTGCCCAAGTTTTAACCGAGCCAAGAAGATGGTAGACCGACACAACGACTCAGCGACGCAAAGCGGGAAAGATGGTGATGATCAGCCAAGCGGAAAATCGTTGGAGTTGAGGTGACCTTGTCGAGCTTGGTTGTTGTTGTTGTTGCGGGGATCCCTTACCCCAGGGTTTCACCGTTCCAGGGGTAAGGAAGGGCATGGGCATGTCTAGCCCAACCTGAGTCCCTGTTCCTGGCCCAGGCTTTCCGGGCAGGGAGTGAGCGACAAGAGGAAAAGTCGGGGATGGAATGCTCGATTGTGAATCCTGGCCTTGTTGCTTTTTTGGAAGCTGTGCTCCATTCGATAGCTGCTTGGCCCCCATCATTCCAGACGATCCCTAGTGCTAGGTGGTGAAAAGAGAAAAAGTGGTGAAGGTGATGTTGTTGACACCCACAAAGGCGTGGCCCCCGCGTTCAATATGAAGTGCAAACGGATCTCTCTTTCTTCTTTGTGTCAAACAGTAAAGCAGGTGATGGATCATTTGGGGGGGATTCTGGGCTTGCTTCTGCTGCTGTGCAAAGGGGGATGGATACTGGGCTGGACGCCATGCAGCCCTGAACATTGCTGTGATCCGAGAGGCCATTCTCGCCGTTTCCCATGTGGTTTGAGATGCCGTGAAGCATTACATAACCTCGAGCAGAGTTTGTCACAGCAGTCGCCATGGCTACCTAGGTAGTGTACTGTAGAGACGCGGCAAGGGAAGATGCGGGCGACTGACGGGATGCAGTTGTCAGGGGAGGGGGGAGGGGGTGATTACAGAGAGAGAGCTGCGGTGGTTGAAGGGATGAGGGTTCCAATCAGATGCAAATCGAGCTTGACCACGTCGGCCGACCGGGGCTTGAAACCCAACTGCTGCCCAACACGTCGCTTGCTTCCCACTTAGACCACTCTAGCGCCAACCAATGAGGACCCCACCACGGCTAGACACACCTCCCGGTCTAGTGACCAAGCCAGAGAGCTTCACAGTTTTGCAAGAAGTCGAGAGCCGCTGATGATGTCCCTCTTCCCGGTTTCTTGGACATGGAGAAAAAAAAAGGATAAGCCGTCACAGTCCCATCACGGTTAGACAAGATGTGTGCGCGATCCAGTATGTACCAACGACTCGATTTCAAGCTTCGGGCATGGTGGTAGAAGCCTCACAGTCTTGAGCTGATGTTGTTCCATGGATGGTACCTACATACCTCACGGAAAGCCGCACCTGAAGAAAGAAGAGATTTTCCGTTGGGCTGTTCGCTTTGGGATGAGGCGGACTTTGGCAAAGCTCTTTTTGGATTTGTGCCCTGGACCCTGTCTGCCTTCAAGCTGCTCAGTGATTTGGCAATTCCTCCCTCCCATCATCTGTCTGTCCATTGCAGAGTGGCAAGCTGCGGTCTGGGGGGTTGCGACCATGTTTCTATCTTGACTGCTGTTGGCCCGTTCATTCGACCTGCTCCCAACACTTTCTCTCCGGGCTTGTTGTCGCCAAACGGACAACCCCCACCCCCAACTCGCTCGCCATCCCGATTCACCTTGAGCCAGGACACGAGATCAACAGAAGTCGCGTGTAGGTTTGGACACTGATAGTGGCCTCTTGAGTGATATCTGTGGTATCTCTGAAGTGCAGTTGACAAGACCTGATGGTTGCATTGAGGGGTACATCCCCCACTACACCTAGACTAGGTCGGGTAGTCTCTAGCGCAGTGGAGCCTCTGTTAGCCTTTCCCCGGGCCGCCGCCGCCTAGCTTCCTCTCGCTGTCTTGGACCGACTTCTTTCGGAAGGGTCGGTGCAATGGGCAATCATCCCATCACCGCAGAGTCAAAACATGTCAATGCCGCATTGACGAGGCCGATTGATGAGTGCTTGCGGTCCGCCTGAGTCCGACAAGAATTACCGGTAACGAGCTGTACTCCCCACGGCAATCAACCTTGTGTATCTTATTGCGTAGGGTGGCTCACAGAGAGTACACAGAGGCCCGATTCCTGCCCGGTCCCAGCCCATCAGGGCGATTATTGTACAGATGAATTGTATAAAAATTGCTGAAACCAAACAGAGTTCCGGCATGTGCGGAGCGGGTATCCCGGGGGGCTGACGGCCACCCGATTCAACGTCGTCACCGTGTCTCGCCGTGGCTTTCCTCTTCATGCCCAATCCCAGCCATTCAATTTCTCGCACGGAACGAGCAGAGGAATGGATGGATATGATAAAAAAAAAGATTTTGAAGCTAAAGAAAAATAATAAAACTAAAAAAAATCGTGACGCGGTTGCGCGGAAAGTTGTGTTGAACCGAGACAAAAACAGAAACGGAGAAGCAAAAAAAAAAAAAAAGGCATCATCGGTTACATGACACATGCACTTTTCCGATTCGGGAGCGGAACGAAACGCTGGCTAAGCGGATTAGGCCGAGTCGTCGGATTTCGTTGTTTTTCCTTCTGCAACGAGGACAGCATTGTGAACTCGTAACAGAGTGTTATGCGTAACGCGAAGACTGTCGCTAGAGGAAGAGCGGGACAATGAGGAGGGGAGGGCTGGAACATTGGATAGGCATCATGAATGAGACTGGGAAGAAAGTGAAACTATCAGCTGGGTGAGATGAGCGCAAAGAGGTCGGCCACCGCAAGGTCACACACACACTGCACACATTCGCCATTTCCTCGTTCCTGTCCGCTCTGTCTCTCTCTCTCTCTCTCTCTCTCAGTCAGCTCGGCTGATCCCCCTCCTCACGGCATGCTGTCAGTCCGTCCCGTCCTCATCCTACTCTACCCTGACCCCCCGGTCCGCTCTGCATGATGGCTTTGGTGGTGCCCCTCCGGCCATTCATGCCCGCCTCCTGCCCGCCTTCCGTGCTTCGGCCCACGCTGAAGATCTTCAGTCCCTGGTCCTGGGCTTCTTCCCATACAGAGAGACTCGTACACATCGAGTGACCTTGATACCGACCACCACTACTGTCTGCTACCTCCTGCCCACTGCCCACTACACTACTGCAGACGCAACTGCAACAACCTGCAACTGCACGAGCACTGCACCTTCCCTCGTACCTTAGTGTACTTTCAAGTCCAGATGCACACAAACTAGGTGGAAATCCAATCCGGTTCCTGCTTTGGGCCACTTGCAATTTCCACTTGTGCTGACTGTCCTGCTCCATTCCTTCCTCGGGTCAGAAAGAAGAACAAAAGATCTCCGGCAGCCCGCTCACCGGGCATCCATTGCCATCGACCACGCATCAGACGACGGCAGACAGCAAAAGTGAACAAGACGGCAACAACGACAACAACATACACCACCGCCTCCCTTGGTTCCCGTCTACCTAGTGTACACTGCCCTGGGCTGCGGTCCAGCAACAGCCTAGAACCAGCACCCTATAACCACAGGCCCATCCAGGGAACACGTATCGGGGCCCGCTTCGTTGTTTCCACTTCTCTTTCCCTCCCTCTTGCGTGCAGCACAAGTCTCGGGATTGGCAGGGAAGCCGCACTTTGGCTCTCCTCACCGAATAACAAGCTTAACGCACCTTGGGGCCGATTTCCAGGTCTCCATCCAGGTCCCCAGCGGCTAGACAGACTAGCTGCTTGCTACCTAGACAGTCAGAAGAGGCGGCGAAACATAACAAGCGTGTGAATGCCCATTTGTGACTATACAAGTTCAGCTGAAGCCCGCGTTCGAGGTCCCTTCTTCCACCCTGAACTCCCGACCTGAATTACTTACTCCTTCTCAGTCAGTACCATCTTCGTAATAATACCTAATCACTACCTGCCTACATACACACATTCGTTCTTGTCACAAACAAACCACCCGTACCTGCCTACTTAATACCCAAACCAACCAAGCACTCTTAATACATCCATCCCTCCCCCCCCACTCACACACATATACCTCCTTCCAATACCTGGCCAGACCTAGACCTGCCCAGTCACACATAACACACACACATACACACACACACTCTCGCTTGGAGCTCGAAAACCTGACAACCGGTACATATTCATATACACCCGGCTGCACTCTGTTGTTGCACGCCCGAGCAAGCATTGGCCGTCATACACAGAACACAACCGCAGACACACACACGAACGCAAACACAACACCGAAGCCTCATATCACAACATCACAACCTCACCACCACACATTAAGATAGACACGATGGGAGATCGATCTCCATACCCACAACGACCTATGCCAGGTGGAGGACCGGGGCACATGAGGGGTTTCTCTGTCTCGGACGACAGACTCAGCAATGTCAGCAGCAGCACGGGAAGCACTATTAGCACCGCCAGCACCGCCAGCACTGCCAGCACCGCTACTCCCACCAACAGAACTTCGAGCTGGCCTCTCCAACTCACAAACAGACGGGGACCTCCTCAAAACGGTCAACCAAAGTCTATTCTCCGAAGGGGCGGCCGCCCACCACCAACACCGTCTCGTGCTCGACGAAACTCGGACTCATCTTTGGCCTCGTCCAACATCCCCGAAGTAGGAAGCGGTTCCGAGACGGGCGGCTCTGATGTCGGCAGCTCTGTTCTCTCGGGTGGCCCTACCATGATGAACCCCATGGTCATGAATGGCCAGCCCATGGCGACGAGCCTACAGCAGAAGCGCCTCTCCATGCCTTCCCGGATACCCTCTCCGGCCAGACTTTCCTCTCCGTCACGGATACCCTCTCCTCGATTGCCATCACCTGCTTCCCGCATACCCTCGCCCAGCCCTCATATGGCTCTTCAAAGAGTCCCCTCAAGGGGAGGAGCTCCCATGCCCTCTCAGATCCATCTGGCCCCTGGAATGCCCGGACGCCCTCCCCTCCCACACCACGCAACCACTGGTTCGATTGGCCTCCCACGCAGGGTGCTCAGGGCCAAGATCCCTATAATCAACCTCCCCGAAGAACGTCGTGCCACCGTTAACCTACGCCCCTCCCGGGTGCCAACCCCTCCTCAGGGCCCTCACGATGGTCCCTACGGCCCTCCTCCTAGCAATGTGCGCACGATTCCTGCGCCACGCTATGTCCTTGACAACCGACCCCACGATTATCACGATCAGGATACCGAAACCGAGTCCGTTTCGGAATCCTCGATGCACTCCAACAGCACCAGCACTCTGGCGACTACGGTCGACTCGAGACTCTCCCTTTCGGACTGCGCCAGTGATGTAACACCAACCAGCATTTTCAGATCCTCCTCAAAGTCCAACAAGTCAGCACACTCTACCGTCCGGTTTACCCGTAGCACCACCGGGTCTGATTCTGATGACACCAGCGTTGCTAGCTCCAACCACCCACCTCGCAGTTCGCAGCTTCGCGTGCCGCAACCATCTCCCCGCCCCTCGTCGCGGACTGACATGGTCGTTGCCCGAACAAACAGTGAGCCTTTGCCATCTGTTAAGATCAGGGTGCATCACCGGAGTTCCAGCCAAGAAGAGCTGAGGCAACAACAGTTGATGGAGACAAACCTTAAACGCAAGATCGCCAACCTCGAGATTGAGGTCAGGGAGCTGCGCAACGGACAAAGCGTGCTGCTGAGCAAAGAGCACGAGCACAAGGAGTCCGAGCTGGAGCTTCTTCGCAAGATTGATGAGCTCGAGACCGAAGCGAGAGGCCTGCGTGAGAACCAGGAAAAGCTTCTGGATGAGAAGTATGCGAAGGCTTGGTACCAGAAGAACAAGGAGGAGAACCTTTTGGGTAAAATGAACCAGCTGGAGGAAGAGAACAGGAAGCTGCGCAATGGCCAACACAACCTCAAGTCGCAGCTCAGTGACAAGGAGGCCGAGGTAATTCACCTGCGTGACGATCAGCGCAAACTTCGGGAGGAGCTTCAGGAGAGCATGGCCGAGGTGGCGGAACTTCTCGAGGACCAGGCCGCCCTGGAAGATGATGTCGAGGCGATGCAGAACGAAAGAGACGACGCTTACCACGAAAAGGACGAGGTTGTCGCCATGATGGAGGCAGAGAGACAAACGATGGACGAGCTTCAACACCACCTCAATATGCAAGGCCGCAGGATGGCGGAGCTGGAGCAACAACTGAACGCTACGCGTGCGGAAAAGGCTGAGATGCAAGCTGAGCTACAAGGCAAGCTTGACAACGAAACCAGAACCGCCGCCGAGTACAAGACTACTTGTGCAGCAACTAGCGCAATGCTCAGCGAAGTCCAGAAAGAAAGGGACGATCTCAAGGAGACTAGCAAAACCCTCAAGGCTACCGTCACCCGTCTGGAGGAAGATATCAAATCCCTGCAGGGAGATCGGTCCGAACATGAGGTTCGTCTCATGCAGCAAATCTCGACTATGAGGATCACGAACAATGCCCTCGAAGAGCAACGTGATTTGAGGGACAAGGAGATTGAAAAGTTGAACACCAACCTCGATGAGTTGAGGATCACCAAAGAAGTGCTTCTTGGCGAGGTTGCCACTCTCACCGATGCGAAGCACCTTGGCGACCAGATGCGTCAAAAGCTGATTGATGATGCTGCGGAGGACAAGCAGAAGCTCGCTCTAGCGGCAGAGAAGGCAGAGATGGAGCTTAAACAGCGAATCGCCGAGCTGGAGAAGGAGAAGGCGGGACTGGAGGAGGCCAAGGCCGCAGTGGAAGCAGCTCGGGCTGACTTGGAGAGCAAGCTCACCACAGCCGAGGCTAGGTCCACCGCTCTCACCACGCGCATTGATGAGCTTGAGATGTCCAGTGCCGGTCAGAGTAACAAGGTCGGCACGTTGGAGGGTGAGATTGCCGTGCTCAGGGCTGAAGGTGTCAACCTCCGCATGCTGATCGAGGGTCTCGAATCCGACAAGGCTGGCCTGAAGAAGCAAATTGAGGATCTGGAGGCTGAGAGGTTGAATGGACGGGTACTACTCACCACCCTCAACACCGATCTGGCGGGAGCGCAGACTGCCAACGTGTCGATTGCCACTCAAAAGCTCAATGCCGAGCAAGAGTTGGCGAGAATGCGCGAGTCTCTTGAGGCCGCAAAGGGCAACATGATGACGCTTTCTGGGCTCAACGCCGCTCTCCAGGCCGAGGCAGACAAGGTTCCAGGTCTACAAAGCGCCAAGGCTGAGCTGGAATACCAAGTTGCCAACCTCAGCGTTTCCAAGGTCGAGCTGGAGTCCAAGGTCACTGAGCTGGAGGCCAAGGTTGCCGAGTTCGAGACTCGTGTCGCGACGCTACAAAGCGATGCAGACAAGGTCCCCGCCCTGGCTGGCGAGAGGGACGCAGTCCGTGAAGTAGTTTCTGAACTTCAGGACAAGGTGTCCAGGCTGGAAGCGAAGCTTAACAAGGCGCAGGCTGAGGCCGACCAACTCCCTTCCATCATGGCAAACAGGGAGGAGCTTGTGAAGCGGGTGAGGGAGCTTCAGGACAAGGTTATTCGACTTCAGGACGAACTCAACTCGGATCCCGACGTGACTACCGCGGAGCTCAGGGCCGAGTTGGATGCAAAGCACCATGAGATCGAGCGTCGGATGGAGGAGGCTGCTTACCTGAGAGACCAGAACAACCGTCTTGCGGCCCAGTTGGGCTCAGCTCGCGGCCAGCTCGAGGGTCTTCAAACGTCACTGGTCGTCGCTCACCACCATCGCAAATCCAGCCGCGACAGTAGGTCTCGGGCGTCGTCGCGTGATAGGTACGAGGAAAAGTCGAGCAGCAGCAGGAGCAGGAGGAAGAAGGACAAGGATATGGTCGTCGTGCGAAACTCCAGCGACAGAAGCGCCGTGTCAGTTTTACTTCATTACGCCGCCGGTATCTAAAGGAACCTTGAGCTGACAACGGCCAGGGAATACAGAGACAGGAAGAAACACAAGGAGAAGAGGAAGTCGCTCTGGCTTTGAGCGCTAGACGTTTTTCCGCCCCGCCACCGGCCAACCGGTATTTCCGCTCTTTCTTTTTATTTTTTCCCCTTTCCTGCCATGTCCGACCATCACCTACAAACTGTGTCCATGACACATACTCACATTTCGCGATTTGTCATTTGCGGAATTTGCCAAATCAGCATTCACTTGTTCATTTGTCTTCATGTACAACCACTTCAACATTCCTTTTGTATGAGCTCTCCTTGTATCTTATGGAAAAGCTTCAGGAGTGGTTATCACGTTGGATTAAAAAAGAGAAGAAAAGGGCAAGGCATCGTCATTTCTGGCATACACATACATTAGCATGGCATCTTGTGGCGCGAAGCGCAACTATAAGAAAGAACGTGAATGGGCGGCAAGCGCGAAGGAGGTTTTTTTCATGGCTTTTTATGACGGTTAACGATAGGATCATGACCAGGGCAACATGTTTGGGCTACAGTTAGAAACGCGGTGGTCATGTGTACAAGACGAGATGATTGTAGGATACCCAGATATTGAAGGTAATGGAGGAGGATCAAATAGGAGGACATTGGATGATAATAATACAAGACTTTGGACTTGGACCTGTTCTGACTTTCTGTGGTGGTGAACAATGAGAGTTTATGAACAGTAAGTTGATCATCTTGAAATATGTGGCCTATTCTTTGTCAGTCCTCCCGCTTCCGGGATAATCTTGAATGGGCTCCGATCTTACACCTTTGGAGTTGACCGCCCAAAGCTCCCATTGACCTTGGACTACATGCTTTGTCCAAAGACTGCTAATGGGTCTTTATGGAGGCCTTGAATCTAGCCTGGCTCTTCAAGCCACATTTTGATTCTAGAGAAAGAAGGATGTCGCTTTCTCGGAAAATCTCAAGATTGCTGACAACGTATCAACACCAACTTACGAATAGTATATTCCATGCAGTTGACGCCGGCTAAGAGTGAGAAGACACTTCTTGACATACTTACCCGGCTTAGAAGATTAGCATCACTGTAACTTGTCCAACTCACACAGGTCTCTGAGGTGCCAACCTAGTATCACAGACTACATACTGTTCACAATAAAGTACCCACCGGGCCACCAAGATAACCCGCCTGTCCACACCTCCTCCACCACAGCATTTTCCTCAACAGAGCTATCATCACCACCGACAAGATGGGACTCCGCGACGTCCAACGCGAACAAACCGACTACTTTGCCTTTCACCGCATGGGCCGAGCCTCGGCCTGGTCCCGCCAAAAACGCCGCGAGGCCATCCACAACCTCGAGTTCCCCCGTCGTCGACCTGCGCGCTGGCCAGGGTTTGGGCCCCCGCCTCCTCATCATCTTCATCCGGGGAGACATACCTTTCGGGAGCCGGAGCCGTATCGAAAGAGTCAGGAGGATGAAAAGAAGGAAGGGCCGTCGACGGGGGTGCAGAGACGGGCGCGCAGATTGGAACGACTACTGGCGCAGGAGGGGATGAGGTTCGAGAAGGTGTTGGGGTGGGGAGGGTTTGGGATGGCTTGTTTGTTTAGTATGTCTTCTGCTGGACCTGGACCTGGAGGGGGCCAGGGGGGAGGGGAAAAGGTGGTGGTGAAGATTGAGTTGGAGGGAAGGGATACGATTGAGAAGGAGAGGAGGAATTATGAGGTGTGTTTGCTTCTCTCTTTTTTTTTCTTTTTTTTTTTTCTGTTTTTTATTTAAAGATGGGTTGCTTGGGGGGAAGTAATAGTGTAGGCGGTTCAGTGAGTGGGAAGAAGAAGAAGAAGAAGAAGAAGAAGAAGAAGAAGAAGAAGAAGAAGAAGAAGAAGAAGAAGAAGAAGAAGGAGGAGGAAGAAGAGATAATCCGAGGAGGGTCAAGACTGTTTGAGAAAGAACCATGTCAGAGACTGTCAACCAAAAGAACTCTATACTAATTCTCTTTTCCCTACAGTTGATGCGCGACGCCCATCACGTCCTCCACATGTACAACCTCGCCGCCGAAGAAGCCATCGAAGAGAGCGACCTCGCAGCCGGCGGCCTTTTTCTCGAGTTCATGGAGCGTGGCACCTTGGAGAAATGGATCGTCAAAATGGCCAAAGAACGAAAAACGTTCAGCGACAGGGCACTATGGACCATCTTCGACTGCCTTGTGCGCGGTTTGGTTGCTTTGGCTTACCCCGGAACGAAGTGGAGGGCGGAAGAGTCAGCTAAGGATTTCAACGAGAGCCCGAGAGATACAATGGTTCACTTTGATATTGATCCTACTAATCGTGAGTGGATGGCCGATGACCATTGAAGATGGATGGAAGAGACTTACTGACTGCAACAGTTCTGGTGGGAGGCTTTGGCACATATGGACAACGTAACCATGCAATTGCGCCGATACACAAGGTAGGTGAACCGTTCAGACAAGATAAAGAGGTTACAACATCAACTGACAATGGCTACAAACAGATTGGCGACTTGGGCTTAGGAGAAATCTTCAATTTCCGCGCACGGCGAGAGACGGAAAGAGTATGGTATGCCCGCCAGTCTGGCAAAGCTTATCTCTACACACCTGAACAGTTTACCGAAGAATGGGATTGGCACATCGCCGCACCAGCCTCCGACGGGGCACCGACGGCGGGCAACTATCGAGAAAGCATGAACCTTTGGCAGATGGGTTGGGTATGTAATCTTGACTAGACGCTTGTCGCTCAAAGGCTAACTGGGGCCGTTCTCAGACCATGTATGCCTTGATCACCTTGTGTTGGCCCAATGAGAAAAAGGAACCGTTTGTATACGCCAGCAGGGTGTTCGACCGACCGGTGAAAGATGCTACCTACGGGGGTGATCTGTTGTACTCTGGGCGGTACGATGACACGGACCGAGATCTGAGAAGAGTGGTTGCGCAGTGCTTGTACCACTCTCCGTTATCGCGACCCACGCTCAGGGAGCTCGAGGTGCACATAAAGGACAAGCTGAGGACCAGATTAAACAACTCGGAGGAGGAAGCGAGAGCATGGGCCAAGAGATTCTACGGAGAGCCAGAAAGGCGGCGGCCGGCACCGCCTCCAGCTCCTGCCCGTGAGCGTTGGAATATGGGTGCTCATCCTCCGAACCGGTTCGGCGGGGCAGCGAGGGCTCGGTTCGGAAAGGTGTTTTCGAACGAGAGTATCTTGGACTTGGAGAGGATACGAAGACGGAGGGCAGATGAGGATCACCGGCCCGTGATTCGACGACAACCACAGCCTCGCAGATTCTGGAGGGACTAATCGCGTGTTCTGGGGGAAGCATTTCTATTCAGTTCAGGTTATCCGTAGTCATTAAAGTTAGGGCAACGTTCGTTCAAGCGAGTAGAATGCATGGTAACTGAAAGCCAAGATGGGTTCCGAGTCCCTTGGCTCTGTCAGGCCCAGGGCTGTGATGTGAAACGCGGCAGTGCTGATTCGACGACGGGGATGATCAGCCCACGAGCACCAGGCAAGCTAAGCGAGCTAAGGCGGCGGTCGATCATGCTACGGTACCGTGACGACGACAAGCCGAAGAAACCGCAAAGTGTCGCGGGAATGATGGCGATGGCGAAGGTGTATGGAAGGGCGATCTCGGAGGGTTGTCCGTTCCATGGACTTCGATACCTCTACACGTGTACTGCATGGTAAATATGGCTGTCAGGCCGTCAAGGTGTCCCAGAATATACAGCCACTAGCAAAGCCTCGGCGATCCCTTTATTTCTTTCATTCAAGTTACTCGGTGACTTCACGGCTAAAGCACCTCGCCCGCTGGGCGTGTATGAACGGGCACTTTGTGTCATGGGTCGTCAAGATGGCATTAGTAAAAGTGACAGGCATGGCGCGTAACGAAGCGTCTGTCTGCAGTTCCCTTTCGAGTCGCGCGTTGCATTCGCTTCGGGGCCTCGGAATTGGATGTTTGAAAAGAGGCCGGCACTAGAGGAAATCTCAAAGTAAAAACGAAAAACCGAAAAAAAAAAAAAGACGAAGAAGCGACAACGAAGCGAAGGTGCCCAGCGAGACTGTACGTGTAGTGTATCTTCCACTTGCTTGGTACCCAATAGGTCAGCAGCTAGAGGAAAAGCGTGGAACTGGTGCCCGGGCCTGCCCTGATTCACACTTGTGTGTACCCGCTATAATGACGTAGGGAATGGGGGCTGTGGAGGCGCTCCCTGTGCCTTCCTTAGTGTACAAAGCACCCCTGGGGCATTGTCAATGCTTGTGCTGCTTGGCGCCGGTCGGTCTGTTAGTGGACGGGAATTTCCTTCCTCGCATTTCTTCTGCATTGTTGGACACTCCTCGGACAAGCAAAGTTAATTTGATGGGGACGGAATCAATGAAGGGGAATTCTGTGCCGTTTATTCCCGTATGTATAGAGTCATGTCCCTGGCAGCGGATGTCAAGGCAAAAACGACACAGGCTGGAAGTGCCAGGACAGCCGTTCATGCATCGCCGAGAGGGGCGAGGGGACCTGGCGTAGAGGTAGGTAGGTACTGTTTTACGCAGTATGTATCTGGATGTGGAGATACCGAGATATCTCGGTCTCGAACTACATACATATTAGTGTAGGTTAATACTAGGTACACAACAACCTGACAGTTTCAGATCTGTCTTTGAAATCAAATATGTCTCTCACCCACAATGATCAACACACCTCAAAAGTTTTCAACGAGTGCCGCGCCGTATTGTAATGCGCCGCCGCTTAAGCTACCGCGGCCGCACAAGCACCAACGGGAGGGAAGAGGGAAGAAAGTATGTACGTATAGGTATACCGATGTGCTGTAGATGGTGATGTAGTGTATTGTAGAGGAGGGGTGGAGGATCAAAGCATGCTTGAAAGGTTCGTTGGATTTAAGTTTGGCCGTTGGTGTCTCGGTGCCATCCTCACTTTTTTCCCCTTGTTCGATCCAATGCGTGCCTCTTCCGTTTCTGGACTGATTCACAAGTCGTGGTAGGTGTGTATGGCATGTGTGTGAATGTGTGTGTACATGGACACTATTGCCAGTCTAAGGTACGCGGGCGGCCACATCGGCATCGGTTGGCTAAGTAGGTCGTCTATCCATTAACAGTTTGGGCGCAATAACAACAGAATATCGATTCCATCATGATCCTCCGTCTTCATCTTGCCCGTCCGGGACCCTCGGGAGTCTCTGTCAGAAAGTGCTGAGCGATAACGGAACACGATCGATGAGTGTCATGCTAGGGAAAAAAAGGGCATTTCTGGCACCTCATCACAAGAGTTCGGGCGGACCTGTGCCCTGGTATCCACCGAGTGCGACCCTATCGGTGCCAAGAATGCCCAGTTCCTCCACCTTTCCTGTTAGCGGCAGTGGGGAAAAAGGGCAGCACAGGCAGGGATGGTAGGGATTCGGGCGTTGAGAATACATCATACTTGCATTGGTGGAGATCATGGCGTCCCCCATGGCTGTCTTTGCATCTCGTCCAAGACAACCTTGATCTCCGACCAGACCGTCTCCAGACTCTTGAGACCCAAAGATGGTCCAATGGAGATGCAGAGCCAGCTGGGAACGATGATGAGTCCTGTCCTGGGCGCGAAAATCAGGGTGTTTCTTCCCTCGCCTTGCCTCCAAAAATAATGCTGGGTCTTGCTCTCCATTGACTTGGTGTTTTGCTTTTTCATAGCGTCGATTGGTAATATCATGCTACTACCACGGTCCCTCAATTCCCCATCCCCTTTCACCGTCCCGACAGCCTCTTGTTTCAAGTTCCTGGTTCCAACTCTTTTTTTTTCTTCGCCGCGTCGAGGTCCCCAGTCTTGTACACTACCAACGCCCTCCCTGCGCCCTGGTCCGTCATATCTATCTATCTTTGACCCAACGACACCACGAGTCTAACCTTGGCCAGCAGAGACCGAGGATATACATACATACATATCCTACTGCAGAGGGTTTACCCAAGTACCGCCCGCGCGCAACATCCCGTCATCCTGGCACCCTCGTAGCGTGACCATCCGACCTCAACTCAACAACTCCCGGGCCTGAGACACTTTTGCCGGATTCACCAGTCAGACTGATTGATTTTGTTGCCTAACCTTTTCCACGTCTATCAACGAGCACACGACTCCCTCGACTATTACCACCCAATCTCGAGCCATTACCACAGTATCCTCATCACCACCACCTCGGCTTACGGCGCGACACTGCCACACGCACAAAGACCAACAACGGCACACTGAGTGAACGCCCGGTCCTCCCTTCGGCCGTTCCGGCACCGCGGCTTCTTTCTTGGGTCAAGCGGTTTGCTATCATAACCAACACTTGCTGAGCCGCCCGACAAGGAACGGACTATTTTTTTTTTTTTTACGACAAAGACCCAGACCAAGGCAACGACCAACCCCTGGGCCTTGTCGTACTGATATTGCACATCTTGCAAAACACACCGGCAACAGCAACAACACAGAGCGAGCGTTGTGCAGGTCGGGATTGCGATTCCGCAAATTACTGTACCACCCAAACAGCTCACCACTACCCGATAACACGGACGGTTGATTGCGCCCAGCAGCCATAGAAGCGCGGAGATAGCGGGCGTGCTCATGATCAGAGAGGTACAGGTACGTGTCATGATTTTTGTCTTTATATGAGACTTTACTATATCACATACACGCGCGCCCATGGCAACCTGCATCCCCCAGTGTTTTAGTTTTACCGCGGTGCCTCTTTTTGCATTTTCAATTTAATAATTTTTTTTTTTTTTTTCTATTTTTTCAAATTCGCATTTGGCCAGCATCGGCGTTATGCGCATTCCTCTCTTCTCAACACCTGAAAAATGTGGGAAAAATGGGAAGGAGGACACAAGTTGCGGTTTGTTGCACTTTCCCTCCCCCACCGCACAGCCATTATTTCCCCAGCTGGGCTCTTTCCATCTCAACGTACCCCGAGTATGGGGCAGTTTGAGAGTCTAGATCTAGACAGAACCTCATGCACAATCCCATCCACATCCACCCATCATACTTAGCAGGATGGAAGTGCACGGTCACCCAAACGGGAGATCCGGACACAACGAACAGCCAAGGAACGATGGACGGAGGTTACTTTAAGTTGTAATGGGCGGGCGGGAGTCCAACGTCCAGTCGACTTCCCTCCCATCCATCATCTCACTGTCATCATCCCAACCTCAACTGCTCCCTTTCCCCTTTCACCAGCAGCTCCCCACATGTTGATGACATGGACCATTACGGTACCTGATCCGATCTTGGCCACTCGCTGGCGGCATCTCTACCTATGCACAGGTGCAGCTGTTAAGACTAGTCTGACGGCCATCTGCCATTCTTCGTTGGTTTACACAAAGTTTCGCTCAGCCAGCCTTACCTTGTCACTCCTGACTGGAGTCAAGCTGAGATGAGCGTGCGTTGTGCATGGCGAACGCAGCGCCAGTGCGCTGAATGGCTCAAATTGACGTTTGAGAGTGCCGTGTGTGAGATGGTTCAAATCCCCCCGTCACCGCGGTCCAGGTCCATGTCATAGTTCCATCGTCACGGTCTCCCTGTGAATGGTTGTTGTGAGGTGTACACGGGCCAGTGTGTGTGCACCGTTGGGTCATGGTTTATCGTGGTTCAGCGTGGGGATAATGTGAGGATGACTGAGCTGTGTATCCGTATCGTCACAACGCGATATGCCTGCTTACTCGTCTTGGAGAGCGGAGAGGGAGGAAATGGTCGCTCTTTCCGTCTTCATCAACCTGCTCGATCCGGATCATGCCTGTCCAACCTGTCCAACATGGCACCACGTCCCCAACCTTGAAAGAGAGATCAGCTCCCCGTCCCCGTCCCCGTCCCAGGTCCCGCCCTCTTCCAGATCCCATCACTCCACATGGGTTTCATGGAGGACGCTGGTTCCAGGCTCCGAGTCCCGTCTCATTCGTCCCGTCACTCCCGCCTTCCCGTAATATGGACACTACTACCAACGGTTGTTATTACGACTAGCAGGGGCACTTCCACTTCCACTTCCACCTCCACCGCCGTGACCATCACGCACTTCACCACCAACCTCACCTCACTTCCCGGGCCGGCAGGCATTGCTGGTTCTGGCACAACCGCATTGTATCCCGTTGCTGGCCAAACCCTCCTCCCCAAGTTCCACTCCCCCTCTCCCTCTTTCTCCTAACTACTCTCGTCAAGTCCACAAACTCCCCTCCCCCCCGTCACGATTTTCTCCCGTCTCTTCGGCCCCTCTGCTGCCGGACTACACACTGCACAACGTTTTTCCACTCCACTCTTTGTTATCACCTTGGTCTTCTGCCGTTCTTTTCATCCTCCTCTCATGTCACCTCTTGCCACCTTTCTCTACATCCGCTTCGTGGCGGACCGATCAAACTGTGTTGCTGTTGGTGGTAGCATACCAGTCACATCTCCGCCCCCCGTCTACTCTCACCTTTCAGACCACGCCTAGCCAGGACCAGTCTCTAATCTAGCCCACAATGTATTCAACAGGCCCCCAGCAACGTATTCGACAGCGACGTCAGCCGTACTCGTCATCTTCTCGTGGATCCATCTACTACACCCCTACCACAGGTCGCAACGGCCGCAGCGCTTCAGCATCTCCAACAACCCCTTCTTTTCCCAGCCCCTTGATAGGGCCTCGTCAACGCCGTCCACACTCGATTCACATTGTAGCATATCCTCCCGGTTTTATTCCGCACGAGCTACGACCTGACCCCCTTGCTGAAAAGGTCCGGAAGCGAAAGGAGCACAAGGACAGGAAAGCGAGGAAAAAGGCGGAGAAGAAGCACAACAAGCGTCGAAAAGCCGAGGAGAAAGCTCGACGAAGAAGATCCGAGCAGCTTCCACCCGTTCGTTTACTACCCCCGGCCGGGGAAGCGGTCCACAAAGTCATAGACAAGGTCTTGTCTGTCTTCTCCATCAAGGCAAGGAAACCACCAAAATCAGCCACGCTGGCGTCCCAAGCCACCGATACCGCCCCCAGGACGAGGAGATCGAGGGCGTCGAGTTTGATCGGGCACCTTCGCAGATCCAAGTACGAGCCAACAGTACGCCCGGAGCCCACAGTCGACCAGTCCGCCATGACTGCCGTCGCTCCTACACCCGCATCTCCCATGGTGCTGCTACCCAACAACCGGAATAGCGTAATGTCTGCTTGCACTTGCAAGTCGGCAAGTTCATCAATCACCGAAGTCCAGAAGCCTGTTGCATCCGGAAGCGGTGTAACATGTTCGATAGTGTTGGCGGAGCCCAATGTCTTCTTGACTGGGTTCGACCACAATGACCGTGCCCGGGAAGAAAGTCACGGCGCATCCGCTTTACTCCGCGGAAAACTCCAGCTGAACGTGTCCAAGAACGTTAAGCTCAAGTCTGTGACATTGAAGCTCGTAGGTAAAGCGAGGACAGAATGGCCAGAAGGGATTCCACCCAACAAGACAGAAACATATGAAGAGCAGGTTCTGCGAACACAGTCTTTGGTCTTCTTCCAGGCAATCCATGGCGGACAGTGGGAGACGGAATATGGAAACCAGTGCACATACTCGCTCAAGGGAAGTGGGTGCAACCACAACCCTCGGAGTTCTCTGTCCTCCAATTTCTCCAATGGCTCCTTCTCCCACCTCACCGGCAAGAGCCGGCACTCAACCAGCCTGACTGCCAAGGAGCTCAAGAGGCTCTCGCTCAATTCTGTCAACTCTCGGAGTTTTGGTAAAGGCGACTCTCCCTTTGCAAACCAAATCTATGCAAAGGGGTACAAGGTGTTCCAGCCTGGTACGTACGAGTACACGTTTGAGCTGCCCATTGACCATCACCAGTTGGAGACCACCAAACTGCAGTACGGATCTGTCAAGTGGGAGTTGGAAGCAATGGTAGAGCGTGCGGGTGCCTTCAAGCCCAATCTTCACGGCACCAAGGAGGTGTCCATCGTTCGGTTGCCGGATTCCATGTCGCTTGAAATGTCAGAACCCATCTCTATTAGCAGGCAATGGGAAGATCAGCTGCACTACGACATTATGATCTCTGGCAAGAGCTTTCCCCTTGGCGCCAAGATCCCCATTGCCTTCAAGCTCACCCCGCTGGCCAAGGTTCAAGTACACAAGCTTAAGGTGTTTGTGACGGAGAACATTGAGTATTGGACCAACGACAGGCACGTAACCCGCAAGGATGCTGGGAGAAAGATCTTGTTGCTCGAAAAATCTGCTGGGAAACCCCTTGACAAGCAGTATGAATCCAGCGACTTCCGCATTCTGAGCGGTGGTGAACTAAGCCCTGAGCAACGAGAAGAGGCCAGGCGGTCCGCGGCAGCGCGAAGGATGGTGCAAGCAGCCAGGACAAACGCGCCACTGCCACCGTTGCCGAACCAGACTGAGAACTTGCTGGGTGATCTGGATCTTGGCTTGGAGACCTTCTGGGGCAGTACCGAGCTTGAGATGAATGTACAAATCCCGACATGCGCCATGATGAGTCGGGATAAGAACCTTCGGCTTCACCCAGACTGCAGTTGGAAGAATGTCAATGTGTTTCACTGGATCAAGGTACGTGCAATTTCCCCGGAAAGAAGCTCGTGGAATGTCCTTCACTAACACTCCACATCAGATTGTCATGAGGATATCTCGACTGGATCCTGAAGATCCGTTGGGCAAGCGTAGACGCCATTTCGAAATCAGCATCGACAGCCCGTTTACTGTACTGAACTGCCGTGCGACGCAGGCGAATACCGCACTTCCTCAATACGGTTCAGATGGATCCATGCCCTTCGAGCGTCAACAGACATCCTGTGGTTGTCCTGATGCCGATGTTGTGGACAGGAGTGCATCCAGCCCGCTTGGACAGTTGCAGCTCGTGGAGCAAGATGTCCTGAGCCCTAGTGGCAGTCGACTGGGCCTCAACAGGCTCAGCGCATCGGTCTTACCTTCAATCCCTCAAGCCGCTCACGTCCATGATTCACGGGAATCTGGTGGCTTGCCTGTTAACCGAGCCCGGGGCCACACGCTACCGAGCCCTCTCGAACGGCAACGGCCCATGCACCTTATCCGCTGCCCATCATACAACCCACCGGCATTTGATGCTGACGAGCCCCCGCCGCCGCTCCAAGCCGATTTGATGACGCCGCCGCCCCAATACGACGCCATCATTGGTACGCCTAGTGTTGACGGCCTGGCAGACTATTTTGCCAGGCTCGCGGACTATGAGGACACCGGACGACCACAGATGGGTGACCGAAGCGGCAGCCAGGAGAGTGTTGCCACAGTGAGAGGCATCCCTAGGCCGACCAGCAGAGACGAAGGCTTCTTCGACTCCAATGAAGTGGTAACTGGCTCTGATTTGCCAGCCAACAAAGACTACGAGGATGACTCGTCAGGAAGCGCGGACGAAGAAGAGGGACCGGTAAGGCCGCATCGTCGTGGCCGAGTCAATGTTGCCAACCCAAGGACACCAGGTGGCAGGCTCATTCCAAGTAGGAGCTTGGAGATTGATCGCCCCGTGATGCGACTCGACATGGGTTCTCTGAATAGTAGGAGGAGATGACTTTGATTATGACTTTTAATGACTCGATGTATGTGTACGGGCACGGAAGTTGGTGTACAAGAAAACGTTTGAGCATTTCGCATTGGCTGGGCTGGTTCATTGATAGACGGTGTTTCCTCAACCCATTGAAGCATTGTCTGTCTGGAAACACGCATAGAGACAAAGAAGGAGGAGGGGGGTGGCAAGGCTGGAGTTTTATTCGGCATGACACGGAAGGAGATGGTGGCAATGGCAATGATGGCATGATAACGCATTAAAGACCAGGGCATGAGGCGGCTACAGTGGTTTGATATATCCATTTACGAATGGCGTTTGGGAAGGGACGGTGAAGTGTACAAGGGCAAAGGGAAATCAACTTGATAGCATTGACACGGTAATGTTCTTCTTTGTCTGTTCTTCATAAATAGTTACTAGACTGTGTGGGCTTTGCAAAGTGGTGTGCTGGGCTGCGCAGGACGGACGAGATATGTGGTTGACATTTGTATGGCGAGAGCTGACTGAGGAGGAGCAGAGCACAGGGTACCGTGGTAGTCAGTCGTTGGTTGGTCGTAATCACCTAGTAAAAGAAAAGGAGAGTGTAGAAAGAGTAGTTTTTATGTACCCTAAATGATGATCATTTCGTTGCCAGTTCCAAGAGGCAGTGAGGCAGTGAACATGGACAAGACGTCAAGGTGAGATGGTGGAAAGGCGTGGAGGTTGGAAAGGGAGTTTTATATTGAAGATCTTGGAAGATCACAAGCCAAATGGACGGAGAAGCGGATGCTTGGCGGGGCGCCCATACTTGACTCCACTGAGGCAAGCGATGATTGTTGATTTGCCAGCTGGATACCTTGGCTCTCTTGGCATCCAAATGACGGGCAGCCAGATGGGGCACCTAGTGGTCATTATTCCCTGCTGTGCCCCGATTCTCCCTTTTCTGCACTGGCCCTCAGTTCATCTTTCAGCTGGTTTCCCGTTTCTTGCAGTCGCAACGCAACCAAACAACACGAGGGACACGGCGGGGAAGCCTGTTTTGCCCATTTCTCAGGTGGCTGGTTGTCCAACTTCTCTCGTTGTCGTCTTCAAATCAACCACCGAAACACATTCGTTGAAACATCTTCATCAACACTTTCGTTTTCGCCAATCAATAGCTATTCCATCGCGTATCCGAATTACACAGCGCGCTTGTCCGACTTTCGCTCAACGGCAACCTCTCGTCTCTTCCCGCCAATTCCAGACTCGGGACTATTTCACAGTAGCACAGACTCCACTAGGCGCCCGTCTCACTCGAACAAACCGAGACAAGAATCCGAAAAGAGACACAATCTTCTCCCTCATCTTACGCACCTCGACTATTTCGTTTTTTTCCGCGACGACAGTCCGAGTTGTCGAACCTGCCGAGGCCGTGAATTGACACCAAGCCGACAAATCCCCCCGTCCTCTCGCTCGGCCCCGCCCCGTTGCGTCGCTTTTTGCTTCTTTTTCTCCCGGACCCGACGACACCCACGAAACCCTCGCCGAACGACCCTTAGCTTGACCCGGCCCTCGACGGCCTTAGACGTTGCCAACCATGGGGAAATTTGGAGATTTCAGTAGCATATGTCGCATGGCGCCTATCCCTCTATGTGCGTCAGTTGGCCCGATAACATCGATTGCCAGCGGCGTCGGCATTGAGCCGGACTGCTATGCGCGCAACATTGAGGTGGCCAACACCATCATCTTCCAGGGCGCGGCAAGCGTCATGCATATTGTTGCTCTAGTCATGACGGTGGTTATGTTGTTGCATGTGAGGGGGAAGTTCACTGCTGTTGGTACGTCTTTGTTTTCTCGACTTAGCTTGTGGAAGGAATGCTTGTTAACCAGATAATGTGTCCCACAGGCCGCAAAGAAATCACCACCTTCTTCTACCTTTACATGATCCTCACCTTCCTCTCCCTCTGTATCGATGCCGGCGTCATCCCTCCGCATTCGGGCTCTTACCCCTACTTCGTCGCCGTGCAAGCTGGTCTCGCCTCCGCCTTGGTCACCTGCCTAGTGATCAACGGCTTCGTCGGCTTCCAGCTCTATGAGGACGGCACTCCTCTCTCGTTGTGGATGCTCCGCCTCTGCTCCTTCGTCGCTTTCGTCATCTCCTTCCTCGTCGGTCTCGCCACGTTCAAATCCTGGGCCGGCTTGGGTCCCACCAACACTGTCGGCATATTTGTCGTGCTCTACTTTCTCAACGCCCTCCAGCTCCTACTCTACGTAGTCATGCAGATTATCCTCGTCACCCGCACCCTCCAGGACCGTTGGCCCTTGGGTGACATCGCCTTCGGCCTCTTCTTCTTCATTGCCGGCCAAGTCATCCTCTACGCGTTCAGCTCGCCCATCTGCGAGGGCATCTCGCACTACCTGGACGGTCTCTTCTTCGCCACGACGTGCAACTTGCTGGCCGTGATGATGGTGTACAAGTACTGGGACTCGATCACCAAGGAGGACTTGGAGTTTTCGGTGGGCACGAGGATGAACAACTGGGAGGTCAAGGAGTTGCTGCCACAGGGTCCGGAGGAGGACAGGAGGGCGACGGTCTATGCGGATCCGATTTACGAGGGCCATTATGCTTCTGGACCCGGAACGGGAAGTGGTGCGAGCGCCAGCGGTTATGAGGGGGGACATCACAGACGAGAGAGTCATGGGTATACACCTAGTCCCAACAGGCAGTCCTTGAGGTATTAGAACGCCTGAGACTGCCTGGGACATGTTGAGGAAAAAAAAAAAAAAAGTGTAGGGAAGGAGATGGATGTATGGACAGAGGAAAGGGATGGATTGTGGATGTGTTTTCAGACGGTTGATGGATACCATGTGCTCACGGCACTCTTGTCATGTTGCTTGCTTGTTTTGGTCGGGCGGGCGCAAAAATGCATAACGCAGCTATCTTTTATGATTTTCGGTACGGGGTTTTCTGGTGGGAGAGCAGCAGCAAGCGAAGCATCTCCAACAGACAGCGTGTTGGTAATTCATCATTCTTTTTTTTTTTTTTTTCTTTCTTTTTTTCTCTTTTGGTCGGCGTTAATGGCATTTCATCACGGGAGAACGGACGGAGAAACGGGGGTACGTACGTTTGTCATGGGACATGTGGTCGTCCAACGACGACGACGACGACGAGAACACTTAACTACCTAACCTGATAGGATATTTCTCTTATAATAATACTCTTACAAGAAGACATTAATAGCATTATACCACTTTACATTCGAGTATTACGCGCGTCTTTCAGCTGTTTGGTTATCTAGCTTGAGAGTTTTGTTGTATGTGATGGCGAAATGATACCTCGCGCCCAGGTTAATCAAATACATAGATTGAGGCACCTTGCGCAGGTTTTCTGACTATTACAATAATCACGGTCAGCATTATATATAAGAAATAGTAATGGCGTTTGGACGATTTCCTGACTTTATGGGTAAAGGGGGGGCGGCTGGATGGTGATGAACGGAAGCTGCAAGCCAAGCTGACATTTAGCTGCAGCCACTATAAGCCTCGAGGGCGACAAATCGAGAAGGCTACGCTACCTATTAAAAAGATTACGTAGTACAAGCTGCTGAGAGCAATTGTGCTCTATGGTAGACGGAGTTTCAGGGTCTTGGTATTGGCGTTCAAAGGGCGATAGGACGGATCTTGTATCGGCCTTTATCTGTTTACAGACTTGCTTCAGTTGCTTTATTGTCTGTTTGCGCTGAATGGCTTCTTTTTACCACAGTGAAGACCTAAGTTGAGCGTTGGTTTTCCAGGTTGTATGTACCGTAGACTGGGGATCTGCAACTTCATTATCTAGTAGTGTAGTGTAGTGTACTACAATTAGCCATTTCCGTGTTCTAGGTAGCGTAGCTTTGAGGTCTGTCCACCACACAAGTCTTTTCGTTGGTAGGTAGGTGACGACATGCTTCGTAAGGCAAGGACACAGTTTGTTTTGAATCCTTCAAGTCCCTCCCACTATAAGATGATTCCAACGATTGTATGTACCTGATGCTGATGCTCATGAACCAACCCGAGCCTCACAGGGGTCTTGGGTGATATACACTGTTTCTCTAGTAGCCTGGTGGCGTGAGAGGCCATGTTCCCTAGCCCTAGGCAAGCTCGGCAAGGTAATGTACCATTGAGAGTTGTATAATTATTTATACCTACCCGACCTTCCTTGTCATGTACTACAGGCCACCCGACCCTTTCACGCTGGGTAGCGGTAGTATAAAAGTATATGCCAGTAGCCCCCTTTTTTTTGCTCGTTAGATTAGATGAGACTTGGACTGTCACACCGTCGTGTACGAATGAACACGATGTGTATAAAACAAGATGGGTTGATACCAGCTGCCGGGTGTTAATGTTAATGAGGTGTGTATGTATGTGTATGTGGGAGATAATGCACACAATTCTCCGCTCTCATGCTAGAAGCAGATCTCGGCTTTCAACTGACGCCACGCGAATCTCTGTTATTCTCTGAAGATATTAAGCAAAGAAAACGAAACTGCCGTCAGCCTGGACGTTGATCGTATCCTCCTCACCTGGGACAGTCATGTCACATTGGGGACTTTTGTGTGTTCAAATTGGCCGTCAGTCATATCACGGTTTCCTTTTTTTTTTTTTTTTTGTTCTTATTGTTTTGTCTGGGAGGGCAGACCCGGGGAGGCAATCAATACTAGGTAATTTGCACATTTACGACTTTTTGCGACATTTGCGAACTATAATACGACGGATCCCGGTCGCTCCTTATTTTCCCCCCCCTCCTGATTTGCTTTCCTACTCGGCGCGACCATACGACTATGTGAAACTAACCTGCGGACACGGAGTTTCCAGCTTGCCGAGGCTTCGTTTTTTTTTTTTTTTTTTTTTTTTTTTTTTTTTTTTTTTTTTTTTTTTTTTGTCTTGTTTTTCGAAGGAGCGTTGTTGTTTATTGATCAGTTTGCGTTGGAAATAGTACTCGAGCACCATCTAAAGCAGCACACTATCGATCCGTTCTACTTTACGTTTTATTATCATGTCACTTTTGGCAGCAGCAGCAGCAGCAGCAGCAGCAGCAGCAGCAGCATTGTCGGTTGGGATGGATAGGTACAATACAAGTGAACTGAATGAAGGCTAGGGGATCAATACGTCACGGAAATCATTTTAGTTCATGCTCACTCGTTTGCGGTGGGACCCTGGTCCTTATTCGCCCGATGATATATCTACCTATGTACATCCAATTGCTGGGTCTAGTCTTTCTTTCCTTTTGCCTGTCTGGTCGATATCGGTTCGGTTGTTTGGTCTTTGGCGGTTCCTTCTTTCGGTCATCAGCTCGTGCTGCAATAAATAATCTATCCTGCGCTTTACAGGTCTGACGCGATGCCATCAATTGGGACGGGCAGACGAGCTGTTGAATAGTCGCCGCAGTCATGAAATGCATTTTAGTTCCCTCTTGGTCCGTCACTTCTCCCTGCGTAAAGGAAACCCGAGTTTTCCGCACACGGCACTTGACTCACTGCAGCGTCCACTAGCACTACTCGTCATGGCTAGTCGGGACTATCTGTCCTTTTGTTGTGTCTTTTACCTGATGACAGTGCGAACGGATGAAGCAATGACGGATGATTAGTCGTATTGATATTGTGAGAATCCCTCCCTATTCAGTGCAACCTTGACCCATTTTGGGAAATCTGCTAGGTCCCCAACTAGTCTCTCCCTTAGCTTGGCCCCTCCCTCACCCCCCCTATACGCCCGGACGGGCTTGTGCAACCAAATCAAGGACGAGTGCCGCCCAAATTAAAAATATCAAGCAATTCGGTAATTTTCCCCAGGGCAACCCTCGACTCGACGACTCCGTTTTACAGCAGCTAGCTGAGGTGCCTGCCTACCTATAGACAGCACACACGGTAGTAGGTACCAACACCACAGTCTACATATGCGCCCGGTACTCCGGTCACTGGACTATAGGGAAACACTGGGATACCTGGAATTCCAAAACCACCATCTAATCCACTCTTTTTTGCCCATCCCATTCCCTTTAATCCACGCCCCACACGTCCGCGCCCAGGTCCAGCACATATGTAATAGGGCCTACTGTAATAAGCAATACTAATTATCGTATGTCCATGCGCGCACACGGCAGCTGCCTTGTCTCATCAGTCAGTCAGTCGGCAGTCCTATAGAGGGGAGGGGAGAGCTCTCGTAATGATAGGAAATCATTCCATGCGCAGCCTAACTGACCGTGTGGAAATGGGGGGAAAAAATCATCAAGGTCGGGTACCGTTGACTTGTACCGCGCGACCTACAATCCGCATTCACCCTTTTTACCAATACCCTTTTTTTTAGTTTTTGTTTTTTATGGCCTTGCGTGTCATATATCAACTTTTTTTTCTCCTCTTGGATTCCTTGGACCGCCCTTTGCGTTCTTCTCCAATACCTACCTGTTCTTTCACCCTATCTCTTTCTCCAACTACCTAAGTAGGTATCACCGCAACATCCCTCATCCATCACTTACCATTTGGGTTTTACTCGCCTCGTACCCAATCTCCTATCACTTCGGCTTGTGCACAGGGCATACACATAGTAGGTTCCTATCTATCTACTTACATTATCTATACTGCCACCGCCGTGTGATCTCACCGTTTCCCCCCCTAGAGTAATAAAACCCCATCCGGGACGTAGTTGCCCGCACCACTCGCACGCCCCTTCTTCCTCTTTCTTCCTTTTTTTTTTTTTTTTTTTTTTTTTCGTTCTGCTTCTCCGGCTGTTTTTTTTTCTTTCTTTTTTCCCCTGTGTGCCATATCCGAAGCTGGATTTTGCCCCTGTGCATTCAACCGCAATTCTAACTGGCGCAGAAAGTGCATGAGGGCGAATATTAGACCAGTATACCACGCAATATTGCGATCTCACTGTCGTGCCATCACATGCAGCACCGTATAGGTAACAAACCACTTCATCCGAGTCTGGCCCAACCTGATTTTTCTCTCCTAACCTTGCCACGATCACATATTTTCCTCCACTTTCATTCACCCAATCTTGCTGTGCAGGCCTCATGTGCATTTCTATTAACTCAATATTTTTAGTCCTCTCCAGCTTCGACCGCAAGACACCGGCCAAGTAGGACATCCGGCGCATTCTGCCTAGCAGGACATAATACTAGATCGGACCTCACCTCCCCATTACATATATCAATTGTATACCATTCCCGCAGGCGGAAAGGGAGGCGACATGCCACCGTTAGCCCTTCCCGCTAGAGCCGGTACCATGGCATCCAGCAACCCCAACATTAATGGAACCGGCGCCAGCAGCTCCACACGTATCGTCACCAATGGTGCCGACGGCCCACAACAACAACAAGAAGAAGAAACCCAGATGAACCTCGACGCCGCAACCTGGGACCAGATCATGGCCAAGTATTGGGCCTCCACCGCCGCCAACCGCGAACGCGAAGATGCCGAGCTGCGCGAGGCCTTTGCCCGAGAGGAACGTGAACTAGCTGATTGCCAGCTACAGCTCGGTCAAGAGCGGGTCAAGCTGCTGGAGCAACTCAAAGCCATTGACCAGCAATGGACGGAGATCGAGGCGCAGAGGAAGACCAAGGAGAAGGATCAGAAGAGGAGGTGTGAGACGATTCGAGAGGAGAGGGAGAGGGACGATGAGTTGAAGAGGAGTTGGTTTGAGGAGAACAGGAGGAAGGCTGCATCGGGCGAGAAAGGACAGGACCCGGCAGGTTTGGCCATGTTGGCGAAGAAGGCCCAGGGCGTGGCTTCTGTGGCCGGTGGTGAACTTTGCAATGGGAGTGGCTCGACTTCGGGATTGTCGTCGCAGCGGGAGACGCCGCTGAGAGAGGAACAGCAGCAACGGCAACGGCACGCGTTGCCTAGTCGGCCCAGGGAAGGCGGTAGGACACCAAGCGAGGAGCACGACAGGGCACAGGAACTCCAGCAACAACTACGCAATGAACAAGAGCAGCAGAAGGAGAGGACTGAGAATGGACTGGATGGAAAGGCCGTGGACATGGACAAACTGCCCAAGGTTTATAATGGTGCGGGTACATGTGTCGGTCATGTGCGGCCCATCAACTTGAGAAACCACTTGACTATGCATGTCCAGCAGCAACCGATCAAGCGCCACGTACAGATTCGCCAGGGACGAAACTTCACTGCCGAGACACTGGAAACCATCTACGAACCGAGCGACAAGAAGGGCGCCAAGTGGTTGAGCTGTTGGATTCAGGCTACAGGCCATGTTCAGGAAACCCCTTGCGCGTCGTGCACAACTCGCCAAGGTGTCTTTCCGCAGTGCATCATCCTGGATGCCGAGGGCTTCCCCCGGTGCGGTAACTGCGAGTGGAATCGCCAGGGATGCTGGGGTGCTTCTAAGCATGCAGACCACGACATGGCCGAAGCCAACCCAAAGGCCGGGAACGGAGAGGCGGCTCAGGAAGCTCCCGTTGTTACCAGCGGCTTTAAAGCTGTGAATGGCACATCGGCGAGCCAGAAGACCGCCAAGGTGGTTAGCAACGGAGATGAGCAGCCAGCACGATCCAAACTGCCCTCGGGGCGCAAGTCCCTTCCGAGCACGCGCAAGTCCAGTGTACAGCCCGACTCAATCGCCCCAACGCCCCTGGAAGGCAGCCCAGCGCCCAACGACAGCGATCACGCAGAAGATCTTCCTCCCATCAACCAAGCAAACCTCGCCCTCCGTGACGACGGTACTGTTTTCACAGAGCCCCCTTGCATGCGCGGCGTTCCCCTCGCCAGGATCGGCCCCGACCATCCCTATTGGGATCCCGAATGGGTCGCGCTCGAGGAGCCGATCCAAGCCCAACTCGCCAAGTGGTCGGAAAAGTACGAGAAGTTGAAAAACGAGGGCGGCGCGGCGTCGACAAAATATCTGGCTGGTCGTCAACAAAACAGGGGCAAGTTGGTTTTGGACTTTCTGGCAAAGGGAGAGTTCCACCCTTATCAGCTCATGGCAAAGCACCTCATCAACAAAGCCTACATAGGCTATGATAACTTGTACCGCATGGTGCAGGTGCTGGCGGAACTCAAGAGGTTCAAGCAGCTGGATGTTTCGCCTTCACAATGGCTCAGACACCGATTGCACGAAATCCACGAAGAGCTAGGCGATAAGTTCAACCTCGGCAAGGCGGTGGAGAACCTCTACTCGGACCCCAAGCTTCGGCTACTTCGCAGCGAGAGCGGGTTTGGCAATATTGGTCGGCCGAGGGGCTACAAGCCCACGATGGCTGATAAGGGAGAAGATGGACCAGCTCCCAAAAAGGCGACCAAGGGGACCAAGAGGAAGGCTGCTGCTGTTCCCGCGACAGATGACCCTGTCAACCAGTCAGAAGAACAACTTCGTGTCGTAGACCACCATCAAGCCGCCGACACAAGAGCCCCATCTTCCCATTCCTCACCCTCTACTTCAGAAGAAATGGGTCATCCAACCCATGCGATCTCCAAGCCTCCCGCAGCCAAACACCACCAGCCTTCCCCCTCCGTGACCCTCAAAATCCAGGCTCCCCCCGAAGACCTCTACTACGAAGGCTACACCTCGGACGACTCCTACTCGGGCGACAAGATTACAGAAGTTGACTGGCGGCTATTACAAGTTCGTCACCGGGAAATGACTACCAACACCGGTATAACACAATACTGGCATTGGCTGGGCGCCGGCGAGGACTTGACGGGCCGCGGAGAGGAAAACTGCTTTGAGCACCAGGTCCTCAAAGACGTTAAGGGCCGTCGCGTGACGTGGGGCGTCTACAAGGAGCCGATTGATTTCCACTTGAGGTTGGACGAAATCGAGGAGGTGGTGTATGCGCCTGAGGGGAGTGGGTGTTTGAAGATTTTGATTAGTGTGAAGAAGGATGCACATCATCATCATCATCATCGTCATCATCATCATCATGGGGATGAGGAGGAGGAGGAGGAGGAGGAGGAGGAGGCGCAGGAGGCGAGGGGGGATGTGTTGGCTTGGTTTAAGCGGGAGAGAACCAAGAGGAGGTTTTTGAGCTTTTTGGTGAAGAAGGGGAAGAGGGTGGTGAGGAGTACTGCGTACGTATTTTTTTTTTATTTTTTTTTTAAATTTTTTTTTTTTGATGAGTTGTGTGATGCGATGAGTTACTGACGTTTGAGGTGTTGCTGTCTGTATAGGGCGTACGTGGAACAAGCTTGGGATGATATGGACTCGGTTGTCTTGCCGCATGAGGATGAATAGGGTTTGAAGTCCTCTGGGGAACAACAACTACCCATGGTTGCTTGCCGGTGAGCGCGAGGAAAACACGGTGGGTGGTGATTGGTGAGGCACAGGGGGGAAGTTGTGAAGCGCTTCAAAAGGTTCCATGGCGGGGATATGCTTTTCTTGTTTTTTTTGTTTTTCTCTCATTCTTCTGTTCCAGATGTTTTGCTTCACGGCACTCTTGGTTTGCGTGGCCTCGATCCATAGATCGGCCGATCGTGGTTTTACTGCATTTCCTGACTTTCCTGGTTTTCTTCTGCTGGCGTTGTGCTGGTCGGTATGGAGTTTGGGAGTTTATGTTTTTCGTATTGTTAGTTTTTTCTGTTTCCTCTTTCATCCTTGCATTTACTACCGGGCCTCTTTAAGTTCTTAGCGCCGGGATAAAGTGGTGGGATATATACACAGCGTCAAGGGGGTTGGTGGTGGTGGTGGTGGTGGTTGGTTTACTGCTTGCTTCAGTTGCTTTCTTGTTCCGGGCGTTGTTGGTATGGTGGGTGGAAAGACTGAATTTGAAAATTTTTCGTTCTATGGAGAGAGGGAAGACTGGAGTGCTTCATTATTCAGGTAGCCAAGCGAAAGTAGTGCAAGATAATTGATAGAGATGGTTTACATTAAGATGTGCGCGTTGACTTGGTGATATGAACATACCTCTGTTGCCTCTCTTTCCGTGTGTCGGCGAGACTGATATCATAGTGTTTAACCAGGAACTCGAGGGAATCGGGCATCCACGATGGGTGGGGGGAGGTTGTGTAGCATAAAAGTGTGGTAACTGAAGCAAGGATGAACTCCGAGTGAAGAGCCCTCACGTCAAGTTTTCAAAGATTGCCCGTAACTTCGATATGATCGTCTCTTACCTTTCTTAAGCGCGAGCCATCCTTCTGGGCCCGAACTTATGAACCACCTTGCTCAAAGGAACTGAATATGGTATCGTATTCTTTTACGGATTACATTCTATATGCGTTATCGTGCATAAACAAAGCCGGGTCCGGGAGCTTATTCACTAACTGGCTTGTCTGATATGAAGGTTTCGTTTCGAGTGCACCATACTTCACGCCAGAACTTCTTCATCGACGACGGCGGCTCGTTGGGTTGAAAAGAAGTTAGGCTCCTCTTTCCTTTAACCAGGGTGGGTATGGATGGTTCCGCAACCCATTTGCAATGAAGATTTCGGATGCGTATGCTGCCTGTCTGTATCTGTGTATTCCATGTTACTGTCCAGGTGGCGTGCGTGCACGATATACCGTCCCTAATGAGAGGCTCAGCTCGTTATTGGTGGGTGTTTCGGTCGTTGTTATTGTTGCTGTCGACGGAGGGAAGAAGGTATAAAGATGCCTGCCATCCGTTCATCCATATATGTTGTCCGGTCTGCTTCATCACGGCCCCGTTGTATACACAAAACCAGCCATTTAAACAGGGATGGATATATGTCGATTTTCGATTCAATTCGATTCATTATTTCCCATCCATCTGTCCATCCATCGTACACATCCCCCCCCCCCCCCCCGCCCCCTCTTTTCCTCTCCGTCCGGAAGATACAGATTTACGCCTCCTCCAAACTCCTCCAAGGAATCGCCCCAAACCTCGACAATGTCTCCAGCTTGCCATCGCCCAGCTTCACGTTCGCCGTGCGGATCACACGCGGGTCGGCCTTCATGGTGCGTCGGACTTCTTCGTGCGTCGCGATGCTGGCGTCGTACCGCATGACAAAGTAGTGGCCCCGGTTATGGCGCTGCTGGTTGGTGGAGATGGGACGGGGTAGTAAAAAGGTGCCCCAGTTCTTGATGTCGCGGATGACGCCGCCTTGGTTGAGGATGAGTTTGCCGGCTGTTAGGACGAGTCTGTAATTTTTTGTTTGTTGTTTAGTACGACGAGGTGTGGAAGGTTGGGGTTAGGATGTATGGTTGGGTTGGGTTCGGAGTCGGAGTCAAAGTCGGGGTGGGTGGTAAGCAGGTAGGTGGTTGATGATGTGGTGGAAGAGAAGACAAGGGAAAGATCGGTCGGTTCGGGATCATAAGGGAAAGGAGAGACGGAGGGAGTTTCTTCCAGTCGGATCATCGATTGGGAACATTCAAATACAAGGGGGAAAACATACTCCTTCACCTCGGCGATGTTGCCCGGGCGGACCTGTTCACAAGTGCAATCATTAGCAAGACTGTCTCTTTCTATCTCTCTCTCTCTCTCTCTCTCTCTTCTCCCATTCCCTTTCCATTTCCTTTTCTTTTCCTGTACCCCAATCTCTTAACACCAAGTTCAATCCTAGGGTAACTCACAATACCAATAGTCTCGTACAACATCTTGTCTGGTAGGTTGGGGCGGCGGGCAATCGGCTCGGGAAAGTAGAACGTAAAAAGATGTTTCGCGATGCGATGCGATGCGATTGCGACCGAAAGCGCGTATAGTACTAGTGAACCTTCGACGTCGATAAGAAGTTCGGAGCCCCACAGTAGGTACCGCTGTGGCTGCTGTTGTGACCAGGCTCAGCAAGTATTGTACTGTAGGGTGTGGTGGGTGTTGCCGTCAGCAGCGCCGCAGTGCCGCAGCGGGTTCGTTGCGAGCGGGTGTCCGGGTGCCGCCGCTTGCTTGGAAATTTTTGTGGGGTCCAGGAAGAGGTCAAAATTCTGCCGTGGTTACCGCCTGCCGGATTAGGTGTGTACGTACTTTTATCATAGGAGGGAGGGGGGTTGTTTACTGGACTCTTCAACTGTCACCTCGGTGATTGTAGAGACATCCGTTGGGTATATTGGTCTTCAATATGCTTGCTGTTTCAGAATTTCTGAATAAAAAAACAAAGAAACAAAAAGGAATCATACTGTGGTATAGAGGCAACGGGAAACACTCTTGTTCAGAAACACTCCCGACCGCTTCATACACCCTTGAAGGGCCTTCATGTCGTAAATGCATGCTCTTGTCGGTATTGTGTATCTGGAAATGCGCTGTGTAAATGTATTCTTTGCTCTTTGCGAACCAACCTCTGATCTTTCGATGCGCCGCTTGACCGCAATGGCAGCAACCTCATCAATATGATAACCGCCATGAGTGCCCCAAAGGCCCTCCCAACATCCGCTGGCAATAGCATGGCCCTCAGTGCTTCTCCTCTTTACTTATCCTCCCTGCACCAAGGCGAAAGAGTCCTCACCAGCATCCTCATAGGCTCCCCCCGTATAACCACATCCACCCATTTGACTTCATCATTCCACTCGTTCCCCGGATGCTCACGACCAACTTTCTAATAATCCTCAACATCCATCCCGTCCCCTCCTGCAGTCCCCGGTGCAGGCGCCTTAGCAATCCCTTGGTCCCTGCACCAAAGCACAAAATCATCAATCACGCCCGGCCACGCCTGATCCTCGTTCCAGAACCCGAGCGTCTCATCCACCATCGTCTTCTCCGCAAACGCCAGCGTCTGGTTCCACATATCCTTGTTGACGCTCCTTGTCCACTTCTCCGCCAAAAACCGCTTCCACGCACCCAGCCAATCCACGTTCTTGCTCTTCCACGGCCTCGGTCCTAGTCCTGTATCTGAAGACTCGGTGCCCAAAAACAAATCCCAGAATACCAAGGCAACGTCCTTCTCCAGTGCCTTTTGGGCAGGTTCCTTACCCAGGCCGAAAGCGAACTGGTAGACTTTTTTGAAGTAAGCTGGATTTTGCGGCAGGTTTTGGATGCACATCCGGACGTAGTTTCTGTGGTGGGCCGGGTCTGCGGGAATGCGGTGGTCGAGGTAGATGGAGGACCACCCCTCGACAAAACCTTGGCGAGTGATTGAGCCGATGGAGTCGGCGCGGACAATCTCGAGAACCACAAAAGCTTCAACGTTTTCGATATTGGCGCCCATGGAGGAGATGTAAGCTTGGGCGGCTTCGGCGCCGATGGCCTCGACGGGTTTTCCGGCTCCTGCTGCTGCTCGGTCCTCGTCTATATACATGTTAGTACCGGGGGAATGGGAGGTAGAGGGCAAAGAGACATACCGCCGACCAGACGGTCAAACAACTGATTCAACGCATCATCTGGGCCTCGCTTCCTTTCCCGATCGTTCATATACCTGTAGTCGAAGCAAGGTTAGTGTTCCGTTTTCAACCTGATAAACTTTGAAAACAATAAGCAAAGCATCTTAAGCCATCACGGACTCTATTTCCGGCGCATTTTCCAAGGGTGAAGTGGATATTCCCTTGGGATCTATGTGTGCACCCAACTCCTCGTTGCTAGTCGGTATGACAGTTTTTGTAGACGGTAGATCCTCCAACTGAAGAGGTCCAGCCACGTTGTCCGCCGTTCGGGGATATCGGGAGTGAGATTGTGATCGCGAGTGGCTCCCCTCAGTCTCAGTCGCATCTTCGCTTGGAGTAGCCGACTTTGCGGGTTTGCGTCCATTCCTCTTTCGGAAACAAGAAGCAAACAGTTTCGAAAACATGTTTTTCGTGTCTGAAGAGCCAAGTGGTGACATCTTGAGGTGCAAAAGTGGTGATAAATGCCTTTGATGGGAAAGGGGTGTCGCATTCATTCGTTTGGGAATGACATTAAGGTTGAGTTGGGGGCTCCACTGGAAAACCACGGTGTGCATTGAATTGCGTACTGGTTGCGTGGTTGCATTCTCGGCGCCTCCCTCATCTCCCTTCTGGTGATGTTTTCTGAAATAGGACCCGGGGGGTGGAAACCAATGCTGACGGTTGACAAAAGAAACGGTGACCCGACAGAAAAACCACAACATGTCCCCTTTAATAAGACATTGTGTCGGGACGTTGATCCCTTGTAGTATTCATTGGTCGTAAACAGCTTGTAGCTGTAGGGAGCTGTAGGGAGTTCCGACCCGAACGACCGTCGTGGCCGGCTTCGACCCGGCCCCAGAACAAAACCTCCCTCATATTCCAACGTATGATTTCGAAGGGATACACACACGCACGGTATGCGGTGCGCCGTGCGACATTGCGAATGCACATGGGGTAAAGTCGGTAGTTGCAAGAAGGGACGAGGACGGAAGAAGGGACCTACATATTCGCAGCAAGTTCGACACTGTAGTTTGCATTTCGGAGGTACTGTAATCCAAGTTCGAATATCAGCTTCTTGCACTCTTGTTCGTAGTCGCACTCGCACAGTCGGACAGACGGGTATATGGCGTCCCAGCGGGACAACACTCTCCGAGGTCTCTTTTAATCCTTTCCTGTGACATTGGACCTTGGTTGAACTCACCCGTTGCGCATTCTCCTTGGACGCATTGGTGACCGCGACAAACTGGGCCACCTTTTGCCTCTGGGTGGCCGTTGAGGGCATCCTAGAGCTACTCATTGTGGCTGTCTCTCTCAACGTTCGTTGTGTGGTTGGGGTTTCGTCGTTCGTTCCGTCTTTCGAGCGCTGGGCGAAAAAGAGACGGGACCGGGAAAACTATGGCGTAATGCGGCGTTATTTCGACTTGTGTGTCGTTGTCTGACAGACACAAAATGTCGCTCTTGCAAAGATAAGAGGGAGCTTGGTGCTGTCGCTTGTTCGAGCACGAGTGAGGTGATCTCGATCGGTTTATGAGCCCAAAGTCGTCGCGGGGCAGGGCAGCAAAGGCCGATAAGGCGGGATCGGCTGTTTGTTGGTCTGGTGATGTGGCAGACGGATGAAGCTTGGAGCGCTCGCTGTTGGACGGGTCGCGTGTTTATATTATAACTGCGCGCAGATACGAGCCGAGGGGTGGGTTGAGCTCCAAGTAGCCAAATCGTGAAGGTGCCGTGGCCGTTGATTTCGGGTTGCAGGTTCGTTGCCTAGATTCGTCCCTTCTTGCGTCTTGTCAAAATAGGTAAAGATCGGGAAGGCGGAGGGGAGCGACGGGAGTTTAGGGCGGGCACTCCACTACACTACTAATCCCATCATCGCAGCGAAGCGGGACGGAGGGGCCCGCGGCGGAGGTTCGTAGGTACCAAGGAAAGCCCACTACAGTACCACCACGGCCATTCAGCGCTATGAGTCCAGCTAGGTGAGGCTGAAGAGAAAACGTCATGGCGGGGGAAGTCACTGCGACCATAGAGGTAGCATGCAGTGCCGGTGCACCCGACACTCTTCCGCTACTGTACCGCCAGCTCGTGTGTCCGAGTGCCGCCGCGGCAGTGGTGTCCTCCGGGTCTTGGCACGAATCACTGGATCGAGATGGCCGACCAATGTCCCGGAATCGGCTTGAGCTTCTGGAAAGTACCTCTACCTAGGTAGAGTGGAAGCTGAATCACAGCCAACGAGTATACCTCCGTGGGTGGTATAAGCTGCATCATCATCTCTGGTGTTGTCCATACCTCTCTTCAACTTCCTACAGAAAGTCCCTACAGACAGACCATACACATACAGCTCAACTTGACACAAAGCAAATCATATGCAAACGCCATAAACATGAGTAACATAACAAGTCATACATGAAGAACCCCAAACCAAACGTCATCCGATCATACCGTACCCCCCTCAATCTTTGCACATACCTGGTAACTGGTATCCCCAAACCTCCCATCCCCATCATGAAGCTGTAATCTTCTTTCCCTTGTCCATAATTCGTCATCAATATCCGTCAAGCCCAGTGGACCACCCCACCAGCAGAAACAATCCTCCCTGTTTGACTGGCATCTCTGTCGTTGACGGTGCCACTTCTGTTGTTTTCGATTCCTGCAGGTCTGTAGAAGCTCCATTGCCGATAGCTTGACCTGTTGACCTTCATCGTGTTGCCCCTTCCCATGTCGCTGCCTCTGTTTGGACCACGAACAGTGCGGCCACCACCACCCCGGATGGTCCGACCAAGCCCATGCCTCTTAGAGTTCACCTAATCCCCAAGCGGCATGCCTTCCAGATCATCCAGCAACCTTCGCCAGTTGTCCGCCAGCATCTCCGAGTACTTAACCCGCTCCTGCGCCCAATCCTGCGTCAGTCTCGACACGTTATACTGCGTGTTCTGGAAAAATCGAAGCTCGTCTCTTATGCATTCCTTGACAAATACTGAGCGGTTGTGTTGTGTGACAATGGATTCCTTGTCCTGTTTCCGGTGTTAGTAGAGTGGCATTGAACAACGTAAAAGAGAGACATGCCTTAATGATCGCCTCTACAACCCTCTCTTTCTCCCCGGGCTTAACCATCCCTTCTGGCTTTGCATTAAGCGCTTGCAGCTTCGCTTCATTCGTCTCTATGCGTCGTTGCAGGAAGGGAATGTTGTCCTTGTCGAGACGATCTCTCCTGTCAAACATATCACGTAGACTGACCAGCGCATCTCGCTGCCTCTTCAAGTCCTCCAAAACACCCTCTTCCCACGCCTTCGCTTCATCCTCCATCAAAGTCTGTGCGGTACGCAAGTGTCGGCCCATGGCTTGCAGCCCGTCGTTGAGAAGTGGCACGTCATTGTGGTCGGTGGCGTAGGTATCGGCACTGGTCTCGGTGAGTGAGATCAGGGAGACAGCCATCCTGGCGTGGTCGGCTGCTACGCCTTCTGAGCGCTTGATGAGACGGTCCATGATGGTGCAGGTGCTGATGTAAAGCTCGGCGCTGCGGCGGACGCCGGCTCGGGTGCGCGCAAAGAGCTCCTCCAAAGTTGGCGGAAGCGAGTCCTCGAGACCGGGTGGTAGTGTACGGCCGGTGAACTCGTCCTGAACAGAGATCGTAGCTTGCTTGCGCCAGACCGACAGTTCCTGAGAGCACATCATTAGCTAGCTGCGGGGGAATCATAAAGTGTGAGGTAGACATACCGTAGGCACCGTCAAGAACATAATCACCAGCTGCTCCTGACCCAGAACCGGGTGGCGCACAAGAGCGTTGAGGAACCTAGCCAGACCGCGGCGACGCTTCTCGATAAAGGCTCCATCGTTGGACAAATGGTTGCCATTGACTGTCTCTGTTAGCATAGCCCATGTCCCTCGGAAGGATATCCAACTTACAAGCAACCCGCTTGGGCGGCAACAGCGGCAACACCCTAAACGGATACCGCTTGTGCAAGCAATCCAATAACCACACAAAGTCGCTGTATCGTCGGACGACCTTACTGCCACGTCTTATGCTCGAGACCTCGTAGTTGTGGTGCTGAAACATGAACACGCCCTCCTTCTCCGGCATCAGCGTCACCAGGATATTTTCCTCCACGTTGCTTCCGGACCTGACATGTCCAATGCTTCGGTTGGGATTGGAACCACCGACTGAACCACTGACAGACTGACCAGGTCCCCCACTATCACCAAACGGACCTGTGATAGCATTGTCTGCTGGCTCGCCGAACCCTCCTCCCGAGGAGCTGCCGGGAAAGTAGTTCCAAGCGCCATTGCTTTCTTGAATCGACTCGGCGACATTGTGAATTGAGCTTGGACCCGAGGGTGGTTGGCTGGTGGTGAAAGTGGAAGTTGTCCGACCGGGCAAAGCACCACTGGTGGTCGTCACCTCGGGACTCGTACTGTACGAAACAGCGTCGTTGCCGTTCAAGTCGTTGGCGACCGACCGAGGGACGTCGGCGGCGCCGTTATGTCCCGTCGAGTGTTCTAATGGACCATGGTTGTGGCCTTTGTGAAGATCAGGCGCGTTCCACGGGTCCTCGGGATACTCCATTGAAACCTTTCTCAGCGTGGGCGGCTGGTGTTGCTGCTGCTGCTGCTGCTGCTGCTGTTGCTGTTGCTTGGGAGGAGGCGGGGTGGGGGCTTTTGGTGGTGTAACGGGTCGTTGTGGAGGTTTCGCAGCAAGTTCAGACAAATTCGGCAGCACGGGCTGGACGTTCTCGTTGACAAGACCTTGTAGTTTGGGCTGGGGAAGATCTGGATAGCGGTTACGCAACGAGGTTAGTTTAGTTGCCATGACACTGAAGAACTAACGGACCCACCCCCGATGGCGTTGACCAAGGCGATTGCGGATTGCGGAGCGCGCGAAGCAGTGTACTAACATGGAAGGAAGATGATGTATGTGATGGGGAGAATATGGGGTATTTTGAAAAGCAAGACACGATATCAGTGGTATTGAGCAAAGCACGAACAAAAAAGACGGACAAGCAAAAAGGTTAACGGAGTCGGCGGGAACGATCAATCAACAAACGGGGGATTGACATATGACCGCCATTCGAGGTTCGTCTGGGTTGCAACGGGGGTTGGGATGGATGACCAGCCGGCAACTGGCTGAAGAACCGGAAAAGTAAAGGCGCCCCGGCACTTTGTTGCGACGAAGCACTGCAGGCAGAAACGTATTGTAGACCGAAGAGAATACACAACCGAAGAGCAGGATCGGACAATGCCGGCAGAAGGGAAAGAAACAAAAATAAAAAACAGGAATCAAAGAAAAAACTTACTTCGTCGACGTTCATCCACGCCATCCAAGCTGGCGACCTCCCCTTCTTGGACAAGGCCAATCAAGGCCAGCAAGACGTTGAACTCGTTCCTGCCCAAGTCCCCCAAGCCAGCAGCAGCAGCAGCAGCAGCAGCGGAGCTGTTAGCCTCCCCACCATGGGCACCATCACCCCCACCACCAGCGCCTGTAGCGGAGGCCGAAGCAGGGGCGATGATACCCATTATGCGCGCCTGGTCATCGGCGCCAAGCTTGGCCGCTGCCAGCGTCCGCGCAACCCCCCCGGCTGTGATCCGCCCATTTGTGCTCCTGTTCTCTGTACGGACTACTGCGTCGAACGTCTCGATATAGCTCTCGGGAACGTCGCCCGAGGGGAGGAGGTTGCGGATCAGATCGGCGCGGCTGCGCTGCTTGCGCGGGGTGGGCATGTCCCAGGGCGAATCGTGGTCATCGTCGGCGAATAGCGCACTGCCGGAGCGAGTGGTAGGCGCCTCGTTATCGAAGAGGGTCGAGCGGCTGCTGTTGGCGATCTTGGCTGGGTTGAGGGCGGCCGAGCCGTCGTCGGGAGGGGAGCTGCCAAAGAGCGACATGTTGTGCTGGCTGGCTGGAGCTTGGAGGGCGGACAACCCAAGGTAGGTTCAGGTCAAGGTGTAAGTCGGTTGGAGGAGTGAAGATGTTCGGCGCAAGGCAAGGTTAAAGCAAAAAAGGTGAGGCCACTCTGCAAGGCTCGGTTTCTGCAACAGTCGGCGCAGAGAATCTCACTAGCAGCGTCGCAATGCGACTCGTAATCTGGATGCAACGGAGGGCCGTTGGATGTAGGTACCGCCACTGGTAGTGTAGACGTACATAGGTAGGTATGTAAGCTCAGGATTGGCACTGCAAGGAACAACCCCAATGGGCCAGGGCTGAAGATGGAAGATCCAGAGAGTGAACAAGTTAATGATGAGATTACGGCAACCTCATCCAGAAAAAGAAGAAGAAAAAGAAACACAGAAATGAAGAAAAAAGTTGAAGCAGGTCGTGATGTTGACAACGACAAGATTTGGTCTCTCCCGCCGCTCGAGGGAAGAAAAAGTCAAGATGCATCAATGATGACGCCGCGGCGGGCAGAGTGGAGGGCACGCGCCGACTCCAAGGCTGACACAATCCCGTTCGGGAGGGCTGCATACAGTGGCTTCAGTGGACGGTTCCCGCTGTGGAAGCTGGAAGGAATGGCCGGGGACCGCCCAGGACCGGGACTTGACCGGGGGTAGCTTGCGGGATTGACACATGTCACTGGCCAATGGCTGTTCTTCCGACTGCCAGGTACGAGACAGCAAGTCTTTGAGATCCGTCGTTTGGACAATGTCACCACGCAGCCAAGTGGTATTTACTTGATAAAGTCGATCTTCGGACTACGATGGATCGCAAAAGCAGGAACACGTCAACCAAGAGAGTTTCATGATTCACCTGCGTTGTGGAGTGTGGCCGCATGTGGGAATCCACTCCGTAGGTGAGACTTGTATGATGTACAAGGACCCGAATATAACTGATCCGAGGAGCAAGACGCTGGACTGACAATACGCGGATGATAATAATACAACAACACAAAGTACAGAGCCATGAACGGGCCCAGTACCTATCATACAACAAGGAGGAAGAGCGCAACAACGAGTTTTGGAAGAACCGCCATCCCAGGCAATGTTCGTGTTCATTAGAAGAGCTTCTCCGACGCCACATCCCCAGTCTTGCTGGCCTTGACCTTGTCGGCCCTGACCACCTTGACCTTCTCGCCGCCCGTCGGTACCTTGAAGTACAAACTGGGCGACTCGCCAGGCGCAAGCTGGTGGCTGAGGTAGCCCCTATGCGCCGGGTCTCTGTAGTACTCGATATCCCAACGGCTGGTCGGGTCCGGCAGGCGGTAGTACTTCTTCTTGAGCGATCGCGCCTGCGCCAGGATCTCCTCCACGTGCTCCTTGCCCACCGGCAGCGGCTTGTCGGTATGAAGAGACTTGCCCTCTACCAGACGCTTGAGCGACTCCTTGGTGTAGAATCGGGTGACGATCTTGCCGCCGGCAGCCTCGATGGCCTCGATGGCGGAGGCGGACGCGCGCGACACGGTGATGGTGACGGGGATCTTGAAGCTCTCCTTGCCGCGGCCGAGAAGCTTGATGCCGTCCTTGATGCTGCTGCCAATGATGCCGGACTTGATGATCTCCTTGGGGGTAATGGGCTTCGTGGGGTCGATACGGCCGGCTTCGATCCATTCCTGGAGCTTTTCGAGGTTAAGCTCGGACATGTCGGCAGCGAACCTATGATGGACACAAATGGTTAGTCTCTCGTAAGTATCTGGTAGGTATAACTCGTATCGGACAGCATATTGGAGAGTTGTTGGACATGGCGCATAGCAAGAGAGGTAGGGAAGTCGGGGCGGCGTACTGGTTGACAAAACCCTTGCGGCCGTGAGAGACGATCAAGGGCGTCTGACCACCCTGGAACCATGGCTTGACATGACCGTGGGCCTTCTGACCCTTGGTACCGCGACCGGCAGTCTTGCCATAGCCGGACGAGGGACCGCGACCCTTGCGAATGCGCTTGTGGTAGGCGCCCCGGTTGTCGGACAGGCTGGCGAGGATGGATGCGCTCCTGGTCTGGACGGAGAGGGCAGCAAAGAGCGAAATGAGGGACGACGTCGGCGACGAGGCTGGGGCCGAAGGGCGGGCTGTGAGGGAGGCCTGGCAGCATCGCGCCGCCTGGGTGAGCGGTAACCTGGGAGGCATATCGGAGGCGGAGGACACGGGAGTGGGTTGGCTCTGGGTCGGGCAGTCTTCCGGATTCCGTTCCTCACGGCAACGGCACTTTCCTTCCCCAAAAACAAAAGTTCAGGACCCGCGCCCAGCCAAATTCCGACCGCCTGCGTCGCGGGGGTGGACCGTGCGCCCTCTTTGGTCCCGGCTCGTCGGAGACAAAATAAGTGAGACCAGCCAGCGGGCTAAGTAAACCAGTCCACTACCGCTCGTCAAGATGAAAGAAAAGGCTGTTGTAAGATTGTAAAAGGGATTATAATAATTCGGAAAGATAGCGGCTAGAGTGCTATTTGCATGTTTTCATTCAGAAATCACTTAGAACTTAAGACCAGTGGTGTTACAGAGACGCTTGGATACGTAGTGGGAGTATACCCAAGGTAGGTTGTCAAAGATCTCACCTATTTTGTCCACGACGAGCCCGGTCAATTGCCCGATGGGCGGCTGAGTCAGCAACCTGGTCCACATCCGACGTCCTTCGCCAAGGGACCGTGATGCTCCAAAATATCCATGTTCGATATCACTTACACGGGATATGCAAGAACATGTCAAAGGTTCAGTGCGGTGAAGGTCCCTACGAGTGAGTGTATTGCTACTCAACAGGCTGAAGAACTCCTGGTGTGAGTTTGGGGAATTTTTCCACCCAGTCGGAATGATTCCTATTTGAGTGTCTCGTGGCCATTGGAGGTGCGTTGAGAAAATATTGTGCAAGTACAGCTTTGGGATGCTCAAAGTATTGCCTTTGAGAGCAACGCGAAACAGGCAGCCAAGAGCAGTTGATACTAAAAACCTATGATGGATGGGTCTCAATTGCAACCTAGTGTACGCTAGAATTACACAGAAGTCCTGAAGTAGGGCGTGTAGAAGGGGGTTCTGTGTCAGCCATGAGCCAATCGAGCTGGTGGGGTTCGGGAGTGTTGAGAATGGTATGAGTGACAAAGACGCTGGAATTGCCTGAATGTTACTTTGATTTACTGAAGGTGGTTGTACGGCTGATGCAAAAAATGTAACCGTTAACCCTTCTTCGCTGTCAGACACTAACGTTTACTGCAGAACAGAGCAAGGGACAGCGTGCAGTCGTTTCTCAGGATAAACATAACCGATTGTGATGGAACTTTCCAAGTCAAGCACAGAGCGGGAAGCGCCGCTCCGGAATGGTTTTTCACTCAAGTCTGTCCTAATTCCGGGCAAGCATGGAATGTCAGTCCCAAGCCCGAACCACGCGCCAGGTACCTGCCACCGCTCCTGCCACCGGCAACCGGTCGGCACGCCCTTTACCGAACATCGACTGACAAGATCCCTTCCCGCCCAGGCCAAAAAAAAGAGGCATGTCCTTTCTTTTGTCCCAGCGTGTTGTCCCCTTCCCTCTAGCAGATCCGGTCATTCATCGATGATCTCGAAATGGGGGTTCATGCAGGTGTCTTCTCGTGCTTGCCTGCCAACAGCTGACTTCTTGACGCGCCTTCTTTCCCCGCTACCATATCCTTCCAGGCCACCAACAGACCCCAATCTTGCCCTCAACCCCTCATCACTGGGCTTTGTAGGTGCGCTTTCCCGGACTAACAGTCACCACATTCAGCGGCGGCAACATGGTGCAACGGTTAGGCACCTCTAGGTTTAATGTTCCTTCACTTCCTGTCATTGCGTGAGTTCGGTCATTCGAAGAAGCCCAGACACAACATGAACTGTCAACATCTTTTACAGGAAGTTGCAACTTCCACCCTGCACATACCTACCCCTTGCACTCGGACTTGAGCGTCATGACAATCACCAGATTGGCACGACGACCTTGTTCGATGTCGCTGTATTCTTTCCGACTTTGCAAGTTATTCTTCATTCTCCTTCGTTGTTAGCTCCCCTCTGTTCCTACTCAATTCAATCTCCCCAGCTCAACACTATACTATCCAACAATCCCCCATTTACTGTCATTTCTTTGCCTCTTGGAGTGTTGGACCATCAAAAGCTTAGTAGAACAAGTCCAAGGATAACAGTATCACTTCCGAGGCGTTCTCGAAACACATTCATCGCTACGCTATCTAAATCTCTTCGCTACCTTTTTTCAGACCTCCAGCTCATCATCGAACGATAACATCCAAGAAACAGGCCCAACCTCCTTCAGATATTGTGTTCTATCCTCAACGAACTAGAGTGTCACTTGATTCGTCACAATGTCGGCACAAAGCCTCATACCGGCAGCAAAGAAGCGGTTAATGGAGAAGCGTAAGACCGATTTTCTGGTACATGTTGAAATCATCAGATACATGCTCTCCAGCCTCCAGGATTACTTCGGCTCAAGAAATTGGACTCCAAAGCTTTGTCTGAGGTGGTGTCGTCAACACCTCAAGACTGTAACCGAATTCAATCTCCTATTTTGTGACGGGTACCGATGGCAATGGCGATGCCTTGAGGTATTTATCACTTCCGACCTGTAAGTGATTCCAAATAGTAAAACACATTAATTTCCCAGGCCCGCGCTGATGGTCAAACAGGGTTTCTCGTATCCTTGAGCTGGAACCGAGCAACATCGACACATATGATGCCGCATCGTCTTTCCGTCTCCCAAGCCAAAAAGATGAGGAAAGGCCGAGTCGCCAATTTATATTGCAAGCATTTCGAAACATACTTGCCGCTGACGATGCCGATGGCGAGGGAGCTTCGATGTACCCTACGTCGCTTATCCGGACCAAAACCCTTGCCTATTACCTGTCGCTGAGCCCTGGAGACCCTGGCTACGAACTCGGTAATGCAAAGTCTCGATTTGATATCTCGTACGCTCTTACGGAAGCCCTCAGCTTATTTTATAAAACAAGCATGATGCCAAGGCCGTGGACAGAAGACACCATTGAATTCATGGTCTGCAAGGAACATGAAAACGGCCATGAATCTGTATCCATAGTCACCCGCATGCCTATGATATCCGTTCCAGATCCCACGGAAGACGACATATCAATCCTGACTTCTCTTTTGAGGGGGCAGTCTCTGGAGAGCCCAAAAGTTCCCGATATCCCAGCGCCTAAATTTCCGGAGATCAAAGCGCTCGGGGTATTGCTCCTGCAGATTTGGTTAAACATGCCCATGGCGGAGTTAAGCAGCCAACATCCCGAATTCTTTCAGAATGGCACGGTGACTAGAATCGGAGAAACAGCTCTCTGTCACTCCCTAGATACCGGCATTCTCGAACACCTCTCTGGAGAACTGCAGCCCATATGCAAAGTCGTGGAAAGATGCTTCAACGATGAGGTATTTGAGGGGCGCGAGGGCATAGAAATTGATATAGAAATTTACAACCAGTTGCTTGTACCATTGGAACATTTGAAAGAAGCTTGGGAGGCCAGAGAGAGAGAAGCCGAGAAAAGCGACGAAAGAACAGACGAAAAAAGCGATGAGGAAAGCGGCTTCGAAGAAATTGAGTGGAATGGGGGAGAGAGAGTACATCCAACAGCTTCCACAGAGCTTGGGAGACATTATCATTGGAATGGGGGAAAAAGAGTACATCCAAAAGCTTCCGCAGAACTTGGGAGACATTATCATTCAACTCCATTCTTCAGGCTCCCGTACGACAGGCGGCGTAGGCCTAAAAACTGAGGTGCTGGGGCAGTATCAGAGAACTCTCTACTACGGCATTCTAGTCGGGCGCTTGAGCGCTACATCGAATGTAACTTAGCGAAACAGAAGAACAAAAGAGAGCCAGCATTCATAGACTTTTGACGACAACACAAATGCGCTGTGCTGATACATTCAGTGCCTGGCTGAATATCAGCCTGAACAATGTCGTTCGTAGAAAAACATCATACGAGATTTTATGCGACACTACGTACCGCTAATTTTTTTGCCCACAGTGCAAACCTCAACATCGGTGAACCTTGGGACTCGGTCTCGTTTTCGTAATGACCAGTCTGTATGCCGTCCATCATGCCCAACTCAGACCATGACAACACAGCCCGGAGAGGAGTGGCCTCATGATTTCTCTTTGGTTTAACGAACGCGGTCAGCTTAATACCACAGGCAACAGGTCTCAACTGCGCTTTGGAACGATGAGAAAATGGAACGGAAGGCTGAAAAGAGATGTGCATGGTGGATGTAACGCTGGTACCGAGAGTTTGGTAAACATTACCCCTATTGCTACGTTGGATGTTTCTGTTTTGGCGGCTATGCATGATCAGGCGCCGTACCCTTCATCCTTGGCCTGGAGATCGGCCACTTTGGCGCGGCAGTGTGGCTAAGGATAGTATCCGATCTAGTCTAGCCGCCAATGGTAGGGGACCAAGGGGAGGGAGGCCATTGGCAAAACCACCATGGAATAGACTCCATCGCGATGTTCGAGCGAGACACTTGAATCGTATAAGAGATTCGAACATTGCCAACCTTCTTGTCTCTTTTGTTCTTCTAGGTAAGCACCGTCATTTGTTATCTATCAATTACTGTATCAGTATCATCAAATCTCTCTCTCTTTCTCACTCACACACACACACACACACAATGGACAACGAAGCCTGGTTCCCTCTCAAACAAACCCACTACCCACCACCGTCCATTCCATCCATGAAAACAGGCCATCCCACCGGTCCCATCTCTATAGGCCACATCATTCCCGACCTCCTCCACCTCGACAATGTCATCAACTGCAATGGCTTCGAGCCCTTTCCTCCCCACATGGACATCTTCACCGCCCACTACGAACAGTGCCACTTCGGGGACCGCCTTAACTCCGAGTTTGTCGTGCAAGCCAAGGCCGAAGCGCCAATAAAGAACATTATTCCCGGCGTGGACGTCACGGGTAGCGCGGGGTTGCATCATACGAATATTGTCAGTGATCGTTGGGAGTATGACAGTGTGGTGGAGTACGTGGTGTACCCGACCAGACAGTATATCGACCGGTGTTTGGAGTCGAAGGAGGTGGCGGCGTATATACAGAAGAGCAAGAAGCTGTTGGGGGGGTGGTGTGTGTATTTGGTGACGGGCATCATGGTGGCGAGGGGAGGGGGAAAGAATGTGACGAGTGAGGAGAAGGGGGCGGGGGTGTTTGGGAATGTTGGCTTGTGAGTTTCTTTTTTTTTTTCTTTTTCTTCTTCTCTTTTTTTCCCCTTTCAGAAATTCGACTGTGTATCCTTGATCATGGACGGTACTGGTACTAATGTGGGAGAAAATTGAACAGCCAGGTGTCGGGAGTCGGGGAGTTTGCGCCAGAAGTGGGATGGGATACGAAGACCAAGACAAAGGTGAATGCTCATCATACAACGGACTTTGTATGTGCGATACGGCTGGTGAAGATTGCGAAGAGTGGGTTGAGATCGAGCTGGACGATGAAGAAAGTGACTAGGGAATAGTGGAGGAGGAGCCATGGGAGTACACGGGAAAAGGACCAGATATCTGTATGCGTCCCTGTGGAAGTGGAATTTTTCGGGTTAATGTGGGTGAATCCGGTGAACAGCAAAAAGAGCCAACGCGAATCTTTTTACTGCGATTCAATGAACGATGGACGAAAATGCAGAGCTCGCCTGTTCCCTCACACTTATCGTTTGCTTTTACTCTTGTTTGTGTTGAACCTTCGGTTTATTCGAATGGACCAGTCCCTCACGTACTCGCTCTCGCTAAAAGGTAAAGTCGGCGTCCCCCTCGCCGCGGCTGGTGTCCCCTTCGTGGACCTTGGCATCGGCGTTGGAGCAGCGTTCAGCAAGAGCGTAGCCAATTACTGGGGATTCGACCGGCTGGAGAGGTACATTATGCAGCCGACGAGGAGTTATGTACCTGAGTTTTGCTGAACCAGCCAGCACCCGGAAAGTCCCGAGAGTTCGTCGCGAGTCCCGTCGTCGGGTCAGTCCCGTCGGGTTCTCTGCATTTAGATGATGATGAGTGCGTTGTCGGGTTTGGGAAGGGGCGGCGGGAAGCACATGGATTGCGTGCATTGAATGTGATGCGCTAATGGGGACATTTTTTCTGATAATAGGGAAGTGCCGCTTATCGTTGAGGCTGGACCGGGGGTCAAGAGAAACATGACGAGGCAGACGACGTGGGGTACGAGTCAGACGGATGACTTTGTTTGGGCAGTGAGGTTGGCTAAAATCACTAAGAGCGGGTTGCACTCGGACTGGAAGATGGAGACGGTGTTTGGAAAGACATCGTTTCGCGGGCAAAAGGCCATATTTTGAAGGAAGGGAGAAAGCGCGGTCTCTTAAATTCGCTGTATGAATGGATGGAAAATGAACTTGCTAATCGTACCTCTACTTACCTCAGGGTAATCCCTCCAGGCGAACAGGAGATGGCAGTTGATGGAAATCATGACTACCTCTCAGGTGTTGGGTGTGATGAGACTGGGTTTCGGAATTTGGCACAGCCTACTTTGTAGGTAAGTTGTGAATTTAGCAAATGGCAGTGGCATGGATATGACAAGTTGGGTGCTATCCGATTTGGGTTCTGGGACAAGTTCGAGCAGTCTCCATGTAATACCGAGTCTGCTTAAACGGGCATGCCAGAATCAGCCACATCCCGAAACCCAGGTCGGTGTGCGAGATGGGGATCTAGCATAGGTACGCTGTGTGTAACGGACGAGCAGTTGCAATGAGTAGCCTACTCTATGCAAGGGACGGGAAGATTGCCGCCAGCTGTTGGTCCATCTGTCAGTCATCTTCTCACAGCCAAAACACCCTCTCCGATTCCCGTCGACCCTCAGTATAAATGCTCCGTCACTTGCTTTAAACGTTGGCCGAAAGTTGTATACCTCCTCATTCTCCACAGGACCTTCTTCACAATATTTTATAATGGCCTGAATTGTGGGAACTTCTTGAATACTGCAAAGTGCGTCAACGAGAGTAGCCTTAGACACCAACAACGTATTCTTGTCGCACATTTGAAGCTCCAGCCTTTCAGTCATTTCTTCCTGTTTTTTTTTTCTCCTCACCAAAACAAACAATCTCATATTGGCATTCTCAACCAAACATTCAGCATGATCCCAGAACCTAAAGGCCTACGGTGTTACGCAACCCTCGGCGTCAGTCCGCACGCAGACTCAAATGCCCTTAGGTCGGCTTTTCGGCGTCTTGCGTTCCAAAAACATCCCGACAGAAACAACAACGCCGTGGGAGCAACCGAGGAGTTTCAGCATGTAAGTGTCTCCCCAGACCGTTTTTTTTTTGGTCGCCGTTCCTGATCCATATTACGAGCAGCTCAAAGAAATTTGGGACTACCTAAGCAATGACGCCTGCCGAAAGCATTATGACCAAATAGTCGGGGCCGCCTATACTCGGATCACTCTAGAACTGGATCAATCCTACCGGAAACTGCACGAAGTGAGGCGGAAGATCTGCCAGTCACAGACACACCACACGGATCCGGCGACAGATGTTGGCGGGCACCACCAAGAGGCAACATCTGACATGAACAAGGAGTCGCAACTTTTGGAGCAGATCAAGGCAAAATTGCAAGACCTGGCCGACTTGAATGGCGAAATCAGACAAGTCCCCGACTTTACGCGGTATACTGATGTCGGTGTTCCCGGGGCCGTTGACTTTTGGCGCTCTTATGCTACAGTTCTGGAGCAACAGGTTGAATCTCTGCAGCAGCATGTCACCAGTCAACAAGAGGTCCTTGACTTGGTAGAGACAGAAATGGACCGACTAAGGGCAGAGAACCAAACGCAAAGCCACGAGATTGCGAGACTTGGCCGAGAAAATGGTTGTCAGAAAGAGCTTGTACGGGAAAAGACCGTTGAAGTGAACGCACTCAAGGAGCAGATTTGTATGATGGACGTTGAGAACAGCAAGCGGAGAGAGTGCTCGGAAAAAGTTCGGGAAGGAGAAGACCAGCTGCGAGTGTTAAACAAGCTTCGGAAGGAAATCAAGGCGTTAAAGAGGAGCGGCACCGGAAGCAGGCAGCGTTCGACATGTTGGAGGAAGAGAATAAAGGACTGGGAACGGAGAAAGGACGGGAAACGGAGAAGAACACCTTGAGAACGTCCAGAAAGCGGGCCTGTGAGGAGCAGCGAGAGCCCCAAAGATAAATCGAGGATGCCTCTGGGCATAAGGATCACAGACTTAAGGCCGAGAACCGCAGGCGGGAGCTTGAGGGCCGGGAGCTGAAGAACGGCACAAAGGAACTGGAGGAGCTGGAGCGGGAATTGGAACAGGAAGCTGACGAGGCCTTGGAGAGAGCGACAGCCACCAGCAACACGAGAAATGGGAGTTGCTTAACGAGAAGCAACACAAAGAGATCAGAAGCTGGTAAAAGATTGAGGTCGTCCGAGGCAGCAGAGGAAAGCACTACATCGGTAAGAGGGAGTAGTTCGACAAAGCGCCCTAGATCCGGTAAACGGTCTGACTCGGACGACATGTTCATACCGTCGTTGAACATGTCCAGTCGCGCATCACCCAGTGGGGGTCTGGACTCGGTGAATGATGGCAGTGTCGCTGCCGAGGGGGTTGCAACCGTTTGGAAGGAAACAAGCTAGGAATTCAAATAGAATCAGTGGTAGGAGACATACGAAGAGCAGCAAATGGAGATGTTGCGGAGATCGATGGTTGCGTCAGGCGAGAGGGTAGACACTTTAGATACGACAGATTGCGATGATAAATAGGAGCTGGGAGGTAAACGGTACTCTAGCTCCCTAGGTATGATTCGATAACATTGTGACAAGAATTTACTTCATTGAACTTTTGCATTTTGTCTTTTCCGCTTGCATCTGTCCCATTGAACATTCTCTGAACCATATGACAAACTGATGCGAAATTGGCGTCTTATAAAGTTACCAGTTGATGCCCTGCTTCATGGAAACAACGATGATAATGCAAGTCCGGCTTGACATGCAACGGAAGGTGACATCAATTTGCTTAGTTACTGGCCGGGTGAACACAGCGATGGGAGAGTTATTCAAGGACGAGTCTTTCCTCATAGCTGGCGCCTGGCGTGGCGAGTTGTCGCCTTTTCATCTTTTCTGTTTCCCTACCTCGACGGGAAACAGCGATGGCGGCAGAGCCTTTCTCATATTTTGTGGAAGGCACGACGCGTGAATGATGTTGGTTAAATGGACCCATCATTGAGACTGTCCCCCGGGGCTTTCGTTTCCTCTCTTCAACAACCTTTATCATCCTCCCAGTCCTCAGGCTTAGCCAAGCCCCAAACCTCCTTTGGACCCTCCGAGCGACATACTTGCTTTCCGTTCGCTGACGGTCTGTCAGCCTTCTTTGGATATCTCAGCTTTCCTTACACCGTGGGTCGGCGAGCGACACCAGCGGATTCTGCGAAACGACGATTCGTTCCTCAGCGGAAAGCGTTTGTTCACCGACGTGCGTACCCAGATATCCGCCGACAATCCCCCGGGCACCGTGACATCAAGTCCCCATGAACAGATCTAGCCTGATCTACGTCCTCACAGCTTCTAAAAAACAACACACACGGCAGTCGTGCTTCCAAAGGTAAGTGGCTTTCCTTGGACAACCTGTGCTTGGTTGACTGACACTGCAGAAGGACGTAGATCTCTGTCCCATCCATTCCGGTATACTGAAAAGTCTATAGCCAACATGGCACCACCCAAGATCACGGTATTCGACTATTACGCAACGCTTCGGGTCAGCCCGTATGCGGACAAGAAGGCCATCCAGAAAGCCTACCATCAACTCGCTCGGGAGAGGCACCCTGACAGAAATGGCAACAGCGCAGAAGCAACCGCCAATTTCCAGAAGGTTTGACGCGGGAGCTTTTGTCAAATTGTACACGAATCCATGGCTGACAAATGATACATGACAGCTTGTGAACGCATACGAAGTCTTGACCGATGCGTCCCGTCGCACGGAGTACGATTTCACCGCCGAACAGGAATACGTCCGAATGCAGGAGCAGTCTATTGCGCTACAAAAAACCCTGAGAAACAGGTCTCAAGGTACGGCAGCGGCAGACGCAGAGTTGGTGTCCAACCACCAGAATATGATTAGGCTCGCTGTGCACATGTGTGTTTTAACAAAGGAGCTCAAAACCATTCCGGATGGGCATTGGGAGAAGCGCGAGCAACAAAACCAGGCAGAGGTTGCGGAACTGCGCAAATCCATTGCATTCTACGAGGAATCTCTGAAGATTAGGTTTCAGCACATGCAGAAACTGTCGACTGAGCTTGCGCACGAGAGAAAGAAGGCGCGTGATGCGGAGACGCGCTACGCGAGCTTGGTCGAGGCTTTTCGCAACCAGCTCACAACCTACATCAATTTTGATCGGGTACGAAAGTTGCTCGGCATCCTGGATGATGAGCTCCAACCGATTCGCCAAATTACCTTTTGGTGTTTGGGCGCTACCGATGAATCTACCAAGGTAAAGTTGCCCACGCCAAGTGCACCTCTAGGAAAGTGACTTAGGACGGTGAAGACACGGCTCTTATGGTGACTGTAAGGCTAACAGTTGTGAAGTCTGCCGAAGGAAGCGAAACCGGGCCGACCACTTCTGAGGGTAACGGTGGTGAATCAACAGAGGAAACGAAGCAGGACACACCGATGGTCTGAGCAGCTTGACAAAGCGGTGGCCACTCTTTTTGAGTTGTGCAGCTTGATCATGAGACGACGATGAGGCATGATTTTTGAGGTACCAAGCGAAATACGGATCTCGTTCAGGGGGCAAAGTAAACAAAGTTGGGTGAAACATGGCGTGTGGTTAGCAGGGGGAAGCAACCCTTTTCTTGGTATCTTGGTGTTTATCTATTTTGAGTACCTTTAGATAGAGGTATGTAGCGGAACAGCCGACCAGCGGTTCACCGACCAGTTTTTTGCCGTTCATGAAGAGTGATGACCGGTGTGAATGGTTCAAGAAGGCAAATCGCTGCTTGTTGAACTCGGATCGATCACTCCCTTTGTAAACAGAGGGAAAACCCGTGACATGACTTTTGAGACATGTCGTCGAAGAAGCATTGGAAGACGGCGACGGGAACCTTATCTAAGATGTAAGACTGGGTGCGGATGCTGGGATGTCCTCCGCCATTGCGTCGGAGATATTTTCCCCAGCTTGCGAGCAAGGGAGCAAAGGGAGCAAAGGGAAAGTGCAGGATCTTCCGAACTGCGAGAGGCGAAATAGTCCGAGTCATGTAATACTTTCTCTCTCGTGCGTAAGAAGAAGCCGAGGAAGGGGAATAAGAAAAGAAGACAAGAAAGAACAGGCGATTGGTGCTACGAAGGGTTGGAGAAACGCCGGGTGCGTGACGATTGAAACTTGGCCAACCAATTTGCTGTGTTGGTGTTGAGGATGCATGGTGGTGAAGCAGTTGAGGGGACGATGAGGCGCTGTGATTCTGTGAGTGAGCGGCGGTGTCGTGATGCGGATGCGGATGCGGTACGACACTCACTGAAGCACAGCCGGAGGGGGACAAGCAGTTCCAGTGCCCGGCTGGCAGGTTGGCTTGTTGTTTGGCTTCCTTGTTGGCTTCCTTAAGTTGTTGGCTGAAGTCAGGTCGGGTCGGGTCGGGTAACTGGATGGTAAATCTGCATGGTAATGTCCGTGTGTGTGTCCTCACCGGCTGCCAATACTAGCATCAAAAGGAACCAGGATTTAGATGTCTGATACCCGAGGAAAGCCAAGCGGTCGCTGAAATACATACGTCTACTAGGTACCTAATCTTGGAGCTTGGGCAAAGGGAAGTCTGCAGACGTCCAAGGGAACCAGCAGGTAATCACATGCGCGTCACGATAATCGATCAAGCCACCATCTTAGTTCATCTCACTTTTTTCTGACTCTTTTGCTTTGTGGAAGATGGAAGATCTTTTGGTGAAAGAGAGGAAGATCTGGAAGAAGTTGGGAAGATCGTTCAATCAAGAGAGGAAGATCTAAAAAGAAGAAATTGGGGAGAATTACGGTAGTGAATACCATACCAGTTCACCGGGTGTTCAACCTCAACCACCGACCTAGCTATTCCTGACTAGGGAGCTAGGTATCGCAAGATGATACCCTTGAGAGACTCTAGTGAACTCTGATACAGTGGGCTCTACACTAGTGAAAGCCGGAATGCGACAGTGATTCCGCAACGGTGATGAATCCTATCTCACATGAAAATCACACTTCCCTTGACTAACCCGTCCTTTTGGATCTTGAACTACTAATACATAAACGAAAACTAGAGGGAGATTCGAGACCTTCCCAAGTTGCGGCTCGTTCGCGGTTCGGCGGCTCAAACCCTTGCCGCCTACCATACCAATGTGATCAACGATATCACTTGCTAGCGCGCTTCTTTCCCTACCTAGAGGTGCCTACCGAAATGACTGTTAGTGGGTTCTGGTAGTCTGATTGCAACTCATTGAAAATTCAGTGTGCATTTGGGACTGTTTGAGCCGATATATTCAACCAAGGACTTCCCACTGTGTTTTTGGTCGTCAAGGAATTGGTTGCTCACCAGAATCACCAGGCCGGATCGAATCGCGGTGAGTTTGCAAGTGATTGACTACCTACCTAGGAAATTCACGGTTCAGCTACAGCATGTTGCTGTCACCAACCGATACCACAGTCAAGTCTGGTCAGTCGTCATCCGATAAAGTGATATGAGATAAACGCAACGCTGCGGCGGGTGTTTTACGCTGCTTTCTGTGACCCTAGACAGTCTAGAGATACCCTAGATCCAGTTCACAGGCCCCAGTTCCCAGTTCGCAATACCCAAAACTGTTCCCAAGCTGGATGAAAGTACCTAACAACCGAACCGCACCAAGATGCGATTGTCGATTTTTTTTTTCGATTTTCCATGCTGTGCGATTCAATACGATGCGTCTTGCCGGGGACCAAGGACATGGACATGGGACTGGCAGTGCGAGATCGGTTCAATTCTGCTGTGATTAATCACTCTCAGGTTACCTACTGGACCGGGCGGGGGACCCAAACAAAGATCATAGATCATGCCTCTTCCCGTTCATGCATTCGTTCCAGTTGCCCTGCCTCTTCCAATTGCCTTGCTGCAGAGACTGAGTTTGTGGATTCAATGTGATCACGAGATCCAGCTGCTACGACCCAAGCAGCAAGGCTCCCGGGGTAGCTTCCGAGTAGGCGAGGGCAGGATCTTGCAGAGTCGTACTCGGTGACTGCCCGGGAACGGATGGGGGGTAACTTGAATAGACCGGGGGTAGTCAATACTCCTCCCTTCTTCGGGGATGCATAAAGGTAAGAACTGAATGAACAGTAAACATCCTCAGCCGCACCGTCGTCTACACTACAAGGTTTTGTTTCCTGGACCCCGGCCCTGTTTCTTTCTCACGGATGAGATCCAGTGGGCTAATGGCTGGAGGGAGGCGCTTACCACTGCCACTCGCTGCACAGCATCACTTGCATTTGCACTTGCGTTCCGGGTTGCAGTCTTGCAGCGCTCACGGTGTGGAAAGTACCTACCTAGCCTTGCTACACACCGTGGGGCCGGCAAGCTACATGCCAGATGAGCGAACCGACCTGAAGCTGGATGATCGCCGTTCGCAGATATATCGAAGATTGCTGTAGGGGCTTCCGTGTTCCATCGTTCATGGGTAGGCAAAGAGGTGGCTATCGTGACTTGTGATGTGACATGGTGCCATCATCCGCCACCCCCGGTGCCTACGTTCGGGCCGTGGGGATGAACGGCTCCTGATTCATATCACGGATTGAGAAAGCAAGACCCCCAAGAGCTGATCAAGACTCGAAATGCAGGTTACGGAACGTGGCGCAACGAGGCATTGGATGTGCGCGTGCCTTTGGTTGAGGGGTGGGTAAGTCATTAAGTCTAGTCTGGGTCAGATCCAGACGGTCGGGACCAACACGGTGAGCGGATAGGACGTAGTGGAAGGATGTGGTCGTTTTCGTACTAGCGGTTTGACCGTCTGATATCTGATATGGTATGTTAGTCTCAGTAATGTTGATACTAGAGAATTGGACTAGACTGGATCTTGGCCGTCAAGGTTCTAGGTTGTAGAGAGAGACACTACAGTATGGCACACCAGTCGCCAGGAGGGTTCCGTTCTCATCGAGTAAGTGGGAATTTCTTCCCAGGCAGATGTGGCTACCTATCTTGTCGAGAAAGGATGATGGAGATAGATGTATTAGCTGTGACATAAAGAGACATGGCCCCTTGCCTTGAGGATTGTCTGCCCCAGATCCTCCAAGACAAAGAATATCTCGCCGCAGAGCACAACATCCTACCTTGTTCTTTCCTATAGATATCCTGGTTGATACCTGCATCTCTTTCCTAGATTCAAGCCGGCAGCTGCCCTCGACGTCTTCATGAGAGTTGCTGTCATCGGAGGCGGTCCTTCCGGACTTGTCACTCTCAAGTACCTCCTTACCGCGCACCAGTTTCTCGGAGTTGAACCCATCGAGGCTCACCTTTTCGAGAGTGACGATGCCGTGGGAGGAACATTTTATGCCAGGACCTATGAAGATGCCGAGGTATTTGCGACCCCTTCCCCAGATGTTGCCTCCAGACACTGACCGTCCTTTCCTCAGCTGGTCTCATCAACTCAACTCACCACCTTTTCCGACTTTAGAGCCTCAAAAACCGATGGAGACTTTATGTCCGCCAAGCGATATGTGCAATATCTCAACGACTATTGCACGCATTTTAACCTGTGGCCCAACATCCACCTCAACACGCGAGTCGATTCAGTGACAAGGATGCTCAAGGGGAAACATGTCGTCACTTACACCGTCAAAATAACTGGAGAGACCTCGGAATGGGAATGCGATGCCATAGCCGTCTGCTCCGGTCTTCACGTCACTCCTCACATTCCCGATATCCCTGGTATCGAACACGTCCCCGTCAAAATGCACTCATCCCAGTTCAAGGAGAAGAAACAGTTCGGCGTCGACAAGACGGTCATGATTCTCGGTAGCGGAGAAACAGGTTCGGATCTTTCCTGGATGGCAGTGATTTCGCAGACCAAGCGAGTCGTCATGTGCCATCGAAGTGGCTTTCATTTTGCCCCAAAGGTAGATTTTCCTGGGCCACAAGGGCTGTTGTTCAGCGCCATTTGCATACCCTCAAACAAAGAAGTCTGGATGAGCTGTGCTGACAAAGGAAAAAAAAAAAAAAAAAAAATACACAGAGAAACCTCAGTCCTATCCTGTTTCCCATTTTGGGCCGCAAATCCAGTGGTGAGCTGACAGTCCCCTTGGACAATGCACGTGCAAGCCTGTTTGACACAGCTTACGTCCATCCCTTGCTTCGGAACCACACGGCGCTCTGGACGTTCTACAACATTTACGTACGGACGTTTCTGTGGCTGAACACGGGCACCCCCGAAGGATTAGATCAAGTTGTTGGAGAGCCTGATCCGCAAAAGAATCATGTCAGCCGAAGTATGTCCTCCTTTTTACAACCCCCCTCGGCCACCAAGATTATACTAACTGACATGTAGTCTTCTTCAACAAATCCTCCAACGCCGCGCCCTACATCTCGTACCCTTACAAACACCTACAACCCTCCCCCACCCCTCCTACCCTTCTCTCGAGGATCCGCTCCGCCCTCATCGGCTCGACCCTCAAAGACACAGGCGGCCGGTACATCGACCTGGCGCCCTGGCCCCAATCCATTTCTCCCCAAGGGATCGTCACCTTCCAAAACAACCACCGGCCCGAATGGGAGCGCATGCGCCAGCAGACCATCAAGCCCGACATTGTTATTTTCTGCACGGGATATAACCAGGAATACCCCTTTTTCACAGCCCATAACGCTTCTCTCTGCAATAAAAGCGGTAAAGCAGCGAAGCGGTACGTAGTCGAGCACACGGAGCGCAATGTCCGCGGTATTTGGAACCGCGACGACCCTTCAGTGGGATTCATTGGATTCCTGCGGCCCAGTCTGGGCGCCATCCCGCCTTTAGCAGAGATGCAGGCCCAATTGTGGATTGTGCAATTGGTTGCTCCCCATTGGATTCCGCGGCCGTTGGACTCGAAGGATGAAGAACATTATCGGTTGCGGCACCCGGCCGAGAGCAGGGTCAAGTATGGGGTGGATCATGAGAGTTATGTGTACCAACTTGGATTGGATATGGATTCTGCTATGGGGGTTATGGAGGTGTTGAGGAGAGGACTTTGGGAGAGGGGGGTGGGTGCTTTGTGGAAGGGGGAAGGTGATGGGACGTGGAAAAAGACAAAGAAGAAGAAGAAGAAGAAGAAGAAGAACGGGTGGAAGTTGCCGCTTGTGTGGGGACTGGGAGCGAATTATAATGTCAAGTTTAGGATGAAGGGGCCATGGAGGTGGGAAGGGGCAGAGGAGGTGATGGAGACGGAGTTGTGGAGGATGATTAAGCGACGGAGATGGTTTTGGGAGCATTTCTGTTTGAGTTTGTTGCCCATGATGATCTTTGGGCCGGTGAGTCTGTTGGTGTGGGTTTATGCTAGTGTTTGTTGGGGTGTTGGTGGGGGTTGATGATTTGAGAAAGAGAAAGCAGGAGAAGAAGAAAGGACTCGGAGTGAAGGGGGGAGAGGGGGATGGGATTGGGATCGAAGAAGGAGATGGTTAATGGGGTGGAGGGGAGGTGGATGAGGGAGAAGATGCCGTTGGAGGCGGAGTTGTAACTGAAGGGAAAGAGAAGAAGACGAGGGCTAGGATAGATGGGCGAAATTGGAGTTGGGGGGTGCAGGATTGGATTGGTTGAGTGACAAAGAACTTGCTCACAGCTTTATGGGGTATTTATAGACCATCAGGAGGTGGTTAAGACTGCCATTAGAGGTCTTGAGACGTCTGTTATGAAGGTATCAAAGCCTTCGGATGACATTTCCATTTATCCGTGTATGATGTGCTCGGTACCAGTAACATCCCAACCACTCCGAGAGGTATACTGGACATCCAGCAAGCCGAATTGCTAGCAGATCGATATTCGGTAATCTGGATTTGCCAACGTTGTGTCTTGGTTTGTCCCACCATCGGCCGTTCAGCATGTTAAGATAACATCACACCTGCCTGAATATCACGAATCCCGACATGCGATGGGATACAATCGACGGGATGGCGGGGCCGAGTAGGACATCCTATTCGTCCTTTTGACGATTTGGAGTCAAAACGGTCAGATGAACACCCTAGCGTCAGGTTGACATCATCAAGGTGATTTCACCAGACTAATGTTGGGGTAAGTAACGAAAACATGGGCAAGTCATGATGCCTTTTACCTGTCACTGTTGGGAACATTCTTGACCGGAGCATCAACCCAACACCACCGACGAGAACCTACCAAACAGATTTCCCACACCACGAACAGGAGATGCTTTCCCAAGGCCTTCGTCTTTCCGGCAACATCATCAGACGAATCGTGAGCGACATGGCGAGCACAACACCGGGCGTCTCCCTCTCGGCGGCGTCCCAAATGCCCCAGGGCAAGCCGCACTCCATCAACGAGTACGTCTCGGTCAAGAAGCCACCCCATCTCGACCGTCTCACCGCCACCACCCACCAAGAATCCACCATCGAGTCCGTCACCATCGACGTGGACGACGCCCCCAACGGGTTTGTCCCTGGCTTCCTGCACATGCCGCCCAACTTCACCGCCCCGGACCCGTTCCAAGTCCACCACCGCACGGCCGCCATCCTCCTCTCCGGCGCTGGCGGGGGCGTCACAGGCCCGTCGTCCATCTACCTCTCCTTGGCTTGCAAGCTCGCCACGCTGTCCTCGGGCATCCCGACGCTCCGACTCGACTGGCGATACCCTGCCCGCAGCAAGCATTGCGTCGCCGATGTCTACGCCAGCATGAAGTACCTGCAGGATCTATACGGACTCGACCGGTTCGTGCTGGTGGGCTGGTCCTTTGGTGGTGCGCCCGTGTTTGCAGTGGCAGGCGCCGATCAGCGAGTGATTGGGTGCGCGACGGTAGCGAGCCAGACACTGGATGCGGAAGAGGGGATTCGCAAGTTGGCGCCCAGACCGGTGCTACTGCTGCATGGGACGGGAGATAGGACGATGAGCCCGGCGTGCGCGGAACGGTTGTATAAGATGTATGGAGAAAAGGGGGATAGGCAGATGGAGATGTTTGATGGGGATAATCATTCGTTGATGGGCAATGCGGGGACGGCGGAGGAGATGTTGTGTGAGTTCATTGCAAAGTGCGCGGGCGTGGAGGTGGACGAGGGGTTGAGGAGGGATGTGGTCGAGACGGAGTTGGTGGATGAGGAGGAGAGGGAGGAGTTGATGGGGAGGGGAGGGGATCTTCGCGGGTTGGAGAGGAGGGAGTAGTATAGTTGTCGTAGGCGTAGGTAGAATCCATTCATTTCCTACCTAGGTATGTGAATGTCGTGTATATTGTGTTGTGTTGTGTTGTGTTGTAGTCAGTGACGTGTTGGTGGTTGGTGTTTGAAGAATCCATGGGGACGGCGCCGGGAATACGATTGCCCCCAACGAAGTCCAAGTAAAAGTCCCGAGGGGGATTGCCCTGCCAAGATGCTGTTTGACAAGCCGCTGAATGAGGAGGCGGGGAAGACGAGCCTGAAGAAGCCGCGGGTCCCCACATTTGACCGCTGACCACGCCGTGTGTGGAATATGTACCTCGCTTTCCACGACAAACATTCCGAGACTAGCACCGCGGCAACACCATCATCACCACACCCGGGACGCTCCCGAACCCCTCGCGGCACATGGATCGCCGGCGCCGCCATCACGCCGTCTGCTACCGACCACCACCGGATCACCGGGCACTCTGGGAACGGGAAGAGTCACGATAAAGAGCCCGTCATGGACGCCCACCATTTGCAACCATATACACCTATAGTCGCACCATGTCATCGGATCAAGAAAAGGTCGACGTCCTCGTCTGTGGCTCCGGCTCAGCCGGCCTGTGCGCCGCCGTCTGGCTCGCCCGCTTCGGTATCAACTACAAGGTCCTCGAGCGCCGTGATGGGCCCCTCAAAATCGGCCAGGCCGATGGTGTCCAGACTCGCACCGTCGAGATCTTTGACAGTTTCGGCATCGGCGAGGACATGCTAAAGGAAGCCTACCATGTTCTTGAACTTGCTTTCTGGGCGCAAAACATCGAGGGCGGAAACAAGGACAACATCAAGAGGACACGCTACGCTCCCGACAAGGAGACCGAAATCAGCCATCAGCCACACGTCATCCTCAACCAAGCCCGTCTCAACGAGCTGATGATCGGCCAACTGGGTCCTCAGCCACCCATCCAGTACAGCACCAAAGTCAAGGGCGTCCAAGTCGATGAGTCCGCCGATATCACCGACCTCTCCTCCTACCCTGTCCGCGTCGACGCCGTCACAGCCGATGGCATCGCCAAGACCTACCGCGCCAAGTACGTTCTAGGCTGCGACGGCGCTCACTCCATCATCCGCAAGTCTCTGGGGTTCAAGATGGTCGGCGACAGCACCGATGCCGTCTGGGGCGTCATGGACATCTACCCGCGCACCAACTTTCCTGATATCCGCAAGAAGACGGCCATCAACTCGTCGGTGGGCAACCTCTTGATCATCCCGCGCGAGGGCGATGCCATGGTGCGCTTCTACATTGAACTGCCGGCGGGGACAAAGGCGAGCAGCGTTACGCTAGAAGACCTCCAGAACCATGCTCGCTTGATTTTTCGCCCTTACGAGATGGACTTTGCCGATACCTTCTGGTGGTCCGCCTACGCAATCGGTCAGCGAAGAGCCGATTACTTCCACAAGAACCACCGCGTCTTCCTCACTGGCGACGCATGCCACACGCATTCGCCCAAGGCCGGACAGGGCATGAATGTCAGTTTGCAGGATGGCCACAACATTGGCTGGAAGCTGGGCATGATTCTCAAGGGACTGGGCAAGCCCAAGCCGTTGTTGGAGTCGTATGTGATTGAGCGCGAGAAGACGGCGACGGAGCTGATTGAGTTTGATCGCGGGTTCACGAAGCTGTTCAATTCCAAGTATAGGGAGGAGCATGGCGTCAGCCAGGACCAGTTTGCTGAAATGTTTGTCCAGGCGGGGAGGTACACGGCCGGACAGGCGATTCAGTATGATGCTTCGGGGGTGGTGGAGGTGGGGGAGCGGGATAAGGAGGTTGTGAGGAATGTGACGGTGGGCATGAGGTTCCCGACTGCGCAGGTGGTGAGGTTTTGCGATGCCAAGGCAATGCAGTTGGTCAAGGGGCTGCCGGCGGATGGGCAGTGGTATCTTGTGGTGTTTGCGGGGGATTTTCCGGAGGAGGAGGAGAACAAGGCAAGGCTTGAGAAGGTAGGCCGACACTCCTTGAACCGTATGACATGCGCATGACTAACATCGCTTCTAGGTCTCTCAAGCCCTCGACAATATTGTCAAACGTTTCACTCCTGCCGGCGCTTACTCGGACAGCGTCATTGATTGCGTGCTTGTGATCTCCGGTGACAGGAAGAAGGTCGAGCAGGAACAGATCCCAGAGTTCTTCACTCCCGTAACAGGGAAGTGGCAGCAGAAATGTCTGTTCAAGGTGTATGCTGATGATGAGAGCTACAACACTGGACATGGCCATGCCTATGAAGCCTACGGCATTGATCCAGCAAAGGGAGCCTTGGTCATTGTTAGGCCGGATCACTGTAAGTTTTGCTCCCCAAACGACACTTCCTTGTCAAGAAGCGCTTACTTACGGAGGTAATCACAACAGACGTGGCAAAGGTCTCGGCACTGGATGACAACCTCGAGCAGTCAACACAGCAGTTCTTTGAGGGCTTCTTGTTGCCACTAGCTTAGTATGGGTGTCAACTTCCAAGCAAGTGGATGTAGGATACGGAAGAGCATGGAGTTGAGGTTCAACACTTGGAATATCAATTTCGTCAAACTAATCAAAAGAGCATAGGTATCCATCCAGACATCCGAATTGCAATACAGATCATAAATACAAGAACGAGTGTAGTACATAAAGGAGACGTGAAGCAGAGAGAGAGCACCGCAGGCTCAAACCATTATCAGTCCCACCGGTCAGAAAAACAGGTGTGTGTGTGTGTGTGTGTGTGTGTGTGTGTGAAGGGAAAAAAACAGATTGGAACCCAAAGAAACAGCAGTCCAAGGCCTCGTTACCACTCTCCATTCGACAAAGCAGACCTCCCACTAAACAAGGCTAGCACTTGTTCACCGTAATAAACACAGTCCACTTCTCCTTGAAATAGACTTGGCCACCAATGCGCGTCTGGCCACCCATGTACTTGAAGCACTTGCTCGTAACGAAGGAGGCAGCCTCGGCGACACTACCCCAGGACCGCAAAGTGATGTCGTGGTTGTTCTGTTTCGTTATTTGTCTCTCGTTAGCATCTCTTTTTTTTTTTTTTTTTTTTTTTTTTTTTTTTCCTCTTCTCCTCCCCCTCTTCTCCACCTTTCCTTTCCTTTCCTTTTTTTTTTTTTACAACTCGCCGACACGACAAAAGAATAGAGACAAGTACGTACATCATTACAAACAACTATGGCCGAATTCCAACTACAGCTCACGCGACTGCACTTGTTGGCGCCCAAGCGCGGCTGTCCCTTTAGGCCGTACAGATAACTCACGCCGTCGTGGATGGCGCTCAGGGTGGCCCACGAGCGCGGGGCACCGCAGTAGTGCGTCGTGTACGTGTAGGGGCCCTTGTACGTGGCTTGGTCCCGGGTTTCTAGTAGCGTGGTGGTGGAGGTGTTGAAGGAGGTGGAGAGGTCAATGTCGGTGGGGATGGGGGTGGTGTCGCTGTAGGGGTCGAAGGAAGGGGGGAGGGAGGAGGGGAAGGAGAGCAGGGGGGAGGAGTCTTCGTCGGGGAGTGCGGGGGCCTGTGGTTGGGTGCGGGTTAGTATCAGGTCAGGAGGGAAAGGGGAAAGGAGGGGAGGGAAAAAAAAAAAAAAAAAAGAAAACCTACGGCTGAGGCAGTTGCCAGAAGAGCCGTGAGAGGCAGGAAGACCTTGGTGAAAAGCATCGTTTTTGTTTGGTGGGTTTGATTGAGGTTGGTGGGTGACTGTGAAAGAGTGTATGATAGACTAGATATCTGTCGACACTAGAAGCTGCGAGATAAAAGAATGAATGTAATCGACTTGAGAAGACAGAACAGAGGGAGAGGTGTCAGCACCCTCGGACTAGGTGTATGAGACAAGAAAGGATCTTTTATATCTCTTCGAGTCCGAGTCTACTGTCCAATTCTGCTGTACTCTTCAAATCCACCAAATGGCGACTTCAAGCCATTTGCAGACACACAGTCAAATCGCCTCATCACCACACAATGCCGAAATATATTCAAGAATGTCCTCTGCACCCCTGACCAATTTTGGTTTCCGAGATGGTCGAGTATCGTGCTCATAGACAAAGAACCATTCACCGCGTGGTTGCCGGTGGTGAGCCACCGAGGGGAAGGTAAACAAAGCGCCACAGGGGTTGAACGGTTGTGAATAGGGCTGAATAGGCTCTTTAATGCGTATTGTTCTACTTGCGAGAATCTCGCCTCTCTAGGTGGGTAATTCATTTGGACGACATTTCTTGCAAAGTTTTTGATGGTCTTGTGAGGCGAGATTCGTGAACAGTGTTTCTTTGGAGGTATTCAGTGATTTGAAGCATTATCGAAGTAGACATGGCGGAAACAAGGTATCGAACTGGACGGGTAGTTCGGTCCTTTTGGCCTTCAAGTGGAATGTGAAATATGACATCAGGACTGTGTCGGGATTTCTTCGGGTCCTGTGAGATACGGTACGGGCTTTGGCTTCGGTGGATGGTCGGGGAGAAGAAAGGGAGAGGGCCGAGGATCCGGGGATATCAATCGGATACTGTCGAGTCTAGGTAGTGATGCTGGGTTCTCGGGTAGTGGCCGGCGGATAGCGTCTGTATAAACTCCGAGCAGCTGGCAATAAAATTACCCTGAGAATGGCCAGCATAGATATCTCCTTGAATCATGACTAGGATACCTAGTCAATAGCCGGTAACTACCGAGTGCCCGAGGTTTGTTAATGTTTGCAGTTTGGTTGACTACCTGGACCCTGAATTATTGATCAAGCAACATGATGCGCAGTGTTTACCGAGCCGATGACTGTGGGTTCTTGTCAGCTTATCCGTAATTTTCCCCAAGTCTTCTTCTTTTCTTCTTTTTTCATCCTTCCTCTCCGTTGTTCCAACACTCTACTCATTTCTCTCACATCTTGCCAAGACAACTTCTTCTGTTTTCTTCATGGCAAACATGTGTCGGCTGCGACGGGTGCAACACAGACCAGTGTCTCTGGACGATCCATTGATCAATCATCATCCTTCATGCCACCAATTTGGTTTCCCCAGATTCGCTGCGACATGTGCATCTCAGTCTCATCAAGTCTCGGCCCCCAAAATCTCAAGTTTCGACTCATTAGTGCTCACTCCATCTGCGAGTCAGACCGAGTTGTTGCCTACCATTGGGAAGTAGTCAGAAGTGCTCGATTCGGACATGTCATTCTCCAGTGGTGTTGTTGATTGGCGGCAATGAAGCCGAGGTTCCTGGCGATCGAATTGCATCCCAGTCGCTGGAACCAGATCCGGTAACACGCCCGCCCGCCCAGCCTTCCGCTTTTAGCGGGTTGGTGATGGTGTATCCCAGCACAACGTCATCAGAACCATTTTTTCTTTTCTTCTTTCCGATGCTGGTCGGGTAATCCCAATCATCTGACATGCGATGCGATGGACAGTTAAAAGTCTCCGGCAGTTGATACTTAACCTCAATCCCTCCCTCAACCACCTCAAGGATCGAACTTGTGTTTGTTGACGGGCCAAGACGGACAAAATGGCGACCACCACAGATCACCCCAAGATAACGCTCTACTGGTATGCCTATAGTACTTCCCGCAGGTGTGCGATAGATCACTAACAATTTTCACTATACAGGCTCAATGAGTCCCGCGCACAGCGCATGGTCTGGCTCCTCGAGGAGCTCGGCGTCCCGTACGACGTCAAGATCTTCCATCGCGGCAAGGACATGCTCGCGCCCGCCGAGCTGGAAAAGGTCCATCCGCTAGGAAAATCACCCGTTGTCACGGTCCAGCCTACTGAGCCCGGCGCCAAGGAGATAGTCCTGGCCGAGAGTCCCTTCATTGCCCAGTACTTGTGCGAACACTTTGGCAAGGACACCACTCTGGTTCCCAACAAGTACAAGGATGGACAAGAAGGAAAGCTGGGCGGCGAGACGGAGGAGTGGATGAGATGGCAGCATTTGCTGTATTATTCCGAGGGCAGCTTGATGCCGCCTTTGCTTGTGGCTTTGATTCTTTCCCGTGAGTTTCCGTCTCTGTTTCCAAATGTACTCTTTCAGGACACCGGGATGCTAACAAAAATCGGTTGCTTGCAGTCATGTCCGGCCCCAAAGTCCCCTTCTTCATCCGCCCCATCACCGCCACCGTCGCCGGCAGGGTGAACAACTTCTTTGTCGTCCCCAACATCGAGAAGCACTGCGCTTTTATCCAGCAGTTACTGGAGACGTCACCCAACGGCGGCAAGTACGTCTGCGGCGACAAGTTGACGGCGGCGGATATCCTGATTAGCTTTCCGCTGTTGATGGTGCCGAGGGCGGAGGTTCTCGCAGGGGAGGCTGCAAAGGGGAAATTGAAGGAAAAGTTTCCCAAGGTGTTTGACTATGTGGCAAGGTTGAAGGAGGAGGAAGGGTATAAGAGGGCGGAGAAGAAGATTGCGGATTTGGAGGCCGAGGGGAAGCAGTGAGTGCCGGTGCAGATTCCGGAGCATGGCCGGTAATAAGTGGATCTCGGGGGCATTGCATGTGGGGCCGCTCCGGATGCTTGTCCGGATTATCGATCGATCGGAGGTGGAGTTCGCGGCACCGCTCGCTTATATGAGGATTATTGATTATACTCTGGACGGTTTATATTTAATCCTGGCCACTAGTAATGCGACCGGTGGTGGCTCTGGCGTGTGTGGCCGGGTCTCCGCAACAGGTCCGGGGCAATGCGCAGCATGCGGCCTTTCTGAGACCTTTTCAGCATTCAAGATTTATCGAATATTCTTTTCTTTCCTCAGTTGTGAAGCATCTTTGCCCAATGTTACTCCTAGCTCTATATACTTGGCTCAATGTTATGAATGGCAAAAAGAATGATGGAGTGGTTGCGCTGTGTTGAACCCTAACCCGCTGTGCAAACCCTACCATACGATTTACCGATCTCGCGCTCGTTCCTTCTCCCAAACAACATCAATGAATGCAGCATGATGGTGGGGTTAATCAGCTCACGACGACAACGGGATCGCTCTTCCCTTTCCACGAACAAAAGACAGAATTGATGGTGTGACTTCTCCCTGAGAGAGTCCATTTCCCAGTGTCGGATTTTCGATGCCCTGACCGTTCATTCATTTGTGCAAAGTTCAGTTCCATGCCAATTCTGCGACCCAACGAACTGCGCCCTCGCAAAGCTCACCACACTTCACTCTTCTGCTTTACGATGCACAGTCGGCCTTTTTCACTTTGTTCCAAGATGCCTGAGTAATTTGCTTCTTGACAATCATTTTACGAGGTCATCAATTCCACAGCCAGACTCGTCAAGGGACGAATGACTGTCGAACATGGTACGAAACCCTCCCGCGAAATACTTCCAGCATCCCACGGTAACAATATTGACCACCAAACGTCGTCCAACAGTCACCGAATCACAGCCGCCAACCGCATTTGTCGTGATGCTCCTGCATCTCGATTACGGCAATGGTTTCTTTCTCCCCAAAGAGGCCGTCCAGAGTGGCCTCTCGACGGCGTGCAAGTCCCGACGCAATGGTCGGGTCGCCATAACGGGCCTGCGGCGGAGCGCAGCATGCAACCAATTTCCTCCACTAATCAACGTCCATGATTCACAAGGCTGCCTTTCCAACTCGACGGATAATCAAGAGAAGCTTCTTCCAGTTTGCCTAATTCATTTCACTAATTGTGCTCCAGGCCCGAATGATCGTCGCGTCCCGTGTCCCTCACCGACCCCCCGGTCCTCGGTGTTACTGTTAGCCTGAGGTGCCTCGCTCTAGGGCTCCGACCTTCGGCCTCCGACCACCGTACAACGACCTATCGTCAAACAGCACTACCCTACTGAGGCCGAAACCCTTTACGAAATAGTCTTGAGGTTTTACGATGCCGACCTGCAGTTAGTGTTTACATGTCCACGGCTCAGCAGTCCGAATCACTACTCTGTTACAAGTCCTTCGAGGCACAGCAGCCGTCCAACGCCGCAGTCATCAGGCGATACCCGCATGCCAAACATGGGCACAGATACCGGCCTCAGGCGCCCGAGACAATGGTCAAACGCTCGTTGGCCACCGCTTTTCGTGATTCTCTGGAGGGAGATGGGGAAGGTTCACGGCATCCGGTAGGCCAGATAAGTGTATCTGAAACACCCTTTGTGGGTTGCCTGGTATGTATTACCTTGGTGGACGAGCTTGCATGTATCATGATATGGGCGTCCTATTGGGGGCAGGTCACTCATCGAGAGAAGGTGTGTGATGGCTCCCAAGGCGACTACAATATGGAGCTAGTGTTACATCACTACGCATACCTTGTTTATATGAGGCTTCATCAAGTGATACAGGGAGTCCTTTCTGCGCACTAACGGGAAAGTGCTGGAGATTATGCAACCCAAGTTTGACAAGACCTTGCTGCAGAAAAGGCAGTTCTTTCGGTCGCTCGTAACCTGTCACCACTTCCTTCGTACCGTATTTTTCCGCGCCATGGTCGTTCCCTCTTCGGCTACCGACTGTGTGGGTGCACGTCTATCAAGGCAGCAAGGCGAAGAAGTCGAATGACAAAAATTTAGAGTACCTCCAAGACGTCCCTATCCCATGCTTTAGGTTCGTACCACTGAGCCGCTTCCCGATGGAAGGTTACACATCGGGTGGTCTGACAACGTTGACAGGTTGCCTGTTGACCATCTGTTCGCAAAGCAGCCAACGGGAGATGCCCGAGTTGTGAAATTGTGATACACTCCAAATTTTCGTTAGTTCAAGGCTTCATCCATACATCCTGGTAACGGGGCGGTATCTAGATGGTGCAAGTGTACTGTCACGACTTGCTATGCAAGAAAGGTGAAGGCCAAACAAGTGTCTGTCCGGCTGCGCTGTTATTCAACCTTCAAGTTTCATGTTCCTGTGCCGCTGGCTTGCAACTCAGCACCAGGTTCCATGTACTTGCACTTTGTGGTGGCCTTGAACATTCAATTTTCACTCTCAGCGGCAATCACCGACTCCAACTGAAACTGCTTTCTACCTCAGCTTGCATTCTGCTGTTGTCTCGCCTACTCCTCGAACGCAATGATTCTCTTCCTTCTCGTTCTTGTTACACCACCGACGCTGCATCGCTTGCGGTGAAATGGTGGACATAACGCAGCTTTCCTTGCACAAGCCTGAACTCGTGGATATCCAACAATGCCCCATCAGTTCCACCCTTGCTAAAGACACTTACAGCCCCTTAAACCTCATCAATCACATACCTCTTATCTGTATCTGTCTCCATTCAAGCTCACAGGTTGGCACTCCTCGGTGTAGTACACACTTTCATACAGCCGGGCGCACGGGGTACCCCAGGGGAGTTCAAAACTACCGTTGCTGCTCCATAGATCGAGGCACGAGTTGGCCACGGTCTTGAGCACGTCCCGGCTATCTTGCTTGGCCGTAACAATCACGGACCAATCCTCTGCACCAACATCTTGCAGTCTTGTTGATCCACAAAAGTGTCAGTGTAGTCGATCTTGAGGGGAGTGGTGAGGAATGAGGTGTTGATGTCGCGCTGCTTGTAGTTCTCGCGGTACACGGGCGAGCTGGAGGTGAGGAACGGATCAACCTCACCATAAGTTTGGGATTCGATCTAGATGTCGGTTTGCATTCGGAGGGCGGCCCATTGGCAATTTCCTGCTCCTCTTTGGGCCAGCGAGAACTGTACAGCGGCTAGGATGCCCAGGGCTGCCAAGGTGAGACAAACCATGATGCTGTGCAGTTACTGATACAATGTCCTGGAACGATGAAAACAAGAAGCACATCAGAGATCAAGTCCATGTGCAGACAGAGAGGTACTAATCTTCTGTGAAGACCAGAGGGTACGAGCTCTAAGCCAAGTGCCGCGAGCTGTCCATCTATCATCGGCAATACCCATATTGTTTCTCACATTGGCGACCCCGCTCGCATATGGGTAAGTCAACTCATTGAAGATGTCCGCTCTGCCTGTCAACTGTGGAATTACCCGGCAACATATGCTAATATTGCTACCAGATATCTGTAGTGGCGCATGCCTACGGATAGATCAGGGTGTTCTCAACGCAGCAAGCTACTTACTGGTGGTTTTGGGCTTCAAAACATTGAACCGAAATCAAGAGAACAGGCTTAAAGGCATGCCCAAAGATCAGTGGCACTTGTTGATGTGATGCGGGAAGTTCTATATCCTCGACTTCAACCAATCCTTTACTGCGGGAGAGAACATGTCGTTGGTAGATACGTCATGAACTATCACATTATTTTTCAGCCGCATGTTGCTTGTGTCCTCAAATGCAGTGTTGTCCTACAAAAGAAGCAAAGAGCTAACAACCGGCATGAAAATAGACTCATACCAACTGCACAGCCACCCGAAGGATTGGACTGTCAAACAAGCTAAACGTCGATTTAGATGCCACACCTTTGTGGGTGGAAGCAGGTTCGATCACCAACTGTATGTCTCGTTTGACTCAGATGCCGATGCAAGACTATCTACAAGTACTGCTCCAGCATCATGTCATAGTACGGTATCTACCTCAGCAGTTGCTATATGGTGTTGGTCGGTAGGTAAGAAATTTTACCCCGCTCATGCGTTTTTGCAACCGTTGGTATCTCGTGATGCAAAATTTGATGATGTATTGCTTGTTGGTTGCTAATATTCGAGATTTTCACGGTCATCCCCCTTAAAAGCTTGACATTTGCACCATGAACGAGCCTTCATGCTGGGGCCATCACAGCCGAGGGCTGCTGACAAGTGGAACGAAAAGGGTAAGTCGGTTCGTTATCACCTCGCTGTTACTGTTGGAAGTGAAAGGATTAACAAAGCTGTACATTAGATCTGATCTAGTCGGGTCCTTCCGAGCCCAGATGATGTCGTCCATCTTGGTAGGATTCATTTCTTTCCCTGATGCGGTGCCGTGTTGTTGTGGGTGCCCCTTCTGTGCATTTGACGTTGTTTGCGGATAGTTGTCGATCTCGGGATATACACTGGAGAGAGGGGCTTATGACCTAGGCCTGGCAGTCAGTCACTAACAAGCACCAAACTGTCGGCGGATTCTCAGGTCGCGCATGTGCTGGCCAATGAGGCTTGAGGTCGCCGGCGCTTAACGGCATCCGCCATCGACCAACACCACTCCCAAATTCTCGGTTGCAAGAGAGATTTCGAGTCAAGTGTGCCTCGCTGCTCGTCGTTGATTCGCCAATGGGTATTTTACTTTTGAAGATGGTATGGGCTTTTTCTACGTTGTTGCTTCGCCCCTTTGACCTCCATGTCCGCATCTCGAATCCGGAAGTTGACCTCTAAAACGGCCCCCTAAACCCCGGTCCCCTAGCGGCTGAGTGGAGAGGGATCCACACCGGGCCCGAAACCGCGACCCGGAAATGGGAGCCCGTTGAGGGCCCGGACCCCACTGCCGCAAGGCGATGCTCCTGCAAAAGCTCACCACCAGACATGGGAATTGGAGATATTGCTCAACACCACTCTCAGCCCGACCCGAGAGTTTGGTTTGATGGTGTTTTCCTTGAGGCCTTTGAGGGGCACCTGGGTGTCATGATGGAAAACATACCGGGTTCATGGACTGTCACCCGGGCATCGGTTGGTGGCACATGCTATCAGTCCCTTGAGCAGGACTCCAATGTCGTCACATTTGGTTGCTCAGCCGGATGTTGACCTCCTCCTCGTCGACTGCCGGGTCTGTGGTCAAGACGAACTGTGAGGCGGATTGTGATGTTCCCATGGCATTGGCACACTGGCGGCCGTTGACATGGTGTGGAAGGAGACTTATAAAGAGGCATCATGACGCCGGCCATGGAGGTTGGATGGAAGGCATTCAGATCAACATCTATCCTTCAATCGTCTCTCAAGGTTCACTCGAGAAAATCACAACAACAGCTTCACTTGAGCACATCAACTCGGACATCAACCACTTTACCTGACTCATCGGCAAAAAGTCACCTCGGCAAGACCTCGACGTCACCACTCATATCAACAGCTTCAACTGCATATTCTCTCAGCTATCACTTGCCCTCTACCATCCAGGACTACAACAAGTCAACAGCCACCATGTGCAACTGGGAGCAAACCAAGTTCGAGGCGTGCAAGCACACCGAGACCAAGCGGATGGCCTACTCGTGCGCCATCTACACGAGGCACACCTATGGAGAATGCAAATTCGATCCCAAGAAGAGCAAGGTCTTTACCGTCATCAGCTACGGCTACTGCAAGGAGTGCTCCGAGATGTTCAACAAATATGTGAATCTATGAGCGCTGGTGTCTGTAGGAGGTTTCTGCTTCGATGGTTGTTTTACTAGGTGAGTGTCAGCTGTTGTCGCTGAATACTTTGGATGATCATTTACTAATGTTATTTTAACGCAGTTTCCATTCAACATGTCACTTGGTGTTGTTTCGCTGCTGAGACGATGCGCTCATGCAGTTTTCCTTTTCCTTTCTGTCTTTCGAAACAACGGAAAGTCGACACACCTGCCGGCAAGATCACCGCACAACCATCGTTCACCGGACTCTTTACTGGTCAATTCGCTGGTGATCAAGATCACTGCTCTCAGCTTCCGGAGGAGTGTCTCCATTCGCGCGGTTGATGTTACAAGGCCAGATGGTAAGGAGTGGCTTGGAGATGAGGGTGCGCTGTGATGCATACAATCTTTTGAGAATTTCTGGCTTTTGTCAAAGGGAGGTAAAGTTGAGTGGATCAACAGAACATTTACAGATGGGAGAAGAGGTTCTGAGGTTGGGACGTGGGTGTGTGTCTTGTGTGCGTTTGGCTAGGTAGAGGTACTGTTTGGTGTTCTCTTCTTGTATCTACCTTTTTGTTTCCCCCCCCCTTTTTTTTTTCTTTTCTTTCCTTTTGTTTCGATCCCCTTTCACTCTTGATACACTCTTGATATAGTTACAATAAGCTCGGACCTTCATGTTCGTTGACGTTCATAGAGACCGAGCTGTCCAATATACAGGTATATATCAAATTGCGATAAGCCCAATATACCCTATGAATTTGCATCGCCACTTCGTCTAGACACTGCAATCCAATCTGTATCGCTGCACATATTTCGTCGGTGGAAGCAAAGGAGTTGGTAGGTTGGTTGTTCCGGCTATCTAAGGGTTTCTCACCGTGATCGCTGATTACTTGGATACTGCAACCAAGGTCCATGCGCCACGATGCACCTTCCAACACGCAAACGCAACTCGCAATGGCGTGCGTGTACCGATGACTCGCATGAACAATCAGGCACGTGTGGAACTTTGCACATGCACACGCGTCTGGTCCTAATTGGGATCCGAGGAGTGAGGTGCGATTGTGAATAATCACCTTGGTACTTACCAGCCTGTTGGTTGGGTTGTTCCTACGCGGTACATCACGGAACTGGGTAGTTACGAGTACCTATGGTAGCTCGCCTAGTTGACGAACAGACGGTAAGCATTGATGCCTCTATTTGATTTGAAGGAAAAAGACGGAAGAAGACAGAATAAAAAAAAAATAAAAATAAAGATGACATGCATTCTTCTCATCAGTGCTCACTCACCGCCCGTTGACGTTCGTCTTATTGTTCGTCTTACACCGACTGACTGGTTGGTACCTGACTGAGGCGGCTTACTACGTACGTGCGTGCGTGCGTGCGTGCGTTATTCATTTCCCGCTTGGTTGGGTGTAGCACGAGACTTGGATTTGTGGATTCCATTTTTCCTCGTAAAAAGCGGTGGAAATAACCCAATTGGGAGGAGTAAAGTGGACGTAAAGTGGGAGTGGGACTGTGTGGGATTACATCAGATTTGCCATTTCATGGCATCCATCCCAACCCAAAAGAGATGCAATCGTATTTTCTCATTCGCCATTCTTCTTACCTACCTAGAGGTACCTATGAGACGCTATCTACTACGTACGTAGTATGTTGCGGGCGAGGTAATCGAGGTATCTCGCGAGGTGTCGAGGTTGTACAAACACGTGCTTGTGCTGGTACGTACCTACCGCAGATAGTGTAAGATGTGTGTGAGGTGTCACAAAGTTACGAGGTAGGCGGAAAGGAATGAAAGAAAAGAAACTTGGGGGTGATACGAGGGTTTGTCAGCACCAGACCACAGTATCAGTAGGTAGGTATGTAAGTGTATTGGCATCAGCACTAACTAATGTTCGATCCATACGGAAAATATGGATTATACGTAGGTATCAACATCAGCACTGGTGCTAATAACTCGTATAGAGGTAGGTAGGTACGCGGTATTTTTACCATCCATTACGGGACGGGTATCTCCCTTGCGTGCTACATGTAGTATCATTCGTCTCGCACGCAATCCATCTTTTATATGGCCTAACCGTGGGGTCCGACTCATCGTAAGGTATCCTCACTTACATGTTACGAAAAACGTGGTAATTAAGTCCAAGGTAGAATAGAGGTATTCAACGTTATAAGTGATAGGTAGATTGCCGACGAATTGCTACCCCACTGCACTATGTACAGGAAAAGGAGCAATACATACATAGTCATGTGCTTGAACCGTGCTGTTGGTAAACTTGATAGGGTAGGATCCCAGTGAGCTGGAACAGAAGGGAGACGGCGGGGGAAGTGTGAAAGATGGACCTTGTTACCTACTTACTGGGTGTGCTTTGAGCCTTCAATCCACTGAAATTGGAATTGGAAGTTGGGGTTGAGAGTTGAATGTAGATGCACTTCTTCTTCTTCTTTTTCTTTTTTTTTTTTTTTTTTTTCTATTTGCTTTTTTTTTATGCGTATTTCCATGTCCCTCCCTTCCTTCCTTACATTCCTTCCCTACTTCCTTCCAGCAATGCTTCCTTCCTTCCCAGATCTGGCTGAGTACACTACTAGACGTACTGTACAAGCTCCACTTTTTCCCACAACCACACAACCATTCAACGAACATCCAATCCCGATTCCCGAAAACGGAAATTGACAAACAACAGGGGGCCTCAGGCAGGCAGGACAGACCTAGCTCAGCGAACGAGCGACGACTCCCGGACAAACAGCCGAGAACAAACATTGCACCATTCCTTTCCCTTTGTTCGTTCGTTCGTTGTCTGTTGTTGATTCTACCGCAGTAGTAGTGTACAAGCATCCATCTGTTCCCTTGACACCGGGGTTCGGCAAGGCCAGCCAAGGTTTGAAGTTTGAATCTGGCTTGGTCCTTCCTTGCACACTTACACTGCAACTGACACTAGACCAGTACATATACTACAGTATATAGTGTACAATCTACCCCTAGTATGTTTGTTAGCTCGCTACAAGCAGGGGTGGAATATAGGGATGTAAAGCCAATAGAATCTATTTATTTTAAGCTAATTTGAGGTAAAATTAACATACTATAAACACTATTATATATTATTTAATATTGAAGATAGGGATTTTAACGTATAAAAATAGGGATTTGAAATATTAGCGATTAGTATCTAATATAACTACTATTTACAATAATAATAGACCGCAACCGCTTAGGCATCGAATATATTAGTTTTTTTATATAAGATTTAAAGTAAGTAACCTACGCTTCCTTAATAGCCTCCTTAAGGACATTCCTAATCGGTCTAATTAAGTAAATATATTTAATCTAATGTTTTATTTATAATTAAATATATTTAATAGGGTTTAAATTAAATGAGTAAGCTAGTTAATTAATTTATTTATTTATTAGAAATAATTTATTAAGTATAGTTTTTATTATATAAGAGGTATAAACGAGGGTATTATTTTATTAAACTAGCCGAGTACGGTTTACGAATTAGAAGGTATAAAGTAATAGTATAATACACTTTTAATAAGAAGTAGAATTAATTTTACCCTATTTCTTATTCTAAATTAGGTAAGGCCCCTTTATACTGCTTATAAAGTAGTTTTAAAATATTTAATTATTAGTTCTCTAGTATATTTAAGTTATTTTGTTAGGGGTTTTTCTATTAAATATAGTAATATATTTACGGTTAGAATTAAGGTTATTAACCTAAATTTCGTTAAATTATACCTAATTCTCCTATTAAAATAATATTGTATTAATCTATTTTAAAGTAAATTATAGGCGAATTTAGCAATTCTTAAAATTTAATAGTTATTTAACTAATTAGAAGATTTACTATATACCTGCTAATTATATAGCGCCTTGAATTGTACGGGCACTATATAGTTCTAAAATTAGGAGAGTTTTACAGACCTTAAATTATAGTAAGAATTGTTTTAATTTATATAGAATTTATAAGAATACTTTTACTTATTTATAAATTTTTAATAATATAATAGGCGGGCGGCTATAGAGAGGGAACCTGGGTTTAATATTTATAATAATAATATATAATACTTACTTCTCTATAAGGGTTAATATACGGGTAATTTGCGTAATCGATAGGTTTATGTAGAAGTGTAGCGTTTTAATTATAATCCGTTCTTCGTACGTAGTAAGCGCCGATTTTCGGGCCGGACTAATATAATGCCGAGAGAAGGTAAGGTTCGTAATATTAGTAAGAGGGGTACGAATTAGGAGATAGTCAAATTGAGGTAGAGTAGGACTTTTAAAATTAAGGGTAGATAAAAATAATTTAATTTAATTATAAGAAAGTTTAATAATTAAATTAGGAATATTCGAAGTAATTAGAAGGTTAGTCCGATAAATTAGGGTAGTTAAATTAATATTAGTATAAGATTTATATAATAAGAATAATTGATTTATTAGGAATAATTAGGAAGCGAAGTCGAAGGTTTGAATAATAAGGGTAAATTAGAAGTGTATTCTCTTTATTAAATTCGGCTATTAAATTGATAATATTACGGGGTAGGGCGGCGGTTTTAATTACCGTTAAAATATAACAGTCGTATTAATTTTGGAAGTAAAGCGAATTATTAAGGTAATTTAAAAAGATTTCCTAGGCTGCCTCTCAGTGAAATTATATAATAAGGGGACTATTAAAGTTATTACTATTATTATTGCTATTATTATTATTATTTTTATTATTAAAAGGAATAGGGGTTAAAATATTAAAATTAATGTCTTTATTAGAATAAGGGTTTTATTTATTAAAAGAGTGAAGCTATACCTTCTATTATACTAGGTTAAGTACGAACTAAAGAAATTTACAGACTATTTTAGACCTATTGAAATAATTTAATTAATTAGATAAAGCAATAAATTAAAAATAAAATAATAAATAATAGGTAAATAATAGGTAAGTGAATTATAAGCGGGTATAAGCGTATAAAAGTATATATAAGTAAAAAGATTTTATTATTGTAAAAGAAGATTAGCCTTTTTAATTATAAAATTAAGCGACTAATTTTGTAATTAATTTAATTAATTTAATTAATTTAATCGATTCTCCTATTTAATTATTTGAATAAAATTATTTAAAGATTATTTTTTATTAGAAGTATTTAAGTAGCTATTGTTTTAGTACAGTTGGGTACAGCTAATAGGCTTCTAAGTACGGGTAAGCGTTGTAATACCCTATAATTTAGCCTAAAAGGGAGTCCTGCACTCCCGCGGGTACGGTAAGGTGCGTGGTAGCGTTTTTTACCCTGGTCACATTATTCGGCCTCAAGGATAATTAAGTAGATGTATAGACCACTTTAGTCAATTGAGCCAATTAGAAGTCTTGTATAAGACCGCACGGACTACCGGAACCCCTGTTATTGGGTGGGTCCGAAGAACCGCGCTAACAAACAAACCAGTCTTATATTGTACACCACACCACACTAAGTACACGACACTTACACCAGACCCCGACCCATGCGATCACCGTCGTCTGTGTCCCGGTCCGGCCCCAACCCTTGCTTAGATATGTACCTCATCAAGTACACTACACTATTGAGATTTAGACCCTGCTTCTCTAGACCCGGCCCCTCGTTTCGTACACTACACTAGCTACAGTAGACCACCTACCTACCCAGGCACCCAGTACACGTGTACCGACCCAGGTACCCCTGTCTCTGGAACGTTGGAAGAGTCCGTCTTGGCTCCCTTTCTTTCGATCTTTGAGTTTATTATGACATCAAGTGTGTGGAGATGGGAGCTATTGTTTCGTATATGTGGCTGTCGACAAAACTTGGCATTAAGGAAGAAAAAAAAAACGTGGAGTTCCGGCCGGGCGGTTGGCCGGGCAGGGCGTACCTTGCCTTGAGCATGGATGACTTCTTGGCTGTTCCGAAGTGGGGGAGGGGAAGGGGAGGGGAGGCTCTTTTGTTGACGTTGAGTGCGTAGGTACGTGTCTATCCGCGTGTCTTCTGGGCTTCGGTAGTGTAGAGCGAGATGATGATTTGCGATGATTAATGGGTTTGGTTTGTTGAGGATCGGGTGCACTGGCTGCTGGGTAGGTAGGTAGGTATCATGACGCGCAAGTGTTTGGTGTTTCCAGACTGAGTGGAATTCTTTCTTTTTTCCTCGCTAATGGTTGGATCATTCATTGGCAACCAAGGCATATATGTATGTAATGGCTCTTTTGACTTTATACATAACATCACAGCGAGAGCAAATAAAGTTGTGACCAAAAGTATTGTATCCAAGCTTGTCTCGGAGGAGATGGATTAGATTTTACCACTAAAAACAAAACAATAAAAGAGGCTTTTTGTTGCTGATGCTATACTGTACAAGAAGAAGAATAGGAAAGAGATTTTTTTTTTTTTTCGCAAAACACACAAACAGGTTGAATAAGAAGAAAACAAGAAGATGAAAAAGGAGAACAAGAACAAGAAGGAAAAAAAAAAGAAGAAAAAAAAGAGAAGAAGAAGCAGAAGAAGAGGCTCGTTTTTGCAAAAAAGCATTTTGGACATTCATTCATTGCTGGCTGGTTATTCATTTGTCCCATGTAGATAATAATTCGCATTGCGCGTTCCTCCTCTCTTTTTTGTGTGCTGCGTGCGTGCGTGCGTGCGTGCGTGAGAGCGTTGTTGTGTGCGTTTTTTTTTTGCTCTTTTTGAAGGCCGATGAGACGAAGGTGATGGTGTACTTTTGGATGATGAAAGATGAAAGGCAAAAGAAGAGGGAAAAAAAAAAAAGAAAAAAAAGAAAAGAAAAAAAAAAAAAAAAAAACCAGAAACAGAAACAGAAACAGACCATAACCTTTCTAATCCCAGGGGTATCCTTTTTCTTTTTGCGACAAACAAGACGGAGAGGAAAAAGAAAAGGACTTTTTTGGTGAGAGAGACAGAGAACCCGAAAAAAAAACAATGGTTGTGGAATAATGACACTGTGTGGAATGGGATAAAAAAAAAAAAAACAAAAGGCGTGTGTAACACGAAACATCGCAGCGCGACTTCAAATCCCAAATTACCACGATCACAATCACAATCACAATGGTGGCGTGACTCCGTACTGGTGGTGATACACAGGCGCAATGGTGTTTGGCCTCGGAAGCTTGAAATGCGGGAGGTTCAGACAGTACAGCGTCTTGTGCTCGCTCCTCACCATTTCTCGGAACCCGTCGAGGTCCAGCTGGCGCACTGGCGGGTAAATCCGTGGCCGTGGTGGCTCATGGACCAGCTCTCCCTTGGAGTTATCGTGTTCTTCGTGGTTGTCGGCCAGGAAATCCAAGATGTCTCCACGCAGCTTCTCGCCACGCGCAAAGCTCTTGGAGGAGGAGGAGGAGAAAGCCGCCGAAGATGGTGGTGATGGTGTTTGCGTCGTGCTGTTGTTCAAGGAAGCGGGCAGATGGTGGTAAATGGACCCTAGCCCGCTCGCCCACATGGAGCGCACATGTGAGTCGTCGGTTACCCGGTGGAAATGCGGGTTCCTGGTGCGAATCTGCATGATGGTGACGGGCTGCAGATTTGGCACCCGGCCCGCGTTATAGCCGGCATGAGCAGCAGCAGCAGCAGCAGCATTAACATTCTGCGGGGCCAGTTGATCCAGCAGCTCCACAAAATGGAACGGTTCGATGGCGTAGCCGTTGGCGAGCCGCAAGCTCAGAGCAAGGTCCATGGTCATGGCGTGCTCGCCGGCGTTGCCCGTCACGATAATCTCGCTGTCACGGGCGGCGGCCAGGCTGCCGGTGGGGTCGGCGTCGGCCATGGCGGACAGCAGCTTGTTGAGCCAGCGGTTGACCACCTGCGAACTCCGGCCCTCGCACGTGTAGTCGATCTCGCCGTTCCTGACCTTGGGCTTGGACGCCCACCGCAGGCGCACCATGGTCTCGGTGCCCGGGTTGGGGTTGAGGGCAAAGCCGGCGGCAAAGGCCCGGCAGTACTCGTTGACGGCTCCGGGGACGGTGATGTCGGCGTCGACAAAGGCGACATAGCGGCGCTGGGGGCACAGAGCAGCCACCAGGGCAATGCCAAGCATCATGCCCTCCCCCTTTCCATTGCGGATGCGCTTGTGGCTCCCGCCGGCCACGTGCGTGACCAGGTCGGGCAGGCCATACATGTTGAAGGCTGCTGCCGCCGCGGCATCGCTCTGGTGGATCGCCAAGGCGGGCCGGGCGTGGCGGCAGAACTTTCGGAGCATCATGACCTCCTTTCTGTACGCCCGCCCCTCGCTGTTGGACACCAGCACAATCAGACACCCGCGGGGGATGCCCGAGAGCACGCCCTCGATCGTGTTGGGGTCCTCGCCCTTGCACGGCACAATGACGGCCATCTGGCCCAGAATGCTGTCCAGCTGCGCCTGCGGGATGGTCACCTCTGGCGGAACGCCGTCCAGCACGCTCTCGTCGTCCTCCGGATCCGTGTCGCTCTCGAGGTCCCTCATGTCCTCGTCCTCGTCCGAAAACAGGTCGTCGTAATCCGAGTCGTCCAGCGAAGACTCATCTCCTTGCTCGGAGCCTTGGGGCGTGTAAGCTGACCCGACCGTCTCCAGCGGTATCCCCGAACCGGCATCCAGCTCCAACACCTCAATCAGGTGCATGATGCTGAGGCCGCCCATGTGCAAGCCTTTTCGCGGTTCCGTGAGACGCATCTTTTTTTTTTTTTTTTTTTTTTTAATGAAATTGGCGATTAGGAATAACAATTATGAATATGAGTGCAAAACTCGGGGAGGATGATGATTGGTTGGCTATACAAGCAGGCGATATGCAGGTGTTGCTGCAGCAGTAGTGCGCGCCAGTCAAGTGTCGACAAACTTAGTTGGTGGTCAAGTTGTTGTATATATCGGTATTAGTAGTAGCAGCAGTGGCGATGATGGTAAAAAAAAGTGAGACTGGGCCGGCACTGCGGGTACTTATAGCACATAGCATTCCCCGGACAATGGCATGGATGAGGCAGTTCGGGATAGATGACGGGAGAGTGAGGCAAACAAACACGGTGTGTGTGTGTGGTTGCGGGTTACTTTTGTTGTTGGGCGGTGTTGGTCTGACTGCTGCGGTTCATGATCCCCAGGGCTCCCGAATGGTGGTGGTGGTGGTGGTGGTGGTGGTGGTCTGTGGTTGATGTGTCACTCGGTATGTCTCGCTCTCGCGTCACTGTACTTGTTCGGGAAACCAACAACGGGTATAAAGATGGAGAAGCAAAGTGACTGGCTATGGCGAGACGGGAACTGTTTAAAAAAAGCGTGGCTGACCGTGGGCGACATGCTGCGAAAAAGAAAGCAGAAATAAAAAAGAAAACAATCACCAGTTGGGACAAAAGCTTTATCTTGATAGGGGGGGAACCGAGTGTAAAGGTTCAGAGTACTGTAGGTAGGTACATGGCACAACATGGGGTACAGCATGGGGACAACAACATGGGAGAAAGACATGGGCCCATGCACCGAGTTTGTGTGTAACAATAATGTATAGCGAGCGGGTTTGATAGGTTTGCCCTTTTATTTTTTTTGTTTTATTTTTTTTAAATTCTTTTTTCCCTTTTTTTCACCAGTGTCTACAGGGTACCTATCTGTGTTACCCCGACTACCGAAGCTACCTGTACACTAGTATGCGATGGAGGAGGCCGGATGGGGAGAGAGTTCCAGAGTCGAGGAGATACCTGGTAAAACACGCTCGCTGTTCAACGGGCAAAGAAATTGGCAATTTCCCGGCCTTTTCGTTGATTGGAAAGAGAGCTAGAGCAGCCATGGCAATCTTATCGGCAACTGTGTGTCGAGTCAAACAGGAGGATGGACCTGACTCCGGCCGCCGCTGGCTGGAACTCGACGATCCTCCCACAAGACAAGAGGTACAAACCCACCGTAAATTTCTCCAATAATGCCCCACGTGCCGTTGCAGAGGTTGCTGCTCCAAGCAGGGTTCCGGGGTCTAGTGGCTAATTGCCCATGGAATGGAAGCCAGGGCGACGCTCGGATTTACGGTGGACTCCCGCCGCCTAGCAGCAGAAGCCTTCTGGAAAATGGAAGACGCGGACGGGAGAACCATTCCAAATTTCCACCCAGCTCTTTTTTACCTAGGTACGTATATACATAGTAGGTAGCCTAGTTAGTGTCGGTGTGTCCCGTTCCCTTGCTAGTGGATATATCATATCTCCCATACCTGCGGCGCACTAGGTAGGTACACTAAGAGGTGGTCTGTGATTGGCAGCAACAGTCTCCAAATCCACTTTCCCTTTCACCCAAACCTAACCTCTTACCCGTTCAACCCGGTAACAAACAACAGTAACGCTTCAGGGGATGCCGGTGACCATGACAATACATACAGTACACTACTGATGATTCACAGCCTCCTCTGCTCTCCCCACATGCCTTGAAAAATTCTCCCGTCCTTCCACTTCCAAACATCCAAACTCGGCTTACAGGAAAAAGCAACCACGGCAGATCAAACACTTTTGACATTCCCGTGCTGCCGACGGAACCTAACCTAACAACCCCCCCCCCCCCCCCATGGCCAGGCACATGCGAGGTCATTCAATTCGATGTGATTGATGCTCATGATCCACCACCACCCCAAAGAGACCAGTGTCTGTTTACTTTTTCGCACCAGACCACTCCAGACATCCTCAGCCCTACCCAAGCCAACCTTTGATGAGAACAGGGAAGAATGGTCTTGCACTGAGGAAGCCAACGCCGTTCCTCTGCCGCGGATACAAACCGGTCGTCCCAAATAGGTAGGTGCTTTGCTTCCAGGCCTTTGTCCACCCCCTGTCCCTGACCGGCCACATTCCCACCCCCCCGGTCGTCGAACCCGTCCATCCCCGGCTGCCACCAACCAAGCCAACCCCCCCTGGTCCTGCTCTGTTTCACGACCGGGAGCCGAGCTATGAAGGATCCGGTCTCCCCCTGGTCCCGCCCGGGCGTCATAGCGATCCTTTCCACCCAATTTCTCATACGAAGTGGAAACACCAAGAGCCGAGAACAAGACAGAACCAGCACAAGCCAGCCGGGCATCCCTTCACGGCCGGCCGCGCGGGCATGGCACGTTTGGGGTCATGGTGGTCAAGGTAGCTCATGATCATGGACATGGAAGTGAGCGTAGGCCTGTTTGGCTGGCTGGCTGGCTGGCTGGCTGGGTGCATCATGTGCGTGCTATGCTTTTTTTTTCTCCCCCGTTCGTCATTCTGTCGCTCTTCTCGCTAGCTAGCTCTGCCAATCCGACTTCTTGGCTTGCTATCATATACTCAAATACTCTGAAAAAAATGATAGCCCCCAAAATAAAACAATAGGTCCTACACTATATCGCAAGCCGCCTGATACCCGTTCGTCATCACAGCCCACGACGGATGCAGAGAAAAACTCTCATCATCACTGGTCACCCAGAGCTTCGGGTCCAGCACACACTCTCGACATGGTTGCATGTCTTTTTTGGTATGCCAATGGAACTTGATCATGTCACCCTACTACGGCTGGGAACTTTTGAGAGGAGGCATGACGGCACAAAATACGGTGAAGAATACGACTCTATTCAAAGGCATGTATGTAGTATGTACGTATGTATCGGGGATGACGATCATTCTCACTCTCTCACTCATCTCAGTCACAAAACAGGCGATGGCATGCTCGGGCGCACACTCATGCTCACACCACTTTCTTTCTTGACAAATGGAAACTGCCATTCAGCAACAAGCGCAAGCGCCAGGCGCGGTGACTGTATTTTTTCGGTCTATGTCGTCGTCCACTCTCACTTTCCCCTTCCTCGTTGACACCCACCCACTCACACTCACACTTACACCCACAGATCCATCCAACCATCCATCCACTTGCATGGGTTCTTTTCCTCCATCTACACTGCATACATACACTGATGCCATGCGCCCCATGTTCATCAGCAGCACAGGGTGTAGTGCCCCATTGGCATGTTGTTCGTGTTACACAAGAAAGGGTGATCAATGCAACCCAACTCCCTCGGTTGAGTTCGCCGAGACCGGGCGTAACACTGGAGAAGGGGACAAAAAAAGACTGAAAGATCCAGTTCACAAAAAAGAGAGAGGAAATGGGATGGCGTTACAATCCACGTCGGCCGGAAAGCAACCCAAAAGATGCCGTAAAGAGAGAGAGAAACGAGAGAGGCATTGCCAGACATACATACCGCGAATGACGCGGTAGGATAGCGCGGTACACGGGCATAATACCACAATACCCCTGTAACAATATCGGCTTCAGCGTAATGATGATACCTACCTACCTTTTTTGCAGGCCTCTGGAAAACCCAGTGGCTCGGATACGCCTTGTCCTGTTGGACCGTTAGTGTGTACCTCGGAGACCTCCAACTCTGGTCAACCAATCAAGACACCGGACCATCCTCCATCCTACGCTAGCCCCGAGTTTATGTAGGTACCAGGTCTAACTGACAGCAGCAGAACACACGTGCATGCCAAACAGGGGAAAACGGGACCAAAGAAGGAATAGGAAAGCGTAAAGATTTGCTGATAAACCTACAAAAGAAGAAAAGAGAGCAAAGAAAACAAGGCGGACCACATTCCGCTAGGAGACTTCTCCGCGAGACAGCAGCAATCCCTGTTGGAAAGAAAAAAAAAAGCCCGGGGAAATCATCAATGAACGACATCCTATCGCCCGTTGGACTTTTTATATCGAACCATATCTACTACATACCTAAAAAGCAACTACACTAGGATTTCCAAAAGTAGTAGCAGCATCAACTGCATGTCTCAGATACACCACCACCCCCACCCTAAGAACAGGAAAAAAGCAATGTTTCTGAGACGGCTCCTGAGAACTGAGACATCGTGATCAGTTTCCAGCGCGTCGAACACACCCGAAAAGCCCGTTAGCAAGAGCAGCTGAGCGAGAGACATTCAAGCCCTGACTGCCCTGTCCGAACTGCTGAATGGATATATTGATGAATGCCATTTTATTTTCAAGCACGCAACGAACACTTACCGGCGGACACTAATCACACCCACGGCACCGAAGCAGAGTCATGAAAATTGTTAGTCCCGGATTTACACTATCTTCATTGCCCTCTTCACGTTATTCCACCTGCATTAGCCACCATCAGGGAAATTCCCATTCTCCCTTGTCAAGCCACTACGGGAAAAAAAAAAAAAAAAGAAACAACAGCAATAACGCCATCGATGTATAATGTAAGAAATGTAAGAAACAAAGCGCAATATCTGGTCGATGTCGGCATCGTCGGCACCACCGGCCACTAGTCACTAGTCACCAGCCACCAACCAACAGCCACTGGGATCAACATCCATCCCAACGTCTCTGCGCAATATAACTCCATTTATATGAAAGTTCCTTCTTCTCCCTTCTTCTGTCGCGGCTGAAAGCCACCTACCTACCTTGTCTTCCAACCTCCCGATGATGATGATGATGATGATGAAAGCCACAAGTAAATAAATTCCTCCGTTTTTTAATTCGTAAAACCAGGAATCCGATTCGTCTGTCCTCTTTCGAAACCAACCAGGGAGCTAGCACAGAAAGCCACAAAGTCAGACGAGCCAAGGTAGGTAAGGTATCTAGGCAAGGTATCTAAGCAAGGGTGCGGCGCAGGTATGTATGTACAGTACACTACCCTAACATACGAGCATACTTACCTACCGTACATAGGTATTATCCCCATGTCCCGTCTACTAACACACGTCCATTCACGTCTTGCACCCACGTTTGTGCAGTTCAGTTAGGTAGGTAGTTCCGCACTGTACATACCTAGGTACCTCGCTGTCCTGACTTCCAGCTTAAATTGAAGCCGGCTGGCTGGCTCCCTCCCCCCCTCGCTCCTTCTTCCTCTTCTTCTTCGGGGTTAGTCCTGCCTTCCAATTCGGGTCCGATACCAGAACAAGTACATGGACCAACTGAACTGAACCAGGCAGGGTAGTATGTACGGTACGCACTTCTTTCTTAACTCGGCATGGCTTGCCTTTTTTATCTCTTTCTTCAACGCTTCCACTTTCACTTTGTAAGACCCTTAGTAAGTTGAGAGCCCGCTGCCTCTCGTCTCTGCAATACCTAGGTAAGATATCTTGCCTATAGGTACCTAGCTAGCGGTAGTTCTTTACAAGAATTGCCCTACCGGCTGGGATCACAAATACCTAGGTAATGTACCTACCTAGGTAGGGTCTCAGTACACACACAACGATTCCGTCCGGCAACTGGAATCCGACTAGGTACGTATCTTTCTTGTATTTGGAAAGGCTACCTACCTACCTACCTACCTACCTACCTACCTATACATAGGTACCTACCTACCTAGTAGCCCCACTAACTGACTCTCCATCTTTCTCGCTCTTGGAAAACGAATTGATCAGATTCATGAGAACCTGACTTGACAAATACCTTTACCATTGGGACACAACCCAATAGACCCCTTGGAAGGGTGTTCTTCGTCAGCTTCCCCATTCAACCACAACCAACCATCCATTCATTCCATGGCATCCCTGGGGCTGGGTCTGGGGCTGGGGCTGAGCGCCGGGACTGGGACTAGTGGACACGGAATTTCTGACTGCGCTCGCTGCATACCGTACTAACCACGTACGGTACCGACAGGTCATGTAAGTTCACTCACATGATATCCCGCCTGGTCCCTTGCGTGCATTAGTCTAGGGTAGTATAGTTGCCCTACCTTACCCAATCTGTAGCGTCATGGTCTGGTTGCACGAGTGACGACCTTACCTGTTTGATCCATGGCGGCCCATTCATCTTTTTAGGTTAGGTAGGTAGGTAGGTAGGTAGGTAGGGTAGGTTCCCTGGCGGCGGCGTCCAAATACGGCACCGAACACGGCACTGACATACGTAGCCAGTAGGTAGTACCTCGTGGTAGGTACCATGCATGCATGTATGCATACAGGGGATTTCGGAAAGCAGGGCAGGGACGGTAACTAGGTAGGTGGGATGGACTGTTACTTAGCTCTACGGTACCTCTAGAGACTGGATGGATAGACCTACCTGACCATGTTGTCGACGCATGGAACTTCACGTCATAGGCATCATCGATTCTTTCACATATTTGTACTGTCTGTAGCTAAGTTATGTGTCAGTTAACTACACGCTCGGAGTATTAAGGGAAGAAGCCGAAGACCCAAACAAACAAACAAACAAACAAACAAATAAACAAAATAGAAAAAAAGGGGAAAAAAAGAAAAAAAGAAAAAAAGAAAAAAAAAGTGAGGGAGAAGAGAAGCAATCGGTTACATCATATTCAACTTAAACTTCCAGCTGCTATTTGCTAGATAACTCCCAGCTTATCCCAGCCCAGTACCTACCTAAACTTCCAATTTAACTCCCGCCCCCACCCAACAAAATCAGACAACCTAGAGGTAGGTAGGTTTCGTTCTTTTCCGAAAACTATGTGTTCCCCCCGTGCCCGTCTGTCTGTCTGCCTGTCTGTCTGTCTCCCTCCTGTTCTCAGCTTGCTGGGATTCTTTCACTTTTTTTTTTTTTTTTTTTTTTTTTTTTTTTTTTTTTTTCAATCCTACCTTACTTTACCTTACCTACCCAATTACCAACAGCACCAGCGGTTCTACCTATAGCTGTCCTGGCACATGCGGCCGTTTGCCCCCCCCCCCCCCCCCCCCCCCTTTTTTTTTTTTTCCTGTAGTGCATTAGTGTAGTAATCGGGACATGAATAGGGGCGGAAAAATTAACCGAAACGAGAAAGACGAAACGAAAAAAGACAACATGACATGGCATGGGAGAGAGAATCGCGGAGTTCGAGAAGCAAGCAAGCAAAAGTGTGCAACGACCTACGTAAGCGAATAAGCGAAACAAGTTAAGAAGAGCCGAAACAAAGGGAGGAGAGATGAGTGATAGAATCTAGAAGACTATTTCGCTCGCTATTATTCAGTAACTGGAGGAGGAGGAGGAGGAATTCTATCTCCCTACCTATTCTACATCCAATGACTTGGGATTTTCACGCACAAAGTTCTCGAAGTAGTGTGTGTAACGGGTAAGGCAAGGTAAGGTGAGGCAAGGGAAGTTGAGGCAAGGTCGGTCGTAACGAAGGCAAGGTAAGAAGTGAGGTGAACTCTGAATGGGTCCGTAGTCGTTCTCACAATCTACCTAGGTAATATTCCAATCCCTACCTGGATACGTACCTACCTACCTACCTACAAACACAATTAGGGAGCTAAATATCACAAAATGCTGTTGGTTAATCAACTAAAAAAGATAACAACAAACAACGAGGAAAAAAAACAGATGAGATGATATTTCCCTCATTCCCATGTCTATAATACACCCTTGCACTTGTACGACGGAATATCCGGAATATCCGAAATCGAAGCGAACGAACGAACGAACGAACGAACGAACGAACGAACGAACGAGATAAAAAGAAGAAAAAAAGATACTAAACCGCCCGGTCCTAGTAAAGTCCATTGGAAGAACTCTAGGCAGGGCTTCGTCAACTGCCTGGTGCTGCTGCCTGGTAAAAGTAGGAGATGGCCTTCTCAATTAATTTCAAATTGGGCTCAAGCTCTCTTAGGCGTAGCCTGGATATACCGGTTCGGAAGATGGGAAGGATACAATAGTGCCTTCCATGAACTGATGAACTGAAAGAAGGAAGTGGTGATGAAGTTGTTCCATTGGAAGCCTGGTGCAGTGTTAAAGCCACTGCCTGCCTGGTTGAGATCTTGTTATTATTCAATCCAGGATGAACTCGAAGGAAAGTTGAACATTCTTTTCGTTCTTATCGGCCCTCGTGGCATTATCTCGTGGGAGGTGGTGGTTCGGTACACGGTTTCGAGAGAGGATGTTAGGGGGTAGTAGATCTCTTTGAGGGGTTGGTGGTGGGTGGTGATGAGTGGAAGAAGTATTTGGGGAGGGGGTGGTGGTTACTTATTGGAATAGGGAGTTGGAAGTGGAAGACGAAGTGGAAGTAAGGTAAGAGGTTGACTTGGAAGTTGATAGTAGACGGTGGAGGATATTGGAATTTTGGATCGGGTGGGTCGATTGTTGGGAGTGTGTCCTTCCCTGTTTCTTTCCTCTTTTACAATTCAATACTGGTTTGTTTGTTAGTTTAGTTCCTCGGCCATGGGTTGAACAGGGAAAATCTAAACCTCTTATTGGTCTCCTAAAGAGAAAATTGGCCTCCGTTTGAAACGTTATAGGATAATAGCTAGGGTTGAAAACGCTACATAAGCCTTCTTATACCTCTCTCCGTCTTCTTCTAAAGCCTTCAAAGACTAAAAAGATATAAAACAACAGTCCCCGACGGCACCCGTCCGCTTAAAACCCGAATACTTTTTTATTCTAGTAGCCTAAGAGTGGAAGTGGGCGTTTTTTGTACCAAACTAATAAACAAACCAGGGTTAGATTGTACTTTTTTTTTTCCTACTGCCCTTCAGGTTTAAGTCTTGGTCAAATGGTACAGTTGTCTTTCCACACATTTCACAGCTTGTCATATTTTCCGCCGTGTACGCTGCATCCTGTTACTAAACTCTGTCGCTATTCGGCCGTCATGTTCTGTCGCTGTATCCTGTCGCCGTGTTCCGTCGTTATACCTATCCTGTTTCCAAAAATCATTATCATCAAAATTCATAACCTATTTGTGTCCCTACCCTGCATCCTACTTAGGTACCCACGTGCAGCTACCATGTCCCTTTGCTCTGCCTGACAAAACACCCATTCCTGGCCTTATTCAAAAAGAGAGTACCGGTAGCAGCACCCGCATCAACGCTGCACACCATAACCTCTCGGTCACCGACCCCTCAGTGATCATCGAAAGCAGGTCAATCCCGTTTCGAACCGCCAACCTCATACACTCCCCTCACCTTGACCCTAGCCTTTCCGGGACAACCGTCAAAGTCCCATCGATCAAATCCTCATCTCCCAAACCCTAATCCTCCAACTCCCCAATCATATAAAGTCCTATCTTCCAACATTCCATCCTCCAAGCCATCTTCCAGCCCCCCACCTCCCGCCACCCCTCCTACCATCCCTTCCTCCCCCCCTACACCCATGATCTCTCCCCTCACCCCATCCCGATCCCCATCACCACCCAAATAATTCAAATACTCCCCCGGCAAACACCCACCTGTGCCTTCCTCCTCCATCGAGTCCTTCCTCTCATACAACGTAACCTTTACTCCCCCCGTCTCCCTCTCCCTTCCACTTTCCATTCCCATCCCATCACACCTCATCAGTAACGTAGTTGTCCTCACCCCCTTTTCCTTCTCCATCTGCCTCGCCAACTCCCTTATCTTCTTCAACAGCGCCACCACCTTTCTTAGCGTCCTCTGATTTAGCTCTGTGTCTGCCCACAGTCGTATCTCCTCGCTCTTGTCTTCTTCCACTACACTATTGTTGTATCCGCTGCCGCTGGGAAAGAAACGTCCATTGTCGTTCTTGGCGATGTACAACTTGTGAATTTGCGAAAAGTAGAGTTGGGCTTCGGCGTTGAAGAGCGGTTTGTTGCGGACTTTGTGGGTCTTGACTTCGACGAGGCAGTGAGAGGGGATGTCGCGGCCGAGATGGAGGACGCGGAGGGTCGCGGACGGATTGGAAGGGGAGGTGCTGAGGTGTCCGGGGACGCAGGGTCCTGGGATTTTGTCCATGAAAAGAGGACGGCATGGGGAAGGGGGTGGCGACGAAGGGGGTGTTTCTCCTGTTGTATGTGAATCGCGGTGGCAGGCGTCGAGGGAAGAAGAAGAAAATACAGAGAGGTGGGTGCTCGGTTTAGATGAGCCGGCAGAGACGGCACTGCTGCGTCGTTGGTATTGGGATACTTCGTCGACAGTCAATGCTGACAAGGTTTCGGGTAGGGTGGGATCAAAGTTGCTTGGTCGGTGGCAGTCACAGTGGTATGCGTCTATCTCGGACTGGACGACTAACTGCAGTCCACCGAAGCGATACTGTATAACCCGATGGTGACTTGCGCTACTCTTGAGTAGTTCGTCTTCTTGATCGTCGTAGATGCACGTTGCTTGCTCGAAGCCGGTGCCGTGACCCAAACTGGAGTTCAGATATGGGTCCGATGTCCACTTGGATAGAAAGAGCGTGTCATTTCTCCAGGTGAGATCATAGCGCTCATAATTCTGTTGTTTATTGTGGAAGATCATGAACATCTTTCGGAGGTTACTTGCGTTGCTGACAATGTCTGTTTGTCTCAAGTCATAGTTGGGATCGGTTGCTTCGATAGATCGCACAAGGGGCTCGAAATGATGGGTGTAGGTCGGGTAGTCACGCCCGAGGGATTTGTTGTCGTAATCGAGCTGGAGGTCAAGTCGCTCGGTTATAGGGTGGAGGCGCGGAGGAACACCTAGATGGGAGAATTAGCAAAGACGCTTCTTCTATACCTCTGTCTACTCCGGGCCAAGACTGCCCCTTCCCTCCCAGGATACAACAACGATCCGAGGGGATACATACCTGGTACTGCTATCTGATTGCTTGCAATTTTGTTGAAGCTCGAAATGGCATGCACATCTTGGATCCTGACCGGTCCATCTTCTTCCAAGCCCATGTTTTGCACATTGATATTCATCAGAAACTTCAAATTCTGCCGGATCAAATTATCCCGCCCGCCACTCCTCTCATTGTACAGAGAATCGCGCCGGACATGGCTCGAGGGATGATAATATCTGCAACATCCCGACGTAAGGAACTCACACATCTCTCCATTCCGGCATGGCTTGGATGGCGTTTGCATCATTTGCTTCCAGATTCTGATCCGGTAAGGGTTATGGTCAAGGTTGCAACTCGAGCTTCGTTGGCAGGGTTTGTCGTTGACGAGCCATCCGCAGGGAGGCTGGGATCTTTCTCTGTGTAGCATCGCGACGTGTATGTGTTGTCGGTTTTGCGTTGAAAGATGTTTACTTAATGAGCAACAGCAGGGAGTTTAATGACAAGTTCATCAACCAAGATGTCTGGTGGGACCATGGTTTATATAGGGCAAGGAGCTTGTTTGTCAGGATGCTCCAATCCCTTTTCTTCTTGCATTATCAACCTTCGGTACGAGAGGCCTACCAGCGGGATAATCAAGGCAACCAGGACTATGAGTCCAGTCTATCAGGCTCGCTGGATGATGTCGCTGTAATCGTTTGTACCCGAAGAACAAACAATGGTAGCGAGGTAGGTTCCCCCGTCGGAGGCCCGCGCTGGTTGAGCTCAAAGGTGTAGGTGATGTTCGCTCGTGGACGGCCAATAATTCGCGGGCCCAACTGCAGACTAGCAGTGCAGAATTGACCCTTACTCGATAGTTCTGGTTGATTGGTTGTAGGCTTGCCAACTAACTCCCGCGGGAGGCCCAGCGACGGGAATCTAGGGTGTTCTTGTGGTCTGTCGATTGGGAGGCATACAAACGTTCTGAATCTAGGCTCAATGTTAGGTTGTCTATGTCTTGGACGAGGCGGATTGGGGAATGGTTGCTTGCCTACCAAAGTGCACCAGTTGCTCTGGTTGGGTCTGCCTCGTGCTAAGGATCGATGCAAGTCTGCCTGTGTTGCTGCCTCAGATGCGATTGACCGCGGCCTAGGAATGATAACAACAATGGTGACAAAGGGGAAACCGACGATCTGGTCTAGGATGTGTAATAGGGCTTTATCAAGAGAAGGGAAAAAAGGAAAGAAGAAAAAAAAAACAAATCCGGGTGTGTGGGCCAACGGGCATATGCACCATGATCAATTGGCCCCAGGGCAACTGGCTGCACGTCCCACAGGACCGCAGGAAGGAAGCCATCGCCAGTCAAGAGAAGTGACTGAAGCATAGTTAACTGATTAGCAGTTGGGAGCGATAAACCCGTGTTATTCTCCACAGCAGACTACTATTTCACTTGTTGCTCATTTTCTGACCCTCTCCCTTGCTGTGGTAGTGATCTGGGTATATGATGGCGGGATGCATCCGTCGGTGCCAACAAATAGAAAAGGCCATTCTGCATGACCGGAGTTTCTCGGCGCGCGGAAAATTGCATGTTCTGTCGGCCGACGTACACTATGTGCTGACTGATGGATTCGTCGTCGACAATGTATCAAGGAGCAGTTTCTGGCCTCAATGCCTTGCTTGCTGCGTATCAAAAAGAACGTGGGAAGGCATCGCTGTCATTGTATTTGTCTGGTGGACCACTAGGCCGTCGGATCTTCTTGCAGATTCAGATGATGAAGGGGTCAAAATGACTAAATGAAATCGAAAGTAGCACAAAACTGAAAAGAGACAAGTGTAAACAGACTCCAAGACGAGCACCCATTGCTCAATTCATCCAACTTACGCACCCTTGAGACCTACCGTGGCTAGCAATGAGTGCATTCCATTCAGAGCCATCGCAATGAGTCGGATGAAGCACATGCGTTCCCTCTCGACTTTGTTGCTCACGGTGTAGTTCGACAAGATGGGTGCCCTGCAAACACTCCAAGGCGTACGGGACAGCAGCGGTGATACCTTAGCGACAAGACAATAGGACCCAGGTGTTTGATCCGATAGCCTATTGGTGTATGCACTTGCACATCACTGAGGTTGGAAAATTCAAACCACCATCAAAAGCGAAGGTTTAGTTTGTAACACTCCTTCACTGAGCATCAAAACAACTCGGATGACACGGGGAGAGTTCAGAAGCCACGACCCATTCACCAAAGGTGCAATGAATTCTAAGTCGAAAATGGCCAACTCACTTGCACAAATACCGCGCTCAGTTCGCCATAAAGCAATAAGAAAAGTCCCTCTACCTTGAACAATTCAACCATCTTAAGCAAAACGAAGGAAGTGCACAGATACAAAAAAGAAGCGGAAATAAAGCAGAAATGGAGTTTCAGGAAGCACTTACTGGTCTAATGACAACATGCACTGGGTTGGTCCCAATCCTCGCACTCGAGGTACCATCGAACCTCTCCGTCCTCGTCGAAGATATCCCAAGAGTGCTCAGAGAGCTCGAGGAGACACTGAGGGATCTCCAAGAAATACCTCGGGAGAGAAGGGAGATGGTGGAGGTCCACCACTTGCTGGTTGTGCTGGCATACGGCATGTTTGAGCTCTCTCGGCTTGATGCAGCACTCCATGCTCTTGGGTACTTTGGCGATCAGGAGCCAAGTACGGAAGACAAAAAGGAACGGAACATGAATGTGTTGTGGGACGTCAAGATGACCTTGGCGGAGTTTTGGGAGTATGTCAAGAATCTCAGAACCATCTTGGTCAGGTGAGTTTGTCCGCAAGAAGTCCGGCTCCAATTTTTGCTGATATTCTCCAGCGAATCCCAATCCGAGCGTGTTTGGAGCAAGAACAAGCTGGACAGAGAGCTCCAAGCAGTTCTTCGACGCCCTAACCATGTGTCGAGTCGTCTTAGAACCATAGACCTGTGGATGGAGGACGGACAACGATACGGCAACGGCGGTTGGAATAGGGCGTTTACTGATGTAATGTTAGACCCAACTTTAGATCCTCCGATTGTGCCTAGCAGAGTGGCTGCCATAAGATCTCAGTTCGACCCAGAGTCAGGCTACCAGCCAGTGCGTAACAATTTCAACCAACCGCTTTCAAGATCGTCGGACCCGAGATGGTCATCTCAGGCAAGGGATACAGCACGTGTACTGCTCACTGATATCTCGGGCGTGGAGGACATCAGTATTCCCATCTACCGGGAGGACCTGAGTAACGAGGCCAACTACAGATTCAGTAGCGCGCCTCGTAGATCAAGACCAAATTACTTGGACATTGCGGATGCGCCGGGGATACGAGAGATTGCTCAGTCATCGCCTTGGCAACCACCGCGATAAGAAGATTGCTGGATCCCACAGGAGATGGATTCCTGGTGGTAAGGCAAAGGCAGGAGGTATAACGAGATGCTGGGGTGAGACATTCCCGACAGAAACCCGTTGCTGTGGAATGAGAAGGTGCGGTTCGTAACATGGCGGGCTGCGAATGGAAAAAAGGGATGACGGAATGTGGCAGGGTGAGAATACGGGGAGAAGGATAGAAGAACCATCAATAAGGCCCAGTGGTGTGAAAAATGCAGACGTGTGAGCCGTCGGGGATAGTGTTGTTGAGGGCCTCGAAGGAGATGTCTGAGAAGCATTAATTCATGCCACAACTCGTAGCTTCGCCGAAGATAACTCGCCATTGTCTGCTGTGGACTGTGCTGTGCTCATTGACACCCCACTCGAGAGTAGGAGAGCCTCTTGTCAAGGGTCAAAGTCGTCAAATAGCTCAAGACCCTCTAACCTTTCTTGGCCTGCTTGATGATTTCGGCGATCTGCGCGCTGGACTTAAGAGTGAACCCCGGCGATAGCATCAACTCAGTGCCACACCATACAGAATAGGTATCTCAGCTGAAGCTCCGATGGGTTAGCGCCATTTCCACAAAGCCTATCCTCGGAGAATAGCGCCCTAGCGGCATGTAGCGAGCAAGCGTGCCGGCCAGGGGCACCAGCTATGTGCCTTTTCTTTTCTTCACGTGAGGGAATCGCCAAGCCCAGCCTCGGTTCGGCTCCGAGTGCCCGGTCGGACCGGTCGGTGGAATTTCGTAGTGTAGTGTAGCATTCATCGAGATGTCGCAATCACCACCACCCTTCCGAAATGTCGTGTCGGCACATGCGCTCCATTGACATGGCGTAATGTCGCAGTTGTACAGTACTGTAGTAGTGTATCTGTATGTATCATGTTAGCTATGTCGTGTACTGTATCTCGTTTATCAGATGCAAATCCCCATAGCGGAGCCTCCTGGGGGACCACCACGCGTGGAGACCGCTGGATCCTCTCAGCGACCCCAGAAAGAGCCCTGAAAATTTCGGAGCAGCCTCCCGAAAACGGCTTGGGCTGACTATCGTGGGGATCGGCCCGAGTTGCACACGGCTAGCGCGAGTTCCACCTTCCACGAGTTCCGTCATTTCCATGTGGATACAAACACCATCCAGGCACCCGGTCCTGAGCCTCTAGCCGAGCAAGCTGAACAAGAAAAAAACGGATGCCCTCGTGGCGGGACACTAATCTCCGGCTTGACCAGAGCCCCAAGCGCGCAACGGTTCTTGGAAACGAGATGGCGCATGGGTCTGCGAGCGTTGTGCAAGGTGCAAGGACAGGCACGCAAAGGAAAACAAGCAAGGACAGGCTGAGGAGAGAAACGCGCAAAAGATGATCAGCATGGCCTACACACGGAAGCACGGCTAATATCGATGGAGCTAACCACGGGAAAAACTGGAAGAATACGGCGGCTCTTGGACACTGAAATTTGGACCTGTCCGGATCATCGGATCGTCATCAACAGGCCAGCCCGCGGACAACCGGCACCCCGTGTGTTGTCCGAAGTTCATCGGCCGTGGTATTGTGGCGTGGCTCGTGGTGGCATGTACCGGTAGATGGCGAAGAACATGTTGAACGGAAGAAGCCGAAAGAGCAAAACAGGGAAAAAGAAAGCGATGGTGGGAGCAGATTCAGATCGTATACAAAATGCCACTGAGCGAGGAGGATGTTGGAGCCTTGGTGAGAGCGACCCGGTGGCGGCAGTGAAGTGGAAGGAAATGGAAGAGTTTAGAGGCACCGGACTGATCAGGGCGGACGGGGGAAAAAAAAGAGAAAGAAAGAAAGAAAGAAAGAAAGAAAGAGGAAGGAAGTTGAGAAAGGAAAGCCCAGCTGAGCCAAGCTCTGAAGTGAAAGAGTGTGACGGAGTCTGATGATGAACTCAAAGTCGCGACTGCCATTTTCACACATTAGCATCAAGTAATCACAAAATGGGTTGGGCCTTGAACCATGAGTGGAAAGGCGGAGGGAGGCAAGAACATCTTTCGTACCTGCCTTGTGATACTCAACAACATTGGACACCTCGCTCTATGTTAACGCCAACAGCGACACCACCCAGTTCGTGAATTGCGCAAGGAAGATACTCTTGCCAGAGCTAAGTGAGCGCAATCGTCCGTGAACACAACTTCCCTCAACCAGTCATTATCCATCATTGCATGCCGACATTGCCCTGGGTCCAGCGAGCCCAAGGGAATAATATGGCATCATCACCAACATGACCTAACCTCAAGACCTCAAGGTGGAAGCCATATGTACGTTCATCAAGAGACTAGGTAATTGTAAAGTGTACATCTTCCCTCTTCCATCTTCCCTAAAAGGTACCGTAAGGATACAAAATCCAACAACGCCAACCAACCAACCCTAAATAACCTTTTTTTTCCCCTCGCCATCGATCCGTCCATCCATCCATGCATGCAGTTGAAACCATAACACAAACAGAAAGAAATAAGAGAAAATCCCTTTCTAAAGGGAAAATGCCACATGGTCTATCTAACAAAAGCAAAACCGAACCGAACCGAACCGAACCGAATCGAAATCGTACCAACAACACCTAGCCGTAACCATGCTAACTAATGTTCCGCTATGCTACTGAGGAAGGTATCGATGTATAAGCAAGCAGTCAGACCACCGCCGACAACGTCCGTCCGTTCAAGAGACCGGGACAAACCAGACCAAACCACCGTGAAATCAACGTGAGATTTTGAGGTGAGTGAGTGAGAGGCGCTGTGAGGCGTCGAACGATAAAGAAATTTGAGAGGGGGATATGTCGTGAGCGAGATGAGGTTGGGAAGTCCGGCCGTGGAAAGACATGTGGTCTACCGAAATGAAACGCCCTTTGTGAGTGAGGGCCACCGGGGGGAAACATGGCGTGATGTGGTAAGGAAATAGCTATGCGAAGGGACAGGGACGACGCTGTCCATGTTCGCTGTCATCTTGGTCGACGTTTCATCCTTTCATCCCGCCGGCTAACACCAAATATGCCGCCAAGTGCATACCGACAACGACGAGACCCATTGCGCCCCAGATAGACTGAAGCTCACAAGAACAAACCAACCCACGCCGTCTTGTAGCTGACATCAGTCGAGCAATCGTCCACGGCGCAAAGGACCTTGAGGTTCTTGGCCGCCACAGCGCTGGAACTAGAACCAGCCGCGCCCGACGCAGAGGACCCCTGATCCTTGTGTTTGAAGCCCGTGTTCTTTGTGCACTTGCGGTTTTCGTAGCATTTCTTGCAGTAGACCTGTTTCGTTGATTCGATCGTTAGATCACCATCATCACCACACGAGCCGGGGGAAGAGCAAGGGGCATATAGAGAAAAGAGAGGAAAAAAAACATACGTGACCACACTCCTTGACAGCCCAAAAGAAGTGTTCCTCTCGATCCTTCTTCGTCCTCGCCTTCTTCGGCGTCGGTCCCGCTTTTTGATCTTCCTCATCAGGATCATACGCCAACTCCTCCTCACAACTCGGACACACCACCGTCAGATCCTCTCCCGTAGCCCGCGTGAACCCTTCTCTAGGCGGTGGCGGCGCATTGGCGTTCCTCTGCTGTTCTGCCGCAGCCGCAGCCGCAGCCGCTGCTGCCGCCGCCGCAACTCCGTTTCGTCCATTGTTACCGTAGTCGAGATGTGGCAAGTTCCTTCCCAGCGGATTGTTGTTCGCGTCCAAGCCAATAAGTTGGACTTCGAGATCCGGTCGGACGTTGGCAAAAGCGCCCAGGCGGAAAAGGTGGTAGAAGTTGTTAAACATGCCACCGCCTGGTACTGCGCGCGCGGCTCTACCGGCGGCGGCTGGGGGACGGGCGGCGGCGGCGGCGTTACGTGCTACTGAGCGATGAGCGGCGCGAGCCACGGCGTCGTCGTCATCCGAGTCGACTTCGCCTAGGTCGACAATCAGTTCGTTGGCGGCCGGGCGGCGATTCACGGGCCTGCGGCTACGTTCGACGTTGCCGGGTTCGCGGTGAGGAGGGCGGTGGTTGCGGTGACCGCTGGCAGCTGGGACGGGTTCGTCATCGTCCAGCGTAAGGTCGATGACCTCGGCAAATCCGTTGCCAGCTGGGGCGGGAGCGCCGTTGTTGGCGTTGTTGGCCGACATTGCGCGGCGTGCGCGGCGTGCTGCTGACGCTGCGGGGTTGTGATGATGATGACGGCGGTTGTTTATAGCTCGATTTCCACCAGCTCGAGGAAGGGCAGCGGGCTCGGCGTCGGAATCTTCCAGATCTGAGGTCAAGTCGATGACTACTTGAGCTTGTTGGTCTTGTTGTTGTGGTTGCGCGGGGTTGAGGTTGTTATTGGCGGCGGCAGCAGCGGGAGTACGCCTGCCTGCCCGCCGGCCATCGTTGCCGCCCTGGCCCGCCCATTCTACTTCCATCTCGACTAGTTCGTCCAATATGTTGGCGGCAAGGTTTTGTCCTCCTCGCGGGGCACCTGCTGCTCCTTCACCCGAACCTAAAACACCTCCCCCGCCTTGCCGCTGTTGTTGAGCACGGCGACGGTCAAGCAGAGCCGGCACGCGATATGGGTGGTGACGATTTTGTTCGTGGCGGTTTTCCTCTCCTGCAATCGATGCAAACCGCCGACGCGCCTCAGCCAGTCCTTGCACAAATAGCTGGCGGCGTTGCTCTAGTTCGTCAAGACGTGCCTCAATACGTGCGCTGGCTTCAAAAATGTCAAATTGTTCGCGGAGACGGCGGTCGAGAGAGGAATCAGAATCGTCGCTTTCTTCGCTAGAGGTGTCGTCGTCGTCGTGTTCGCTGTCTTGTTCTGTATCTGACGAAAGGAAGCCGCTGCTGTCAAGATCGAGGCTGTTGTCGCTGTTGTCGGAGTAATCGTGAAAGCCGGGAATGTCGAGATCGAAGTCGTGGTCAAAATCGTAGGGAAGGTCGAGGTCGATGTCAAATCCAGGGTCGGCGTCGACCAGGCTAGATTCGCTAGATGACGGAGACTGTGGGGAATGTGGGCTCTGTCGATGGCGGGGCAACAGCGAACCGCCGCCAACGTTGTAGTGATTCTCTTCCTCCTCTTCTTCTCCTTCTTCGTCGTCAAGGTTTAGGTCAATGTTGTTGTTGTCGTCCAAATTGTGATCCCAGTCCAATTCAGGAACCTCGTGATCGTCTTCACTGTTGTCGAGACTCAGGTCAAGGTCAATGTCACTGCTGTCGTTATCGTTGGCCAGATGGTCTTCGTAATGGTCCTCGAATTGCCCTTCGCCCTCAGCGACCAATCGCTCGACCTGGTCCAAGAATCCGCCCTCGTCATCAAACCAGCCGTCTGCCGCGTCCATAATGACCCGGGGGGAAATGGAAGGGGGAGGAAGGAGGTTGATTCCACTGCGAAGTCGCGGTGCCAGTGTCGGTGTTCGGTGGGTGAAATTGCTTATTCACTGACAGTCGCCTCCGCGCATTTCCCCAACTGGAAGATTGGGGAGAGCAGCAATGCACAGACTGGCCTCGAGCTTTCGGGCCAACACCAGTGTGGTCCCCCTTGCCGCTGGTGATGAACGACCGGGATGAAGCCGAACCGCCCTGCTGATTCAATAAGTGCACGTGTTGAAGTGAATTTGGGAACCAGACCCAAATGTCCAATTCGTCCCTAGGTATGCTGGACGGTGATCAGGCACAACGAGGTCAGGGTTGAAGGAGAGCTACAGTAGCTGTCTGCAGCCTCGAGGGGTGGGTGGTGGCAAACGCAGCTTGGTCAGCAAATGAGCGAATAGCGTGTTGTGGTTTCAAGCTGATGTTTTTGGGTGAGCGGATAGCAGGAATTGAAAGATGAGAGCCAACCATCACCGTGATCGACGAATAGACTCGGTCAACAAAGGAAGGAACTGAGGCTTTGATATTTTGTGATAGTGGGGGAAAAAAAAAAGGAAAAAAAAAAAAACCAGAATAAAAAAAGTGACCACCAAGGCTTCCTGCCAATCCCGTCTTCCCGTCTTATGAATGGTTGAGGGAAGCCGTGGTGTCATGGTACCGTAGAAACTCGGTTAGTTAGCAAAGAGCTAACCTCAATGCCTGGAAAACCTGGATATCAGGCAGGGTGCAGATCTGTAACACTCGAGTCCGAGCCTGTGCTTCGGAATGCCGTCTAGGCAAGATAGTGTTGGGCAGTATGGTAGAGCCTTCACTAACTGAGCGGACATGCGTACAGAAAGAAGTAGAGGTATGCGGCGTCCTGTGCTTACCTCTACAATGTCGGGCGCTCAAAGAGGGAAGGCTTTTTGCCAACTAACCGAGTTTCTACGGTAGGTAACCGGCACGGAGAACTCGTGTTTTTTTTATTTTTTTTATTGTTTTTGTTTTTGTTTTTTAACTGAGGCACAAGGTCATTCATCAACACCTCAGTTGGTGTCTTTCACGAGTTCCTATAGTGACTTGACGCTGACCATGCTTAATGTAGCTCTGTTAGTACCTTAGCAGTACTGCAGGCAAAAGAGCGTATCACATCACTGTATCCTTAACAGCCAGACATAGGGGTCCAATTGTACACTACCTGAGACCACCTCAATCCCGCTTCAGCATTCAGGAACAAACAGCTGTCAGCCTATCAGGTTGCACTATCTCCCGATCCCGTCGTGAGCTCTTCCAGGGTCTGATGATGGACTGTGATATGGAAGCTGTTTGAAGACAGGCAACGCTATCACGAAAGATTAGGTGAAGCCATACAACAGTATCACCGCATGAATTTCCCCGTTTTGCTTCGGTATGATCAAAAGTGAAGACATGTACAAGACAAATATACTCTTGAAATAACGTGCTCCAGTCGCCCATTCTAAACTAGGCCTATTCATCAAATATCTTTTTCACGCTCGAGTCCAGATAAACCAATGAATTACTTTACAAGCTCTTTATGTTTTGCGTCATACTGGGCAGACTGGCATTGAGCCCTCTCTCATCATGAGTTGACGTCAACCAATCAACCCCTATCTCCCCTTTCGCTCCTCCTCCAGCCCATCACTTTAATCTTCTTGGGTCCTCCAAAGCCGACCCCACCTTGTCCGTCTCCGATTCCGACGTTTCGTGTTTTCCAATGCGGTCCTACTCGCTCTTCGGCTCCAACACCGAAACTACGCCCTCTTTGCTGACGGCCACCAACTGCCTCGCCTTGTCTCCCCACTGCACCGCCACAGCGGGCGTGCTCGTCCTCAACGGCTCCGTCCACGACTTGCTAGCCTTGACATACTGCTGCACCGTAACGCCCTGCGATCCGGCAGTGGCGAGGTACTGGCCCGTGTAATCCCAGGCTAGGCCGGACACGTCGCCAGTCTGGAGCTCCTTGGCCCGCGCGGCGTCGCCTTCCTTGCGCAGGTCGAAGACGGTGACGGAGGACTGGCCGACGCCCGTAGCGGCGAACCAGAAGCCGTTTTCGGAGAAGACAAGGGTCTTGACGGGGGCGCCGAGGGTGAAGTTGGCCATGCGCTGGAGGGTCTTGGTGTCGAAGATCTCGATCTGGCCGGATTGCGTGCCGGCGGCGAAGAGGTGGCCGTCGGGGTGGAAGGCGCAGGATGTGAGTTCTGTTTATCCATATTAGCAACTTGAGACTGTGACTGTGAGGTGGGTGGTGAAAGGGTACATACCAGCATCAGTATAAACACGCGCCACACGCTGCAGCGACTGCAAATCGTAAAAGATGATGCCCTTGTCCACGCCCACCGAAGCAAGAATCTGCTCGCCAGGGTGCACCGCCAGTCCCGTCACGGCACCAGCGTGTTCCGTAACAGAACCAGTTTCGACACCGCCCTCAACAGCCTTGACACTGCCCTTCGAAGTGGCCGAGACGACCTTGTTGCCGATCCATACCGTGGCGGTCACCGGCTCGCCAACCTCCAAAGAGCGTTCGTGTGCCTTGGCCTCGACCGAGTAGAGATCCACCTTGCCGTCCAATCCACCGACCGCCGCATAGCCACCGTTGAGGGCAAGCGAGGTTGCTTGTGTGACGGGGAGATCTGTGTAGGCGGTTTGTTGCAGAGCGGAAATGTCGTCTGTAGTGGCCCAGCCTTCGGGGACTGGTCGCTTCTTGCGGCCCTTTTGCTTTCTGTAGATCGGTGAATTGTCAGCATTCAACTTTTCAAGGTGACGAAGCGCGGTGAACGTACTCGGCCTGGACCTCATCAACATGTGCAGCCAACGCCTCGGGCAGACCCTCGCTGTCCACTGCCATAGCATCGCCAGTCGCGGCACCGCCAGCAGAAGCCGTAACTGTGAGTCTGGAAAGGGCCTCGCGGGCCTCATCGCGCTCCTTGGTCAAGCGAGCAATCACGCGAACGGCGGCATCGTTCTGGTAGAGCGCCGTGGCCAATTCCTCCCTTGTCCTCGCCAGTTGTTGCCTCGTGTTGTATGACTCTAGTACCAGGGCGTCCCACTCGTCTTGGAAGGCCTTGAGCATGGATGGGAGGGATGTGAATTGCGGGGGGCGGGGGCGGACGATCCGATTTGTCTTGATGGGGAGGAGGTCTTCGACGTCTAGCTCTTCATCGGTGCCGGGTTCTTTGTGGTTCTCTTGGATGTACTTTTCGATCAATCGCTTCTCGAAGACGGCGCCTGTTATGTGTCAGTACGGCATCGCATTTTGGCCTGTCGTGGAAGCATCTGGTGTGGCTTGGTGGGAACAGAAGCGGTGGGAATGGTGGGATCTCGGTGATGGTGACAACAATGACGAAGAGTGCGCGTACCGGTCTTTCTCGAGACAACAGGCTCCTCGGGAACCTCTCCGGATACTGCGTCAATCGGTTAGCACGGCGCTGCGCAACGGTAGCTTAGAGCTGGGACATACGTGCGCAAAGCATCTTGACAATATGACTGCAATGCGAAATCTGTAAAATGGGTTGTTTGGTTTCAAGTCGCGATGTCAATGTCGTCCTCCAACTTTTTTGTTGCAACGCGCCACGGCCAGCCAGCCAGCCAGCCAGCAGGCGGCCTGGAGCTGGACGACGCTAAAGGTACTTGGAGGTTTGGCGGCAGGCAGAGAACCAACGCCAAGCTTGAGCCACACCGAGCCGCATATGACGGTGAGTGGCCAATCATGTTGGCGTCTAGGAGGTACTTTGGCAATGTATCTTTTCTTCGTCATTCTCGACTTCAACACCATGCTTAGCACCGACAGCATCACATTCAACTCTATATCAAATCTACTACACATAGATACTTCCCTTCGTCACCACCACCGCCGTTCCTCCCAGATACAAATCCTTCACCTTCACCTCCCCATTCTCCCCCTCCACCGCCGTCGTCTCCACCTCAATCTCACTCTGCCTCCCCATCTCCACGCCCTGCGTCACCTCAAACCTCGCCCCTCCCATCTCCCTCCCACTCACCGTCAAATAGCTCGCCAACGTACACGCCGCACTGCCCGTCGCCGGATCTTCAAATCCCAACTCCACCATCCTCGTCCTGAACTTGAACTCCTTTCTCCCATTTTCACCCTCTTTCTCCCCCTCCATCGGCACAAAATAATACCTGGACACAAACCCGCCTTCCCACTCCCCCTTATCCAACAACCCCTCCACCTTACTAAAATCCAGCCTCTTGGCCTTTGGCACCTTCGCCAAATGGTCCAAACTCGGCAGTTTCACCAACAAAAACGTCATTCCTCTCACGATACTAACCACCGGCCCATTCAACTCTGCCTCTCTAATCTCTGCATCATCCGATAGCGCAGCCTCAATCATATCCTTCACCTCCCCTTCTTTTTGTCCATTCAATACCCCGCCCAACGTCTGCCTATGAACACGCACAGCATGCGGAATCGTAGCCTTCACCCTTCCTTCGGTCGTTGGTCTGATAGTAATCGGTCCCGCCTTGGTAACAAGCGTATCCACATGTTTCCAACCGAAATGGTTCAGCACGAGGTACGCCGTTCCCACCGTGGGATGTCCAGCAAAGGGAAGTTCTTCCTCGATGGTAAAGATGTCGATCTCCCGGCTGGTGGAAGTCAAGCCATCGCGCGCTTCGTCGTCGAGCGTGTGCAGAAAGACGGTCTCGGAGAAGTTGAATTCGCGGGCGATGAGCTGTTTGGTGTCTTGGGTGAGATGGGGGCGGAGGGAGGCGGGGATGAGGACTACGGCTAGGGGGTTGCCGAGGTAGCGCGTCGAGGTGAAGACGTCGACGGTTAGGTAGGTGAGGGTGATGGGTTGGGAGGAGGAGGAGGAGGAGGCCATCATGGATAAACGTGTTGGTGCGCGAGTGGCGCTGTGTTCTGGATGATTTGGTGAGTATGAGTAGGTGAGACTGAGGGCCCGAGGGATGTGGTGCCTTTCACAATAACTGATTTATGGATGTTTTGTTGCGGTGTTGAGGTTTTATATCTTGATGAGAGTTGGAGGAGTCATGGTTTGATGAATCACGGCTGAAAAGTGGGGTAGCTCCAATTGCTACCTTGGTGAGGTTCGTCTTAAGTGGTCGCGCCCTTTTAGTGACATCGGCCAGCTTACGTGATGACATCGCCCGCAATGCTTGATCCCTCTTTCTTTTCTCTCGCTTTCCTTTTCTATTCTTTTCCCATATCTTCCCCTTGTTTCGATCTTTGTGTCTCCAGTCTCCAGTGACTAGTGTGCCTGACAGCAGGACACCATTTGCCCAGGCCTAATTCTTCTCTTTCTTTTCGTCTTGAGAAGCCACCGCCTTTCTTTGAGTTATTCATGTGAACTCTCCCAGTCATCATCACATCCACAACTGCCCAATATTTTTGGTGTCACAAGTTTCGTGATCACAACTTAGGAGGTGGCGTCTCTTTCACGGCATATGTCGATGTCACTACGAAACGTTCATCTTTCAACGTTAAGAACATTCCCCAAACCAATATGAAAACTACCCATCCCGGCATCCAAACTCGGAGGTTATTACCCAATGAATCCAGCCAAATCTTCTCGCTCGCCCTTCTCAACGATTGAGACAGTCTGTGAAGTCCTGCTTGCCTGCCCGACGCACTCGTGATATTACTAATGTACAATTCCGCCCTGGTCTGTTGGTTAGTCTGGTATAGGAAAGCCAAAGCTGTACTAGATAAAGAAAAGACTTTGACTTTCTATTGGGCATTTTAATCTCACAGCCTATCTTCCAGTGCTGAAGGCCTGAAGGAGACGGAGAGAGGTATTAGAGGATAGGTAGGTACCTCTACCCAGCAGAGGCTTCTGTAGCGTCACAATCTCTTGCCATTATCCCATTTCGCTTCAGGCGGAGGACACTTTCTCTCCCTTCCGCTCGTCGCTGCCAACAACGAACAGACTAGCTTCAATTTCTACAAGACAACTCCCAACGAAGTCCATCGCAAATACCTAGGTATCTCACTGGAATATAGCACTGCGACCGAATGAGCGTACGGCCCGCCGAACGCGGTCCAATTTTTCTTGTATGAGAAGGAACCCCAAAGGCTAAGACGGGGGTACCGCCTGTCGTGCGGACGGCCATACTCCTGCGGCGACAGAAGATGTGGAGGGGTAGGAAAGGCAAGTTTGCAATGACGGTGGAGGTGTTGTCGAAAGTATGGAAACTGGTGGCAGGACACCAACCAAGGAGAAGGTGCGCGATAGGCGCCAGGTACCGCAACGATCCGGTGAACTTTGGTCGGGCAGTGCAGGCATACGGGGTGCAGGATGGGGAGCACTCAGGTGGTGGACAGCAAAGAGTGCACGATTCCGGGTGTGGACTGGAGGAGGAGGCTGGGGGATTTGAGCTTGAACCAGTTTCTGCTGAATTATGCTGATGCGTCTTCTACCTGGAGGGCGGATGGCAAGTCCGTCGCAATTAACACTCCTCCTGTATCGGAAAGAATAACAACTCTGTCTCGGATACTGGCACTACTACGCTGAACGGGTTTCGACCCTCTTGTCAGCCGTGGCATCAGCGCCGACGCAAGCAGAATTTCGAGTCGGCCAGCTACGGAGACAAAAGGACATCTGATCACTACAGGTACGCGTCGAAGTATACCTCTGTCACAGGCGTCAAGTCAACAACTCGAGATGTCTCACCCCCATGTCGCGATGTTTTGACCCTTGTAGCTCGTGACTGATTGACGGCCCGGCTTCCCAGTTCCAACAGAAGGAGCAGAGGGATCTGCCTTGATGACGGAAATCGACGGGAGTCTTATCAGTGCAGATTTCATGCTCGTATTATGAACATGTCTGTTTTTCAGGTAAGAGCGACAAAGAATCGACGTAGTGTGGGCAGTCACATTTGTCTCTTCTACTGATCGTTCCTTCCCCCTTTATGAGTGTTTATTTACCTTTGGAGGGCCGGGGCTACCAAGGATGCCACCAGAACTGCTGTCGTGGGTGCTGGAGAAATTTACAGGTTTTACACGCACTGTAAGCCCCGGTAAGCCCCTTCCTTCCCTTGGTGCTCATCGATGTATCCCCGCCTTTTTGCACAGTCACCAACCACCCCAGATAATGCTATGAATTGGGGAGGATGGACTGAAGGTACGAACTTCCGTTTGGAAAGGTTGAATCGATGCAAGAGCTTGAGAATGCTGTTAAATCGACGAGTGTCCAATGCGACTTGGCCTCTTGGTCGCGATTGTCGCGAGTGGTAGCATCAGCCGCAATCAAGATAAGGCGAACCGTGCGATGAGCTGCGCCTGTACATAATATTCATCAAGCGCGCCGATAAATTTCCGCAGTTACTACAGTTCCCTGTACAGATGCCACTAGCCACATATCACCGCTTTTCCCGGCGGGGCAGTTAACTTCCAGTCTGATTCGTCAATTCAGTTTGCCTGCCCTCAATTGAATGCTGCTGCCACAGCTTCACTTCACTTCACATCTCATCCACGACCACTCACTTCGATACGTCCACCCATCTGTCGTTTCATGACAAGCGCTTAACCCTGAACAACCTCCAGTTCATCATGTCCTGGATACCGGACAATCCACCGTGACCATGGTTGCCTCGAGCCTCTGCCGCGTGGTGGCGACTGCATGCGCACGACGACCAGCATCATGGGTCACATTCAAGTCGGCCGTCATCGTCCGCCATCCTCTTCATCAAATCCGCACTCACCCTCACCACCGCCAGTTCTTCCGCCCAACCACGGCTTCCTCTGCTCCACAGCCGGCCGCTACGGACTCGGAACAAGCAGACCGTCTGGCCCGTCAAGCTCCGTCCTGCTTGCCACCCCAAGCTCCAGAGGACGACATGGAAATCATGTCTCTTTCTAGACGCCTCACATACACCGGCTTAAAAAATTTGAAGGTTAGGGCGAAAAAGTGGCGATTTCTCCGAAAGGCTACAAGGGACGCTCTGAGGTGCCTCACTGATACCAACAAGTCTCAAAAAGATCGTCAAAAGGCGATTCAAGCCCTGGCCCGCTCGTACGTTATGATATCTTGCTTCCACGTACAAATCAAGGACCAGACAATCGACTACAGAAGCTTTGCAGTTTGTCGTAGCGCCGTCGTGGACGTTACCGAATCTGCAGTACGGGCCCGGGAAGCCCTGGAGGAGGCTCAGGTCAAATTAGATGAGGCGCAAAGGGAGCTAGACCTTGCACAGGCTGAAGCCGCGGATGCCCAGGACGTAGAACTCAAAGCCGAGCACGTCAGAAACCTTGAAGCCGCGCTTTTGGCGCGAAAAAAAGAGTTTCGCGAGGCCGACGAGGCAGTTCTAGTGTCATCAGGCATCTTCCTCAACACACCATCTCCAGAGCAGCGCAACCAAGCGGAAATCAAGGGGAAGGACTATGAGTGGATGCTTGGTGCCCTTGATGAGATACAAACGTATCGCGAAATGGTATTCATAAAAGCTAAGCAACTCTTCGCCGCCTCGATCGCTGCAGACAAACGCAAACGATCAAGCAAAGCAGAAACAGAAATGGAAGCGACGCCAGTCGAGCAGTCAGGAAACAAAGAGATGGAGCAACCGATAGAGAAGGAGGACGAGGCAGGGCAGGACGTTGATATGGAAAGCATCAGAGAGCAACCTGCACCCATCGAAGAGTATGAGGACAAGCCCGAGCGCGTCCAAAACCTCGAATCGTCTAAGCCCTACCAGCGCCCGACCATCAGACTCAACGAGGCGACCGCCAAACCCAAGCCTATCCAGCTCAAGGATTCCCTGGCCGACCACTACCCCATGATCGCCTTCCCCTTCAAAGTAACCACAACCGTCATGTTGACGCTCCACAAGCTGTTCGAGGAGTGTTGCTACCAATTTGCCCTCGTACACATCCCCCATCACCTGGCCGAGCAAAATTGGGACTGCCCCGAAGCCGTCGAGTTAAGCACGTGGCACAAGATCTTCAGCGAGCTGCTCCAGACCGATGCCGACCATGTCTTCGCCTTCGATACGGGCTCTACGTTTGAGACGGCTGTGCCCGCGAGCCGCCGCGTCATCTACGTGAACAACCACATTTTCACCCTCAAAGACATTCGGAACCAGGCAGTTCATCCTAGGCCCCTCAACCCCATGGCGCTGCCCAAAATACTCCGCCGCGCCAGCGAGCTCGCTCGCCTGTTCCGCGACCGCCGCCTTCAGCAGGACATCCAGCAGCTCTCCTCCGAGATCAATCGCGTTTTGACGGCCGTGAAGACCCGCCGGGCCGAAAGCCTCAAGAAAGGCCGTACGTATGAACTGTACCGCCAGATCGTGGCTGACAAGGTTGCCATCCAGCGTGTTCGGAATCTACTGGCCGACCGACAAGTCTCGGCCTCCTCAGAGGAGCACTGGGCCGCGTGCATCATGTTCGAAAAAGACATAGAAAGCCTGTTGGAGGCGTTATCGGTTGCTATTCGGGCAGACGAGGATGCTAGGCTCGAGGCCGAACTCCCGCCGCTCGTCGAGATGGCAGAAAAGATGGCCGCGGAGGTGGAAAAGAGGAACGCGGAAATGCAGCTAAGGCTGGAGGCGGTGCGCAAGTCGAGAGCGGACATGGTGCTGGGGAAGATGCAGTTTTTATTGAGCAAGCATACGTGGAGAATGAAGACCGACAGGTTTCCGTTTATGAATCTGTCGGAACGGAAGAGGGAGCTTGGTGGCGTGGGTTCGCCTCTTCCATCGGCTGATGAGCAGGGAGGGCCGCAGGAAAAAGTTGAACCGTATGAGCGTCAGCGGCATGGCGAGCAACCGGACGAGAAAACCGGTTTTGGACCACCTGGTTTGACCAAATCGTCCTACGCGTACAGGTCCATCATCAGGAACGCCCTGACTCAGGATTTACGAAGAGAGGAGCGCGAATTCGAACGCGAGCGGGCCAACGCCGAAGCTGATGCGCACGCCGAAGCCACGAACATATCTGCCGAGGAGGAACGATCTAGCCCAGGATCTGTACCCTCTGTCCCAGAGGAAGGAGAGTGGTATGACGAGGCTATGAGCGAGTCCGAAAGCGGTGACTGGGGCCCAGACGGCTACCACATGACTACCAGCGGGTTCTTCGAAATGTTGGAGAAGAGGAAAAAGCTACCCTTGGAAGATTTCAAGCAGCGGGCGATGAAGGAGATGGCGGCTGCGGCGGTGAAGGCGACAAAGGCGGAGCAGGAAGGGGAGAAGGTGGAGCAAGTTGACGCCGGAGAAAGCCCTCGCACGACAGCAGCTGATAATGAGACCATGTTCAACAATTTAATGGATGAATACGACGCTCTGCGCAAGGAAGGTCTCATGAATCTCCTGAAGAAGGACATGAAGCGGAGAATCGCATTCGAGAAGAAGTGCGCTAGGCAGAGAATGACAATTGATAGCGAGTTGAAACCGTTGAAGGATGAGAGAGTCAGGATAGTGAAGGAGATGAAAGTGTTATGGGAGAAAAACGGAAGGCTGGAGATGGAGAAGGAGAAAGCGAAAGGGGCGGAACATCAACTGGTGGGAAAAAACGAGGAGGTGGACGAAAACAAAAACGAACTCGAACCCGTCGCCGCCGCCGCCGCCGCCGATAACGTCGTCGACAATGAAGCTGCGCTCAGCATTGGCATAAAGGCACTGGCCGAGTTGGCTACAAAGAAGAAAGAAAACGCGGCAAAGATCGAAATCCTCACAGTGAGAAGGCAAAGGATAGCAAAGATCTTGAAAAAGCTGAGAAGACTCGACCCGGCTCGGTCCGTCACCTTCGTCAAGATCGGCCACATAGAAGAAGCTGCCGCCGATGATCACCCGTCCAGTCACGTCGAGGTTACCGATGTTGAAGTCGATACCAACATGGAGCTCACCGAGGCCGAGGCCGAGGGCTGGAGGTCCAGTATTGAGGAGGCCGTTGACGCTGACATCAAGGGTGCTTCTTCCTTTGAGAATCCCAAGGAGGTAGCTATGAAGGCGTTTCTTGCTATGGAGGAGATTCTGGAGGAGGCTACGCCCGACGTCACCACTGGTCCCGAGGCTTCTGATGAGGTTACTCCTGCCGGAGAGGCCGCTGCCGGAGAGGTCGCTACACCTGAGACCTCCGTCGAACCTTGTGACACCGAGACCTCCTCCTCCACTGCTGCGTTGGCCGACTCTGAGACTGTCGCCATCCAAGAGGATAGTACGGAAGAGACAGCCACGTCATCAGACCTCAACGATACCATTATTCAGAACGATGTGCTTGAAAGCACACCCATTCAAGATGCTCCCGAGGAAGAGGCAACCACTCAAGAGATGCATCCAGACAAGGAGACCCCATCACTGTTCGTTTCGACGCCGAGACCCCCGCGGGGGAGGTTTCTGACGAATTTGGCTCTTTATGTCTCCCGAAGGTCGCAACCGGTCGTGGATGTGACGGAGGATATGAATGAGGATCTAAAGGAGGATGTGAAGGAGGAAGTGAAGGACGAGTCGGAGGACGGAATAAAAGTCGAGCTGCACGAGGATGCGAAGGAGGGTTTAAAGGAGGATGTGGTTGAGGTTGTGAAAGAGGACCTGCAGGAGGACCTGAAAGACGAGCTGACCGACGAGCTGACGCAGGATCTAGAAGGGGATCTGAAGAACAAGCCGAAGCAGGATTCAGAGCCCGAGACCGAGGCTGAGCGTGTGAACAAAGAGGAGGAGGCAGCGCCACAGGCTAGAGGAAAGTAGTCTTCATGATGAAGTGAACAGAAAAAGGGGACGAATACGGGCTACGTCGGTTGGTGAGGGTTATGTATAAAATGTGTATGATATGTCTTCATTTCATTCCATTCCATTCCTAGTAGATCTAATGTTTCTTCGCATGTAGTGGCTTGTACAGTGGACTTCCTACATCCAGTGGAGGTTTTGTACATACATCCAGCTGACCTATATCACAATTCATTCTCTACTCCACTTATCAACACCGCCGGCATGTATATAACTTTCCTCCCATCATTTATTCCCAATACCAATTTTCCATCAACCATCCCTCAATCGAAATAATAGTTCGTAAACCAGGCTTGCTGGCCAGATAGATGCTAAACCTCCGCACAGCAACTGGAGCTTACCTACCTAGGTACTGTGACAATGCAACGTTAATGGCGAGACGGGAGGTTGAAACTTCAGGTCCGAGGGCTTGCAGGTTTGAAGGTGAATGAATGGATTATGATGAACCATCCACATTCCAGCTCCCCACCATTCTGCTTTCAGTTTCGGAGCCGCTTTCAAAGTCCCATTCAGAGTCTTCATAGTCGTCATAGCCCTCGCAACCATCATCCCACTCATCGTCCATAAGGATTCCTTCGGGCTCCTGGTCAATCACCACCATGACCATGTGCAGGAGTATAACCTTTTCCAGAGCAAAAATGTCCATCCCCGGATACCGTACCCCTTCAAAGGGGAGCTCGTCCTCGTCGTTTGAGTGTTTGTAGGTAAATGACGGTCGTCGTCGGGCCTCCCGGGGCATCAATCGGGGCGTTAAAGTCGGGCCAGTTGCTGTATCTGGACAAAAAGATACCTAGGTATTCTGGTTGCCGTGTCGCGACTGCGTAAATTTCGAGGGATGTCTCGCTATCGCTGTCGCTGTCGCTGTCGCTGTCGCTTTCGGCTTCGGCCGCATCATCGCCCTCATGGTCGCTACCTACCTACTGGGTTCGTCGCCAAAGACTACCTACTTCATCCCACTCTTCCTCCTCCGAGTCTTCCTCGGATATCGAGGTGTACGATGAGAAATTCGGAATGGACCTTGGCGAGGACGAGAAGTCCCCACTGGATTCAGAAGAAGAGTGGTGCACGGGTGAGGCTGTGGCCGACGAAATACATACTGTGAGGTTGAAATGTCGATAGTGAGGTAGAAGGCAAAGGGAAGGGAGAAGATGAGGGTGTGTGCCGCAAGATGGATGGCCGGTATTCTCCTCGTCGGTTGGCTCGATGGAGTCCATGGACAAAGCCACAGTTTCGTGCTCAGGGGTTGGTGGGACGGCTTCGATATCCTCCTCGATGCTGGGTAGGTAGGATGTGGTTGGTGGAGCCTTGTTCTGATGAGGGTGTTGAAGCCTGATGATAGGAAGTGAGTGGTAGGCTCGTTGTTGTGGTCTGTTCCAGCGTACTAGTCAGCGATGCTGTCGTCATTGGCATTTTCGTTTCCGCTGGTCTTCAGCCTCCTTGGCGATCGACTTTCTGTTCTGTCCTCCAGACCCCTTTTGGACTTTTCCATGTCGTTAGCCTTTTGAAGGGACGAAGGAATTTCGTAACACTTACGCTGCTGCCCATTGTGGGGGAAGGACACTCGATTGTCTGATGCGCTATTGTAGAGAACTTACCTCTGGGTAGGGTATATAGGTATGGTTGGGTCGTGACGGAGTATTGGCTACCAGCTGTCGCCTGTGGTCGGTAAACAATTTCGTTGGTGGTTGTTGTGGGGGTGAGAAAATATAAGGTGGGAAAAAACCCGTGCTTCCTTTGAAGGTCATAATGGAGCGAAGTGAATGGTCAACCTGGAATTAAATTAACCCTTCACCTGAAGTTCCAAGTTCGCATGTAAATGGTGAATAGAGGTGGTCGATCCTCGATTGTCGTCCATGCATTAGCAACATAAGTGAGCCTGAATCTAAAAGCAAAGAATTGACGATCAAGAAGGGCCAGGCAGATAATTGCGTTACTCCTCCTTTTCCTCCATTGATACAATTTAGCAATTGAATATTACTGTAGTCGTCAAGCAAATACTCGCTGCCGCCGCCGCCGCTCCAACCCTCACCATTCTCAACATATACCACTTTCCCGGTACCCATAGCGCAGGCCCCACGATCACATACAAAACGGATCATAATAAACAATCCACAAACCTCTTCCCCACCACTGTACTTCTGTCTCAGTCTTCTGTTTCGCTATCAACCTCCCACTCGGCATTGTCCTCATCGTCGTCGTCGTCGTCGGTGAGATAGGCTACTTCGATCTGCTGATCTCCATTCTCAGACCGATCATCATGTGTAAAAGTATAACCCTCCAAACGAAAAACATTCATTCCAGGGTACCGGATTCCTTCAACTTCAAGCTCGGCCTCATCGTCCGACTCATCGTTGAAGGAGTACCTCTAGTATTCGTAGGTTCCTTCGTCATCGGAAGCATCGAAATCAGGCCAGTCGGTGTATCTGGGTGCGAAAATTTGTGGGACTCCTCGGTTTCTGTGGCTGTTACTTGCCGCCTCGGTTTCGCTGTCCTTTCCCTATGTCGGAGTCCTCGATGCTGTGTTCGTCGCTAGCCTCATCCTCCATGTCGCTGTCATCGACAAAAGTAACTCCGGGCGCCAGGACAGAAGCTGGACCCTGCCAAGGCGGATTGACCATTGCTTCCAATACCAGGCCCAGTACGTCGACATCAGGTCCTGGATTTTGATAAAGTTCCTCGTTCCACTTGTAGCTGCCAATATTTCAAGAAATCACCTTGTGGGCGGATGTCATTCACTAGACCAGACGGTCAAATATCAAGGTGAGAAGTATAAGGTTGAAGAATCAAGATATCGATTAGCGATATTCATCAGCTATTGTAGTTATTTGAAGGTCTTCAACGCTGAAATATACTGATATTACAAAATAATATAAAAAAAAACGAAGCGAAGAATACTTGTAGGCATTACGTTGGGACTCCTTGGTTTTGAAACTACCTCCAATGCTTGTAAGATTGGCTCCTCCACGTCCGCCGCCTCTCTCTCTCCCACAGGCCCGACTTTGAACCCAAACCCAACAATATACTCTTACTAACAACAACAGTACTGGTAAGCCGCCTTCGTTGTTATCGTCGTTACCCTGGAGTTATAAGACCGCTACGGCCACTACCGCTCACTAGCGACGGCTGTTGCTAGCGCGACGCGGCGGCGGCGGGACGATATTCTCCTCGTCGAACGGCTCTCTACCCGAGGTCCCGCAAGGGCTAGGGCGCGGAGGTTACAGGTTGAACATCTCATCATCCCAGTCTTCTTCGTCTGAATCATCTTCGTAAGATGAGGAACCTGATGGAGGCGGGGCGAGAGTTGACCCTGCTGGAGGCAGGAGGTGTGGAGGAAGCGGTGGCCGACGAAGCTGGTGTTGGTGAAAGGTAGGGTAACTCTGCGAGAAGCAGAGATGGAGAGGGAGAGGGATCCTGAGGCTGAATTGGCGAGGGCGAGGGGGACGAAGCCGCATGGGGCAAGGTAGATTCGTTTTCGTCGTCCTCTACGGTCAATTCCCGGAACCTCTGTGTTGCATGTGTAGAAGAGGTATAATGCCCATCTGTAGTAGGCTCGAGATATTCGGAACTGATTACATTCGGGTCGCCTTCGATGGTGTTGACAATGGTGTCGCCAATGCGTTCTAGGGGTGGAACATTGCCCTCGGTGTACCCTGGATGGTGATTGTCCTCGATGCTGGGAAGTGTCTTGGCTAATGTAGAGGGCCGTTGTGGCTCGGGTGAGTTGTAATCGTTGATCGGAGTGGGTGATATCTTGTCGTCGCTTATATAGTTGCCATTGGAGATTACCTCGGGGTCGCTTTCGTCGGCGTCAGTTCTCTGCAGTTTTTTGGGCGGGTTTCGGTCTTGGTGGTCCTCTGGACTAATGCCTCCCTTGGGCTGTTTGGTCTCGTTAGCCCGACGCATGAGAAAAGCGTTTGGTGATACTAACACTGCTGACCGACTTGGGCGAAGGAGACTCGAGATTTCTATTGGCCACGTTGACAATTTGTGTTCGAGTTGTGACGCATGACTGGTTGTGACAAACTTGATGTTGCTTCTTGGGGAGGGCAGACAGATGACTTCCTTGGAGGAGTAATTGTGGCGGGAGCAAATAGGTGCTTCTTTTGAAGGCTACCTATGATAAACGGAGTGAATGGTCCATCCTCAGGTTTTGAAGATGCCAGTGAGCCAGCCCTGGAAAAACAGCCCGATTACCAGCGAGGGAAGCGAACCTAAACCTGAACAATCAGGGCAAGCCATGGGATTATCCATTCCTTATACATAGCGCGAGTGTCCATCGTTGTCACTGATGCTCCTGACGTATCGTGGCCCTCCATAAAAAGATGAAAAAAGTATCACGAACAAAACAAATAAAGGGGAGAACAGGAAAAGGTAGTGAGTGTAGATTGCAGGCCGATTTCGCCATCAGTATCTAGCTACGTGCCTCTGGTTTACGTACGGACGACTAACGACCAGTCAGTCTACGGGCCCAAAGCAGTGCCTAAACTTCTGTAACTCGTCCGGCGATGGTCAACAGTGCTCCTAGCCAAGTGTGCAACGTCAGAAAGTCTAGCGAACTTTGCTTCCCAAACATGGTTTAAAACATGGTTCTGGCAGCCTAAATGCTCGCTCGTCTTTGTTTGCGAGTTGGATGAAGCGTGTAACGAGGGTGAAGGGGAGGCAATAGAATCTCCCTTTGATGAGCATTTTCCGTCTCAAAGGGTAGCTGTTCGCTTTTCCTGGGTAAATTTGCAGAAATTCCTGTGATTCCATCTGCAGTCGCTTCAGCCTCCAAAGTTACTGCCAGCTTTGCGCCAACCTTCGTGATGCTTGGTATGTCGTTGATCGGTATTCCCTCATGCTTTTGCTCCCTAGTTTCCTTTGCCTCCTCGACATGATCGTGACAGCCAAAGTCAGAGATGTCGAACAGGGATTTATCCTCTGGGACATCCAAATTGTCGTTCGAACGACAGTTGTCGGTACCGGGATGGTCGCCAGGATGCTCAAATGCGTTGGGTTCTCCGTTCATCCCCTCCAAAATGTCCTTAACCCCTTTCGCTAGTCTCCTAAGGGCCTCCGGCGTGTCGATGACCTCATCGATGGCTCTTGTTGACTCGCCTTCGCCTTCAACGGGCTTGGGAGAGGGCTGCGGTGTCTTTGGCAACTCCGTGGACATGGCTAACGAAATACTGAAGTCAATGCTGGTTGGAAATGGCGAGCGGTACCTCCAACATAGAGGCAGAATTGAATGCACTGAATGGTAGGTGGCTTCCTGTCCAAAATTTCGAGAGCGAGGGTTTTCTTACGAGCGAAGAAGCGTGGTGGCCCATCGATGGCAGTGAATGGGGGAAAACCCCAGAAGGGCTGTCACCAGAACTCCCCTAGACTTTGAAAAAAATGCGCGTTGAAGGTTCACATCCTAACACCAGGTTTGGAGGCCGCATTGTTTCGCGACCTTGACTGCCCTGTGCTTTGACGGCTTGGCCATTGTTCCAGGAGCTTCACTTGAGGACAGAGGAGTGGCCGGCCCAGAAGACTTTGCCGATGGACAAGGGAGGCGCCGGCAATATACCTCTATCCCAAATCTTTGAAGGGATGCAGTGACCAAGTTGTTTCAGCAAAGGAGGATGTTGGCAAAGGTGATTGCATGACAAAGAGGCTTGTGAATCAAATGTCAAAGGGTTTGCGATGTTCGTGTTGTCATTGATCTATTCTTCCCATTTGCTGTTTTGCGGTGTGGTGGTTTCTGCTTGCGTGTTTGCAAGATGGGCGACCCATGGTGTTTGTAGTTGACAATCCTGCTGCTGAGATGTATTGCCGATGCGACGGCCTATCATTTGTAGGCTTTGGTGGAATTGCAATGACGTTGGATCGGCTAGTGGCCACATCTACCCAAGCACCTCACGGTCGGCTCGGGGAAGGATATCATAGTCTCCATCCATAACTGTTAAAGTTGATGCGCGGTAGCTTGTGGTAGTTCTCATAGTCGGCTTCGCTTCTGAGCGACTGGCTTACGGGATCTCTGAGGAAGGGGTCGACAGCTCGATTGGCACGGTTGCGGTTGTTGAGCTCGTTGTGAAAGGGACCCATCAAGTCCACTTGCGGCGAATCCTCCAGGAAGGGGTTCTTTGGGGTTGAGGAATCTCCAACACTCCACGGCGAGGACATGTACTCATCCTCAGGGGTATTCGCTTCCTCGTTCTCGCTCTTGTCCTTATCAGAGTAACCGTCGTTGTTGTCGTTGTCGTTGTCGTCGTCGTCGTCCTCGTCCTCGTCTTCGTCCTCGTACTGATCCATGTCGCCATCACTACCACCTATCGTTTCCTCGGCCATGTCAACATCGTCAACGCCGTCAAACACTCTATCCGGCTCTGGCGATGTTTCGGACTGATCTTGCTTCTTTTGCATGTTCAACATGACAACCAGCCCTTTGAGGGTTTCCGATATCTCCTTCCTCGTCAAAGTAGCCGACTCCAGCGATACTCTGTGTTGACCTTGTTCCTTGTCCCTCGTCTTTGCCGATTCCTGTTCGTAATATGCGAGTAACTTGGAGCGAAATCTTTGACGTATGACCTCATCCATTAGACCAGTCGCTTTCTTCACGGCCTGCTCCACGACTAATGCCATGCGCAACCTTTTACATCTGACCTCGTTCGCCTCGTCAAGCGCCTCCTCCGCAGCTGAGGCCATCGTTCTGGACCGTTTGGGCATAATGGGCTTCGATGAACGATTGTTGAGTGCTTGGACTTTGCGAAGTAGGGTTTAGTGGTGATCGTGAGAGAAAAGCTGGAAGCTGGAGGTGCGTTGAGGGCTGAAGACGGGCCGTGGTGGGTATTTAACTGCAACCGATGAGCCATTCTTCGATAATTCCCCAAGTGCCGTCATCCTACCTCCAACCGCCAGCTATTGCGCATCCAGAGTTGCCTTCACCCATACCAACAATGCTCCTGAGAGGCAAAACGCTTTTGAATGGCCGGTTGGGATTGCGAAACTCGAAGGTTTTGGCTCCATCGTTTGGTCTCGAGGATTCTGTCGCGAGTCTCAATAGCGTGTACAATAGGAGGGGCGGCGCGTTATGGGTTATTGGCGCGAGGCTGTATCATATGTAGATGAGATGCAAAAGGAGGATGTTGGGATGGAATCCAGGGGTTGGAGCGGAGTGGAAAACGACTGCAGAAGAGGAGTGTACCTGCAATCCCATCTTGGTAATCGCTGCAGGACTGCAGCCCAGGCGTCTCTGCAGATAGGTAAACGCGCCTGTCATGACTCCTCTATTTTCGTCCTCAAGGAAAGCCACCAATGGAATCACTTCTTCGCCCTAGACGCGCTCAATCACAACTTCAAAGTCTCGACGGCAAGGTTTCCATCATAAGACTTCCATATTCCTCCCCTTTTCATTTCACGAGTCACGAGCTCGCTCAAACCCTTTTGCTTACACGCACTCAAAGCTCCTTTCTTGGCATGTTAGAACCTAGGTAGACACTACCAAATATCATCACCAAAAAGCACTTCACCCTCTTTTTCCTCCAGCCAAATACCCTCGACTTCAATCCTCATCAACCACACACAACCTCCTCAATCCATATCATCATACCATACATCCGTCCAATCCACATCATCCTCCCGGCGCCAATCATACACCTGGGCATCGTCGGACTTGCTGCTGCCCGTCTTGGTGGTGGTGGTTTTGTTGTTGCCCGACTTGGGCTGGCGGTGGTGGCGGCCAAAGCTCGCTGGGATGGTGACCTTGGTTCCAGTCACTTGGATGGTGGTGTTTGTGCCGGGGACAGTGAGGGTGGTCGTGGTCGTGGGGGGTGGTGGGTTGGTCGGCCTTGCCGAGGAGGTTCTTCTGAGTGGAAGACATCTTGTCTGGCTGTGATGGTATGATGTCGAGAGAGATATTCGCGACGTCGGTAGTGGTACGCTGTGAGGTGGCGGCCTGGTGGTGATGCTTTGATGATGGCAAGAAGATGGGTTGCTGATATAGAGGTAGGTAGCAAGAGCCGATTTCGTTTCGAGGTTCGAAGGAAAATGTGTTGAGAGAGACGAATGTGACTTCGATGATGTGGAAAAAAACAGGGAAGAAGAAAAGTCAGATTCCAGCAGGGGATGGGATGCTTATATACCTCTAGAATTCAACCTTTGCCGCAATAACCTTCATGCAACGTGTTCGCCTTCACCATCGAACAAGTGTCCTGTGAATGCCTCTCATCTGCAGTTCAAACCTGCGAGTTGTCTGGAAGCGTTTTAAGGAATGCGATTGTTGGAGGGTTGGATGGCTAGGACGTCGGGGGAAAAGTTGATAGTAGGTAGGTACCTATTCATAAGCCTTGCGGACATGTCGATGGAAGGGAGAAGCAAATTGACACCATTCCGGTAGGGTCATGTCTTGACGCCAGTGATGCAATCCCAGATAAACCAGGAATGCAAGAGCGGCATGAGGACTGGACTGGGGCGGGTGTGTCTGATGTTCAAGGCGTATACTTCTATCCTCATTTTTGATAATTCGCAATGATGGGCGGCAAAGTGCGACAATATAAACCATATACATGTACCATCTACGGCGTAATAGTCTTCCATGTTGACACAAGATGCAGGTTGGAACCATACGAGGTTCGAGGGGGGTGATGAGCACACCGAGAGCGTATCTCACATGGGCGTTGTTTGTAAGAAGATGGTAGGTGATTGGAATTTCTGTACTGTTGCATAGAACTGTTCCTTCAAAATGGTGCTATCATACGTTGCCGTGAGACTTCTACCTCCCGCTTGCTATGTCTAGGCGTCTTCGCACCCAATTGCAACGGAAGTTTAGATCAAGTGGCACTTGCGTGGCACACATCGCTTCCCCCCTTCTCCCTCCTTGCATGCCTGATCCATCCCCTGAATTCGATGATTGCCCGCTCTCTTTATGTCAGGAGCGTTCCAATCCCATGTCTTACACCCTTCCATTCCATTTAATCCCACGAGCTACTTCCATCGATTCTCATAAAACCCCGGGGCACTATCACTCGGACTTCTCGACGCCAGCCTAATGTACCTCTTGGAGCACATCTCCCCCAACCGCTGCGACAGCGGATCCCAGTACTTCTTCAACCGTCTCTTCTTGTTGACGAGCAAAAGGAACAGCTTTTCTTCCTTTACTTGTCTGTGCACTTTGGGCGCATCTTGGTACAACCCAAATTTTGTGCGTTCGAATTCGATTTTCTCGTAATGGTGGTAGTGGTCAAAGTCCTGCAGGGTGCGGAGGCGTATGGCAGGGGGTATGACAGGATCGTCGGAGCTGGAGTTGCTGCTGTCGGTGTCGTAGCTGCTGTCGGTATTGTTATGGTGATAGGTATGAAAGCTATTGTTGATGCTGGTGTTGCAGCTGGTGTTGGGGCTGGTACGGTTATCGTGCGGTACCTCCTCTACCAAATGGCTTGAGGAGTGAACAGATTCGGATCGAGTATCATGGGCTGCCATGTGTCTATTCATGTCGACGTCCGCGTTTCTGTCGCTTGATGGTAGCGGTGCGGTCAAGGCCGAGGGAGAACGGTCTAGGGGAATATGGTGGAGCTCTGCACAAAGCCGGGCATACTCGTCGGAAATACGGGCGAGTTCTTGAGACTGAGCACGAGTCATCCTCTTTGAGCTATCCTGTAGACGCTCAATCTCTTTCTCCATTTGCTTCAATCTTGCGTGGAGGTATGTTTTTCTGTCTGACTCGGTAACACTCTCACGAGCTTCGTTGCAAAGACTCGGAGGAGTGTCAACAAAGGGATCGTCAAACGAATTCAGTGCCGCAGCTTTTTGTGCCCATTGCCTCAGATTTCTGTCGACCTGCCGTTCGTACCGGCCCCCACAAGTCGCATTCGAAGCTTCGACATCTACGTTGTCAAAGATCCCGGCCAAGAAGATGGGCGAATAATTGTTTCCTTTTCTAGCTTTCTCCGGTCGCTCACACGAAGATCTGGCTTCGCACTTCCTCTTGGCGTTTGGGAATACTGGAGAGATGTCTGGTTTGGTTGCCGGTATTTGGACTCGGCATGGGTGTTGGAAGTCCCGAGAATTGATTGGTTTTTGTTGTTTTGAATAATCGCGAGGAGGAGGTGTTACTGGATACCTAGAGTTCCAGTTGGTAAGCCAGGAGCCAAAACGCTCACTTGGGCCAGCTGTTGGACATACCTGTCCATCTTGGGTCGCTAAAGGCTTCGGTGAGCTGGATTTGCGTGATGTACGTGAAGTCTGTGTCTCTACCGAACGTAGTGTGAGCTTGTGAAGAGCTGGCTCTGAAAGCGGCGTGGCGATAGGGTGACGGTGTCCCATTAAATGATGGGGAGAGTATGGAAAATACGAATTCAATCGAAGAACCCCAAATCTTGACCTACCTACACTACCTGTACTTTGACTCCGGAGGGACCTTTGGGCTGAGGGGTTCATGCAGATGCATCATGCAGCAATATACCAAATGCAAGGTGGTTTTCGGTGTGGCCGCCGGACTGGAAAATTCATAGAGGTGCCTGCAAGTATGTATATGCATGTATAATTATATTCCCTGCACTAGAAACGCGGTGATAGGACTTTGTAGTTGTCTGGACCTTGGGGAAGATGACATGGCAATGCAACGCCCGGCCAACAAACTGACGATAAAGCACTTGCCGGACACCGACTCCAGCAGGAATAGAGACCGATAAGGGTTTGAGGAAACAGAGGTGACTGCATGGACATCGACACAATTGACTTGCGTACAGTCGGCAGGCAGCCCGATGTTTTCCTCTCTGTGTTGAACCGATCCTGGTGTCGGATCACGAATCGGCCTGTCGCATGAAGCCTTTTGTCAATCTGGGAGAGGATGACCAGCTCAGACATGAGTCCTAGCGCAAGACAATCACAAGCTCGGAATACCATGTGTAGCCTCGACTCCAGAAGTTCCAAGAATGAGGAGTATTGTTTCATGCCCTGGCTGAAAGATATAGCTGTCCGTGTGTGTCGAAATCATGTAGATGTGGCCTTGCAACTCGACCACCACTGCTGCCATGGTGAACGGCGACGTCTTTCTATCGGTTTCGGATCCGAAATACATCCGAAATCTTGTCGGACGATGGAATGCCTCGGCCTCAAGAGTTATCGCACCGGCCAAAGGGCATCGGCTTCCGAGGCGCATCTTCGGGCGACTATCTGCTTGGTTTAAGGTGTCAGGGCTCTTTATGTCGGAAATGGGATTCGTGCTGGTTGAGGTTCAGCGCAGTTGACTTGGGTAGAGAAATGCCTGAACAGAGGAGGGGAGATTGAGGTTCCTTCGCGCCTCCCGCCGAGATGCGGAGAACTGTTCACATCAAGATTACCTATTTGTAACTCTAGGGAAGGAACTTTTGTGATGCTCACTTTTTATACTCCGATGATGACCGCATGCACCTTCCCACCCAACCTGACTCATCATGATTGTCAAGATTGGGAACTGATGGCGGGTAGAAGAACAGAGAGATAAGGCCGATATTTGCTAGCAACACACTGACACATCTGGAAACATTGTCACTTGTCTACAGGTCCAACCCAGTCCAACAGCCTGACAGTTTGTTTTATATGGCAATCCCAAGTAGTAAGAGGGACAGTGGGATGGATGTACTGGAGAGGTGAGCTGCCAAGACACTCGCTGCTGGCCCAACCTTGACCACTCCGATACGGATAGTAAGTACTCCATCACCATTCTATGAATGAGTAATGTGAGAATTCTGTCGTTTGCATATTGCTAGAAATTCAAGTGCTCAAGCTATCATCGCTTGATGATGGCGGCTGGTGCCGAGGTACATGTCCCCTTGTCATCAATTTACCAGTTCGCCATGTTGGCTTCCATTGTGGTGGTCAGTGCACCGCTCAAGCTCACTGCCTGCCGGAACAGAGAACTCATTTGCCCTGGACTCTCGAACCTTGAGCCTCCAAGGAAGAAAGCAACTGGAAAGCCACGGCGTCCCCGGTTCAGCGTCCGTGTGTGTGTTTGACATTGGGAAAAAAAAAAAAGCATCGGATCTCAACCATGGCTGTGTTTCATCGTCATCCTGTTTGTTTCAGCGTTTCAACACTGATATTCTTCGCCGCTGCATTCGCTTGGAGCACTTGTTCCTCGGGAATGTTTGCCCCTTTTCCGCGAGGAGTGCGGTTTTTGCACAATTGTACTGTGTAGTGCAAGCAAGGAAAAGGGGGCAACCGAGAGGGCCATCACCAATCACATTGTATCGTCGACTGGAAATGTTATTTTTGGGAGTGAGACAATTCCTGCGTTGGAAGATAAGCGACCAGCTGGCCGACAGTTGTCCATGGGCTATCAATGCGAAATGCTGGGACGAACAGACCCTGGGGCTGCAGCTGGCAGAGGCATTGCATGTTCCTGACAGCCCAGCAAGACAATCCACCCGACTCGGAGACTCAGGGTCCAGCACTAACAATTTTCCCAGCGGGCAAGTGCAGGGGCAGCGCCACGCCAGCGCTGTGAAAGTCAGTCCCCTGGAACCAAATGATGGAGAGGCCAGGCCCGGCTTTTGGGGTCTGGGGACGGGATAAGTACCTCTACCTCAAGACAGGATGGAGCGAGGGAAACTCGGTCGGATTCCGTGTTTCTCCAGATTTCTGGCACAACTTTCGCTGCTTCTCGCAATTGACGGAAACTCTGACTGTCCTGTTTTTGGGTTTGTTTGTTGTGTCTTTCTGTTATCCTGATGCCATTGCAATTGTATACCTACACTACGTTTCGTCGTTTTGAAAACGGCTGCCTTTGATATCAACGACACCTCGACGATATCGCGGGGAGTGTGTATCGGGCCCATCTCCAGCGCCCAGCCTTGCCCCCCCGTTCCCTTCTCCAGTCGAGTGAGGAGGCCCCAGTCCCTCTCAACGAACGGGCAGCCCCAGCCTTGGCGGCCCTGGCCCAGAACCTCTTGTGGTCGTTGTGGACGCGTCCCCATCGTCCCAGCCAGTGGAGCAATCTCTCCAATCGACAAACCACCGAAACACCCACTCGCCTGAACGACAAGGGGAAACTATTCTCTCCCCTGCCACTCGCTTCACTTCTCGCCTTTGATTGCTTTTTGCATCTGCTGCTGCATGTCGCGATACAGGTAGAGCAGAGTTTGGAGGAGAACTCTCTTCGTGATAGATTTCTTGTTTCTTCTGGATTATTATTTTCGGCTTTCACAGGGTGCTGACGGAAGCCCCTTTTGTATCACGACTACCCCCCCCAATCGCGAATCCCACGTCGACGATATCGACACCCCCGGCCGACACATCACGACATACCAACGTGGCGACCGACCGACGACGACATTTATACCAAAACACCACCCACCCATAACTTCTAATACACACACACAACCCGACTGCGAGAGCGATAGCACTACCTCGCCGTCGTCGTTCCCTCTCGGCTCCGGCAGCGCCATACACCGCCTTCACCATGGACCTCCTCCGTCAGCTCGGGGGGCTCCTCCCTGGCGGCAGACCGCCCCAGCTTCCCCTCGGCCAGGGCGAAAAGGACAAGCCACGGAGGACACTGGCCCAGCGCCTTCAGTACCTTAGGAGACCCCTCAGGTTACGAGGCAACTCCAGCATATCCGTGCCTCTGGGCGTGGTCATTCTCTTCCCCTGCATAGTCGTCATCCTCATCCTCGTCCTGTTCGTCAGGCACCCAAGCTCCCCTGGCCGCATCTTGATGCCCGCCGGTGCCCCTCCCGGCATCAGGTACGTCTTTGCTCTGCTATAGCTCCCTCACCGCCTTTGGTCTCCAAACACCAATCGCTAACACCTTCCTTCCCTTTCCCCTCCCACAGGAAAATCAGCGAAAAGTACGACAAGGTCTTCGTCACGGGCTGCCTTGAGCCCGACACCAGCAAGCCCCGCGCCAATGGCGCCTTCGTCGTCCTCGCGAGAAACAAGGAGCTGGACGGTGTTATCCAGTCCATCAAGTCCATCGAGCGCCACTTCAACCGCTGGTACCACTACCCCTACGTCTTCCTGAACGATGGCGACTTCGACGACACCTTCAAGGACACTGTCAAGAACTACACTTCTGCTCCCGTCGAGTTCGGCAAGGTTGGCCCGGACATGTGGGGTTTCCCTGACTGGGTTGACCCCAAGGTTGCCAAGGAGGGTATCGCCAAGCAGGGTGATGCCGCTGTCATGTACGGTGGCATGGAAAGTTACCACTCCATGTGCAGATTCTACTCTGGGTATGTCCTGCGATTCAGGTTTCAAGCAAGCTACATCTGCTAACACAGCACAGCTTCTTCTACAAGCACGAGCTCCTCCAGAAGTACGAGTGGTACTGGCGCTTGGAGCCCGAGATCAAGTACTTCTGCGACATCACCTAGTACGTCCTTTCACTCCCCGCTTTCCATCTGAGCGCATTCCACTAACATAGTACCGCTCCCCAGTGACCCCTTCCTCAAGATGATCGAGAACAACAAGACCTACGGCTTCACCATTGCGGTCAAGGAACTCCGCGAGACCGTCCCCAACATTTTCCGCTACGCCTCCGCCTACAAGCGTCTCAACAACATTACCTCGCAGGGTCTGTGGGAGATGTTTGTCGAGCCCCAGCCCGAGAAGAAGCCCGAAGTCCCCGAGCCCGGCCTTCCTGAGGAGATCCTGCGCTCCGACCCCGGCGCCAACAAGCTCCCCGATATCGACCCCGAGGCGATGGAGGGCGAGAAGTACAACATGTGCCATTTCTGGTCCAACTTTGAGATTGCCCGCTTGGATTTCTTCCGGTCCAAGGCGTACGAGGATTTCTTCCAGATGATGGATCACAGCGGTGGCTTTTGGATGGAGCGTGTATGTTTTTTCTTTCTTCCCCTGTCCTCTCTTTCGTACCCAATTTTCCCCCAGTTCAGCCGCTAACAATCACCACAGTGGGGTGATGCCCCGATTCACTCCCTCGCTGCCGGCGCCCTCTTGGGTCCTCGCGACATCCACTACTTCCGCGATTTCGGTTACCGCCACACCACCATTCAGCACTGCCCCGCCAACGCGCCCGCCCGCCAGCTGCCCCGCGAGCCCTACCTCGAGAAGACCACGCTGGACGAAAAGAAGCGCATCGAGGAGGACAAGTACTGGGATGAATACGACACCCCCAAGGAGAACGGCGTTGGGTGCCGCTGCAGGTGCGACACGGACATTGTCGACGTCGAGGGCAAGGAAGGTTCCTGCTTGGCCGAGTGGGTGGATGTTGCGGGTGGTTGGGCCAGTCCTTAGATGGGGTAGTAGTCCTTGATTTCAAGGGGTTACGACACCTAGGAGCTTCTGAAGCGGTGCTAAGCCAGAAAATAATGGCAGCGTTTGAACAGCGATTGAACATCGCGCATCCTCAGCGCAGTCTATGAACTCTGTCCGAGGGTGGCAGATGGTTGCGGGAGAATGTGTACATGATGACGAAAAGAAAAATGGCACACATACGTGCAGAGAATGGTGGATTGGATGGAAACGAGTTTCTTTACATGTTTTTCACTTGTATACAGGATCATGAATTGGGGCGGACTGTGGAGGAACAGCAAGCAGGCAGGCGATTGTCGATACCAAATTCTTGCTTGTCTATATATGGTAGACTTTGTTTCAGTGTAGGAGTGGAGGAGAATGGTTAATCCATTTATTCATTTTTCTTGTGTAGTATGTTACCTTTCTTTTGCGCGTAAAATGAAAAGAATTGATCAGTTATTGTCATGTTAGACCATATATTTCCCCCTTAGTTCCTGGCCAACGATTATTCGTGCCATCTCCCTTATATTGTTTCGAGGACTAACATACTTCAGTTCTTTTTTGGGTAGTCTGTCAAACGTAACTCGAGGGATGGGATAAATGTCGGAAATATTGAGGAGAATGATTTCTGCCAAGCAATACCTAATGAAGGGAAGGACCTAGTGAAGAAAAGGAGGGAAAGCTCAAGATGGATGGAGGAAGGATAGTTATGGAAACATTGACAGTGTGCCGGGATTGCATGGGATTGGGTACTGGTCTGGTGCATAGGTAGGTAGGGTGGGTGGATCAATAAGGTACTTAGATCCAAACAACAGAAATGAGTACACGGACAGACGGGGCTAAACACCAACACTTGGCTCTATATATACCTACCTAGGTAGGTACCTACCTCATCTATGACAAGCTTGTTTTCTTTTTTCATAACAAGACCTTTACTTTGTAGTGGGCGATCAATTAATCAACTAACTAGGTAGTCAAACTAACCTAATCCGATATCGCCGCTCGTTGTAGCTATATCTGTCGAAGAGATTGATATTATAAAGGAAACATTGTAATAATAATAAATAGTACATGGCTCGATTGGAGAGTCTCATTCGAATGTTTTCTATCTACCTACTGAGGCTTGCGTAAAGACTAGGTACCTACCTACCTACCTAGTAGGTAGGTAAAGGTCCAAGGTATAACAAAACGCCGGCTGGGATGATGCCAGCGTACCAGGAAGACGGAGTGTATATACTTACCTACTCAGGGTAATTAATGTCAAAGTGTCTCACACAACGATTGACGTCCAGGACGACTGACGGGAGCCACCACCTGACCCCTGGCCCGGACAAGACAATGGATGGGTTTCGACAAATGAATAAAGCTCGATTATACTAGTTGCCTGTCTTGGTTCTTTGTATAGGTAGGTAGCACAGGTTGAGTACCTAGGTAGGTAGGTGGGTACCTATTCTAGAGGTACAGTAAGTACTCAAGTCTACCTACCTAGGTACCCAGGGTGCTGCTGGCTTGCGGTGCGTGAGCTGGACCAACAACAGAATCTTGGGTACTAGAGTATGAACCGGTAACTCCTGATGGTCGTTTACCCTTGATGGGAGACACATGTGATAGCCAAGATAGTCATAGGTTGTCGTTGTTGACGTTCATGCCTGTTGATACACTACCTATGTACTGGACTTTTCTTGTCCTGAGGGTTCACATGATGGCGCGCATCGATGTCTTTTTGAAGCTCTGATTCGAAAGAAGAAGAAAATCTAGAAGGAAGACCAAGCCACGACTAACGAAAGATGGAGTAGGGAGGAAGGATGATGATGACGGTAGGATTAACTAGCAGTGTGCCCCTATGGTCTTGCAGCATGTCATTCATGTCGTATATCAATGTGTCCCAAACACTTGTTGAGGACTGTCTGAGATTCCGACTGGTCATTCAGCATCTCTCCGTCTCTACTCTTTACTCCGTCTGGATGGAAGTACCTGCTTGCTATAAGCGCGCAAGGAGGTTGATGTTTACGAGTTTGACCAGTCGGGAGCGCCGGATGTCTCTGGAACTTTGCTTGTTCTTCACTATTGGCGGACCATCTAATCGGACCAAAAATCTTAACCGCCTACTCGAGAGCCGCATGCGATGACACCGAATGAATGGTAAGGGCGGGACGCCATTCAGGTATATAGGATGCGTACACTATCTGGTTAGATCCAGATAGCCGTTCGTTGATATCAGTAACTTCAGCAGGCGCTGAAGGAAGAGATCAAAGTAATGATGTGTCTTGCATGGCCAAGCAACTATCGCGGGCGCAACGAACGAGTCAAATACATGTGAAAAGTCAGTGTACAAGTTGATGCGAAACAGAACAGATCCACCGTCGAAACTGCCGTCGCATGCTGTTGCCAAGTGTTTATACTTGGGACGCCTGTTTACTCGAAACGGGCGGCGGGCCTTTTCAAGTTTCTTTATGTGGCAGCTTCTCAATATTGATGGTGTGGGAGGCTGTTGAGGCCCGTTGTTTGGTTGGAGAGTGGAAGCGCTTAAGCGGCTGAACTAAGTTCTGTTTGTTTGTGATGAGGTGCATATGTTTGACCTCCAAAGCGACCATCATACGGCGGCAACCGGGGCTATTTTAGGAGTGTTGGGTCCATGAAGCGGGGAGAATCTATCGAGGCCGAGAAAAGCAATTATCGACGGTGTATTGCTCGATGTCTTTTGACAAGACAAATGATGCCATCGTACACTGACCTGGAGTCGTGGGGCATAGGGGATGGGGCTTGGACGTTGAAGTCTCGAGATAAGCGACAGTTTGAGATCGATCGTCGAATGTTTTTTTTTTTTTTTTTTTTTCACATGCAGATATTGATTTGGAAATGTTTCAGTAGCATCCGTTTCTCGCCTGGAGAGGGCGCAGGCAGTTTCGCGGCAGATGGGCTTGGTGTTGTTGTCCAAGGGGAAGAGCCAAGTCTCAAAGTGGACCGTGACGAGGGGCATCTTGCAGGGTTCTCCACATATTGAGTGGTGGGGCAGATGCCACATCAGGCATAGCGTGAGACGTGCCTGAGATGACCAAGCACTTTGGCGAGTTTTAAGGGCCTCCATCCCCGTCAACTCTGACCGGAAACCCATGGGAACCTTGGACGATGTGGCAAGAACGCTCGACGATTCAACGTCCAAACAGCAGGGACATTGGCTCATAACGGATTCGCATTAAGATGATGTTTCGACAATGGGGAACATGACCAGAATCCGGAGGCGGAGCAGATCCGGAAGACGACGATTCCGTGGTCATGGTCACTCTACCTTATCCCCTTCTTCGCCCGAGTCGTATCCATACACTACACGTGAAGGCTTCGACCTGTGGAGGAAGAAGAGAGAGACATGAGTGATTGATGAGGCATACCGAAACAATGTGACTGAAGGTAAACACGCGAAACATACAGACCTGGAGATGCTTGGCTTTTTTGCCAAAGCTTTCTCTCGCAAGAGCCTCAACACGAAACTTCCAGGGGAAGGAGCCAATCACCAAAGAATGACAGGCACTAGGATCGTTTGATGACACACAGGGCAGGGACGACAAGCCACCCACCCCAAAAAGACGACAATTGAGGGGGAATCCCGCTTGCCCGCGCGACAACACTCGGACGCTTCCTCCTCTGTAACTCTGTTTCCTCGGACACTTCCAGACCACCGCAGGGCTCCAATCCCGATGCGACTCAGGAAAACCGAAAACTTGGGTATCGAGGGAACCCAGCTGTCTCATCGTCTTCCCCAAACAGAGCGAGTGCGCATCTCCATTGTTTCTCCAACGTTCCATTCCGTGTTCATGCCGGGCCAAACCCTGGCTCAACGGTTTCACTCAACTCGCTCGTCACGTCAACCTTTTTTTTTTTTTTTTCTGATCAGAAACGCCATGACCCAGCGTCGCTTGCCATCACGGCCAAAAACATCCAACCGTTGATGATGAAAACATTGGGCCTCGAGGCCATTGGCCAAACCCGACAGACTGGTCAGAGGAGCAGGCCAACAAACAGATGGCAACCGACCATCTGGTCTGCTGAATTGGGTGTGCCGCACTCCGGCATTCTGGGCCCAAGCAATCACATCTTTGTGGCTCCCGAGTCATGAAACTGAATAATAATACCAATTCTCAACAGATTCATCACCGGTGATGTCGGGAGGTGAGGTCGGTCTACTACCAGCGGAGTGCCGTCCGAATTTGTGGGGCTCGCGGTGTCAGCAACGATCATGACGAGATGTCGTTTCCGACTAACTCCGCAACCGTTGCGCATGACATGGCCCAGACCCTCTGATCAACTACCCTGCATTGCGGCTACGCTCGACAGCAAGGGTTTGGACATGGTTCGTCGGTCAGATTAGGTTTTGCGCACGTCCGTCCCTGACCTTGATGGTCGGGCAAGGGGTTCATCTGAGATGGAGAATGCCCGTTGTCTGTCGACATGTACCATGAGACACACGATTACTGACTTCATCTTTCCTCTTTGGGATCTACAGATATTCAACATATGATTCCTTTTCTTTGCCAGAATCAAGTTCATTTCACGTTTCCACAACCGCCCGCCTCCTGATACACGACACTCCATTGTCGAGACACGGACGTGGTGGTGCTCTTCCCCCAGTCTTGTCTGGATCTACCAGTCTCCTCTAGCCTCGTCGAGGGTATCCCCCAGACATCTGTAACAAAGCTAAGAGTCTGTGGCTTGCCCCCACTGGTCTGCCCTACTGGATGTTCCTATGTCCGAGACTCATGCAACAAATAGTGGACATCATTATCATTTTTCCCCTTCCCCCTCCCCCTCCATGGGCGGCTGCCTAGACCGTTTCTTATTTTTTTTCTCTATACTTATTTTCCAAGGCCCCTTCCCGGACCACTTCCACTTGTTTATCACTCCGCTGTCGTGTGTGTGTCTCCCTTTCTTCTGCCTTCGCTTCTTTCCTCCAGAGTAAACAGAGTCACTCCTTATTATCGACCAACAATATCAGGCGTTTACTTTATCTGTCATTTATTGAAAAAGGGTGGCTGGCTTTCACTCCTTGGGCCGTATAAGCTGGTTCATTATACCGTCATTCACACACGACATTTCCACCTCAATTATCGTACAATTCCACTGTTGTTGCACCCTAGGACCGGTCTCGCTTGATCAGTGCCAGTTGGAAGAGGACAACCTTCGATTCTTTACCGACCACATTCATCAAAACACAACCGAGACGCGGCAGCAAGTCGACATGTCTCCCACCGTGGCTGTGATGACGGCACCCGTCTCCTTTGCCCCTACTACGGATACCATGGACCGCCGTGGCTATGGTATTACCAAGACCAAGAAGACAACCTCTACTGGTGGTGGACGGGCATGGAGCGAGGAGGAGGTATGTTGAAGTCTCTTGCGATCAAGTTTGATCAACATCTGACTGACATGTCACAGGAAGCATATCTCATCAAAACTCGGATGCAAAAAATGCCATACAAGCACATTGCTGCCCACCTGAAGAAGACGGAGCTTGCCTGCCGCCTGCACTTCCATCAGCTCAGCCATGGCAGCAACCGCCGGAAGCGCACATCTTCACTGTCTTCTCACGGTTCCAACCAGTCACCTCCCATGCGTGGCGCTGATGCATCACCGGCTCGCGAGCTTGATGCCGCGCCCAGCCGCTCGGTGTCGCCTTCAGGGTCAACGTATTCCTACAGCTCCACCAGCCCGAACGCTGTTCAGCTTCCTAGCATCATGTCCACGACTAGCTCAACCAACACATCGCCTCGTCTGCCAGCCATTCTACCCAAGCCAGCCGCCATGAGCCTGGGCTTGTCTGCCATGTCTCGTTCTACTAGCAGGTCTACATCCCCCGCATCATCACACGCCTACACGTCATCCCTACATCCTCACAGTACCACCTCTGGATACCGATCCACACCGACCAGTTCTCATGGATCGCTTCGTCTGGATTGTTCCGCCTTGCCACGGCTGCCTACTTCGGCAGCTACCCCAGTGGCCTTTTCTTCCAGCCAGCCGGTCGATATGAACCGACTCTCTGCAGTGTACAATGCACGCCGGGCGTCCTTCTGGGCCTCGGTAGCGGCTGATTATGGCAACGGAGTCAGCCCGACGGTGTTGGAGCAAGCATGGCGCAGAGGAAGCAACAGTGGTCAGACACCCGTCACTCCTGTTGGAAGTCCAGATGATCAGGTCTATACGCTCCCTCAAATCAAATCTGACAAGACTAGGATCAGCGCCATTCTAGGTATCGATGCTAACCCCAGGAGTCCGCGGGAGCGGGAGATGGTGAGGAGGTTGGAGGAGGAGAGGTGTTCTGTTGGCATGGTTGGCGCATGATGGTTCATGCAGATAATCTTTGTTGGGTTATCCAAGTTTTCTTTCTCGGTCGTGTACGAATGATGTTCCTTTGTGGGCTCAATTGGTTATGATCAGGATGTATTGTTGGGTCTTTGTTCTTTTCTCCACTGTCGTTTCTTTTGGATTCTTTGGGAGTTTTGGGTTATCGTACCTATGGGAACAGTAAAGGAACGGGTATGAAAGCATGACACTTGTACGAAAAGGAAACTTGCTGTGACTGCCTAACCAAGCTTTCACACACAGCTTTACGATGGAACATGTATCGGGCAGGTTATTGACGGAATATGGGCTGGCGCATATCGGTAAGGGAACGGCGGAAAAGTGAAAGGACATACATGGTGTGTAGTCTAGTAGCCAACTGAAGGCAAAAAGCGAATTCACCAACACTCGATCCATTCGTTTTTCCACCACTCCAAATCTTGATGGCTATGCTTAACCACGACAGTCACTCCTCGCGGGTAAGCCATCCGAAGACAGACACCCTCCGCTAAGCGACTCGAACTGCAGTTGGCCCGAGATACGCAACCTGCATCAAGCCATGTCCTGCGACGCAGTGCGATGCATGCACTGTGATGTAAGTAGAGAAGAGACGGACGGGCTAGATGTATTGCGTTATCAGGCGTCAGATAACCGTCGATAGCCGATCACTGCCGATGTCTGGGCCTCGGATGAAGACGGAGAGGTCGCGATCGAGTCCATCGATCGTAACTGGCATCGAGATATCTCTATGATTCCGAAACATATGGCGACTCATTGGCGTCACCATCTCGCCCGCCAACAAACCTCGCGATGCATGCCGTCTCGACCAGTTCGAAAAGAAGCAAAGAGAGATCCTTGCGACGTTGCAATGTTGCAAATCATGCAGTACCAGTTGTTGCCAAGTTGAGGTTTGGGTAACACAGTCCCTTTGCCGGATTGCGGGACAACGTTCTGTGCGACAATGCCTCGACTTCGGCACCTTTTGATGTCCCGGCCAAAGGCACGTCCTGCCGTCGAGAACATCACATGCAATTTTACGTCCTTGGATCGAACACAGAAAAGTACTCCGCCCAATGACAAGGAATTCTGCATCATCATTTTTCTGAACCCATCAGTCTTCAAAGGCTTCCCAGCGAGAAACACGACATGCGAATAGCGTCATGACCCGCCGACAATCACATGGGCCGATGTCGTCTTTGAAACTCCTGATAACAACCACCACCACTCCAGGCAGGTCAGGGTACAGCACCACAGACAATATGCAGCGCATCATTAGATCCCACCAGTTCCGCACAAACATGTCTCCGGGTCCTACTCGACTTGGACGAGTCAACGATATGGCGTCTCACACATGTCACCACACAAAGGACGGACGGACGGGGTGGTGTGGACGGGAGCAGCCAACAAGTAGTTCTCATGCATATCACTGCACACTGCACGCAGCGTAACCCAACGTTCGGACGCCGGACGGGTACACCCGCATGATAAGCGGCTTACACTACACCACAGTTGCATCGGCCACCAACTTTTCCCACGATTGCGGCATTGCTGATGCAGTTCCAGATCGCATGCCATGCTAGCATGCGCTGCCATGTGGCCCCAAATAACTGCTTCTTCGTCGGTTCAAGACCGCAAGTTTATCTCGACATTTGGACGACGAACTTGTCAAAGAACGAGGACGACGAACCGGATCGACATCAATATCCCCGGCTGGCCATCCCTTGCTTGCTTGCAATCAGCATGCTTATCCCACCCAGTCCGAGGCCGAGGCAACACCAAGTTTCGGTCCAATCCGGACGCCCTTGGTCAATGAATGAACCACGGCCAACGACGGCGGTATTTCGCTGGCTATACGCCGTTCCGTCTTGTCGATCGCTGTTCCCGCGCCTCGCCCAGAATGCTTCTATCGGTTTTCTTCTAACCATGTGAATGACAGCCCAGAATTCAAAGCTGCAACCAGTCTCCTCTTGGCAGGTCTGCCGTTCCAAGTAACCAAAGGTCCGGATGGTTGGTGTCTTCACTCAACTGTTGGTCCTATATGATGGTTCCCGAGTGGCCTAGCCGCCGTTGGTCGATAACGCATCTCCACACGGTTTGTTGGTCCCTTCATCCAAGGGTTTGTTCATTCAGTTCATGCTTTCATTTCCCTTTTTATGTTTCCGGAGCCAAGTACTTGAGGCTTGAACTCACGCCAAGGTCGGCCCGTTGGCCACTAGGAATATGTACAGTGGACCAGTGAATGGGTTCTCCTGGTAGCGATGGTTAACAATATCTGGATCTCTTGACCCCCAAAGTATCTTGCAGCAGCACTAGCACCTCCCTCTTTTTCGGGGGTCAGGAGTGGGCCGTTCGGGTGCCTCTATCGGACCGTGATCGGCGGCCGGCCTTCAACTCTGTGGTCTCCTCGAATCCTGCCCTGTCCCAGACTGCATGGCAAAGCGCATGGTCTGTCGAAGATGGAACCGCTAGCACGCCCGCCTAACGGTGGAGACTGGAGAGTCCTCCACAGGAGTCGTTTTGACCAATGATAATTCCGAGAATTGGCTTGACAGCCCAAGTTTCCTATCTCGCCTTATAGTGTACAGCCCAGTATGTACTGGTTTGTTTGTTTGTTAGCTCGAGACCTCGTATCAACTTTCCTGTGAGATTTCAAAGCTGACTGATACGTGATTTTACTTTAGATACGCCATTTCTGCCACGTTAAATCCTGCCAATGGCTTTTGTCATTTGTGCTTAACCCTCTCGATTTGTCCTCACGAGGTTTGGGGCTACTCGGGATAGATTTGGTCTAGTGTACCAAGCTAACAGACAAAGCAGCATCGGACTGTAGTCTAGAGCTTGGTCCCCAGCACCCGCGGTTTTACCGTTGCGTGGTACCTCCCAACCACATCAACCCAACTGAAAAGTACCCAGATGGAAATGGAGCACCCAGCATGCAAGTTGTTCAACCGGCGTGCTGTGTGGGAGTTCGGACCATCAAACAATGAGCAAATTGACTCCATGTCACTCCTTGCTAGTGCTCGGTGACATGTGCCGCAAAGTGGTATTTAGGTCTGTGTGCATGTGTTATGTGTCATAGCAGAACAGCGCGTTGTCCCGAATCCCTCGTCTCGTCCTGACTACTTACTTGTATAATCTCGACCCAATAATGCCTGCCTAGTTTTACTGTCCATACATAAATAAACCTTTCGAGCCCGGCCGGTTGGCGTCATGCGAAGTCCATTTACTTTCAGCCCCCCTCTTCGGTTTGCAAAAAAAGTTTCGATGAAACGCTGGACCAGCACTTCATCCTGATTTCCACCACGGCTGGAATTCGATTCCCGTTTGTTGCCTTTCACCATCCAATCCATTCATTCACTGGGAGTGCCATTCACACGAATCTTGGATACGTACCCGCCGCCGCCTGGCCAGCTGGATTTTCGGATCAGGGAAAGTTTTGATATAAAAGGACTTCCTCCATTGCCAAGTTTCCCCCGAAGCTATTTTCTCGAAACAAAGCAACCCCACCGAGCAGATCTACTAGACTAGTTCTTTGTCTGCCTCGACACTTTTTTTTTTTTTTTTTTTTCCCGACTTTGCAACAGCTTGTGCTTCCTTTTTTCAATAGCCGAGGCACAAGCTTAGGTACCCTTCGTTGACGACAACCCGTCCAAACTCATCTCACAACGCCCTCAGGTAGGTAGCCGCCGACTCCGGCCTCAAATATAAATCAACAATGGCTTCCAACCAAGATGATAAGGCTGTCGCCCCCGACGCTGCCGTTCCCGCCGGCCAGTCCACCACCACAACCACCAACGAGAACAGCGAGCGCAACTTACCCAAGGAGGGCGAATACATCCAATGGCGTACTCTCCCAGCTGGCAACCCCGACCAGTTGAACCGCTGGTCGCACTTTTTGACTCGTGAGCATGAGTTTCCTGGAGCTCAGGTAAGTGATGAAGCTATTACCATTGCCATCGTTCGGTCTTGATGCTACCTACATACCTACCTACCTACCTACCTACCCTCACGTCACGTCATGTCATGACATGACAAATGCCGCTGCTTTCACCCTTATTCTTTCATTGCCGAGCTTAATTAAGCGGATCCCACACACCACACACACACACACACATACCCAACACCTCGGTTTGAAACAAATTGGGGTTTCGTTCGGCAAAAGGATCCCGAGCCCCCGTCCGTCACTCGCTTCGTCATTCATATGCCTTATCAGGATGCGGAGATGGCTCATGAGGGGTAGCTTCTGGGCTGCTGTGGGGTACCATAGTAGCTTTTGCGTGGTACCTCTAGACAACGAAGTGGAAAGGGACATGGACCCCCCCCGCCCCTGACGACGATCATGAATTACATACAACGGGTTGTACCAAAGCAGCAGAAGCTCGGAATAACTCACTAACATTGACAATTACCCAACCATGTAGGCCATGCTCTACGGCGCCGGGGTCCCGAATAAGGACATGATGAAGAAGGCGCCGCATGTCGGCATTGCGACGGTGTGGTGGGAGGGCAACCCCTGCAAGTGAGTTCTACCTAGAGGTACCCAAAGGGATGAATGAGATATGTGGTGAGTGAGTGAGGGTTGAGGATTAACATGGTTATAGCACCCATTTGCTGGATCTTGGCCAAAAGGTCAAGAAGGCCGTTGAGCGTGAGAAGATGCTCGCGTGGCAGTTCAACACCATTGGTGTCTCGGATGGTATCACCATGGGCGGAGAGGGTGAGTTTTTGTCACCTCCATGTCTCCATGATGGGTGATATGAGATCAATGCTAAAATCACAACCAGGCATGCGCTACTCACTTCAGTCGCGCGAGATCATCGCCGACTCCATCGAGACCGTCACCTGCGCTCAGCATCACGACGCCAACATCTCCATTCCCGGCTGCGACAAGAACATGCCCGGCGTCATCATGGCCGCGGCCCGCCACAACCGCCCCTTCGTCATGATCTACGGCGGCACCATGCGCGGCGGCCACTCGGAGCTCCTCGACCGCCCCATCAACATCGTCACTTGCTACGAGGCTTCCGGCGCTTATACGTACGGCCGTCTCAAGCCCGCGTGCCCCAACAGCACCGCCACCCCTTCGGACGTCATGGACGACATCGAGCAACACGCCTGCCCCGGCGCCGGCGCCTGCGGCGGCATGTACACCGCCAACACCATGGCGACCGCCATCGAAGCCATGGGCCTCACCGCGCCGGGGTCCTCCTCTTTCCCTGCGTCTTCGCCCGAAAAGTTCCGCGAGTGCGAAAAAGCCGCCGAGTACATCAAGATCTGCATGGAGCAGGACATTCGCCCCCGCGACTTGTTGACCAAGGCCTCGTTCGAGAACGCGCTCGTGCTCACCATGATCCTCGGCGGTTCTACCAATGGCGTTCTGCACTACCTCGCCATGGCCAACTCGGCCGACGTCGACTTGACTCTGGACGACATCAACCGCGTCTCGGCCAAGACGCCCTTTTTGGCTGACATGGCTCCCTCGGGCCGCTACTACATGGAAGACCTGTACAAAGTCGGCGGGACCCCCGCGGTCCTCAAGATGCTCATCGCCGCAGGTTATATCGATGGCACCATCCCCACCATCACCGGCAAGTCCTTGGCGGAAAACGTATCCGACTGGCCTAGTCTCGACCCCGATCAAAAAATCATCCGCCCCTTGAACAACCCCATCAAGTCCCAAGGCCATATCCGTGTCTTGTACGGAAACTTTTCTCCCGGCGGCGCTGTCGCCAAGATCACAGGCAAGGAAGGCCTCTCCTTCACGGGAAAAGCCCGTTGCTTCAACAAGGAATTCGAGCTCGACGCCGCCTTGAAGAACTCGCAGATTACCGTCGAGCAAGGAAACCAGGTCCTCATTGTGCGGTACGAAGGACCGAAAGGCGGGCCAGGTATGCCTGAGCAACTGAAGGCTTCAGCGGCGATCATGGGCGCGGGCCTGACTAATGTCGCCCTGGTGACAGATGGTCGGTACTCTGGTGCTTCGCATGGGTTTATTGTGGGCCATGTGGTGCCCGAGGCGGCGACGGGGGGGCCGATTGCGCTGGTGAAAGACGGGGATTTGATTACCATTGATGCGGTTAGGAACCGGATTGATGTCGTTAGGACCGTGGAGGGCGCCGAGGGCGAGGAAGAGATTGCCAAAGTGTTGGAGGAGCGCAAGAAGGGGTGGAAGGCGCCGGTGATGAAGCCGACGAGGGGGGCGTTGGCCAAGTATGCAAGGTTGGTGGGGGATGCGTCGCATGGGGCTGTTACTGATTTGGGTGGGGATGCGTACTAGAGGGCATACTTAATTTGGATGGCGGACGGCGGCGGCTTTCTACTACGACGTGGGCGGATAGAAAATGGTTTTTTTTTTTTTTTTTTTTTTTTTTTGAGAGAGAGAGAGAGAGAGAGAGAGACTCATATAGACGGTAGCATTTCGCTTTGCTTTGCCTTAGCTTTGGGCCTGTTTTTTCCTTCCTGCTTGCATTTGTTCGGCTCCATGCAGTGGCGTCCAGGAGAAGGTCTTTGTCTTTATACATAGTGGCAAGGAAAAAGACGAAGAAGAAGAAGAAGGGGAGGAAAGAAGGAAATGAAAAAAAGAGGACATTAGACAGATTACACATGGATGGAAATTCGCTTTTGTTTCTGTTGACTATGTCGGGTACTACCCATGGGTACTATCTATTTCCCGGGTGACATAGAGGTGTTCTCTGGGATGTAGTGATGTGTGAGTAGTGAAATCATAGTATATCAACATCCACGATGTTCCTCGAAAATACCAGTCGCCGTGACTGCCCGGCATACTACTAAAGATAAGTACCTAGGTAGGCAACAAGTGATGTTCAAATATGATAAAGAAAAGGGAAGGGGCATGTTCATGTTCATCCAGCCAGCCTTCTCTCGGTGTTTACAGTCAGCCAGGTTCGTTTACTTGATGCCTGCCACAGACTAACTAACCGTTGACTATTTGTAAGGTGTACAGCAAGCACACTTGAGGTCTTGTAATGCATTGTGCACAAAACTCGTGCATGTCTTGTGCGTGAACATCGGAATGCCAATGTCAAGACAGGTAGGTCAGTGAGATGTAGGTAGGCATGCAGTTGTTATTCTTGTCCAAACACGATGAGATGAGGTCGTTGAGGCTCAGGGATACTTGATGAACTGGCTAACATGTACATACCGTATGGACATGGATGGATGGATACACCAAAAGCCGTTACCGACCTTGGCATTCAAAGTTGAACCTTCAGTTGGATTGATGGGACAGGGGAGAAATTGCACAGTGCAGGTCTCTGCTACATGTACATTGCTATACTCTCCATGAGCCGTGTCGATGAGGGGACCTGAGGAACTTCAAAAGTCACAGATGGAACTGATGACCAGGGTTGGTGGGGACTTGGACGTGGGGAAGATCCAAAGTCGTGGGTAGGGTTAGATGAGCGTTTGACTTTCCACGGTCTTGGTACCGGTACTTTGTCATGAGCGGGTGTTGACACCGACTTTGGGACACCCTTCACTCATCCTATTGATTTCTCTGCTGTATCGGTCATGAACTCGGCTGTGAGGCTAGCTGGTTACTTAACGCCCACTGCCCTGACGTCCATTGCCGTCAGTGTCAGTTCTAGCCCCGCTTGTGAGCAGTTCCTTGAGTTCACGAGGACTCGGCTATGTACTCTGGTCTGAGGTAGCCGAGTTGTACGTCCTGTCTCAGTTTTGGCAGACAGATGCGTGTGTCTCTACCTAGTTCTCTGAAAATGTGGCGCTTGTAGAACAGAAGGCAAGTTGAAAGTGTTCGATGGTCTCTGATCTTCTGTCGTTGAAACAGTGTATGACAGACAGCTGCGATGCCGACATAAACTCCGGCTCGAAGCCGGCTCTTGGTCGGAAGTACAAAGGAGTTGGATTGGGGTTCCCGTAATTGATGAGTGATCATACAATAGCATGTGATGGGGCTTGGGTTGTATCAGTCGTGTTGAGGGCCCATACAAAAGTCGATAGTCGATATGGTGACACGCAAGAGCTGCATGTAGTGACAGTAGTGTCGTGAGAGTGCATCGTAACACCAAGCTTTTGGGCGACGGACGGTTATGATTTGTCTGATAAAGGGAATCCGAGATGGATCGAGATGGAATGATGGAGGTTGGGTTCATCCAAAGCTGACATGGCAATGTTTCTCTTGTTGGACTTTTTCCTGACGGGTCATCATGAAATTGACAGGACGATGAACGGAAGGAGGTTCAATTCGACTTGAGGAGTATGTATGTAGGAGCTTTTGGTGGCTGGTGGAGTACAAGGTGCAGGCTGCTTGTTTTAGCTCAGACTCAAACCCACAACAGCAGTGACTTGTATGCACCATTGCCAGAGGTAGAGAGGAAGTACCGGTCGGAAGAGGTACTGCCAAGTACATTACGCGGGTCAGATGTAGCGTTTGGGGTCATTGTCGCGCGACCTTCAGAAGCACATTACATGTCTTGAGTTGGGCTTGATGAAAGGAAACGAGGAATACCGTACAGACCTCATGGCGAAAAGCTTCAGTTCGTTGTCGACATTCTCTTCAACTTTGATGCGCTCTTCCCTCCGTCTTGATGGCCCTTCCTTCTCCTTCCTCGAAAACTCTCAGCTCAACGCTGCGACTTCCTTCACTTCCTCTTGGCTGCCATTGTCTGAATGCACAGATCTGCAGAATGGCCTGTGCGCGGTCTTGTGCAAAGGTACGTACCGAGGGAGGGGTGGATGAGGGGTCCAGTTCATCCCTGGCGTCCATGGAATCAAATTTGATCATCTCGAAACATCCATGATTTCTCAATCTTTTCATTCACCTGTTTTCGTGAGGCTGCCAAGACGAAAGTGCGAGGTAGCATTCAAGATATCGATATCGGTGACGCGAGAATGCGATGCGATGAATCGAGACATTTCGCCGGCTCAGCTGGGAATCGTGGCTTGGACAAGGAAACTGGGCCAATCATGGGGACGCCCAAGCCTTGCCTTCGTAATCCAAAAATCCGGAAATGTTGATTTTACGGCTTCGAGTCGATACACGTAACCATTTTCCATTCACTGAACATCTCCAAGGACTCATGGTTTGACTGGTTATTTTATCTTTTTTCCCGTCTGATCTGGCGCCATCCATTGACTATTGCATTTCGTTACCGACGACGGACACTTGTTTTGTTCGACCAGCGACCAACAAGGCTCAAAGGCTGCACAGTTCCGCGTGCGTACCCGTCTTTTATGACTTCATCACCTGGCAACCCCTCCATTTCTGCCATCCCATCCTAGCCAACGGTCCGGCAAGCAGGGAGCATCGGTCCGGCGTCTCCAAAAACAGATGAGATTCCAGTCCGATTGTGTGGGTCACGGGCTCAGAAAAAAATAGAGCTTTTTCTGTGACATCCCCGCTTCCATCGGTCCCCCAAAACGGAGCTGCTCCCTGCTTTGACAAGCCACAGAGGTACCTTTTTTTTTTTATTGAGGAATTGCAATCATCGCCAACCGAATCGAACAATCACCGCGATCCAGGAAATCCGGACATCTCGGTCGACAGACACTGAAAACAAGTCGAGGGACTTTCCGTGGTCCACAGTTCCCTTCGTTCCACTTCGCTCCGGTCTCCCGTCACATCCATCTGTTGCGCGCGCGTTTGCACTTTCCAAGTCACAGACAGCTTTCCGCATCGATCCAGTGCTGCCGCCATCCCCACACCCGAAATAACTGGCCTGCCGCTAGAGCCAAATTCCCAAGGCACCTACGCTACTTACCTGCCTCCAAAGCCCCAGCCACCCATCCCCGGCGCAACTCTCCCGTCTCTTCGTTTTTTTTTGACTCGACTCGAGGTCCCCTTCAGGTTCTCTTTCCCGTCGAGGTACTTCTGTCCATCACTCAGCAAGTCGAGGAAGCAGACCCAAGACCCTTCCCAGCACAGCACAGCAGCAGCAGCAGCAGCAGCAAGCAGATCGCACACTGGGAACTCGGAGAGTACTTTGCGACAACCTTCCATCGAGGTCGACAAGAGGTTCCCGCCCACGCGCGCATCACTCGGTCTATCGCCAATACCTCAACTCTACCTACCTCTACCTCAAGTTTTCTGCAATCCAGACAAGAGAACGTCAAAGTCACCTCTACACATACCTTACCTACCCTTTGCATCGCATCTCCCACGTCGCTCCGGTCGTTCGGGACTTGGGTGCAACTTTGAACCAAACCTGCGAGGATAGAAAAGTTATTTGACACGGTCAATTCTGCCAGTAAGTGCATCTCGCTTTTCTCATCCCTTCGAGCTACTGTGATCGATATCTCCCCCCATGCCCCTGTCATCCATCATCCATCCATCCATCCATCCATCCATCATTCGCCCTTTTTTTTTTTTTTTTTTTTTTTTTTTTTTTTTTTTTACTCACTTGCACACATCCCGATCCATCATTCAATTTCCCTTTTTTTGCGCGCGATAACGACGGGACCAGAAGCCGAACTACGGTATCATGTTCGTGCTTTTTGGGAATGTCGTGAGCACTTTGCATCGCACTTGCACTGCACACTGTCTCTGCTCGGCCTGTCTGCCTGCCCCATCTGGTTACTCTCGTTTTTTACTACCGAGTTTATCCAGGGTGGGTTTGGTGTTGTTACTAGCTGAGCATGACGCCCAGCCTGCCGCAACATCAAAATATGCAAATAAATGCCACAACCACCACTGTCGCTGCTCTACCCGGCCTCATCAATTGTCGACCAACCCCCAACCTGCCCGTTGTGAGAGAGATATGATTGCTGCTGCTGCTGCTGCTTCTGCTGGTCGGCTAGACTGAACAGACGGCAACCCAGCACATGCACATTTGTCTCCAACGGGAACAGAAGGGACATGGGTTTGGATTGCGTGGGATTCCCCATGCAAGTGGTCAGCACCGACGCCTCCAAATTCACCTACCCTTCATCCTCCGTCCTCCCCCTTCCTCTTCCCTCTCCTGCGTGCAGCCACTCAACCCGTTCGCGGGTTGGGCTGACCCAAGACCGTCACTTTTCCCCGGTGCCAGTGTGTCGTCGCCACACGGGCAGTGAGGAAGTATGACGCGGACTGGACCAGGCTCAATGCTGAGCTGTGATTTGCTGGAGCTCAACCATTCACTTTGAGCTCCGGATGGTCACCACAGCACGCAAGCAAAATGCTGGAAGAGGAATAAGAAAAAAAAAGAGGAAACAAAAAAAAACGACAGCGAGAAAGAAGAGGACATCAAGACAATAAAACAAGCAGCAGAAAAGAAGGGGGCGTATCCGCGACAGCAGGCGATGACAGAAATGAAGAGACATTGAAAAGAAAAAAAAAAAAAAAAAAAAAAAAAAAAAAAAAAAAAAAAAAAAAAAAAGAGGCAGGCCAATGCATCTCCCATCTCACAGGTATCATGATATCCGGCAGCCCAGAGCGGCAGAAGCAGACAGCCAAAAGCAGAAGCAGAGCAAAAGCAGAGCACAGCAAAAGCAATTCGTCCGTTGGCGACAGTCACAGAAGTTTGCTGCAGCCCCGAGCGTCACGAAAGAATGGACGTTAGCTTGGCCAAGCCTTTTCCCCATTTTATCTCCATCAGCTCATTCTTTCTCCGTTCCCCCATTCAATTTGCCCGCCGCCTGCAGAGAGCAAGGGACAAAAAAAAAAAGCCAGCGCTCAGTCATCCTTCACAAAGCCCAGTTTACAACCAGTCCCCAGCATCCACACAAAAGCAATTCCATCCATTCGATTGTTCCTTGATACAAACTATTTCTGAATCTGCACTGCTACAGTTCGGCCGTTACTGACTTTTTGAACTTTTTTCACCAAAAAAAAAAGACTCGGTCGGCAGCAGCAGCAAGAACACGACAATTAGCACAATGGAGCAGTGGACGATTCCGCCGCAGCCTATGCCCGCCATGGGGTCAACGGAGTACACTGTTTACCCCAACTCCACCAGCCACCCCAATGGCCTTCAGTAAGTACCTCTTTCCTTGTACCTTTCTCGTATCTGTCTGTCCTTGCCATTCCCTTTCCTGTCCCCAGAGCAGAGTGGCAGTAGTGGGGGAACATGTGCGATACATGCCTCACTCGGTTCGGTGCCTTGAGTTCAAGACACGAGCCGTCGTCGTTCCTGTTCTCTGTTCTCTGTTTGTCTGTTGTTGTCTGTCTACCTACCTCACTGTCTACCAACCTGCCTTTCCTTGTCTCATCATAGCATCTTCTCCATCTCTTCCCTCGACACAACATTCATGTGTGTATGTGTGTGTGTGTGTGTGTGTTTGGGACTAGGTTACTACTGCTGCTACTCGCCTAGCTACTAGCGACCAGTCGGCTCGGCTTGAGAGACCACTAGTGTGGTCTGCGTAGTCGAGTCGGCCCTGCACGAGAAAGCGATCCAGGTCCCCGTCACAACCACCCAGCATCCCGTCGTCGTGTGTCTTTCCCCTTCGCACGCCCGCGCGCATCAATCACTTTTACATGATACATGCTCCTTCCCCATCCAGCATCACTTTGATTTCTTCTCCATCATTCATGTACCCCATCTCCATGCCCATGTACTCGTCGCGTGCCGTCCTGGGCCTTGTTTGTCCTCCTCTTCGTCTGTAGTGTTTGCCGAGTCGACGGGACACTTGCAAGACTTGGGACAAAGAACGAGTACGAGTAACAACTCGCTTATCCGGGTACCAGCTACTCCTACAAACTGCTGTACTGTACGAGCGGCAGTGCAAGCAAGCAAGCAAGCATATCGACATTAGCAGCCGAGGGCACGAAAGACGTTGGGACTGGACTCCTTGTCGCGCTAGCATCAGTCCGTCAAAAAGTCGACGCAAGCACAGGCATCATCCGTTTGACAGACAGACGGGACCTCTCTGTCTCTCTCTCTCTCCTCCCCCCCCCCCCCCCCCCCTGCCGCCTACCTCTACAGTACATCTACCTACAACACGCGCCGCCGCTGGCCGAGACCCTGCCTGGACTTGGACTTGACCAGACACGGATGAAGAAAGTGGGTTGGATAGACACCTACCTCCCCTCTACTTCTGTCGCCTGGCTGGCCTCGTACCTCTGCATATTATTACCCACGCACAGAAACAATTGCCATCCTTTGACTCGGCCTGTTTCGTCATCCTTTCCCACCCGTCGGTCATCGGCGCGCGCCAAAAAGCTACCTCTCGGGCCTTGTTTCGATACCTTCCTTAGTTGATCCCCGCCATTGCCCTTGGAACACCCCTTCTTTTCTTCGTCCCATCAACAACACTCCGTCACTACACGTACCCGTGTTCGCGCGTGCGTTCACGTCTGTCGACTGCGACCCCTGCTGTCGCGGTGCAGCCTGGTGCTTCGTGCCCCAGGCCGACCCGAGGACGCAGCGACCCATCGCATCGCGACCCGCACGCAACCCGCAACCCACCACCGTCCGTTGCCAGCATGAAGAAACAACAACAGCAGCAGCGGGTCCCTAATGACGTTCATGCTCAGGCATGGCGTCAACCCACGCCGTCGATGCCGGCGCTGCCACAGCACCATCTTCCTCCGCATCAGCAGCAGCAGCAGTTGCAGCCGCAACAACAATCACAACAACAACAAAGCGCGTTTGCTAACCAACCCGCCTGGTATCCCAGCCCGAACCACTATGCCCAGCAGCCCGAATTGACTCGTCGCGACCAGCCGCCCATGGACTTTCGCGCCTACGCCCAGAGCCAGCCGCAGCCGCCGCAGCAGCAACATGCCCAACATCAACAACATCACCAGCAGCACCAGTCCCCGCACCAGCAGCACGCCCAGCACCCACAACACCATCAGGCTGCCCCCGTCCAGCCGTCCATGTCCCATGCCCCACAACCTCAAGTGACGCCGCAACAGCCAGCCCAGCAACAGCAACAGCAACAACAACAGCCTACCCCCGTTCCTGCTCCCGCCCAGCCAAGAGGCCGTAAGCGCAACGCTCCCGGCGCGCAACCTTCTCCCCATCCCCAACACGCTCCTCAGATCACCCACGCGCCGCCACACGCTCCTCAACACCAAGCGCAACATGCTCCTCCACACCACGCGTCGCAACCTGGCCAGCCTCAGCATGCGTCCGTCCCCCAGCCTCCTCAACAACAGCAGGCTCAGCAGCAACAGCCCCAGGTTCAGGCCCACCAAGCTGGCCAAACCGCTCCCCCCGCGCAGCAGACTCCGGTCCCTCCTCCAGCCGCTCAGCCCGTCCCCGTTCCTCAGGCCCAGGCTCCCGCTCCCGCTCCGGCTCAGGCTCAGCCTGCTGCTCCCGTCCCTGCCCCAGCCACCGATGCGACCGCTCCGCCAGCCAAGAAAAGCCGCACCAATACCCCTTGGACTCCGGCAGAGGAGCATCGCTTGAAGCAGATGCGTGATGCGGGTAACAGTTGGGCCGAGATTGCCAAGGTACATCAATCTGTGTTCTAATTTGAAGAATGACCAGAGCTGACCATAATCCAAACAGACCTTCCCTACCCGCACTGAAGGCTCCGTCAAGAAACACTGGTACAAGGATATGCACTATGCCGAGTTTGCTGAGGATGAGGTAGTTAGCGCCCACCTTCTTTTCACCCTTACCTACGTTGGTGGCATGCTGTTGTTGTGGTGAGAAACCAGAGATGCTGACTGAGACGTCAAACAGAGTGCCGCCCTCATGAACGCCATCAAGGAGTACGAGAACAACAAGTGGAAGGCCATTGGCGCCAAGGTTGGCAAGCCGGCCAAGGCTTGCGAACAGTATGCTAAGGAGCATTTCCCTGGTAAGTTGTGCTCCCTTGTTCCCCGATGTTACCCTGAAAGAAAAAGACCAGCTGTGCTAACGTTTGTGTTTGCTTGGAATAGAGCTCTTCGCGCCCCAGAAGGCTCGCTAGAGATGGATGACTACGTCATCTCCGACACGACAAGAGTCTGATTGCCAGTAACGAGCTTTGCAGAGCTGTACGCTGTCTGCAGCGTGGTCAGCAAAAATACACTCATAAGGAATACATCTGCCTTGGCTCTCGTGGCCTAGGCGGCTGCGGGGCAACTCTCTGGCAATCGCAGTCGGATGACCTGGTACCCTCGGGTTCCTTGGGTTTCCGACATCTCCGGGCCGGTCCATATAAGACCATCAAAGTCAGGCTCTGGTTTAGTCATTGGCGTTTTGGGATGCAAGATCAATATCTGGTAGACACACGTCTTTAGTGTCCGCCAAAGGTGGGCATTTACTTGTCCGCCAAATCGGAAATGGTATGAAGAAAGAAGAACCTCAATCGAATCGAAGAAAAGTTTCGTTGTTTCCTTATTTTCTCTTGGGCTTGGACTTGTCTATTTCGGAAGTTGGGAGAAAGGATGGAAGGCCTTGTTATGGAAAAAGATTTCTTGCTTTGCTTGCGCGCGCGGGCGATGGGTTATCAATCGTCGCTTGGTTCACAAACTCTCTCCTCTTGCCTTTGTTGATGTGTTGATGTCGATGTTGTTGTGTTGTGGATGTCGTGAACATGGAGGGTTGACGTGACAAAAGAGGGGGGTGGGGTGGATATAACTTTCTTGCGGAGGAACTTGCTCGACGACTTGGTGGGGTTTCCAAATCTAAACAGATCACGGTGCCAGGTTGAAGCTGGATGTTGTTGTCTGATGGTCAAGGGATCCCCGGGGACGGACTTAGTTTGAAGGTTAGAGAGATTGATCCTGTTCTTGTCGATAGTCAATGTTGGTGTAGTCTAGCGGGAGGGTACGTAGTAGCGGGTTAGCAGGTTGGTAGTTAGTCGTCGTCGTCGTCGTCGTCACTGAGTTGCTTTATACCCCTTCGCGTTCTTGACTATTTTGTTCCCCCGACAGCTGTTCCTTCGTGTTGCAGCAAATCTATGACTCGTCCAGTTAGGTAGGTAGGTTACCGTCTCACCGCGGTCAAGGGGAAGCCTACCTGGTAATAGCAATCACGGTGAATGCAACTTTTCTTAAGTTTCCAATAGGAACGCTGCTCACGTCAGGTACAAAACACCCGCCTGGACCGAATGAATGGAATTCTACCAGTCGACGACTGTATATGTATGATCCCTCTCATCGAGCCAATCAGTCAGTTGTCGACCGGGCAAACCCGCGCATTCCGTATTCCGTATACTTCCTTCCGAGTCCGAAAACTGCTGAAGGAATGTATGGTGGACGTAGGTTACTTGTGGCCTCTCTTTTCTGTTTTTTTTTTTTTTTTTTTTTTTTTTTTTTTTTTTTTTTTTTTTTTTTTTTTTTACTTTCCCTATCAAAGAAAGAAAGAAAGAGCTACTACAGGCATGGGCACACACGACGCCAAGTCCAGGTAGTAGTTAGTGTAGTTAGTGTATAGTAGAGTATTGGATACAGACAGGCAGGCACTGTAGGAAATGATGTTATGACGAGGGTTGAGATAGTAGTAGTAGTAGTAGTAAGAATTGAGATGTAGTAGTAAAGGAGAGGATGATAACGAGGTTAAAGGAGGATGAGATGGGGTACATACTTTGTATTTCTATATCCAGTCTACTATTACTACTCGCGTTATGGTGTTAGTCTCTAGCTAGACTAGAGAGGTACGTAGGATAGATAGCTTGAATCGTTCCGGGCCAGAATCACGGTGTCAAACGGGATTTAAAGTTCATTTATTACTATTAGTAAAAAAGAGGTACCTGCGGTTGGGTGTTGTTAACAAGTTCCTGTTAGTGATGTACCTAGTAAACTCCCTTTATGGCTCTCATTTTTGAGGGAGGTCATCGAAAGGGGCGCGCTAACAGAGCCTTCATTGGTTGGAACAATGTTTGGATGCAATGTGTATTGTCCGTGTATGATATCTACAAGTAGGTAGGTATGTTATTCCTGTTTTATTCATGCAGCTAAGGAAGAGACGAGTCGTAAGCAAGCTTCTGGTGTCTTCTTGTCCCCTACCAAGCGTCTTGCTCTTAATAGAAGGTGTATCCAAGCCCTCATCAGTTGATCCAGGCTTTCAAATCCTTCAAATTCTCCTTACACCCACCAGGCCGCGCACCAGTGCTCTTATACCTACCTAGGTAGTAAGTATTGCGTCGAAGTATGTACATTAGGAGCATGAGAGTCGCAGCCGCCCGCAGCTGTCAAAGGCGTACCGAGGCACCCAAGCTATAGATAGGTAGTTTTGATCTGCAAAAAAAAAATGTATAACTTTAATTGCAGTGCAATTGGTGGAGGCTTGTACACAAAGTGTCAATGACTTGCGTTTGGTTGTCTCACCACTTGCCTCGTATGGGGTTGTACAAGGCACCAGAGAGGACGAGGGGGGGGTAGAGAGATCTGCCAAGAGAAGATGGTCGAGGATAATGATTATTTTGATGCTGCTCTGCTTTTCAGTTGGAGGCCAGCAGTGCCATGAAACCGGTGCAGCAAACAAAGCAAAATGAAAACCAGAGGCGCGGTACATACCACTGCAGGAGAAGCCAACGTCTCTCGGTGATGCAAGCTCCTAGAAGGGAAGAAAAGTAAGAAAATCAAAAAGTAAATGTGTGCGAGGTGCAATGGAGCGCATTGCAGGCGTCGATCTCGAGCTACAAAGTAGGTCCAAACATGTGAATGCTCGTGGTGATTCCAAAGAATCCATCCAGTCTGGGCAGGCAAGGCCACTGCAGGTCCCTCGACGACAAGGTAGTGTGGGCAAGCATATCCTCGACAACCCAACGAATCGTGATTGGTAGGAAAATGGGGCGGTACATACAGTACCGGCATGTATTTGTTTTGCCTCATCATCATGACCACACTGCACCACCATCTTGGGTAAAGAAAGAAGAGACATGATTGCCGAAAATAAACCTCAGCTGTCAAGAGACAAAGACATTTGCCAAGGGCAGGTCAGATTTCAAGTCCAGCTGTGAATACGGACGGCATGTGTGGCGATTGGTACCTTAGCCCGCAAGTAAAAGCACACCTCGACGACTTTCTCAGCTTCACCCAAGCCTAGCCATTCAGTGTACGCATCCCAGATCTCCAATCACATCAATCACCCTGCGCGCTTGCGGCCCATCGATTCTCGTGGGCTAGGGTTGCGAGTCTGAAGAGGTTGTGGGTGACGGCTCTTGGCTTTATGTAGGGAAAAAGCCACAGCGTTGACTGTCTGTCGTGCATAATGACCTCACTCGATTCCCAGACCACTGGATTGGCACTGAGGAGCTGAATAAATTTGTTTGCTCGACTTTCATGATCGATTGCCATTTCCACACCTTTTACTCGCGTTGTCCCATGTTTTTCAGGGAGGCAGTGCAGTGTATTTCCCTCCCATTCGTTGAGACATTTGCTGTGAATAGTGTGGTGTGTACACTACACCTCCAGGATCCCAGGTCGGCAATAGAGTAGTAAGTACAGTCCAATGCTGGTTTGATTGTTAGTTTGGTACACCAGGCACTCCTACTGTACAATAAACATACCTAGTATACTAGACACAATCTGTTTCGAATAGTCCTAAAAGGTTATATAGATAAATCAAAAGGTATCAGTTGGATTTAATTTGGCATTTTGAATGTTAGAGAAGGCATGCCCAAGGTAGGATTATACATTAGTTAGCCATTCAAACGAATAGCAAAGTTAATACGAGGTCTCGAGCTAATAAACAAACTAGTACTGGACTGTATGTCTAGTGTATAGTAGTGACAGCCGGTGTGTGTGTGTGTGTGTGTGCAACAAGCCAGATCGGGAAGCGCGCGATTGTCCAACACGAACTGACAAGGTGGTGTCAAATTGTAGATACCTATGCAATGCGATGCGCTGTGCTGCACTGCCGTTCTGTCAGCTGCTGCTGCACATGTATTATTGTACAGATGAACTCCCATAATCATGAAATCCAATTGCGCAGTCTTGTTTTCTCACGTCATCGAAAAGACCCTTTTTAGACATTGGGCGATTTTGCAGAGAGAAAACACCAAAACACCAAAAAAAGGAAGGAAAAAGGCCTGGGCTCTCTTTCTGGGGATTCTTAGGGAGCATGGACGCTAGTGGATCGATCACGAGGGAGTGGACCACATTCTTCTCCACAGTTTAATGTCCCTTGGCGGGAGTCGGGGTCCAATTCAAGCCGATCAGTGTCACTCCCTTGTCCCATCATGGAATCGATGTTTCCCCGTTTTATTTCCTGTATCCGATCTTCCCTTTTTTTTTTCTCTTTCACGCAGGCTCCCCCACATTTTGGGAGGTTTGGAGCTGGATGGTCGACTGGCTGACTGTACATAGTAGAAGAACTTGTGTTGCCTGGGAGCTGTCTAAAAGTTTGGAAGAACTCAAGTTCCCTTGGTGGAGGAGGACGAGGGTTGGCATCCCATTGTTTGGAAGCGAGCGAAGGTCCCAGAAACTGGCTGGAATTCGACCACATGTTTCTCCAACTTCCAGATCGAGAAAGTGATGGCCAGCTTCCCTTTGAAAGAAATCCTTGATCAAGGTTTCCTTCTCGTCCCTCTTTTTTTGCATTTGCCTCCTTTCCTCTTTCCTTTCTCCTCTGTGGTCGACTCTCTCGTTTCACCCATTCACCAACCATCGTTACGTGACCGGTCATGACAGAAACAAAACCTAAACACCCTCGCTAACTAGGTACAGCCAACATCAACAACCCCGGTGCCGAACAACCCGAGACGACGACGACCATCAATCAGTTACTTGGGACTGAAGAACTGCACTCACAACGAAGGGAATTTGTTCACCACCGTACATACAACCCCGCGCCAGCACAGCCTTTCTTGAAGCCAACCACCACCTGCGCTGCTCTCTTCCTTTCCCCACGAAGGATTCGCTGCGAGTGCGTGCCCCATTGCATCCGACTAGGGGATCGACTAGGCAAAAAGCAATCAAACCGACTTTGGCCATCTTAGCCGGTTAGTACGGGGAAACCCCTATAGGCCATCCCCTGCAAGGGCCGTTGTTGGTAAGGTAGGGTCCGCCGTGGGTCACATGGGCGGTGGTCCCTTGGTTAATCTCAATATTTTACGATACGACTCCCCACGTCAGTCCACTCTCACTGTCGACATTCCATTGTCCCGTCCTCCTTGTCGGTTCGTTAGACGGAGGCAACATCATCACTTTCGTTTGTTTCTTTTGAAAACAACACTACAAAGTCAAAATGCGTTCAACAACGGTTTTGACTTTGGGCGCTGCTACTGCCCTGCTCGGCGCAGGCAACGTCCTCGCCGATGATATCCCTACCTGTTCATTGGACAAGAAGTGTCCAGAGTCGGCACCTTGCTGTTCTCGTAAGTCTTTTTTTCTTCTTTTCTTTCTTCACTCTTCAGTTGGCACCACCACCACATACATCTGCCATCTTGACATATCAACACAATGCACGACGGCAGCTCACTAACGCATCTATCCGCGCCACCGCAGAATACGGCCAATGCGGCGTCGGCGCCTACTGCCTCGGCGGGTGCGACCCGCGCATGTCCTTCTCTCTAGACTCCTGCGTGCCCGCCCCCGTCTGCCAAGACAAGACATACAAGATGGACAAAGCCTCCATGTCCAAGATTGTCGACATCAGCGAGTACCTCGGCGACCCCTCCAAGGCCGACTGGGTCTCCCAGGGTGAGCCCCTTTCGTACAACGACAACACGCTGCTCACCATGCCCAAGAACTCGGTCGGCACCGTCCTGGCTTCCACCACGTACATGTGGTACGGCTCCGTCAAGGCGCGTCTCAAGACGTCGCGCGGCCGCGGCGTCGTGACGGCCTTCATCCTCATGTCGGACGTCAAAGACGAAATCGACTACGAGTTCGTCGGCTCCGAGCTCACCACCGCCCAAACCAACTACTACTTCCAGGGCATCCCGACGTACGCCAACAGCGGCAACATCAGCGTGACGGACACGTACTCCAACTGGCACGAGTACGAAATCCGCTGGACGCCCGACCAGATCCAGTGGCTCGTCGACGGCCAAGTCGGCCGCACCAAGCTGAAATCGGAAACATGGAACGCCACAGCCAACCAGTGGGACTTCCCGCAGACTCCCTCGCGGGTGCAGTTGTCCATTTGGCCCGGCGGCGCGGCGTCCAACGCGCAGGGCACCATTGACTGGGCGGGCGGTGCTATTCAGTGGGACTCGGAAGACATCAAGAATTACGGGTACTACTTTGCTACGTTTGGAGAAATCACGGTGCAGTGCTACGACGCCAAGAGCCCACCGGGGACGAACAAGGGCACGTCGTATTACTATAATAGCTACAGGGCGACCAACGATACGGTGGTGGATAGCGACAAGCCTACCGTGCTGGCGTCGTTCCAGGGGACCGGCACGGATATGGATGCTGGTAAGCCGAGTGGGACCAAGGGCGGATCGGCGAGCGCGACCAAGGCTGGTGGAAGCAAGGGGACGTCGGCGCCGAATTCGATTCCGGGGGCGGGAGCGGCGCCTAATCAGGTGCCGGGGGGAGGGTCGGGGAGTGTCTCGTCCGGCAGTGACGGTGGAAGTTCGGCGGGTGGTGACGGTGGGAGCGGCGCGAGCAGTGGTTCGAATGCGTGTGGAATGAATGGGTTTTCGCAGAGTTGTGATGATGGAAGTGGAAGCGGAAACGGCGGTTCGTCCACCAAGAACAATGGTGTCAAGACGAGGGATGCCCACGGGGCGAGCGCGTTGGCTGCTGTGGTGGGGTTTGTTGGGTTGATGGTTCTTTAAACATGTCTTTATGAAGGGGTGTAAGAGTGAAAGGAAGAGAGAGAGAGAGATTTGGTCTGATCAGTGACGAATGGACAGGACAGGACAGTAATGGTAATGGGTAATTGATGTCTTATCTTGGGCTTGTCCTTCAGCGGTGCTTGTTTCTTCTTTTTAGGGAAGGGGCTGGGTAATCAAGTTTGTGCAGTGGTTTGGGACTCGGAAGTTCTTATACCATTCTGTGGCGTTTGTGTTGATTCCAATGGCGACTCTTGACTCAGAGAGTATTGAGTGACTGCGTTCTACCTAACACTATTTATGGTTTGGATTATGTATGGATGCTAGGGCTAAAAAGAGAAAGGTGCGGTATACGGTATGCGATATGCAAGGAGGCATTAATGTATTTCTTGTCGTGTATGCGCGTAGGCTTTTCAAGTTGGCTGGTGCTAGGAGGGCTATCTTTGTTTTTATTGTGACTGTGACGATGACCTTTTTGAATAGAGAGGAGGGTTGATAGGGCTTTTCGGCCCTTGATAGTCAATGGACATGGTGTTGAATACTCAGGATCACCTCCTTGGAGATGACTCCTGGTTGGACAATTGGACGTGCTGTTGCAGAGATTGACATGATGCAGTCCGGTGGTTATCAAGGGCCTTTTGTCCTGTTCTTGTGAAAATTTTTACCATTCGTGTGGAAATTGCAGTCTGGATGGATTTTGTAGACCTGCCCGGTCATGTGTCGACGTGAATATTCTGGTGTTTCGTCGCGCTTGTTCTTCACGATGGGATGGGTCCCGTCGGTGGCGGTTGTCATGAAGTTGAAGACGGGAGGGACCTAAGACGCCCGGTGGAGCGTGCTACAGGGGCACAACAGGCAGCACTGGACTGTTAGTGGCTGCAGTGAGTGTCTGTTTCCTCAAGCGTGCAGCCTTGTCGATCTCAATCCACTAACATGTTGTCCACTCTTGACTTCATCTTCGTTCTTTCTTCAATTCCTTGGACATCGACTGCTTTGTATCACTTCGTTGAATGTGGAAGGCACGATGACTCTTTGATGTGCAGTGTACTCACTTCAACTTCTCCCCAAAGAATCAGCGACGTCTCTTCAATATTTCCTCGCCCTCACCCTCATCAAATGAACCGACTTCTCTCCATCATTTTACCGCTCTTTTATTCTGACAGCATGTCAACACCCTCGGCGGCGGCAATCTGGTTACCGCATATGGCAAAAGGGGACCAAGATAGCTACCAGATTCGTCGAATAAATAACCGCCCTGGTCTCGATTCGCCTGTTGGCCAGGCTCGACCACTCCCACGGGTCTCAGGAACGGGCATGGCAGTGCCTGGGAAACCGGTAGAGTTTTCCGCCATCTGACCACTCCTTATCACCGTCCATGGTGATTGTTGTGACTCTACATCTCCCCAATGGTTTCATGCCCTGCGGTTTTGGCCCAATGGTGGTAGTAGCCAAAAGGTACTGATTGACTATACCGACCCGAGCATCGAAGCTCTCGGGTCCTCTCGATATTACGCAGACGGGGACCCGAAGACGGAATGGCCCCTTGATCCGCGAGCTAGCTTACATATGGATGGTAACACGTATCTGCTCGTCCAGGACTTTTGTCGCGAGGAATCAACTAGTCATGAAAGCTCGGCTAACTGTGTATTTGTCTTCAGCCTGTCCCATCCTACCTCTAGCGCGTGCGAAGATCAGGCAATGGATCAACACGGGCCAGTATCTACTTCCCTTCCTGTGTTTTCTGGCATCGAGAACACCAAGGCTGACCACGCGACGAGACCGGTGTAGTGACTGCTTCTTGGCATGTCCAGAACCATCTCCAGTCCTATATTGTTCCCGTGCCACGATACAGGTCCCGTCTTGGTTTCTTCGAGTCGCAAACACGTTGCACCCGAGGCGTTCAAGGCTGAGCAGAGCAAACACGGTACGGGGAGCACATCAACAGGTTCGCAGCACTTGAGCCACAGCCCCCGCCGCACATACAACCAGTCGGCTTACCGTTCCAACCGGGGGCCTTCCGCGAAACCAGTAATGGTGTTATGGCTTGTCTTCCCGCGTGCACTGTTTCTTGCAACAGCCGTGTGGCGCCTGGCCCATGACCAGTCCCCCTGCCGGAAGTAACTCCGCAATAAGGCAGCCATCACAGTGGGAATGACTTGGATGCCTTTTTTACACTTGTTCCGAAATGTTACACCACTCACCAGCGCTTCCCAGGTTTCCGGGAATATTCTCGTTCGCTGGATATGTCAATTGTCCTCATCAAGAACCGACTCCCCAGCTTGCCAAGGGACTCGCGGAAGCAGAGTGCCATGTCCCCGGCGTGTTGCGGCGGGAGATCCGACACACCTTTTGCGTGCGGCTCGGCTTTCAGATGTTGGATGGTTCTCCGGAAGGTTTATGGCCACATACCCGGTGCAATGCAACACGTTTGTTCCCAATTATCTGTGTTTCTAATCCATCATCCAGATTAATCCAAGATATTGGCGATACGGGCGCTACACCTCATACCGGCTTCGCATCCGAGTGCACCATCGAAGCCTTCAACATTCCCGGAACCATCACACCGGGTCAAGACTTGACGCTTAGCTGATCTGTGGATTCACTGGGAAGAGGACCACGAACATCAAACCAAAATCCTCCACGTGCTAGTGCAGCCGCCCTCGTGGAGAGGTAGCACAGCACACCGGTTCGTGACCCTTCTCACCATAGTGCTGAGCTGAATCTCCTTCAAAGTAGCCATTCGACGTCTTGGACGTTTCAAGCCTTATCTATCCTGGACCCACTGCAAGTCTGACGGAACTAGTTCATGGAAACAAGTCCCGGTGCTCTATCATGACAATGTACCAGTGTACCTCGATATTGCAGGGTCCTAATGGTACCTGGTCAGCCTTACCTTTTTCTTTTTTTTTTTTTTTTTTTTTTTTTTTTTTTTTTTTTTTTTTTTTGGTGCTAGTCAACATGTAGCCACACCCGCACACACACCCATTGAAGATCCTCATACCTCGGAGCGCTGCCGATGCATCTGGCGGTCTAGGGCTGATGCTGTTCCCGTGTTTTCAACGGTTCATCGTCAGGGCAAGAAAAACTTTTCGTCTGTTGACTTTAACATGGTGTCGAGCGGCTCTATTTTCCTATCAACGGGAGTGACCTGTTCAGGTATATAACCACTCACCTGCTCCCCTCTGTCCGTCGTCATGCGTTCCACAGGCATCCAATAGTTCCTCAGTATAAAAAGGCCTCGGGAGCCTACTGTTCTATTTTTGGGCTCCCGCCAGACCACTTTCAATCTTACACCAAGTATTTTCACAATGTCAAACCTTTCCGAGAGACAGTCCAAGTTGGACAAACACCGGGACACCATCTATCGCTTGTACATCACGGAAAACAAAACCCTATCGCAAGTTATTGACATTATGAAACGCGACCATAACTTGCTGGCTTCGTACGTTACATTTCCTTTCCATGTCAGGCCGATAGCTAACATGTGATGGCCACACAGGGACAAAAAATACAAGCGTTACTTCAAGATCTGGGGATTCGAGAAAAACTACAAGACCAGTGAAATGATATCCATGCTCAAGATGCAACAAAAGCGGCTCAGGGAAGGAAAGAAAACGATATTCTGCAACGAGCATGGCCAGAAGATACCCAAGAGCAAGTTCACGCGGTTCAAGAACCGTCACACAATCAGGGAGTTTGCGGATGAAGAGTTACAAGACGGTACGGTGGTACTTCCTATCTTCCGTTTGGGGCCATCGCTTATGCTTGGTAGTCGAAATCCCAAGAGGCATCACCTACAAAACACCCGAGCCAGATGACACCAAAACCCGGTCGAAGAATCGTCCCAGCACCAATAGAACTGGCGAAAGAACAGGCATGGGGATGGAGGAACCTCAAGTCATACCCGCAAGATCAGGCTCGTCATTGTCCATGTCCTATCCGAACTGGAGCCAGTGTCGGGATACCGATTTTACCCCAACGAATGCCTCTCCTGCGCCTTCGGCGTACTCCTTGAACACTACAATAGGTGCTCCCACTGCTCCAATGGCGGCCTACGCGTCGAGGCATCATGGCCAGATTGAGACACACTTCTCCCCATACTCGACGGCCATCAGCGACCCAGGTGAATATCAGTTATCTGCAAGTTTAAGACAGAGCTCAGTGTCATCTATGCCGCCCCTTGACTTGAGCGACAACCGGGCTGGGCTCTTTTCCAGTACCGTTCCTTCTCCCGCTCTTTCTGCATACATGTTAAACGCTACTCTTGGCTGTCAAATTTCACCAGTGGCAGCATACACGACAACTGAGCAGCGTTCAGCGTATGCGCTGGATTCCCTAACACAATTTTCAGGTGCCCACACCGCGGGTTCTGTTCACTTAACCGCCGGCGCAAGGCCGGGATCGTCGTCATACAATAACTATCAAGGGAATCATGTTGGGCCTTCCCGTGGTACTATTAACTCTCTCGCAACCTCAGCTTCATCACTAAACAACACCTGCGACCTTGGTGCTTCATCCGCTTATCCCTTTAACAACACAATTACTGCCCCTGTTCCCCTCTCCTCTCCAAAGAATGGCCAAGGGCAGTCTTCAGCCAATGATCCCATCTCGCCGGGTCTACAGCTCATTGATTCCGGTCCCTCTCCAGCATGCGGTCAGGGGGAGGTACTCTTCGGTTCCGGACTCGACAACTATACTGGTGATTATGGCAGATATGATAGTATACCAACAAGCAATGCGAACAACACATACTCTCTTGTGTTGCAGCCATATCTTGATGGGATTGAGGAGTATCCGTACTGCAATACAAAGAGTTACTACATTGCCGGATATCAGGGCGGAAATGGCGTGGATGAAAGTTTGGGGTTTCGATCTCAGTCCCATTGAGGAAAGATGGTTCTGGTGATGGTGAGGATAAGGCGATAAGTGGGCACAGAGCAAAAAAGAAAAAAAGAAAAAGGGGATAGAATGCTGCATTGAACTGACTTCTTTGACTTCTCCGCCCTTGAATATTCGGCATCGTTAGAGTAGGGGCTTACGCTGTCCCGTTTGTCGAGAAAGAAAGCTTCCTGGCCTGGACAATGCAGCATATGAACGGGGCAAGCCATGAAGCAGCCGGGGCATACCATTCCAAGCTATTTATTAGACATAGCGATAGATAAATCTGTCAACCCTCGCTAGAGTTTGTTAGCCCATCACATATGCGCCGTTTCATGACCGAGATTGTTTCATCGCTGTACATGTTGGAGTGAAGAGGTTCAGCAACATGAGGTTGATCTGGAAAAAGAAAAAAAAGATATAGGACATGGAAGACACGAAGGATATATCTGAGATTAATTCGATCGGGACGAGAAATTGATCTGGTATAAAAGAAAGACTCTCTTTCGGTTGGAATCTATTCTTGATTGGTCATGGCATCATAAATGAGTGGGCGAGCATGGTAAGCTTCCCCGGAGGTTGCACTACATACAGTAACGGCTGAGGCGGCCCCGCATTTTCAAGGCCATTGGCCAAAGCTTCCAGTGGCTTGAGCGGGTCCATTCCTACCATTGGACCAGACCAGACCATCGAGGTCCCGTCTCCAGGATAATTCACTCCAGTATGTCTAGGTCGCAGGCTTCCTATGACCATCGGCAATCCAAAATGATTTCCCTCCGTTCAAACTATCCGTTATTGGATATCATACCAAGGTATTGATCTCCTCGATCTGGTTTTGTGCGACGCCAGCCTGGTGCCGCACTAAGATAGCTAAAGAACCGGAACCCATCTACCGCTTCTACTGAACTAGTGTAGCGCGCGCCTACTTCCCTCGAATCGATAGTACTGCAACGCGACAACCACATCCACGCGCAAACATCCATCCATCTCCTCGAAGAAGCCACAACGATTGAGCTTTACGAGACGACCATCGAGTTGCTCCCCACCTGAGCAGACCATCATCACCGAACCCTACCTGGTCTATACTTGGGTACATACCTACTCAAGCATCCACCTACCCATTCAACACCTACATACGCTCCTCAACGCAACATGTCTGGTCCCGGCAGTGGCTCCGGAGGCGGCACCCGAGGGAAATTCAACCCCAATTCCCTCCACTACGACCGCTCCGCTACCCTCCCTCCCTTTCTCGCTCGGTTGCATGCACAACATGCCCCAGGCAATTATGACGGTCCCGATCCGATCCTGGCTGCGCGGAGACGACCGACGAAGAAACCGAGAAGTGGAAGTGAAGAAGCGGAGGATGCGCCGCTTGTTTTGGACGAGGAGGGGAATGTGGTTGATGGAGTGTCAGTGGGGAGGGATGGGGTGGTCACGGAGAGGTCTGGTTCTAGGGTGGAGGGGGAGGGGACCCAAGATGGGAAAGAAGGGACAGAAGGAAAAGAGGGAGGGATAAGCGAAGAAGGGACCAAAGCAGCAGGGGAGGAGGACGGGAGTAAAGAAGGGAATCACAAGAGGGCAGTGGCAGTGCAAGAGGAGAAAGGAGTGGGAATAGGAGCGAGTAGGAAGAAGAGAAAGGTAGGGAAGGTCATTGGTGGTGATGATGATGATGATGATGGTGATTCGGAGCAAGAGCAGGAGCAAGAGCAAGATGGGGATGATAAGAAATCATCAGCGGGGAAAACAAAGGACAAGAACAGCGGAAACACGGGACAGCAGGCAGGGGAGAAACCAAAGCCCAACAAGACGACTACCAAGAAAAAGAAGACGACGGCCAAGAAAGTCAAGCTTAGCTTTGGTGATGGTGATGAGGAGGGTTGAGATGTTGTCATTACTGGGCTTGGGCACTGCAAGTATAGAAACGCATCAAAGGGGCATGCCGAGAGGAAGGTGTACATGTCGGCCGGCGCATGCCCCGATAGCAAGTGGAAGGGCGCAAGATGCGCGACCTGGATGACAAGCTCGCGGATGACGAGGGATGCAAAGTCCAAGTTTGTCTAGGTCGTTATGCCTGGGAGAGCTGTCTGGAGAACACGGTAGTGAGCTATCTTGGAAGTCTCGAGTCTTGTTGCTCGGTACCGCAAAGAAGGTCGAGTCTAGATGATTCTGCGAATGCACTTTGCGCAAACAGCCCTAGTAGCAATCCTGAATCTAGATACAGTCATGCAAATCCAAACCCTCTGGGGTTTTTCTCCATGGTGTATACAATTCCATGTTCAGTATTTAGTTGTCCCCCGGGTTTTAGGTAGAAATCTACAGCTCTAGGTTCCCGAATGCAGTTTCGACCACCTGCCCAGCCTCATCATCACCCCCGTGTTCTCCAGGTTCGCAATCACAGTGCTTGCCTCCCAGTAAACTTGTGTCATATGCATGCATCGTATTTGTCAATGTCTTCTTCTATTAACAACCCACTACACAAAACCTCAAACCTCCCTTGGCAAACCCAACACAACTGGGTAATTTACCAGTACTCGGGCTTGACGTAGTCGGCAAAGGTCTTGGGCTCCTCGAAGCCGTGGTGGTCGTGGCCGTGGTCGTGGGCGTGGTCGTCCTGGGGACCGACGTAGTCCATCTTGTAGACGTTGCCGCACTCGGGGCAGCGCTCGACGGGGCGCTCGCGGGTCATCTATCTTTTGGTTAGAATACTGAACTGAGCGGTGAAAGGCAAGAAAGGATAAAAGAAAAAAAAAAAAAAAATACTCACGGTGAGCCAGATGACGTTGTGGGAGTCGGCAGGGAAGCCAGTGCAACCGGCGTACTGCTCATCACCGGCGGAGCGGACGGAGATGGGGTTCTCCATGGTGCCTGTTTTTTTTTCACTGTCAATCCCCCAGCTCCTCTCTCAACCCAGGTTATTACGGCGAGTCTTACCCCTGCGGGAGGCATCAAGGGGCTTCATGTCGAAAACGTCGACGCCCTCCATCTTGCCGAGAATCTCGAGACGCTCAAGACCGGTGGCCTGCTCGAGATCGGTGGGGACAGTGCCGGGGGCGGCACCGGGGCCGAAGAGGTCATCCTTGGTCTTGATCTCTGTTTGTCGTGAAAGGTTTATAAGTCAGTCATGTATGTTCTTCGTCGTATGCGGTTTCGTCCGTCACCCCGCATCGTCATGGAGCGAGGGGAGGCTATAGGGAGCTGGGCTGGACTGAGCTACCCGGCCGGTGGAAGCTGTGGTAAGGGGAAAGCCTCGAGCTTGAGTTGGTCGATGAGCTTCTTCTCCGATTCGTCCGCGCAATGATAATAACCCCCTCCTTTTTGTGGTCGTCCAATGCTTTCCTCCTCCTTCTTGTTGTTTCATCAAGCTCCCCCAAGCTTGACCAAGCTCAGCTCGAGCTTTAAAAGACCCACCACAGCTTCCAGTCCGCGTAGCCCAGTTCCCCAGTAACCCCAATAGACACAATGGTGACGCAATCGCCGGCGGGGGGAGATCATCATACCGGAGAGACGCTTGATGTGGGGGACAGGCTTGGTCTCGGCGTTGCCTGGAATCAGGATAAAAACATGGTGTCAGTTTTGCGATCGGGATTCGGGATTTGGAATTGATGCGCGTTTGGTTGTCGCGAATTGGTTCGTGGTGGTGGGGTTCTGATGTCGTCGTCGGTGGTGGTGGTGATGATGCTTATGCGCGGATATTTGCAGCTTCGCGATTGGAGCTTTTTTGGATGCCGTGCTTTTTTTCAGGCCGCAGCCGCTAAAAGCAAGAGACGTTTCCAATGTTCACTTACAGCGCACAAGGGTGGTGGCGATGCTGCGACGGAGAGCGGGGGCAGCGGTGGCCCGGCGGGCGACGGCGACGGCGGTGCGGGACAGGAGCATGTTGGCGACGGCGGCGGGTGGGTGGTGGATGGTGTGATGTCGGAGTGACAGAATTGACCGGGAGAGAGCGGAGAGGCGGGAGATGATGTTTTGTCGCTGTCTGTCCGAATCCGAAGCTGGTTTGCCCACACTGGGTCCCACAGCTGAGCTGGGCACTGCAGTGGACAGAGGCCCCGACCGACGCACCGCTTGCTTGTGCCCTTCCTTTCTGCCGCTGGCAACTGGCGAACGGGCGGTTGTTGACAAAGGCGCTTGGACCACCTTTTGGAAAGCTTCCCCAGCTGGTTGCCAGAAGCAGCTAGCGCACGGTCAGGTGACACTGCACGTGAATCACATCCTCCATGTCATCAGGACCATGAAATGAAGTGACAATTGCATGGGAAGAGGGTTTTAAGTGATTATAGGTCTCAATTGAGTTAAACACGGCACAGATCGTATAATGATTGAGCTAACCAGGAGCTGTAGAAGGTCTTGATGGAGCTATCGCAGGTTGGACATGCATGACCCTAACCCTCCAAGCCCCAGTCACACATCGGCAATGCTCCACCCCGCGAAACGGGACTCGGGCTTTCCAGCTTCAAACCACCGGGCCCAATCCGGCTTCCGTGTCCGATAGTGGATCCCCGGATCGGCGCCTTTTGCATGTCGGAGCGGCACCATGCCGGAAGTGTGCAAGTCATCTTGTCCAACTAACTCACTAACAGAAACACAACACAACGAAAGATTCACAGCTTCTTCACCACAGCCGGCAACCGCCACCGATCTTTCATCTACTCAATCACCCACCCCTGTCGCAACCCGAGAAGGAGGAGCAGAAGCCAAGGTGAAATTCGAATTTGTAGGGGGTAGGTGGTGGTTGTGATGGGGTTGGACTCTGAAAGGGATTAATGTTTGGGAGTGAAATATCGCATATGAGAATTGGGTTCGGAGTTTGGGATGTCTGGGGTCTTACACAGCACTCGTATTTCACCTTGTTCAACATGGAGGCCCAAGACAAGGAAACACACACGACGTCTTGTTAAGCACATGATCACGCCCTACAGCTACGTACTCCTCCTCTCCCTGCCTCCTAAACACCAAGTAAGATTCTTACCTACATGATACCTACATACCTACCTCTGTTCTAGGCCCCCGACCATAGAATTGGGCTCCTCCTTTGTCTTTAGGCATACATTCTGGATGGTACCCAATAAACCAAGGCTGATCACTCCGGGGTAATCTGAGTAGATCTCCTCGGGCGGAGCTGGTTCCGCGGCTGGGGCGCAAATGGCTCGGGGTTTTCTCCCTGTCCGAGGACTTGCTTCTGAACGGCTTTTCGTTTGGATGGTTGTGTCAATGGCAAGACTACCTCCGTCTAGGTACTTGTTCGTGCAACCGAGTGTCGACAAAGGGGCCCCAGGATCGACATCTGAAAAATGGCTGCATGCCCGGCGCTGGAGCTTCAAAAGGCTGAGCAATCTTCATCTATCCGAAGAAGGTGCAAACCCAGAAGAGGGTTCATGTCGTACTTGGAGCTTTTCTTGGTAGTACAATGTGTTGTACACCTAGGGCGACATGATGAACGACCTTCAAACAACCGCAAGAAGGAGTCTTGGCACTTGGCAGATGGGTAGGACACAAGTTCTTCAAGGACCTGGAAACTGGCACCTGCCTGTCTGCCTGCACCTCATCACACTTTTGCTGACTGTACAAGCCCAGGTCATTCATTGCCCTTGCCCTCCTGACCAACGGCGAACTGCAGCCAGTCGCCCAAACAACCAAACTAACTCCCTCTCTCAAATTTTTCAACTCAGCCCGTCCCGTCGTCCCCTTTCCGACAGCTTTTGTACGCACCAATCAGACGCCGTTCGGTACTGTCCGCCTACCATACTGCGCAGAAAGGACTTTCCCGACACCACTCAATCTCTTCTTCTACACCCAAAAGCTGCATCGCTTCCTGCACCCCGGCTCTTCCCACAGCTTTTTCCCATCGTGCCGGTGCCCATGTCGTGCTACCATCTCGTTCGTGTCTCTTCCAATTGCTAGCAAGGTAGTAGCTAGGGCTATTGGTCTGTTAATTAATTGCTACCTAGCTTCACCGCCCTGGAGATTAACAATCGATGACAACCAAGATCTTCCATTGGAGTTGGTCTTCATACCCATCAATTCCTGATTCAGGCTTTGTGAAATCTGGTCTTTCCATGCTGCTGGGTCAGCTCATGTCCCCCTCCCCTTCCTACGCTGTCTCACCTGATCGCCTCATCCGAGTGCTACCCCTCTCTCACCAAGGGGAAGAAAGTTTAACCTTGTTACCCTTTTTCTGTTTTGTCCTGCTGGCCAGCCTGCTATGGTAGAGCTACACAACAAACATACGAAGCTTTCCCATCACCTGAGCCCTTGGGTGATCCAATCATCTTTTGAACTCAAACCATTTTTTTGGCGACTTGGGACTTGCAAGGTTTTCGTCAAATCAAATAACTAACCTTTGAGCTTTTCTTCTTCCCTTCCCCCCTTCTCAATTTTTTGGAAGACGCCACTTGCGCATTTCTTACCTACCCTGTACCCTACCGAACGTACACTACTACAGCGGAACATTGGTCATTGTACCTACCTTGGATTGTTCCAGCCCTGCCAGCTTTTGTTTCCGCCTCAACAAGGGACCGTATACATACCTAGCCAAACCCTTCGGACGCTTCCGAGAACTGGCACACACACCACCACCTCCACCATATCATCTTTTGGAAGCTTTTTGTTGTTCCAGGCTCTTGACTTTGACTTCTTCCCACGGACAGATCATCTGGCTTCCTAAACTGGACAGAAAACTTTTCTCCTCACCCACACTGAGTGTCTTTGATCCGAATTATTGCCCGGTCAAGTTTGATGGTGATGAAGCTTCCTCCTCCATACCCGACATTTCTACCATCCGAATACCTGAACACCCGAAACCCAACAACGACCACTGTTACTCCTACAAAACCAAAACCCTGAACGACTGAAACAAGGCAACCAAAATTCAAGATGGAGCATTAACGGATCAATCAACCTGTTATCACGCGTGGAAGTAGTGAAGGTCAGGCTGCGTGCGGTTTGTTGCTTGTTGCGCAATTGGGATAATACAGAGCAGAGTCTCGTTTCCAGGATCTCAATCAGTTTCGTGGAGACTTCCAGTTTGTGTGACTCGCGAATCAGAGCAAAAGTGAAGGCCAAGGGAAGAGGACCGGACTTTCTTTTCTTCAACACTTCACGCCAATCAATGCAATGGGAATCCAAGTCGTCGAGTCCTCGCTAGAACCGCCTCGATCGTCTTTCGCGCAGCCGCAGCAGCAGCAGCAGCAACAATACGGACCATGGCACTACCGCGATGTGCGCTCAAGCAGCCGCCGTTATGGCTGGGGTGAAGGACCGGCGGCGGCGGCGGCGGCGGCGGCGGCCCTCATCTCGAATGCATTTTCCGAGAAGAAGAGGTTTGCTGGGGCCGCGGAGGGGGGCAGCAGCAGGGGTAACGGCAAGGGTACCAGCAAGATGGCGGCGGCGTGTCTTCCACTTCCTGCTCTTGTCGTCGAACAGGCCCAGGAAAAGCAACCGGGAACAAGCAGTGCCATATCAACAGAAGTTCTCCCAGTTCAAGCTCCAGAACCGGCACCAGCACCCGCGACAGCAATAACCTCAGCCTCAGCACCCGCGACAGCAATAACCTCAGCCTCAGCACCCGCAACAGCAACAACCTCACCGTGGCCATCATTCACAATCCTAATACCTTCTGCCTCTACTTCCCCAATCCTCACATTCCCACTTACTCCCAGCAACCCACCGCATCTATCGCAACCTGAGGCACATGTCCTTGCCAGACCCAAAAGCCTTAAACGTTCTCGTCCCTGCACAGACGTAGACGGCCACAACACCGCCCCGCTTCCGTGCAAGAAGCGGCGTCTGCGGCTAAACTTGGTCACCTCCCGTCTGTCTCATCCCTTTTCGTTACCCGCTACACATATCCTCAACCGGGAATCGATCCTTAAGGGAGATAAGAGGCTACGAAGTATAGCGGCGGCAGCGAATAGGAGGATGGCCATGGCTGGATGGGGATTTGGAGGAGTTGGGGGGCAAAATGGGGGCGGCGGGGGAATGGCAATGGCGATGGGAGGGAATGGAAGTGCGGCGTCGTTGTTGAGGAAGATGGCGGTCATGAACCGGTTCAGGATGAGGATGATGGGGGAGGGGTTGATGAGGGCTCAGCAGGCTCAGCGGGCTGCGCAGGCACAGGCTGTACAGGCACAGGCTCATGAAGTTGGGCAAGGGAGAGGAGGAGGAGGAGGTCCGCCAGCGGTGGCGGGACATGTTGGGGTTGGGGGAACTACCGGAGGAGTACCAATGCAACGAACAGCGCAAGGACATGATGGCTACGGACCCGGAACAAGTCATCAGCCTCCTCCACCCAGGGGCAGTCAAGCTGGTGGGCAACAAGTGCCGGTGCCAGTCATAACAGGGTTTCCCCCGCCGGTGATACACACCACCACCTCCAACTCAGAACCATCAACACCACAAGGCCTCTCTCCCTCTCCGCCCCTTCACCCACTTCACTCACCAGACCTTCGGCCCACAGACGACCAAGACGATCAAGATTTTGACGACGAAGATGTTGCCTTTCCTACATCAGCGCACGAAAGTCGATATGAAGGCGGAGATGAGGAAGAAGGGCACGAAGTGTATGCGGATTTTGGGGTTTTATTCGGCGGTGGTGGTGGAGACGATGATTTGGACGTTGAGGGAGACAGAATGTCTGGCGAGATGTCTGTAGAGCAGCAGGAGTGTTTGGGTTTGGACAATTGGGATGGGATTTCTTGGGGGGCTGCGTAGGTCTAGCTAGGTGGTGAACTGGTATGGGAGGGTAAGTATGGATGGAACGGGGTTGCGGACTGGGCGGCATCGTTCATCTATCATCTCTATACTCAACTTGGGTGTTTTTATTGGTTTGGGGTGGACGTCGTGCTTTTAAGATTACTTCCAGTTAACGCACCAGGCCAGGGGACCGCCATTATTGCCGTGGTTCTTTGTCTGGGTACCTTAATTTGATTTTCTTCACCCGGCATGTCTACATACTTGGGGGAGATACGCGATCGCGCTCGGGCGGTTACTTCCTCGTGGCGAACATTGTTGTTTTTGGAGCTCGCGACTCGCCTCCGCCTTGGATAGCAGCTCGCGCGGCTCCGGCCGATGGTGTTGATAACAAGCTAACAGCCCTGGCGAGGAAGCCGATAACGGACAAGTCCAGGAGTAGGGGAATCAATGTTCTTCGCTTGAAGATTCGACAGAATAGCGATGGATGAAAGTGAAGCGCAAGGTTACGGGACGATCCGGGCGACTCGCCGGGATTCACGGAGGTTTCCCCTGAAATACACAGGGACCCGAGGTTCGGTCCAGTGAGCCGGTACCCCACTGCAAGGAGCTGCCCCTGCCGAGCTACCTACGGTATGTTGTGTACCCCACAGCGTAAGGTATGTTTGCGTGGACGTCATGGCAGACGGGCCCGATCTACCCCACCTTGGTCTACTGGCTGCCGCTGCTGATAAGGGACGGCAACCCCCCATCCAACATCTACAGTCTCCGTCGTCGTCTCCTAGGTACTCTCCATCCTCGTCTTCTCCAACCATAATACCACCCACCACAACAACACACAAACCACCACCACCACCACCACCACCACCATGTCCTCCTCCCACACCCACAGCACCCACCTCAACCCCGAAGCAACCCCCTTCCTCCCCGCCATCACCTCCCTGCCCACCCTCCCCGACGCCGCCCTCATCTCCACGCTCGACCTCCTCTTCGAGCCCTCCCCCGACCTACACGCCCTCGCCCTGCCCACCCTGCGCACCATCTCCTTTTCCTCCTACGACGACCTCATCTCCACCCTCCGCGACGAACTCCTCGCCATCGCTGACGCCGTCGCCCTCGCCGCCGCTGATCCTTCCGTCCCGCAGATAGAAAAGGAAAATATCCAGCGGCCGTTGCATGCGATACTGGGTAGTCATCCGAGACTGGGCGAGCCGAAGAAGGAGACACTGTCGGCGCAGAGTCAGAAAGAGCAGGCGCATTTGAATGATTCGGAAGAGGTGAAGGCGGAGCTGAGGAGGTTGAATAAGGAATATGAGGACACGTTTCCGGGGTTGAGGTATGTGGTGTGGGTGAATGGACGGGGGAGGGGGGAGGTGATGGGGGATATGAGGAGGAGGATTGCGAGGGGGGATTTGAGGGCGGAGGAGAGGGAGGGGATTGAGGTGAGTTCTTGCTTGCGTCCTGCTTGCTGATTTCGTGGTGTTGGATTGTGTTGTTGAATGCTGTTAAATGGCAAGGCTGACTTTTACCTACCCAACACCTAGGCAATGTGCGACATTGCGGCCGACCGAGCGGCCAAGCTCCTCAAGTCTGCACAGGAGGCCGTCGAACATGGTAGCGCTTAGAGAAACTGAGTACATGGCCGTATAGCTGTGGGGACTGCCAACTTTATCCAATTGTACGGTTGGTGCCAGACAAGGCAGGAGGATCAAATGCAGGTCGCTTGGGATGTGACCTGCATGCTGAGAAGGCTGTCACATCTCAGCCACACCCGTCAACCGGCCGGCAACCCGTTTGTTGGACGAATCTTCGAAGACAATGCAGATGCACTCTGCTCGAAGGGGACATTGGCTTCTGGGCCACCCTTATCAAAGGACTAAATCGGTAAGCACCTTTGTAGAAAGCAATGGAAGGGCATACTCGGGGACAAGAAGTGCTGCTTGTTATTGACTTGCTAACCCGTGGTTGCAGAACGCCTAGTGATCTGCCGGCGCCTAATGCATTACCTTCAGCTTCGTCATCTCAGCCTCATCCATTGGCCGGCTGTTTGTTATCGAACGAATTATCGACAGCAACAACATGCATGTAACCCGCGGGATTCAGCATCAGCATACGGATGCTACGTGAGCGACACCAATAGACAAGTTGTTTGTTCGACGAGCCTCTGACATGACTCTGCCGATAGAGGCCTACCATTACCCCCACTCAAAGCATCGTGTACTTTGCCGTTTGTCTTCATAAAGACCCCAACATGTTCCGTGCAAGCAATGATCCCTTTCGTTCTCAGCAGCATCTCCTATCTCTGCTATCACAATCTCACCCAATTCCTCCTTTTCTCAGCCATCTTTGACTCTACCTCCTCTGATCTACACGTCTTGATGAAACTTAAACGCTCTTTGCTCGAGACCACAACAGCAACTCCTTCTACAATGGGTTCTGAGATCAAGCCCCCTGCCTCAGGCATCCTGACCAGCCCTGATCGTCTCCGCAAGATTGATCAGTTGCGCGAGAAGAACATCGATGTCATCTTGCCATTGCCTACATTGGTTGCGGTCGGTGACCAAAGCTCTGGCAAGTCTTCGCTGCTCGAAAGCGTCACTGGCATTCCGTTCCCTCGCGGCCAGGAACTTTGCACCCGTTACGCGACCCAGATCACCCACCGTCGCGATCCTGAGGTGCAGATAATCATCACCATTATCCCTGCCCCTCAAAGCACTGAGGCGGAAAAGATCAGTCTCAGGTCTTACCGCAAGGAGCTTTCCTCGACCACCCAGCTCCGTGATCAATTTGCCAAGATTCTTGATGAGGTAGGCGTCCCACCCTTGTTTTATCAACCATCTGCTAACAAGTGCACAGGTCAACGTTTACATGAAGATCAAGACAGACAAGAACCCTGAAGGAGAAAAGACCTTTTCTAGGGACATCTTGAAGATTGAGAAATGTGGCCCCACCGAGGACTATCTCACCGTCATCGACGTTCCCGGCATCTTCCGCCTGACCTCCAAAGGACAAACAACAGAGGGTGATCGCAACCTTGTTCGAGACATGGTCACCGGCTTTATCAAGGACAAACGGACCATCATCCTCGCCGTCTTACCTGCCAATGTGGATGTGATGACGCAGGAGATCCTGGCCCTGGCCGAACAATACGATCCGGATGGAGAGCGCACCCTGGGTGTCCTCACCAAGCCTGATTTGGTCATTGAGCGCAGCGCCAAAGAGGCTGTTTGCAATCTCGTCGCTGGAAGGAAGAAAGCCCTCAACCTCGGCTACTACCTTGTCAAGAACCGTGGTGGTGACGACGACGATGACTCTAAAGATGACTCGGGTATTCGCCGGAAAGAAAGAGATCTCTTCCAGCAGAGTCCTTGGTGTAACTTGCCGCAGGAGCGCGTGGGAGTTGCAGCACTTCGTGAGAGACTCCAGGATCTTCTGGGTGAGATCACGGACAAGGCGTATCCAGAACTTCGCTCGGAAGCGCGCAAGAAGCTCGCGGAGGCTCGGGAACAACAAGATGCTCTTGGCCCTCCGCGACAGACCGAGCGCGAGCAACAGCAGTATCTTGCTCAAATCGCAGCCAAATTTCAGCAAATCGTTCGTGCGGCTCTCGAAGCCAATTATTCCAGTCATTCAGCGTTTGATGAGCATGGCTTGAGGCTCATTACTCAAGTAGTAAGTATCACAGACACGTTCAACACCCTAATGAGAAAAAAGGGCCACACATACTCTTTCGTAAAGGTAAAAACAAGGGACTCGGACGATAAATTAGTGAATAGCGATGATGACAGTGAGGTCGACGATGGCAATGAAGAAGACGACGACCCAGCCTACGATGGCGAGTATGATGGCGAGTACGATGGCGAGTACGATGGCGAGAACGATGCCGTGCACAGCGAGTTAGCCAACCGCGGCACAGTTATTCACATTCCTCCTGAGTTGGAGAGCTTCACCAACATCGTGAAGCAACCTATAATCACGGTCAAACAAGACAATAGCAACTGGATCCGCAACATGTACCTCGAGTCTCGAGGTATAGAACTCGGCACCTTCAGTCCCATCGTCCTTGCCAGCGCCTTCCGGGATCAGACAACCAACTGGGGTCTGATAACGGAGCACTACATCAGTCTCATAATTTCAATCATTCACGAGTTCACTCTATCTATTCTCAATACGATTTGCGCGGGTGAAAAGTTATATGAGGCGATCAAATCTATCCTCATGGATGACCTACTGGCGAGATACGCGAAGGGCATGGACTATGCCAAGTATCTGGTCCAGGTGGAACGCGAGAAAAAGCCCTACACCGTCAACCACTATTTCAGCAGCAACCTTCAAAAGGCTCGTGGCGACCGGGCCTCCGAGGCCCTGAAGAAAAATTGTTATTGGGATGATCACAGTGGCGCCTATGCCGTCAAATTCGAACACATCAAGACAGCCGTCACCAACAAAAGCAACCAGGAGCACGCCCAAGATGACATCCACGATATCCTCAAGAGTTACTACAAGGTCGCTCGCAAACGTTTCGTCGACAACGTCTGGCTCTATGCGGTTGATCATCACTTGCTGTCTGGACCCAACAGTCCCTTGACGCTCTTTTCGGAACAGTGGGTGTTGGGATTGGATGAAGACTCGTTGAATGCTATTGCGGGCGAATCTCGCAGTACCAGAGACAAGCGAAAGGAGTTGACCAAGAAGATTGCGGATTTGGAGGAGGCGTTGAGGATTTTGAAGTAGATGGTGTCGGTCTCTACTTTTTGGCATGTTTAAGCCCCGTTTAGTTTGCTGTGCAGATGGTTCATGTCGATCTCTAGTTCAAGTGTCATATCATCACGGATCAGCTCGACCCGCGTGTACTGAATGTAGTTACTTTGCCCATGAGATGTCATTTCCCCGTTTCACCCCAATAGCTCATGAGTTTTGTCGCCTGCAGCCTAAAGTAGGTACGGTGGGTCGTCTGCGGTGACGCTTATGGCTCACCGAGATCTCAACCTAGGTACCTACACTAGGATCTAGGTACGTCGACCTGTCACTTGTCACTTGTCACTTCCTTGTGTGTCCCCAAAGCAGTACCCAATGTGGTATTCGGTATCCCCGTCCGAAGCAAGGACCCCATGCAGGGCAGTGCTGCTTATGCTTATGTATGCCTTGTGCGCATTCTCGTTGTCGGCGATAGACTTACCTAGTCGGATAGTGCGAACGTGATTCGGATGTGTTGTTTGTTTTTATATATTCGGAACTGGATGATGGAGGTGGAGGTAGTTGTCATCTGTGGACGAATCGGGCACGGCAGAGAGAGGGTGTGCGGCAGGGCCGGCGTACTTTACATAGGTAGGTGCAGTTTGGGTCATGGGACTATGGAGTTGAGGTGTTCCTAGAGATGAGGTGATGCTGTCTGTTCCTGAAGTATGAGATGAGATGGGATGGGATGGAATGAGATGAGACGAGGAGTGGTAAGCTGCAGGCTCCAATGCACTCCGCAGTTTACCTTTCTGCGACTCCGTAACCCGGATAGGTAGGTATGACCTAGGTGGTAGTACAACAGTAAGGCAACGGGAAAGAGTGGGAAGTACCGACGGAGGGTTGCGTATCTTGAATGGTTGGATCAAGGACCAATCATCCCCCGCGTTCTTTGTGAGGCGGGAGCGTGTGATATGTGACATGACATGGAAAATGAGACATGTTAAGCCGTTCTTACTTCCTTTTGCTATGTTCGTTGGACTTTGGAATTACGTGGGGTTGGAATTACCGACATACATATATATACGAACAAGCTGAAATGGCAAACACCAGCCACGATGGAATCTTTTCATGCAAACCAACGTCGACTTGAATGCTCTGTCGTTGTTCCGTCCTCTTTCCACTCAGCGGAAGTCACCAGTGATGACAGCATGCAGCTACATTGTACTGGTGAGACTGGGGAACTTTATGGGGTAACACGGCATGGAAAGGCTCTGAGGCTGAAGGCCCCACTGAAGCGGCAGTGCCCGCCACATGATGCGGATCCTCTGCCCAAAGGGGATTCCCTCGTCAGCCACGGGTTCTGTCAGTTGGTTGATGGTTTTTGACCAACCGCACTTGCCTACGGAACTAGGTACACTGCTAGTACTATACTAGTCTAGTGTATAAATCTTCAGCGAAACCCAAGCCCTGCCAAGACATCAACCACCGGCCGCCGAGAAGAGACGGTGGGAAACGGTGTACGTACAAATCCATCACCGCAGCAGCGCTTGGTGGCTTTCTATGGCTCGAAGGGTGCCTAGCGCCGCCGTATGCACTGTTGATCCTTCCATAGCGAACGAAAGTCTCTTCACTCACGATTTTAGCGATTTTTATTAGCGGTCCAGTGATCATGGCAACCAACCCACGCAACGGCAGCCGGGGCCAGCAGCGGTCTGACCCTTTACTTTCACTTCTCCATTCTTGTGAAGGGTCTCATCCGACAGGCTGACGACGGATCGATGTCTACACCGAACTTCGTCATACCTCTTACACTGCCCGAGTTTACTGAGTAGGGTTACTTAAAGGCGGGACGGTCCGTTACCTTTGGAAGCTTCTTTGAAACCTTGACTCAACGATAGGTACTTCACCATGGCGAACCAAAACGGCCAAACAGACCAGCAACTGCGTCCTCCCACACCGGACTATATCACAATGGGAGGTGACGATGATGGGATGGAGACGCCCCGCCTACAGGAAGGCATAAAAGCAAAGCCAAAGCGCATCATAGTCTGCTGTGATGGAACGTGGATGGACTCACTAGGGAAGAGGGGGTGAGTGTTCAGTTTCATGTACTCTTCCGCCCGAGCAGCGCTGACATCAAAGCAGAGAAGAACCACCATCAAACGTCACCCGCATCTCACGCGTTCTGCGCCGGACATGCTACGACGGAACTCACCAAGTCATCGCCTACGTCCCCGGCGTAGGCACAAGCAACAAGTTGGATTCCATCACCGGCGGCGCCTTTGGTATGGGACTGGACCAGGTACATTCCTTTTACCCGGGCAATTTCATCCCATCTCACCACTAACACACCCCAGGACATCCGCGAAGTCTACAACTTCATCTGCACCAACTACGTCGACGGCGACGAAATCTTCCTCATCGGCTTCTCCCGAGGCGCCTTCACCGCCCGTTCCACCGCCGACATGATCGCCTCTCTTGGCATCCTCATGCCCGACGGTCTCGACCGCTTCTACTCCATCTTCCACGACTACATGTACATGGGCACCCCCTCACGCAACAAGACCGAGTTCGTCGTGCCCAACCTGCCCGAGTACAAAGGGCAAAAAGGCCAGGCCAAGATTGAGTGGGAGGCAGAGCGCATGAAGATGTACAAGGAGCAGTTGATCGAGCTGGGCTACACGCGGGACAAGTTCAGCGACAAGAAGACCGACATCACCATCAAGGCGCTGGGAGTGTGGGATACCGTTGGTGCCTTGGGGATTCCGCCTGCGCCCGTGATTGGCGTCAGGGGGTCGTCTAACCAGTGGGCTTTCACTCACACGCAGATCTCGGATAAGGTGGAGCATGCTTTTCAGGCTTTGGCGCTTGATGAGCCACGGTATGCGTTCCGGCCGGCCTTGTGGGAGCGGTTACCAGGCAGCAAGACGAATCTGAAGCAGGTGTGGTTCCCGGGGACGCATGCGAATGTTGGTGGAGGGTGGTATGATCAGCAGATTGCTGATATTACGCTTGCTTGTGAGTTTTTTTTTTCCCCCCCCCTTCTATTCTACCCTCTCCGACACCATACTGACTCCCGAGAAAAAGGGATGTGCGACCAACTCTCCACCCTCGGCGTCGAATTCAACCTCAAAAGGATGCACTCCATCTTCCTCGACTCCCTCCGCTACTCCGCCGCCCACCCCTTCCCTTACTCCCCGCCCTCCTTCACCCAAGCCCTCCTCACCAAAGGCAAATCCACCATCTCCAAACTTCTCACCATCGGCAAACCCTCCTCTTTATCCCCGCGCCCCTCCTCCATTTCAATTTCATCCCCCATTTCCCCCCGCCAATCCACCTCCACCACCTCCTCTTCCATCTCTTCCTACTCTCACACCAAATCCCATTCCCACTCCAAATCGCACTCCCTCTCCATCCCAACCAACACAAAAGGCACACCCGCCCTCCCCTGGGCCCTCCCCCCCATCTTCCACCCTCCCCCCTCTTCATCCTCTACAGGTCCCTTCTTCCACGACTCCAAAGAATGCACCCCCCTACACATCCACTCCCACCCCCCTCTCGCCTCCACCCCTTCAGCCCTGCTCTCTCTCGGCGCCCGCCCTTGGGCGTTGGGTACGCTCCGCAACCCAGCCAATACAAGTCTAGCTACCCTAGCGGGGCGCACCGTTCGGCGCCCGGGGCTGTTTTTGAGAGTGGACGAGGACTCGAATACCGATACGCCTTTCCCGCTTTTATCCACTGGGGAGACAATCCATTCATCCGTTAGAGTCAGGTTGACGTGTGGTGGACTGGGGCCGGATGATAAAGATGTTTGGGGGTGTGATGCTTTGTTGAAGGGACAAGACGGGAAGCCGTTGTGGAAGTTGGAACGGGGGTGGGGAGTCGGCAAGGAGGAACAGGAGAGGGTGGAAACCTTTGTACCAAGGGAGGTCGGGGTTTTGGGAATCGAGGCGAAAGGAGGGAGAAAAAGGAGTGGGTCAAGGGTATACCCCACCGAAGGATTATACCAAGTCAAAAAAGAGGAAATGGCGTGGCGGTGGGTTTATATAGGGGATGAAAAGTCGGTGCAGACGGGAACGGGAAGTGGAAAGATCATGTTTGGGAAAGGGGTGCGGTTCCCGGATCGAAAAGTGTTGGCGGAGGAGCCGGTGGTGGGGTATTGGGAACGCTATCTTTTGGGCATGTTGACTGCGCCTGGTGAGAGGGATGTGTGGCGGTGGGCGGCGGAGAGGGGGATGGAGAGGGAAAATGGTGGTGGTGGTGGTGGTGGTGATGACGAGGGGGTACTACCTCTAGGGGAGGTTAGTACGAATGAGCAGAGGGTGAATGGGAGGATACCTCTACCTCTAAAGAGTAATGGTAATGGGATTGGAAGTGCCAAGGGACATAATAAGGCTGCGCATAGTGTTGGTTAGGGACCCGGGATTTGTGGGGTGGCGGTAACTTGGTGAATGGCGTGGGGGGATTTTGAGTACTGCTTTTTTGAGTATTGGATTATGGGTACCTAGCCTGGTGTTTTGGGAGTTTTTCTTTTGGTTCTGCGTTCGGTCATCTTCATGGGAGAAAGGGAGGGATTATTTTGGTTTGTGAAGGGTAGAGTAAGAAGAGAAAGGTCTTGAGACAAAGTAGTTCTAGTACGTAATGTCAAGTGCTAATTTTATACCTACATTATCGATTTTAAGGATAAGGATACCTCACAAAGCGACGGGGACGACAAGGTGGGCGATGATGATGGCGACGACGAATGTGCTATAGAAAGCGACTCCGAGATTGAAGTAGAGTCGAGTGGTGGAGAGCTGGAACGTGCCCCTGGATTGTTCACCATAATCCATTCTCCTTCAAACCACCTAGTTAGTCTCTTGGACTCCAGTTTCAACCTCCCGTCTCGCCATTGGCGTTACATTACCACAGTAAGCTCCAGTTGCTGTGTTCAGGCCTAGCACCTGGCCAGCAAACTCGGGCAGTTTGCGAGCCATAGTTCTGGTTGGGAAACAGTTGATGGAAAACGGCACGGGGAAACATCGGTGGGAAAGAAGTCATATGTGCTGGCGGTGTTGATAGGCCGAGATTGAGGAGTGGTCAAGGTTCACTGGTTTTCCGATTGTACATCCTAACATGGTTTTGTTCCTCTTCATAAGGGAGGCACACATCCGGTTTCTGAGGCCACTGGTGAGTGATGAATGACATAGGCCGTCGTACGCATCTTTCGCTGCACCAATGATGGCCTTTGATAGTGTATGGATCACAGCTCTTTTGTTCTAAAGGTCTGTTTGCTCCCGCCTTAGCTCACTTTGAAGAGGTTTGTTCATAGTTCATCCCCAGCAACTGACTACAACCTTCCCTTAAAGATGGCGTTAGCATCCTTTTGGATGTCTGATGCTGAAACTTGTCGGCAAGGATGGAACAACTAACACACGGGACCTCTTCGTCTAGCTCAGACGAAAGCTGGGAAACTTTCGACGATGGCATGAATCCAGCGAGCCATGAGCAAGCAGAACGGACCAAAAGGGGTCTTGAGGATGAAGAGGATATCCGACCGGCCAAAAGACTGAAGAGTGGCGGAGGAGGAGAAGTCTACGATGAGACTCGAGAACGTATAATGGCCACATATCCCCATCTTGTAGATCTTGTGGAGGACGTCGATAGCCCCGACACTCAACTCGATGACCGCCACGTCAGTGGGCTATGGGATGTTGTCAGAGCAAACGCCGTGAAGGACGACGCTGCGGAAATCGAAGACAACAACTCCGATAATGGCAACTCCAACAGTTACGGCTCAAGTGATAACGAAGAGTGCACCAACTCGAGCCAAATGTCCAGCCAGCGATCCAGGACACTATCACCTCAAAGAACACCCGAGACTCCTACCATTCTTCCCAGCATTGAGATCGGTCCTAAAAGTACCGGACCAGACAACTCGCCGGATTTGGGTATGAAAAACGGGGTTACCAAACAACCATATAATGATCCGACCGCTAACGATATTATAGGGCATCATCCCCGAACGCCATCCCCGCGCCATCGGCCACCTCATATTTCCCCAGCACCTTACATCTCGCCCATATCCCCTCCCGAGTCCCAGTTCATTACAGCTGTCCCCTCTTACCTCTACACATTAACCCCACAGGCGGTCTCACCCACGTCCCATTTGGGGCCGTCTAGAGGGATCTGGCCTGGTTTTATACCCTTCGCGTCTTTTTATACCTCTTCCGAGGAAGAAGAAGAAGAGGAAGAAGAAGAAGAGGAAGAAGAAGAAGAGGAAGAAGAAGAAGAGGAAGAAGAAGAAGAGGAAGAAGAAGAAGAAGAAGAAGAAGAAGAAGAGTGGGAAGGGTTCTCGGACAACGAAGAGGAAGAGGAGCAAAAGGGGGATAATAAATCGAAGAAGAAAACGAAGAGAAAGAAGATGAAAAACAAGAGGAGTATTGTGTTTTGGAGGAGGGAGGCATGGCAAAAAGAGCATAGAATGAAGTCCGAGGAAAAAGAATGGGAGGGATTCTCGGATGAGGAAAGGGAAGGGGATACAAAATTGGAGGATGACAAGGAAGGCTCGGAGGATGGTGGTTCCTCACCTACGCCGCCACTATCGCCATCACCACCTGCGCCCCCATTTTACATATGCCGTTTCCTTCGCCGCAACATTCGCCCTCGCCATCACACGGATCGGACAGTGTACCGAAGTGGGAAACCCTGAGTTACAACAAGCCTTCCACTTGTGTGCAAGACAACACGTGCAAATGAAACAAGAATTGTTTTCCAAACAGTCCAGATTGTCTCCCAAACAAACACTCATTGTTTTCCAAGCCCCTAAAGTCAAAAAAATAGAGTATATATAACCTTCTACACTTCAATGGTCATTGATATCTCTGAGTAGGTAGGTGTACCTGATTAGATATTTCCCGCATTCATTACTCTTGCCTTTCACATCGCGATCGGCTACGGCAAGCATCATTGTATCTCCCTTGATTGTCACCCAGCAATCACACCAGTGACGGCCCCATAAAGGCCACAACATCACATGGCTTCATCTCTCCAGTCCTTGCCGTGTAGAGGTCCTAGATCTTTATAGACTGATTGCTAGTAAATGGCATAGGCGGCGGTATGGTTCACCAGAATGGGGATCCAGTTCAAACCTTGAAGCGGGTTGCGACCGTGGAGGGTCAGAATGGGATTCAGGTTTTTCAAGGTCGGCCTCCATTCACTTCCTCATTTCCCATTGTTGTTCCAAATTTTATAACTAAATATTCCAACTTGATTGGTTGTGTCTGCCCCGAAAAGATTCCTTCCGCAATGTCAACGCACACATGTCGTACACGGCATTTCCAACCATATAGCGACCATCAACTGGCGCTTTCACAGTCTGATTCTTTTGCAATCATGGCATCAAGCAGTGAGCCATCCCCTGCGCGCAGTGAGGAGAATATGGGAGTCGCCAATAACTTTTCCACCTACGTTACAGGCACCAGGAGGATGCTGGAAGGGACCAGCATTGATAACCCGGTAAAGAAACGGGCCAAGACGATTTCGAGCCACGAACATGATCTCACTCTCAACCACGTAGCTGCTTTCCTCGAAGACACTCGCCGGACAGGAAAACTTCACGTCTGGTACAACGCTCACCGGAAACTTTACGACCACCTTCAAGCACGCCGCGCTAAAATGCTTGCGCACTCCTCCGTCGACAATAAAGTCGACACCCTAGGCCAAGTGACCAAACACAACGACTTGGGTATCTCAGAGAACGGCGACACTCACTGAAACTACTTCGAAGCGCTACTGGGCCGTCTTGAAACTGCTTTGGAAAAATATTTCCCCAAAACCCATGACAATGGAGAACCAACCAAATGCGGCGAAGGATCCCAGGTCAACAACAGACTCCCCTGCCTCCAACCGTCCACAAATTCACGCACCCACAACGTTCCTGCTCCGCCTCCCGCCAAGCACTCGCTCAGCACCCTTTCCTCGCTCAGGAACAAGACCATTGAGAATACCTCGGCAGTCAACGGGAGCAAAGCAGAACCTCCTCGTCGGAGAAAGGCCAGGAGCTACTTCCCAGCACGCCGCTAACGTGGAGGTCCCGAGGGCAGCAATCCGTTTAGCTGCTCTTCGACCTCTCTCGGCGGGAGTGCTACCACGGAGCCAGAGCCGTTACCTTTTGCCGTTGTCTTTGCCATTGCCCAAAACTAAAAACAAGCGAACGGTTGCCTGTTCAACCCCCAAAGCGGTACCGGGCACCAAGGCGGAGCGCCTTGCTCAGTACATGAAGTACTGGCCGAGGTCGAAAAAGCATGAAAAGGAGGAGGAAAGTGACGAAAACAAGGAAACATCGCAACCGCAGACAAGATATAACCTTAGGAGTACCTCCTCTAAAAATTGAGGCAGGTTAGTTGATGATGGAGGAGTGATGCAGGGCAACCAGGTACCTTTACGATGAATTTGTCAAGAAAAAATGGCAAGTTCAAAGGCTATATCAAAGCAGTCACTCGTGGTTTTAGTTGTGAGCAACTGGTCATATGCATCGGCCTCGGCCCAGCATAGGCGGGATACATCGATTCTATCCTCTTATCATGAGAGCAGTTATCTCAAAAAGACCTCTAGATTTTTCTTCCATCTGCAAAGGAGTACACATCAGTAAATCTTCCTCAACATTAGGGGTACCTAATCATCTGTACCTCTACCTCATGGCTCATGCATATCCCCAGCAATCAATGCGTGCCTCCGACTTTCTTTGCCAGGTCCATGTCCTGATCTCCATGGCGACTGGTAAATGGCGTCGGCGCCAGTGCCATCACCAGGATGAGCATGCCAGTCTAAACCTAAGACCGAGGGTGAACCTTTGTGACCTTGAAAACATGCGCAGGTTTGAGGGTGTCAAGGTGACTCCAGTCACCATTCACACCTGAAACCTTTCCAATTGATTCTATAGATATTCTGTTGTCAGTACCTAGTATACAATCCACGGAACTTCCTCTGATCCAGGACTCACCTGAACAATTTGCACATTCCATTCTCTCACGACAGTCTTCCTGACCACGCAACATCTACTCAACCATTGCACTCACAATGGCAGAGCTCAAAACACCAGCCCCTCCCCCCGATGAGGACGTGAGTTTTGTCGATGACGATCTCGCAGGGTCCCAGACCAGGAGGATGACGGAGGAGCCCACCAGGGACTGGACCCCATTGAGAAGAAGACTGAGGATGTGCCCAGACGAGGATCCTACGGCTAGCACCCCGGCTCCAGCTCCTCAATTTGTCAAGAACGACAATCCCCAGAACACCAAAGTACCGCTAGACGCAGCTCTGTGGAACGACACTACCTACCCGCGAAGTCTACCAACACCTCAAAGACCGCGCTGAGAAGCTTGAAGGCGCACCCATCAGTAACGCAACTGGCCCGCCCAGCTCAAAGAAGGACACTCCGAAATCTGACGCTCCTTCCGATGACGCTGCCGGAGGAAACATCTACGAAACTCTCCTCGGTCGGATTCAGTCCACACTTCAACAACTCCACGACCAGCATGATCAAGAGAAGACGACACAACCAAGTGCGAACTCTACCTCCAGTCGTTCCACCACCGACACCAATCTTGACAACCTTTCAAGTCCTTCCATTCCTCCCATCAACGAGCACCCTACTACGCCTGGTTCCAAATCCTCCACCAGACCGTCGTCCTCATCTATCACCAAGCGCAAAGGATCCAAGAGCAAGCAATCAGGTGCCTCCATGAAGATGTTCGCTGTCAAGGGAACGAAGGCAGAGCGTCTCCAAGAGTCCATGAAGTACTTTCCGAAGCCCCCTTCGCCGATGCCGAGCCCCCCTAGTTCTCCTGGCTCCGATGGGAACTGTTGACTGAGCTCCGCGGTAAGGACCTGAAAGTGGCACTCGAGAGATGAGTATTGGCTGTTGAGGCCCTATCCCGTACCCACGGGGAGGTATTGATGGAGGCTTGGCTAGATATGGGAGGAGACGTATAGAGGTAGATTTTATGTTGGCCGGATACATAGTACGTCTGTAATGTAGCAATAGCGCAGGTACCCCTCGCCAGTCCCAGTCAAAAGTACCAAGGCAGAACGCCTGCACGAATGCCTAAAGTACTGTCCAAAGCGCCCTTTACCCTGCTCATTCGGTCACTATAATACCTCTCAAATTCATCTCCATACTTGGAGAGCTCGGAGGTGTCGCCGGATTCCGAAAATGACTTGAACGATCGGTAATCCGCCTCGCCTAGGCCTGAAGGTCGCTGTTGATACGCAACAGATGTACACGGGCATCAAGAGAAAGGAAAGTGATTAAGGGGGAGCAAGAAACCTAGTCGGCGAATTTGAGGTATTAGTGATGAAAGGAGACAAGTAAAAGCGCAGGGAGGAAGTTTGAGTGTCAGGCGTGGACTTGCCTCTACCGTTGAAGCATCAGTTCGAAGGAAGCCATTTCTTTGAGAAATATTACCCTGTACCTAGTGACGGTTGTAGAGACCTGGAAGAGGAGAGAAATATTGCCCACCGTTTCCAAGAATCATCTGTACATCTATAGATCAGTAATGCAGCCTTCAAAGTACCTACCTAGCAGACCCGAAACGATGAGCATGACCCTGGACACTCACCAAAAACATCGCGAAATCAACACCAGACTGGTCTAGACTTTCGCTGGGCGTCAAGGTTCGGTACCCTCGCTTGTTAGGCAGGCTTTGACTCCTAGGCTGCCTCGGCTTGGCCTTCCAAACATGAACCTGAACCTGCCACCATTCACATGACCATTAAGGGACCTTGGAAGGGCAGACCAGGGCTCATCAAGGTCGACCTTAATCTGTTCATTCACTCTTCCCAAGGGCACATCTCCTCGTGTGCCATAACAGAGGTATCTTTCTTGCTCTTCAACTTATCACCGAGCAAGTTTCTGTCCTTCAGACCTTCCAAACCAGCATCTCGAACCACAAGTCTCAACATCAAGCCGATCACCAAGATGTCCGACCAACGACCTCTACCCAAAACCCCTCGGCCCGGCAATGGCGACAATGCACGCATCACCGACTACTTCAAGTCAATCGAGCGCACTGATAATGGCACGAAGTCCAAGAGGAAACTCGAAGATGAAGAAAATGACCAATCAACAAAGAGATTTAAACGAAGCGACGACGGACAAGCCGACAGTATCAAAACGGCTCGATACCAAATCAAGGTCGACACTTTGAAGACCAAAAAACCGGTGTCTACTGGTCTTCTTGATGAAACTGACGGCGGGCTCCGCGAAAGCCTTACATGTATCGGCCGCAGGGATTTTCTTGAGGAAGAAAGGGTGCAAGACAAAATGAGGCCTCGCAACGCCGACATCGAGCGCGGCGGTGTGACGATCGGCGCTGATGACACTGCTAGGCGGCGCCGGTCTAAAGCACCATCGCCTCGACTTTCCATCCCACGATCGAAGAAGAAGTTTTCAAGTGCCCGACTTTTGGACGAGACCGACGCGGGTCTCAACGCCGTTCTTACTGGCCGATTCGAGACCGCGCGATATGAGGAGCCAATGACCGGGGACGATGCGGAAAACCTCAACCACACTTCAAGGCACAATGGCTTGATCGGCGAACCAACGACGACGGAAGACAATGACATTGACGCCACTCCGAGAGACCGGCTCAGGACTCCTTCGCCTCAACGTCCTCTTACAACCCCCCAATACTATAGCAACCAGCGTCGGGAAGAACACGAGTCGAGTCCAATGTACCCAAACGACAGCCCTTTGTCATTCCTTTTTCCGAGTCCCGTCGTTGATTCGCCCGCACCGGGATCGTCTCCCGTGGCCTTCCCTTCTTCCCCGTTGACGCAGTAAGAAGGTGGTTGGCAACTCGTCTTTGCTCCATGATGAAGTACCTATCCAGTTCCAAAGATTCCAACGACAGGAGCGGCAGTGAAAGGGAAGCAGAACTTCAGAAGTACTTGGGAGAGAACAGGGCTAGGTAGTTATCATGGATACTGACGGCGTTGTGCTATGGTTTGGGCCGGACAGGCCTCAAAATGAGCAGGGACAAAGCAAAGAGGACGAAGAAGAGATACAGGTAGGCGAAGCGACGGAAGGGGAATACGGGAATTGGAGATTCGCAGGAGAGTAAAGGTAGTTGATGTGTCTTCACTTTCAGTCGTATATAGCACAGCTTTCCCCAGATCCAGATCCATGTGGTCGGGACTGTCTGATACCCCAGGATATCTATAAATGTCAGTACATGTACTCTGGAATATCAATTCTTGAAGATGTCCGTAGACCCCTCGCATGACAGTGACAGCACTTACCGCAAACATCGCGAAGTAGTCGCCAAGCGGACCCAGTTTTGTTGCCTCTATGCAAGGCTACCTCAGCATGGCCTTCCGAACCTAAACTTGATACCATTCACAGGGTGGTTTTGAAACCTTGGAGGGGCAAGGTAAGGTTCACCCAGGCTGCCTCCCTATTCCTATTCACCTATACCCAATTGTATATAGAGGAAATCTTGCTCTCTTTCTTCTCCAAACCCTAGTTCTCACCAACAACTCGTTAGCAACCACCACATCCCCAATATCTCTGCGAACTACACACCCACTCCCATCATGAAACCATCCACTACGCCTTCGCCTAGTATTAGCAAGAGTGCCCGTATTACGGACTACTTCCCGTCGATTAAGTAGTCCGGATTAGTTGAAAGATCTAAGAGGGAGCTGGACGGTACCTCTGCTACGGACACCTAGCCGGCGAAGAGGTAGAAAATGTATGTAAAATTTATTACTTCAACCAGCCTGCGTACGGTTCGACTCGACGTCGACATCGACATAAACGATCTCAAGGCAGACACACCCAAGCGCAAGCGCAAGACGCCGCCCAGCGCTCGTCTCCTTGATGACACCGATGGCGGACTCCACGACAGTCTTGTAGACAGATGGGATTTTCTTAAGGAAACGGGCGCCGAGGAGAATGCCGCAAGTGAACCCAAGCGTCCCAGACCCTCCGTGTCGGTCCCAGCCCCTGCCAGCGTCAACAACCACAAGCGCAAGAGGCTAGCATCCTCTCGCCTGTTGGATGACGTCGACGGAGGTTTGTCGGATAGTCTTGTCGGTCGGTTTGAAACTCCGAAATACGAGGAGAAAGTTTCCAGCGGTGAAGAGGAGAAGAAGAAGAACGCCTCGACGCACTACACCGTGGACGATGACTCCGAGGCTGAGACCATAAAGGCCGATAATAGCAAAGATGATCTGAGCAGCGAGCAAGATGGTAAGGACTATGATAGTGAGGAACACGGCGGCGATGACGAAGATAGTGAGAGTAACGATAGTGACAAAGAGAACGTCCCGCCGAGAGTGCGCTACAGAACACCCTCGCTCCCGCCTCTCCCAGCGACCCCCGAGCATCACGGAAGCCAGAACGAGACTGGCGATGCGACTCCAAGTGGCCAGTCCTCGACCAGCTCATCGTCGCTCCTTCTGCCGAGCCCGGTCGTGGATTTGCCGCCACTTCCATCTTCGTCTTCGTCGTCGTCATCCACCTTGGTCCCTGAACCGTCAACCTTACCATCTCCTCCGTCGTCGCCGTAAATCGTTCGCATCGACCCGCCTCCGGTCTGCCTTAAATGCTTCCCCACTTCCACAGCATCCAGTGACAATACCGGTAGCGATGAAGGGGAACCCAGGACCGCAGAGGGGCCGCAGACCCACAGGGGACCAAGAATCCAAGACTTATCACCACGACTATCACAATGTCGGCTTAGGGGCGTGTCGAAATGAAAGATCGTGGTCGAAAGTAAATACAGCGAGGGGGGAAATGCGGCCAAATGGAGCGATGACGGCGGAGAACCACGAGCTGGAAGTTGTCGAGTGAGCGAACGATGAGCCCGCCAGTGTTGGAGCTTCGGGGGCGTTCGGTTGGAGTTGTAAGCGGGAGGAATAAGTAAGCTGGAAATCGATGTTGGCGTACATGGATATCGGGTTGTCGAAAAGAGTTGGAGGTGCTTGTGTCGAGATTTGCTAGACGTGGTAGGCTGTCGTCAGACGAACAGACAGTTGTATCGTCTCGCACAAATCTGAGCCCCAGATGGCCGTCATGCTGTCTCTCGCTGATTGTTTCCCCTATCCGCAATATTTTCCCTCAACTCAGTCAGTTATCCAATTGTATAATCGCAACGCTGGCTAGTGAAGAACATCACTTACTTTTACACTCAAATGATGACCTGTTGCGGCCACAAACCTTTCCAGTCTAGGTGAGCAATGACTGGATCACTCATGATGCCCCTATTGCTGTCCGGATGTGACATGGAGTCATTCACAGACATCAGAGACAGGGCGAAGTAACTAACCAGAAACAACGCCGACGTAAGGAAGCTGAGCGCCGGTAACGACAGACTGATCGACGGGATGTCCCACAGTGATAGCGTTGGAGCCACTGTCAATACATATCTTGACAACCAACGTCAACGGGTACAGGAAAACATTACTAACAATCCTGACGAACTGCTGGACGAATGGCTAAAACAGTTCGACCGCGATTAGAAAGAGAGCGTGGTGGGTCGGCCTGAGAGGCAGGAAATATAACAAGATACCTGGGCGTCAGACAGGACAGAGAAGTGAGCAAGACTAGAAGCTAATGATTCGATGAACAATCATGGCGAGAACAGCAACCTTGATATCAATAACCAAACCAACAGGAGCATGGAGAATACAGCAGACCAAAGAGCAAAAGGAAAAAAAGACAAGCAGACGAAGTGCAATAACAAGTCAACCACATCAGTGCTTTATCATACTCCAGTCTTCTTCAACAGTCCCCCAGTTCGTAAACGTGAGCAGAAACTACGTCCGTGGTCAGGTCGGGTCGGGTCAGGCAGGCAAGATTCGGCCCGAGCCCACTGGCCGCTCCCTCCGAATCCGCAATACTTCGGCGACCTTACTCAATCCAACCAACAACGACCACACCAAGAGGCAGAGCGAGGTCAACGCTAATTCCACCCCCACCCCCCGACGTTGTGCATGTCGTCCCCGTTCGTAGGTAGAAAAGGTACTATGCGCTAGAGGTACCGATGAGGATATCCATGGAAATATGGGAATCGGAAAAAACGAGCTCGTAGAATCGGGAGAAAGCAAGGAGGCAGCAAGGAGAACCATATAGGTACCTACCTCTAGGTACCTTGACACAGCGACAAGAATCCCCAAACACCACACTCGTGGCCTCCTCGTGACTTTAAAAGTCCCGGCTTCACATTCGGACCCTTGGTCCGTGAGCGGCACGCACTGGAGGGACCTGCCGGGCCGCCACCTGCAGGAAGCCCGGTCTTCGGCAAAATGCTCTCGTAATCCGGCCGGCCGGACCAGATAGTAAACCTTAACGGACCTCCGACGCACAGCGGTACCGACAGCTGCAGTGGTGTCCTGTTCGGACATGAGATGAAAAGTAAGGGTCATATTGCGCACAGCTGCGGCATTCACTCGACAGCCTTGGCTGAACAACCTACCGAGGTTTGTTTGCATTTCGCATGGCGGCGACTGTAATGTCGAGGGGCTCGAGCAAGTGCATGGTCTGGGAAATATATCGTCCTGGCTGCATATGTCCGCGGAACTTTCACTCTGTTTCCAAAGAACAACGCAACATTGCACTTCCTACTTACCACCACTTGTCGCGACAACAGTCCATCATCACAGCGTCTCATCGATACCTCACCATCACGAATACCTAAAGGTTAGCATTATGTTTCCTTTAACACTGTAGTATCCCTTCGACTAACGTACCTGACGACAGAATATCAACCGACAACCACATATCGGCAGACAACCAACAATATCACCAACCGCACGTCAACACGACCCCCATTACGACCAACCGACAGAGTCCGGAAGAGTCAAGAACCTCGAGCCGACAACACGAGTCGACGACAATCCCCCAGAATCCTCGACATCACACCCTCCGTCCTCACCTCTATCACCACAGTACGTCGAGGTAACCATGGCTTCCCGACCTACAACCCCCATCAACCCTCTTCTCCAGGCTCCCACGACCCCCATCCGCACGGACAATCGTGCACTCAGCCCCCCCTCCAAATCACCCATCGCCACTCCTCCTCCCCCCTCTCCCATTCCCTACCTCCCCTGGCGCGACCAAATAACCTGGGACCACCTACTCCACTCAGCACCCATCGTCGACAACTTTGACGACGAATCCGACATCGAGACCCTCGCGCCGCAGACTCCACCAGACAAGATCCTTCTCTCCAAAGAGCGTCAGGCGATCCTCCATCAACGACTCCGAGCAGGCCACGGAACTCATCGTGTCCATTATATCGTATACGATGACTACCGAGCCGACGTCCACAGCACCAACATCCCGGACTCGCATATGATTTTGGTGACGGGTGACCCGAGGCAAAACGGAGGTATCCTTTCCTTCGATGGCGTGGATGTAGAGGAGGGAATGCTCGTTGAGAAACGGGATGGGTTTTGGGGGGTGTATGAGGTTGATTGGGATGAGGAAGAGGAAGAAGAGGAGGAGGAGATGCCAGTTGAGCAGCAGATTTACCAGGTGTTTCTCGATGGGGCAGGAGGGGACCACGAAGAGGCTTGGGATGTATATCAGCGATTTCAGGCGCACAAGCAACGACAAGCGCGAAAGGAACGGGTTTACCAGGTTATGCTGGAGGAGTTGGAGGGAAATGAGGCGCTGGCGCGGGAGGTACATGCACGCTGGTGCGAGGAGGAAGAGCAGCGGGAAGATTCCGAAGATGAAGGGGAAGAGGAGACGAGAGATGATGATGAGCAGAACGTCTTTGCTCGAGCGACGATGTGGGCAAAGGGGTTCAAAATGGGATACGAGCTGCGCGACGCGTCACTCCAGAAGTCGCCGACGAAGTCTGTATCGTCAGCTGACGTACAGTTGCGCGACTCGTCAATCCTCCTGAAGTCGCCGACGAAGTCCGTATCGTCTGATGTTCCCGAGGATAGCAATCAGTCAAGCAAGTCGAAGAAAGAGCCAGACGTCTACGATTGTTTGGGCGAATGGGCGGTGCTCTTGAATGGGGAGAGCCCCCGAAGAAAGACGACAACCGGGAACATGTACGAGAGCACCGACAGCTTGATCGATACCTCTATGGAGCAGGACCAAGACGTCTACGACTGTCTCGACGAACGGGCCAGGAGCCTCGAGCATGGCACCAAGCACGCTGCTTTCTTCCACGAAGCCTCAAAGTTCGTAGACAACAATGGCAGCGCCAAGCTCATCGATATCGCAACAAAGACGGCCGATGTGTACGAGTGTCTTGGTCTGTGGGCTCAACAATTCGAGACTATTTCTTGATGGCAACTCTCCAGTCGAGGAACGCTTGCCCAAGGCCGTCAAGACGACTATCACCGACATCATAGGCTTCACAGATATCGACGACAACGGCAAAGTATCCAACGAAACCGCAGCGGGTACGCCGAATGTCGAACGATATACCCGGACCCTATCATCATAACGCCGAATGATGCTGCCACTAGGCTCAAGACTTCTGGAGATTTTTTGCATCATCGTCGCCATTCCTTGACCAGCTTTTGGAAGGTCAACGCAGATAGGTTGAGTGGCCGGTCACTTGAAAGCAGTTGTGTATGTGGCAATGGATGGGCAAGATAGACAAATGATGTAGAGAATTTGAATGTCGCCTCCGTGTGCAAAGCTTGGAAGTGCCGTAGAAATCCTGATGAGCCGTGATTGTGTGAGGATAAGAACATGGAAATTGTAAGAGGGGCAATCAGGAAACTTGATCTCATCCTTCATCCCGCTTCTTGGTGTCAAAGTTGCCCCCAAAGTGAAGCCGTGATGTGAATGCTCCCGATGCTGTCTTTGCCATGATGGCCAGTGATGCTTGGGGTTTTGCCAGTGATTTTCCAAGTGACGTTAAGGCCTAGCGCCACTCCATGGAAGAGTTCTAGAACCCTATGGCCGCAAGATCGTGTCATGTCTCTCGTCTTGTTGTCGCCGGCCAATGGGTGGTGGTGTAGGGGACAAAGAAAAGGGCCGTTACGGATCGACACAGCCTCAAAATGCAAAATGCCCGTCAATCGGTGAATCCAGTGAATCAGTGATCCAAAAAAAGAAATTGGCACCCTTTCTCGGCCAGTCAGGAGAGAGACGGCAAGTCATGACGTTGGAAGGCGGAAGAAAAGCCCGGACGGAGATGTGTGGAACTGGAGAAATCCCCGTATGTATCCTTCATGCGCATTATGGTCGGCACGGAAAGGCCGTTCGTGATGGCGGACCGAGGTGACGAAAAAAGAGTGGAAGCCGGCAGTGGCGGATACGATGTGGTGTAGAGGTAGACGGCGACGAGATGGAGAACGAGAAAATGGGACGTCAACAGCTTCCACTTGCTTCGCACAAAAGTTGCAGCATGCAGCACGTTAGCAGATTCTGCTTGGTTATCCAGTCAAAAACTGTTAGTGTCTGGCAGCGCCCATGTTCGGATTTTTCAGAACAGGCACAGGCAGGAGCGGGTTCGAAAAGTGGACCAGAAGACACAGTCAGTCTTGGCTTAACGTATTTCGCAGCAAGTCTCGCAGAAATTTGATAGTGCATGATTTGCCTGCAGAGACGACGATCCTGTTCGTTCTTTCATCTCCAGCCTCGAGCATTTTCCATCGTCTTCGCTCTCTACGTACACTACACGTATTCCTCCCACAATACGACAACCGCCCGTCGCGCACATATACGAACGGCTCCATTCATACACTAGTATCTCAATGTGACCTCGGGCCAGACAAGTTCGGCCTCCAAGCATTTCCCACCAAAAGCGGGAAGTCCGGCACCGTTTCGCCAACACCACCACACCAAGCCCAGATCGTCAGGGGTCGATCACTGGTGGACCAGTCACGGACATCCACTGCTTCGCTTAATCACCTCCACTACCCTTCAGGGAAGCCCCTGAGCTACCACCACCTGATACAAGTACTGTGACTGGCTGACAGGGCACCAACACAGTCGGAAAAGTCGCCCGAGCATGGCGCAACACGGACCCCAAGAGCATGGCACTCTAATCTCTGCCACCGGTCATCGATATTAGCGACGCGAGATTCACAATTTGGTTGGCCTGTTTCGAACCCGTCAATCATGGGGGACGGTGACCCTCTAAAAGGGCCAAGCAGAGTCACCACGCTCGCAGTTCAGAGACACTGGTGATTTGGATGCCCGCGACCGGACTCACGTTGTCCAGAGAGGTAGAGGTAACGTCGGATAGCTCTCGCCTCCCTCGGACAGGACAAGGCCAAGAGAGAGGCATTTCAAAGCATGACCTCAACCGGACAGTGGAGGGAGGCCTTGACAGGTCCACCATTGTGTCCACCCACCAGCGGGCAAAGCCAACAAAGATCTCTTTCAACTCGTTCCAAGCTGGGTGACACTTCACCCAGAACAGTCCAAAAGCTCGTGTTCAGCAAGCCCTAACGGGTACAACTAAGGGCGCCACATGGTCGCCGTCAACCAATGGTGGGGATTTCCGCCATCCCGGGTTTGGTGCAATCCAATCCGCTGTGGTTCCTGCATTCGACTTTGTGATGATGATCCGACGGTTCGAGTTCACGTCCAATCATTGCTCGCCATGAGACCCCAGTGGATCCAACTAACCAAGTTCTCTTTTTCTCATGGTGTCCACTTTTCTCTTTGGAGACGAGGTCCGCCTACCCTTGCAATGAATCGAACAATCCATGACATCCGTGTTCAGCTGAAATCATCCCTTGTTCTCTCCATCCATCTTGCTAACCTTATAACCATACGCTCTTTTCACACCTGCTTCATCCAAACCTTTGTTTTCAATCATCAAGTCATTCGCTTTTTTCGACGTCAGTCAACTGCATACACTCGCTCAACACGATTAATCGTCTCGAACCTACCTAATTACACACATCCAAAAAAAACAAACCAAAACAACCGCCAATATGCGTTCCACCACCACCCTCCTCCAGGCCCTCTTCGCCTCCTCTGCTCTGGCCATCCAGATCACCCACCCCAAGAAGAACGACGTTGTCGACCCCTCCTCGGGCGTCGAGGTGACCTGGAGCACCGTCAGCACCGACCCCAAGTCTGCCCACTTGGTCCTCGTCAACATGGCCAGCGGCCACACCCCTTACTCCAAGGACCTCGGTGCCGTTGACCTGACCAAGGGCTCCGTCATCATCTCGGAGAAGGACGTGCCCAACGACTCGGACTTCCAGTTCAACTTCCAGTCCGTCGACCCCCTCAACCAGGGCATCCTCGCCCAGTCCGAGCAGTTCGAGGTCAAGAACTCCGACGACGACAAGAAGGAGACCACCAAGAGCGCCGCTGCTACCCAGACCACCGCCGCTGCCACTCTTGTCACTGCTTCCGACTCGGCTGCTGCCACCGCCACCTCCGCTGCTGCTTCCTCCGATGACGAGAGCTCCTCCTCCGCTGCTGTCTCCGTCAGCGGCGCTTCCACCCTCGCTACCGTCACTGGCTCCGCTACTGCCACCGCTTCCGGCACTGCCTCTGCCACTCACGCTCCTACCGCCGCTGCTGGCAAGGTCGAGAGCGGCTCTCTCCTCGCTCTCGCCGTCGGCCTCGTTGCCGTCCTTGCTTAAGCGACCTACCTCGACTGGGTAGTCTTAGCACCAAGCGATGGGCTGTCAAATCTCTAGGATGTTCGTAGTCGGTATCAGTCCTCTGAAATCCACCTCGTACATCCTACCTGCCTATCAATAGGTGTGACAATAAACAAAGGAGGATGGATGGATGATGTCAACAAAGGAGTTGTTCATTTGTTGATGGCATGATATCAGTTGGGGTGTATATGTACTAGTTAATTTTGCACTAGTATATGTATGGGGTTGTAATAGATGTCGTGTGTGTATGGGGGGAAAGTGGAAGAGATAGACACGCATTGGGATGCCCTTAATGGATTACTACTTAGGAAATATGCATGGGAAAGGCGTTTTTGTCTTTTTTTTTTCGGTTTGGGTTTGTTCAATTGGCCTTTTCCTCTGGCTTGATGATGCTTTTGGTGATTATGCTTGTTACGTACTGTGATTTTGTTCTGATTCTTTTGCTTCTTCGCGTATGAATATCCTCATCCTCCCCAGTTGATGTCTTCCTTCCATCATGGTCCATGCTGTCCTACATCACATCCTACGTTCATGTCCCGCTTTCCAGTTATCATCCCATGCCGTGCTACACTTGCAACTATAAAATCATTGTCCCAGATAAACAAGCACTCTACCCACCCACAGCTACAAGCGACATATATCACCCAAAAAAAAAAAATTGACACTTGTTTCGGATTCACCATACAGCTATACCTAACCGTCCATCACCGCCGATCAGCCATGTATATGAACAAACGTACCATCCGTAGATCAAACTTAATTCCAAATCCCAGCCGTTGATCAGGAAATCACCGGGATCATCATGAATTGTTGTAGTGACAATCATTTATGCATATCAATACAAATGTTCAATGTAGTGAGTCCAAACTCGCAGATGCAGCGAAAGAAAAAAAAAACCAAAAAAGAAAAAAAAAAAGAGAAAAAAAAAGCGAAAAAGGAGAAAGAAAGGCGAGAAAAAAAGAACGGAAAAGAAAGAAAAGAAGAAGAAAGGGAATGAAAAGAAGAAGGAAGGGAATGAAAAGTAAATGCCGCGATACTTGGCGTGGTGTTGTGGAAGTCATCTACTTATCGGACTCTGATAAATCGAGCAAAAAAGTTGAAAACAATTGAGGTTCGTCCGTCTGTGTTGGTTGACTACCTACTGTACCTAGTATTCCTAGCGTGTTAGGTAGATAGGTCCCTCTAGGTAGATAGGGAGGGTCCTTTGCGTAGCTCGGTATCAACCTAGCTTACCTAGTACCTGACCTACTGAGCACCTGTAGTCTTCAAAGGCACTATGAATTTTCATCGATCGATTGCTTTTCCTTTTCTTTTGTAGTTGGGGGTTATATACATTTGTGCCACTGCATTGTTCCCTCTACCATTTTCTCCTACATAGCTACCGTATGTTCATAACACACACGCGAGACATCGATAGGTAGAGATACAGACCATTGACCTCGTCTATTCAAGCCAGCCTTGCATACCTAATTACAGTCCAGTACTGGTTTGTTTATTAGTTCAAGACCTCGTATCAACTTTCCCGTACGTTTTCATGGTTGACTAATCCTCACTCGTGTGATTTGGTGCTAGCAGGTCGTCTGTATATTCAGGTGATCAATCGGAGTTTTTGCTCTTTCCATCCTTATCTCTCCGGGCTAAATGGGAGGGAGGTCAGTCTCGACGCTGGACCAAGAGGTAGTCAAGGTGTCTGGGTTGCAGTACCCGACCGATATGTAGATTCCCGACCCAAAAAACTTGTTCGGTTATTGTATACCTGGTTCTCGTTCAATTAAAGTGTCGTCATGTTTGATCTGTTCTAAAATATCTTGAGGAAAGCCAGGGCCTCTCTCTATCTCCGTTAAGGTTATTCGTTGATTGATTACTCTGGATCCAAAAACAAGTGAAGTTCATGATCCAGACCGGACCCCATCTCCGTCGTCGTACGTTCCTTCCTCCCTGGGCATTTACCTACCTACCTAGGTACCTCTAGAAGTAGCCACCCTTGTCTCAGTATACCTGTATTACATGTCGGGTTGGCAGTGAGAAGCACCTTTTTTGCCCTTGATAGCTGTGGCTTTCGGTGATACAGGTACTTACTCATCTCTCATTCGGCTTACAGAACCCGCCATGACTTGGATCTCGCTTTATCTGCTTCACCATGTCCAGTCGTGTGTACTAAACTTAACTAAAAACGCGTTCCTCCCTCCCTTGGGGCCGCGATCTCCCTCATGGATCAACTTTCATACGAACCTGTTGGCGTCGGCATCAAACTACAGACGTTCGATCGAGTCCTTGCCTTTCTGCCCTCGCTCGGAATGGCTGCATTTCCACTACGCAAACCCGACTGAGCGTAACCCAATTTCACTCGCGCGAATATAGTCCTCTTCGTTCCTTCCGGGACGGACAGTGAGAGTCAAGTCAAATTCCGCCGAGACAAAAAAATCGAATGGGATGAGCGCGCTTTCCTCTTTACTGGTAGTCACCTCAGTCTTCCCCCAACTTTCGTCCAGTCCTTCCAGTCATTGCTCGATTTCAAGTCCCCGGGGCCACAGCACCTGTAGGTGTCAACGTAGGTGGTCAGAAAGCAGGCGGCGAGAGTTCTCAAAAGGAAGGAACTGCCTCTACCGGGCATCATAATCAAACCATCGATTCGTCAGGAAGGAATCGTAGCGCTCCTTCCCGAGACGTACCTGCCTCAGTAGGTTCAATGTACCGTACCTTCCTGGCTCCAGCATGATTGAGATTGGGGAGATACGTGAATCAGATCGTGACTCCAATTTAAATTGCTCCTTCCTCACTCACGCCGTGACGCTCACTCAATCTTTTCAAAGGACCGGGATTAGTCGGATGCTACCTACCTCTAATGATTGAACTGGGACTGGGAGCTGTCAAGTTCTTTCCCCTCCTGCGTTCTGAAATGGGAATTCCCGGAACCGTCGACCTCTAGGTACCTCTAGGTACTGCTGCAGGTTTGAAAGAAATAGAGCTGAGGCTCCATACTAAAAAAAAAAAAAAAAAAAAAAAGACATCAGATAGGGCAGGACGCCGCCAGTTCAGGTCCCCTTGAGCAGACGGGAGCAAGCACGCCAGTGGGTATAGGCATGGTTCAGGAAAGAGGAGCGACCGCGCATATCGTCAATGATTCAACAAAGTCCGTCATGTTTTCCGACGGACACGATCAGTTGCATTCAACCTCTCAAGACTCAAGAGCACAATCTGCATCCCACCGATGGATGTCCTTGGGTGACGGAGCCATAGAAAGTAGAAGTCTACTGCGTACTAAATTGCCGTGATTACCGTGCCACAGGGCACTGCAGGATTGACGACTCATGCTGTACGGTACGGGGACATGCGCTGCCGACATCGACGTGGCATGTTGACACCCGCAGTTAATTCGATAGGTGGCCAGGTTTCCATATCACAGTCTGCCCCCGTTCATCTCTCTTGACGCCCAAATGAAGTGTGTCCCGTGGTGCACCCAACATCCCTCCTCATCAAGTTTAGCACCTAGGTTAGCCTCGGACTGCGCCTCTGTTCAGCTGATCATCTACTGCCGCTCAATCAATATATTACGATAATCTCATCTCATGTCTCGTGACCTGTAGAGGTATGTGGGCTACAGATACCTAACATTTTTGACGAAGTGGTCGTTTCCCGGAATTATCTGCTTACTTGTATCGCCTCTTTCCACCGAGTCAGGCTTTCAATCCCGTCGCGGTCTCATAAGACAACTAGGAATACCATGGAGTGAGCTCAGTAATAGTTTGCCAAGGTACCGGTAATTCCATTGGGACATGAATGAAGACGGGACGTAAAACTATGGTATGCGAAGCTATTGTAGCTCAAGGAAAACAATAGTTGACTGTGAGACCTGTAGTTATGATGGTCAGTGAGCGCCGAATTCCCCAGTGGTCGACGGTAGCAAGTTAAGAAACGGCTGCGAGCCGCAAATACAGCTACCCGCTTGATTGACGTTGATGTCAATACAAAACTCGGTAAGTGGGAATACCATTCTGGTAATGACGCGAATGTTCGGTACTATCAAATCAGGTTTTTCCGGTTCATGTTTCACGAGGGTAGCATCAACCCCAGGTTTCCTATCATCTCAGATCTCCCCTTTATCAGTAAGTACTAGATGTGTGTGCCGAAGTTCTTCCGCGGGAAGGGGGGGTTGCGCTCTGATTACCAGTGATCCGAGTCGTGATTTGACACTCGAATTCTTTTGGTTTTTGGGTCCCTCGTGATATAGTATCAATCGTAATATGAGGTTGCTTTAATCCCTAAATCCTGATTTCTACCCACCATCACACACATCCCGCCGTCGGCGAGGGTGGAGGACCCTTGTGGCGTCAAGGGTTACAAGGCTCTGTCTGAGGACAAAAGATTGTGGCGCACTCCCCTTGATGGTGGGAGACATGGTTGTCGACAGGAAATGATACTGCTCGCTTGACCATCCAGTTGTGGTATCAGCTTACATCCTTGGCTGACTTGGTCACTTTGCCAGTTGACCGCAAGGCATGGTGATAACCTCAATCGCGACCTCGGTGTGATTATACTCGCAGCTCCCAAAACTTCCCGATGTTTTTGTGATATATCGTTTGGTTTTTTTCATGGTCTATTTTACCGGTTGTCGGTATTTGCCGCGATGCTTGACTGAAGTTCACCATTTGAAGTAACCGTTTTGTCGGGACATTGTGACCTTTTATTGCGATTGCGTTAGAGATAGCCGCACACAGATGAATGCTTCGGAATGGCAAAAGTCTGATATAGTATTCCTAGTAGGTCTCAGAATAAGAGATATCACAAGGCTATGGTATTTCAGTATATGTCAAGGCTGTAGAACACTGAGGCTAGCGTGACCGAAATCGACTTAAGTTCGAACTTATAGGGTTGACGGCGGCGACCTCAATTATCCAACGTCAGGCTTGAGGAGTATAGACATGTCTTGCAAGACATAAGATGGGGATAGGGCTGGACAAGGAGAGGATGTGAAACATGGCCGCTACCCGCTGTGATCGGTGAACTACGCACCGGATAGTATTGTCTATGGCGTGGAAGTAGTTATGAACGCCGTTAAACCGCTCAGTGCCCGAGCCACTCCCGCCAACGGCGTGCGTGGGTCTCGCGGCGCGATCCATTGATACCCGGTAGTTGCCCGGCAATATAAGGATAAACTGCGCGATAGCTACGTAGGTAGCCGCGCTCGTCCACGGCAAAATTGATGAGACCTTCGCTTCGCGGGCGATTAGCCAACTACTTGACAAACGCGGTTACAAAGACTGTGATAGGGCTCACGAGAACTCGAAGATACATCGGGTCAGGTCCCAGTGGGATATTCATATCCAGAAATTACCTAGAAATCAAGTTCAAAGGTGTGATAAGGGCGCTTGGATGCGTGGTAAGAGTATGACCGAGGCATAATGTTAAAGGTCTCGACCATTTTGTCCAGAACGAGCCGCGTACAGCAATAATACTGTGTTGTACACTACTCTGGCGGGGGTTGAACAGCGACTTCGCTGCAACCTATTCGGAAACCGGGACTCCTTGTGATACTCGAAAAGTCTTGGCCTATTTGGACGAGGGCTTGGATCTTGGCGATCTAGACGCCCAAGAAGGAAGAAATAGACGAACACGGATCCTGTGGAAAGAAGGGGCGTGTGTTGAACGAACCACATATTGGGATGCCGCTCAACAAGATGGACATTTTTCTAATTACCATCATGTTGGGGGGGGGGGTAATTTTATGTCATGCTCCGCCCCCAAGAGGCTATAGTACACTAGTACCGGTGGACTCGCGATAAGCCACAGTTTTTTCGGAAACGATCAGGGGTCTGACGAGCCGATCGCATCTTTCCCCTTGGTGAAGTAAAGGCAAAACGTGGTGTTCCACACCGGTGGTCAAGACGGGAGAGGAGCCAGGAAAGTGAGGGTGAAGGTGGGGGGAGGGGGAAGGGGACTTGCTGTGACTGAGGGTTTGTCTGGATTGACGACAGGAGATGAATAAACTCCATCCATGGTTCGGGAGTGAACATGTGACCGTGACGAAACAGACGTTGGATCAGACCATGGGAGACCGAGAGATGAGCATTAGGTAAAAAGAAGCGATCCCATTTGGCCTTCAGTTGTGTTGGTAAATAGTATTGACAGGTGTGGTGCATAGCACCATTGTGAAATTGATGGAAGACTGGAGGGCAAGACTCCATGTCATGACGGGTAGGAATTGGAGAGTGTTTTTCTGTTGCACGGCATCCATGGATGGAGCATGGGATTCCGAGAGCCAGGAAAGGAACGGAGCCAGGCTGATGATATGTGGTCTTGTTTCAAACCCAATCGATATCATGATGATTGAAACCCTGTGTGCTGGTGGAAAAAAAAAAAAAAAAAAAAAAGGAAAGAAAATCTGCCGAGGACGGAATGTCACTCATGGCACGACCCTCACATGAACCGAGAAGATCGGGGACTATATCAGATCAGGCGGGAATCTGCATCGAAGAAGCACACGCCATCCTTCGCCATTGAGATGCCGTCCAGTCCGTGGCGGGAGAGGGAGGGCGCCTCTCGGGAATGACGGACAGCGACATGGAGACAGCACTGCACTGCACTGCAGATTATGACAGCTCAACATTGACAGGCAAAACATGTGACTCGAGGAATGCAGATGAGGGGGGTCTGGAGGCAACAACGGAAGGGAAAGGGGAGCAAATGTCAAGGGGGCAGAAGGTGCGACCTGAGTGCAAGGAACGGTGGACCTCGGCGTATGTATAGGTAGTACTGTGATACGTTACACCGCTGTGCATTATTCAGGTTCTGCCCGATGTTGTACTGCATGTAATCATGCGATCTCCCCCATGACGCTTGACTGTGCCTCATTGCGGTGCTGCTTGCGGATAGCGGATTGCCCATCCCAATTGAGCAGTCCTTCCTATGCATGCCATTGTTCCGCGCTCCGTGACTGAAAAGGAGTACACCACGTAGCGAAAAGAAGGGACGGCATCCCGTCATACAAGAAAAAGAAAAAAAAAAAGAAAAAAAGAGAAGAAAAAGAAAAGGAAAAGAAGAGCAACAAAGTATGAATCTCTACCAAGGTAAGTACCCAGTCCTCACAGGGCTCGGTTTCGATTCTCGGTTCTCGGATCACAAAGGTGTCATTGACGGCTTGTGGCCGGGGCAGGGGGGCAAGGATGAGGTGATAGTACGGGGTATGCTATTGTCCAGGTTGTTGTTCCTTCTCCGAGATGAACTTGCTTCTTCTTCCATCAACAAGTCAGAGGACGGATCAGATTTCTTTGGCAGGCAACAACCGAGGCAAAGTTTTCTCCCTCCGTTGTGTCAAGATACCTCTAGGTACCCAAATCCAGATGTGTCGGTTCCTGTTGTCCATCCCCGAGGGTGCCTGCCCCGAACGGCTGTGGCTGCGGAAAGAAAAGTCCTTTCAGCCAATCATAGCACCGTAAGAAGGAGGGGCAGGCCGGGCAGCAGCGGGAAATTGTGGGGCGCAGAATTGAGATCATTGCCTGGCCAATCAACATCATTTTATCTTGCGCACTTCGTTCTCAGCAAATATTGCCCGTAGTTGAAGGAACCCTCCCTCCTGCGCTGCTGAAGACTGCCTGGAATCTCTGATGAGGAAACTCCCGTCACCTACCTTAGTTGTGCCCGTCGTCACTTGCCCCTGTCACGGGACTTGCCGGTTTCGGTGGCTTTCTCAATGCAGTAGTGTACGTAGTCACCAGTCCAGTTTGCGAATGAATCAAGGGCAGTTTAAGACTTCAAGGGCCTCGACCGTGCTGGACCGTGACACCAGCGAGGCCCGGACATCGACCGCCGCCCGCGCTCCCCCCCTTCTCCCACTTCCCGCTCCGCTGCCGTCCGAGTCCTCCGTCCCTTGTTGTCGGGATTTACACGGCTACACGGTTATAAGGAGGAGAGTCAGGAGTCTGGGGTAAGATGACAGCTACATACACTACGTAAGTACATGACACAAGTACCTCCCTCCAAGATGGCGGAGACATTTCAGGGAATCCGCTTGTCGACTAGTGACCATTGACTCCCCTCAGTACTATGTAGGTACTGTAGACCAGTTGCGCCGTCAGCAGGCTGGGACTCTCTCTTTACAATGGAGTCGTCGCGTCGCCTACCACGGAAATGACAAGACTGATAGCAGCAGAGATATCATCAGCAGCCAGACGGGATCCACCAGCAACAGGGAGACATCCTCGCCATAGTACCCGCTATATTCATCGACCGAAAGACCTTTCTCCGCGCCATTCCCAGGCACATAGCAACGTCGCAATCACGAAAAACTGCCAAGCTGGGCCGTACTGTACTGTACATTATGTACAGCCTTTCTCGACATCAGACCCTGATCCCCGCCCTCGTGCTGCTGCTGCTGCTGTCAGCAGAAGAAAAAGAAGCAGAACAAGACGTCGCCGAGGCACACACATACATGGACATATACAGAAACATGAACAAGCAGACATGGAGAGGGTGAGCGAATTTAATAATATCAGGAGGAGGCCATCAGACAACCGAGCCAGACCTCGTTCAACGGCCAGCTCGCAAATGGTGGCCTACGCCCAAATTAGGTAGCCTACCTATCCGCGGCTATCCAGCCGGCCATTACATGATACCTACCACGATACTGCACTCCTGGCACTAGGTATTCGACACCACACTAACATCGTCTCCGCCCAGGATTAGCATGACCTGAGCTAACATGTTCCATCTCCGTGGGATTGCATCAGGAACCAGCAATGGCGCCGGTCTTAGCGTCTTTCCATTCGGTGCCAGTCCCACAGCCCACTGGCACACTGGGGTCCTCCTAGCCACCCACACCTTTCCCCCCTTGGCCCCGTTATTGGCTGCCTGGCAGACCCGGAAAGGGCACCACAAGAAAAGTAGGTACTGTAGTGTACATAGTGTGGTGTATGACAAACCCGCGGCACCGTATCGTAACCGATGTCGAGACGGTCTGTTTTTGATGCCATGTACATTGATTGCACAATGGTCTGTCTGACTGACTGACTGAGAATCTGGCGGCTTTCTCTAGAAAACAAAAACACCAAGGGAGAATCCCGCTGGTGGAGGCCATTCTGATGGTCCATCCAACGAGGGAGCGCTACTGCACCGCATATTAGAGTGCTAAACATACGAAACATCCACCAATTGCCCTACCCACACTCAGACAAATCCAGAGCAATCCCGAACAGGGGGGCAGTCAATACAAGCTGGAAAATAGCCAAGCCAAGCGAAACGCTACCGTCGAACGCTACGCTGGACGGGGGACCACCACACTGGAGTACGACGGACTGGACCACACTGAGAAATCGGAAACCTCCTTCTTAAACCTCTGCCGGCTCCCCCTCCCGAAAAAAGGCCCCCATTGTCATTCGCTCTTTTTGCCTCTTGTGTCGCAAAGGCTTGCACAACAACAAAACAAACAACAACAACAACAACAACGACATTATCATTCTTATCCACAAGTGCAGCATCTGTCGTACAGTACCTGTCGAGAGCTGTCGTCACTGCCGAATACCCGCCCAGGACAAGGCAACCCCCCCCCGGCTCTGCCGCCTGCGCCCGTCCATGTCGGCTGCCCACTCATCAACCACAACAGCGACGCCCGCTTTGCTCTCATAGTGTGCAGTGTGTGACCGATTGGTGTGATGGAAGTACGAGTCGCAACCACACAGAGCACTTCTTCGTCGCCGCCGGGCGCCGGCAAGTATCCTCGCCGCGGAAGACGCGAAAAACCATGGCCGCCCTCCAAACAACGGAAGCTGTTGCGCCTCTATGTTTGCACACAAAGCGAGCGCCTGCCCCTGGTGCGCATTCTCGAAAGGCTAAAGGATGGCACCTTTGACCCAAGGTGCGATCACCTCTTTTCCGTAATATTGCAGTACTAGGTGTGACGGCGATCATCACCCAAGCCCCGGGATTACTGACTCGAGGATCGTCATGTTTCACAGGCAACGAAATTCTCACAAGCATCTCAAAAATCTATTACCAGACCGTCGCATCGATGACTGGCGACCGAGGGACCTGGCCTCGATGTTGGTCCGAGTGCGCTTCCTCAGATCAGTCAGGGCCGAGAGGAGGATGAGGAGGAAAAACCGAGATCACAGGGCACGCGGCGGCAATACGAACCAGCACCATGCCGCCGCCGACATAGAGTGGAGATCGCCGACGGGGTACCTGGGCAGTCGCATGGGAGTGGGTATGATGGACAGGGGGGCCATGGATACGGATATCATCATGAACTTGGACGGAAACCCTCTCCGCAATAATCAACACATCCGCCATCACCGAGGCCGTCACGATTCCGCCCAGTCGTCACCACAAGCCTTGCTATCCGAGTCGGCCACAGCAAGCCCCGAAACCTCGCACGCATCCCACGCGTCATGTCAGCTTCACCAGTCACCCATCAACTCCCCGGAGACTTCGCACACCTCTCATGGCGCCCCATCGCACCGAGAGAGGTCACCAGTGAGGTCGGAAAAGTCCATGTCAAGTTCGCTCAAGTCAGCATCGGAGTCCCTTAGGTCAGCATTCAAGAGGAGGTCATGGGCATCGGTGCTGTCGAGCATATCGTCGGGTATCTCCAGTCTTGCCCGTTCTTCGTCATCGGCATCTTCCAAGGGGGTTGGCCACAGCGAGAACGGTCCCACGGTTGCGCTCAGCAAGTTGAGTCGAGATGATTTTCTTTCTCTGCTGGAAGAGAACAAGCCATTGGCATCAGCAACCAAAGCAAAGGTTGCCAAGGCGCTGCAGAACCCCTTGTTCAAGAAGAAGTACTCTTCTGTTAACCCCAAGACGGAGGAATTGAACAATGCGTTGCTTGCCATGTGCTGCTCGGCTCATATTGAAACCAGCTCCCCTCCTTGTGTGCATGAGAGACTATCCAAGGCCATTGAAGCCCAGGACTCTGAAGGTCATGCCTTCCGCAAGTTTACCGTTACCGACGAGGAGGCCAATATGGCGGACAAGTATGGCAACATTCTTCTGCACGTCGCTGCCCGATGGGGCGCCCGTGTTTCCATTTTGTTGTTGCTTCTGCGACACACTGATGATATCCAGGCAGTTAACGTTCGTGGCGAGACTTTCCTCCATGTTTACGAACCCCCAAGTCACCCAAAGCTAAGGCCAGCTTCTTTCATCAACCTTGTGCGACATCTGCGATCACGGGGCTTCGACTTTTGCCAGCGAGACGTCGAGAAGCGGACATTTCTACAACACCTGGTCCCGAAGAAGACCTTCCCCATCGAGATCCTTCATTGTCTGTTCCGTGAAGTCGGCCACGGGACGGCCCGCTTTCTTGTTGCCAACAAGTGCTCGGCTGACGAACGACTGTGGCACTGCATCCGCAAGAACCTTTCGTATCAATCGCCCAAACTCCACCGCATCTTCGGCGACGAGCAGGAGTTTGTCCGGCGCTATCTCCCCGAATTCATGGGGGATTCCTCGTGCAACAACTCGACCCGCATTACCATGACCTCCGACTCGGACAGTTGGCGCGGCAGCTCAAGTCGCGGCAGCACCGCCAGCAGCTCCCAAAGCATCAAGCGAACGCCCGTCATGCGTCTCTTGTGCAAGATTGCTTCGGGTCGAGACTCGGATAAGCACGGGGGCGAGGCAAACCTGGACCAGCGTCTCGAGGCCCTCCTCGGCATCGGCCCCAAAACCACCAAGCAGGACATCGAAGCCTGGCTCAACGAGCGAGACACCGAAGGCAACTCGGCGCTGCATTATGCCGCTGAGTTTGGCATTGTGGCGGCTGTCAAGTTCATTACTTCGCATGGCGCTCAGGTGAACGTGATGAATAACTGCGGCAACACTCCCCTTCAGCTCATCAAGTACGCGATCCAAAGGACGGACGTCAGGACAGATGTGTACATGGAGGCACGATATTTACGCTGTGCGGTGCTTTTGTTGGAGAGAGGAGCATTCGATCAGAGCAAGCTTGTCAGCGAGCGAAGCGTTATCTACCCGTACGATGTGTTTGACGGAAGCGAGAGGTGCATTACCAATCTGGTGAAGCAGGGTGTGGCGTACGAGTGTCGTGGCCTGCATTTGCTATCCTCATCAATAGCACCGCATGGGCCAGCGATGTGGATGGATGAGAATGGACATATGCAGTTTGCGCAACACTCTTATGATGAGGAAGGAGGTAATGGGGAGGGAAGTGGACATGCGCATGGGCACGGACATGGAGGATACGGGATGCACGGGATGCCGATCGGTGCGGGCGGCATGCCGATGCATTTGGAGTTTCAGACTTCCTTTCTTGGTTGATCTTGGTTGGTGATCTCTTTATGGAGTTTTGGGTTGAAAGGGGGCAGGAAAGGACGATATGAGAAACGGAGAATGGCGCATAACACGGGGAATTGTTTGGATAAGGAAGCGATGGCGATGTAGGGGTGGAATATTTCCCTTCTTTTTCCCTTTGTCGGCTTCTTTCTCTTCTTTCCATCTTTTCTGAGATCGACTTGGATATTTCACGGCTATGGGGCCTCGCATCAGCAGGCGACAGGCGTTCAATGCTCTTTCACTATCACCAAGGGTCTTGTTGCATTTGAGAGCCATTGTAATCATCATCATCATCATCATCATCATCATCCCCTTCCATTTGTACATTTTCCGGGGCCCTCAATGTACTGCCTCTAGTCATCATGACTGTCTGTCTCTTAACCTACGGGACAGAAGTCGATGAAAAGCTCACGATGTCGACGAACAAAAAGTTATGTCTCTGACGTTTTAGAGCATCGGGATAGTTTTCCTCCCCCATTGATGCAATAAAAGTACATACATGCCGACGAATACCTGCCTACCTACTTTCTTACATGTCTATGTCCAACTGCCACCTTTGGCAATCTTCCTTTCGTTCCCCTTTCAGTAGCAAAACATCTGCAGGCATCACGTCCTGCAAGAGCCCTGCAGTTGTTTAGCGTCGGAGATCTTTAATTCCATTCTATTCACAAAATCACCCCCCAGAAGCTTCCGACACACTGTCTCCAAGACTGTTCAAGATGCAAGTCATCAAAATAGGAATGTCCCCCTTTGGTGCTTCTAGAGCATCTATCCAACCTGTCGGAAATGCGTTTGCATCCCTACACTACCTACCTATTCCAATTCTTGCTGGCGATGGCGCGCGCTTCCGCATGGTGTGCAATAGGTAGGTACCTTACCTACCTACGTACCTACCTACATATTCAGGGGTTTAAGATGTGATCAAACCAGCCATCTTTTGTGCGAAAAATTAGAGTTGTTGGTAGGTACTTGCAAATCATCGCGCTAACAACACAAAGTCCAATACCGGCAGTGGTGTAGTGTACATACACGTGTAAAGATGCTCGGGGTTCACTCCGTCAGCAGGGATCCCATTGGGCTGGTCAACTGTTTGGCTCAACTGGCTCAGCTGAATGGATTGGACCAAACCTTGTTTACTACTCTCTGGTTCTCATGTAGGGCTCAGGGGTAAAGGGCACTGGGTTCAGTGTACCTAGGGATTGGATTGGGCTTGGGCTTGTGTAACGTCATTAGAGTGTAGTCTAGAATAGGTAGTCAGTCCTTGGAGTAACCGTGACTAGGTAGTAACCCTCGCCCCCTTGTGAAAGAAAAGAGCCGCATCGACAAAGAGTATACCTAGGTATATATAAAGCACGAAATAAAAGGGGGATGGGGGGGGGATTACCATCCAAGCGAAGCCTGGGCCCAGCCTACCTAAGAAGACTTGGGGTGTTTGTTTTGTAGGCGAGGTCAAGGTCAAGGGGAAGTACCGACCTAGGCTGCGTTGTAGGTACAGACTGACATCTTACACAGTACACCGCTGGTGTGACGCCCACACCGTCACCGTAACCAATACCACACCGAGACCGTCACACCGTCACACCGATAGGTACCGACACCGATACCAAAAAATGGAGCTGGGAAATCTCCATCCGACTTCTAGACCTGTCTCACCATCCATGATCCATCACGGGAGTCACCTGCACGCAACGTATATGTCGCAACAGGGGAAAGCTATAACGGAAACCAAGCGAGGTACATGTTAGGTATCAACGGCCTATACCTACCTACCTACCTAGAGGTACCTAGTCAAGAGGACAACCCTGAATGGCACACTTTTTGTTTGATGTACATCTAAAAAATCTACATGTATAATATATGTGTTCGGACTTGAGCCCGAGCAGAGCAGAGCACTTGGGGAGGTATTCACTTGTACCTACCTACGTAGGTAGGGGTCTTACCGGAAGGACAAACGTTGGTACCTACAGGTACCTAGGTACACTTTATGATTGTTCCCAAAATGTCAAATTTCAGTAAATACCTCTAGGTAGGTATCTACCTAGGTAGGCAGGCAGGACAGAGAGTACCTAGGTAGGTGGTCTCGCTGGTTCCACCAGAACTGGTTCCCGTGGTTACATGTACCTCTATGCTCGGGCGCGCATCGATCTCAAAAGCATGCACGGGCACATCAACATGGATTAGATCATTTGCACTTTCAATGCGATACATACACAGCCTCACATGTAAACATATAGGTATGCTACCTACCTAGACAAAGTGATTTCCTGGCGGCCTGAAACGAAGTGCAGCAGCTTGAGTACCTAGGTATCATGTTGAATGGCCATTTTATATGACCGTTTATCGTGCCGTCCCGGCGGGATACACGACTCCGCATGGCAGGATAAAGCATGGTAGAAAACACGGCAGAAGAAAGTTCCAGACTCGGCTGCTGATCTTCGGCGCGGTAGGTATTTAGCCTCTTGTCTTATATCGTCAGATCCCACGCGCTTCTAATATCTCCGGCATTGAGCTAAATGCCTGTCCAGACGTATAAAGACAACGTTCAAAGTAGGTGATTTGTCAATATTGCGTTGTGCAGTGGAGAGGCAGAATGGGGATAGAGGTAAGGATGTGGTGTATGTGAGTGGGGCGCAGTGGAATTATACTGTCAGGGTTTGAAGGGAGGTGAGGTTATACGGACATACATGGGTTACTGACTGTATTGTTTGTGATTGTAGGTGTAGAGAAAGAGAGACGGCTAGTCTGGAGGGCTGAGATAGGGCACGAGAGGGAAAGAGCCAGGACTCGGAAAGATGTTGGCGTTGATGGTGGTGGTGGGGTGTTGAGTCGATGCTGGGATGTTGAGATGTTGACGTGGCGACGCTGGTCATGGTGTTTTGGTCAAATTTGTGTGCTTTCTCGGCGTCCCGTGGAAGGAAAAAGCCCAGCACTGTAAACCACAGGGGAAGTACTGTGCAGCATGCATGTAGCCACTGCGACTTTATCGCTGAAATCACTTTGGATGCTTGTTGTTTCCTCGTGAAATGAGGGGTATCCTGCTGTCGATTGGACCTGCGTTCATTTGCTTTGGGAGGCCTGGTGCCTTCCCAGAGTCCCTCCTTGAAATGTACTTGTCCTAAATAGCGCTTTCCCGCGAACCTCGCTTCCTTGTGTAAAGCAGCCACCAATCCATGGATGCCCTCTGCGATTCTCCCTTCGTTCTCTTTTTCCTTCATTTCTTTTCCACTAGATTTCGCTCGACCCACGTCAGTTCGATCTCCGCGTAACACTCGCTTCCTCCCGCTCGTTCCAAGTAACGGTTGTCAGCTAGGTCAGCATTCTCGGAAATCGAAGGACTTCGAGCTTTCAGTGACTGGAAAGACAGAAGTGTCCCCCATCTCATCGGCATTTGTGAAAGGTATTGAATGAAATAACTTTTCCTAACCCCTCCTGCGCTGTTGCACAAATCTGGCCAAACCTTCATTGCACCAGGCGCCGCATATCGTCTCTCCAAAGAAATGCTGGGCCCCTTGCTGACAGATTTCTTGGAATGCAGTTGTTCCTCAAGTGATCTCACACCTTCCTCGAACTTGGATCTTTTACACTAAACACATCCACGAGCTTCAAGATTGCATCGATTCCGTCTGACCTTATGCCAACCGATGAGCGTGAAAAGATCGGAAGACCCTACTTGTGTGACACACCCGGATGTTGTGAAAAATCGGAGCTCATCAACATCAAGGAAGAGCAATTTGCAGCCTCGTGGAAGTCCTTCAACGCTTACCCCCGACTTGGCTACACTATCACAACCAAGGTGTCTCTGGTTATCTGGCAACTCTCAAACTTCCCTGGTCTGGTCGACAACATAAACAGTGCGCATGTTTGATACCAGATGTATTCTCATTTCAGAAGAGAGAGATGATTTGATCCTTTGTAGCGATTGGCCGTCTCTAACGAGAGTCCAATTTCACCCGTGGGCGTGGCATCGGCATTGAACCACCTGAGGGCTTTCAACCAAGACTCATATCCACCGCTGTATTATCCAATTGTCATTTTGGCCCATGAAAGCCGGATAAGCATTGCTCTTATCAACGGACAAGTACCTAGTTTATTCGCGAGCAAGGATACGCAGGAGTTTGAGCAAGAGGAGGGACAAAAACAGATTGACGTCGAGTGTCACTACCTGCCTGCTCAAAGTTTTCGAAGGGCGCATGTCGAAACACCACTTCGTGATATACTGAATACTCGCCATTCCACTCACCGCTGCGACCTTCATTCTCTGGACAGAAGTCATGTACAGAGACAAGCCAACCTCAGCGCTTTGTGGGCGTTTCGAACTACCACAACATAAACCACGAACAAGTCGACACAGCACGAGTTCATGACAGCGACGTTGAACTGTCGAGATATTACAAAGATGACACCCATTTTCATTACCTGCATACCTAGCCCTTTCCGTGGAAGCCACATCAAACCCGTCCATTCTCCAGCCCTAGAACAAGAGCTTAACTTGCCGCACCGTCCCCAATGTCCTCATGCACCCTATTTTGACTTCGCGCCCCCCTTTTTCCCTATATGCCAACCGATGATAGTTGATATGTAAAGTCCCGCGTTTTGTATGGTAAAACCTACTTTTAAAACGTTATGTAATATCTATTTATATGTCGATGAAACTTTGACGATTTTAGAATACAATTCTTTCCCGTACAATCAAAGGTATATTTCTATTTCTTTACAATTATAAATCCCTAACCCGACTACATTTATACCCCCCCAAATCGATTACTTAATTAATAAGAAGATGTTTATACTTTATAATCCATTGTATTTAATTCTTTCTATACCCTCCTACGTTGGTGTATTGAAATGTTTAGAATTATTGAAAATATGGGAATTTGTACGTGAAAACGACTTGTATTTATAACAGCTGACATAGGGTGCGCGAAGTCAAAAAGGGTGCATGAGGACATTGGGGACGGTGCGGCAAGTTAAGCTCTATAACAAATGATCCCCCTGTGCGGCTATGTGCCAGACTTCTACGCCACATGCAACGCCAACGCCAAAATGCCAACACCTTACTCCATGCCCTTGAACGAAGATGATACGCCGAGAAAAGAGATGCCGAACAGAGATGCTGAAAAGACGAAGGCTAAGTCGAGATGACTGTTGTCGGTAAAGAAAAGCGGCTTGTTAGTGCTAAGGACCGCTGAGTCCATGTCGTGAGAGAAAGTTCGTTGCTGGTGACGGGAAAAAGACGCAGTGGAAAAAAGGACATGCTGAACGCCAATAGATGCTGGTTGAATGCTGAAGCCGTAACGAAATGAAACCTGGACTCCTGGCGCAAAGGGAAAGTAAAAAAAGACGAAGCGACGAATGATGCCCGCCGGAAGACTACTTCGAGCCTGGTGATGCTGTCCGTAGAGGTACCGCTGGGTATGGGCTGTGTCTGCCGGAAGAAGAAGAGACGACGAGAAGTGACCTGACTAGGGCCAATGACAAGCAGAAGACAGGACTGGAGGCCGACTTTGGCCGGCTAAGTCACAGTCCAGAACTCCGAAGCCACGTGCCCCTTGCCAGGGTCGACGTGCTTCCTCTCCACGGACGGGTTGTTCATGATCCTAAGCCCCCGCGGGGCCTTGGAGTCGAAGGCCACATAGATGTGGCCTTGAACGATGAGGTTTTCCTCATCGTAACCCATATAAACCGTGAAGTGCCAGTCAGCAATGGCAACATCATTCTTTGTATACCCGGTGCGTGAATCCTGGTAGGTAAGCACGGTTCCGTCAAGGGCGTGCCGGTTCTTCTTATTATGCAATCCAGTACGGATCACAACAGCATTCAGGTCCAAACGCGCAGCCTCAGCTCGACAAATGGCCTCTGTCGCTAACATCAAATCCTTCTTCCCGTCATAGTTTGGGTTCTCGCCCCAAACTTCCAGCCAATGGACCGAAATCTCTGGGTAATCTGGAGAGCCGAAGCTCTCGTCCTGAAATTCTGGGACTTCGACTGGTTTATGCCTGTTGCGCCAAGATCGCTCGTAAATTGTTTTGACGTTAACTCCTTTTTCGGGATAATAACCCATTTCCGGGTCCCAGGGCTGTGGCTGGTATCTTCCTCTACGCTGAGATGGTAGAGGTAGAGGTATCTTCGATTGGTCTGTGGTTTGACTTGAGGTGAAGTATATAGGGAGGTCGTGCTTCTGGTATCTCTCGTAGCTTCGTCTGGCTGTGAACCAGATCTGGGTTGCCGTCATGGTGCTCAAGGCATCGTTCTGGTTTCTCTTGTTGTGGACTCGGTCCCCTTCACTCTGTTGAGCGAATCGTCTCCGTAAACTGGGTTGTTGCCCCAGTGCTCCAACCAGTAAATGGATATGTCAGGATGATCTGGAGAGCCATGGCTTTCGTCGGCCAATCCTTCGAATACCATAGGCTTGTCCCTCCGACGGCTAGGTCTCTCGTAGTAGGTAGCTCCATGTTTGAAGACCTCTAGGTGTTGGAAAGTGCTGTGAAGTGTACCTCTATATAGGTATATACGATAGTTGTACGTTGTGCATTTGCCTTAGTTGATAATCAAACCTCCCGCTCATCACGTTTCTAGTTTAGCCATTTCACTCATCATGTAACAAATAAAGCTATAAAGCAAGGACAAATGAAGAGGTAAAAAATATCAAACTTTCATAACGCTGTTGAACTCCATACATGCTCGAAAAACCGCCAAATAAAAGCCAAGTGACTTTAACTGTCCCGCCGCTCGTGCCATCCGCAAGACGCTGCCCGGGCACCAGCTGGATTCACCGGAACCAACGCCCCAACTCCTCGGTAGTACCTCTGCTCTGACCCATGACTTTATGCGCTGTAGTAGACCGAACGAGAACTAAATTTCGAAAGAGGAAGTTGCCGAAAGAAAAAGGTGGTACCGAGAGAAGGATGCGGCAGAAGAGGAAGATGCCTGGCCGAAAAGAAGAAAAGTCGCAAAAGGATAACATCGAGAATTGGTGAAGACGTGGAGTCGAATCCCGGAAACAGATGACTGGAATGGAAGCCGAAGACTATTCGGCTAGACTGAAGTCGAAAAAGGACAACGGTACCACTGGGTATAGAGCGGAATGGCGACGGGGAAGTAGACAGGCGTTAAAAAGAGAAACAGACCATAAAGACGTTGGTGGCACCAATTGCCCGTGCAAAGCGAGGGACCGTAGGAGGATGGCATGTGAGTAAGTGTCGTCTGGTCAAAGATACCAGTACTCAGACGCGACAGGCTGACGCCAGGGCTGCACGATCTTCCTGTCGGAAGCGTCCTTTACAATGCGCATATCGTAGGGTGCCTTGCGATCCCACACGATGTAAACATGGCCCTGGACGACCAAGTTGTCGAGATCGTACCCCATATAAACTGTTATATGCGGGTCGTCCTCCGCTGTCAAGTTCCGCTTCTTCCCGGTCCTGGGATCGATATAAGTCAGAAGGGTTCCGTCTGCCGCGTATTGATTAGTCTCGTTATGCACCCCAGAGCGAATGACCACGGCATCAAAGCCTAGACGGTTGGCCTCCTCACGGAGGATCTTTTCGGTGCCGTCCCGCCGGTTCAGCGTCAAATCCCCGCCGCACTTGCCGGCCCAGTTTTCGGCCCAGTGGATGGTGATGTTTGGGAAATCAGCAGAAGGGGGGCTCTCCCACTGAAACTCCATCTCTTCCTCTTCAGCTTTGCCCCTCTTGCGTTGAAGGCGCTGGAAAAGCTTCTCAACGGTGGTACCCCTTCTGGGGTAACCCTGTTCGGGGGTCCATACTCTTGTGGTCGGAATCTCGAAACCAGGCATCTTGTTGGTGATTGGGGAGGTGGTTTTGTCTGTCTTCTTGTTAGTGTTGTGCGCGCGGAAGATGAATCAAGTACGAAAGTAGGTAGATCTACCTTTGTTGAATGGAGTTGGGTTTTTTAGGTTGACTGGAGACGTGGAGACTATAGAAGTCGAAATCGTTTGTTGAAGGGGTTGGCGTAGCTGTGATGATGGAGGTAGACAGGTAGTTGATTTGTCAAGGTGGATGATGTAGTCGAGGTAGTTGATGTAGTCGAGATGGTTGATGTTGTTGAGGTGGTTGTTGTAGTCGAGGTGTAGGACGTTGGTCGAGTTGTCGAAGATCGAAATGTCGATGGGCAGGAAAGAAAGCCGTGGGATAATTCGGGAGGTAGGGGTGCGGCTCTTATAGGGATGCAAAAAAGAATTCCTGGGCGACTGAGAGACAGCAGTGAATGTAAACCGCAAGGTCAGGAGATGAACCTGACCTCGAGTGTGCAATGGAATGACCCTCGCAGACCTGGATTACATCCACGGCGTGTCAAACGGGCCAAACCTTGACCCAACTTCCCGCCTGCCGGCCCTTTTAGGCCAAAATCCTGGCGTTCCCAAGGTTGTGATGCTGGCCGGCCAGCATGGTGTTGAGTGAATGGCGGAACATCGAAGCCAAACTAATACCAGCACAAGGTTTCTGCGGGGCCTTATAATCCACCAAAATCCAAACCAGAAACTGTGATGGAGACGACTGGTAGTCCAGGTTTACCTGTACGTTGAGATTAGGACTGTCCGGTGAAGGGAACCGTCCCGTGTCAATTAGTGTGTTGAGATGTACGATCCCGTCTTCACGATCATCAAAATCGCATTTGGTGCCGGCAGAATGATTACCTCTAGAAAGGAGTAGCATGTGGTTGCTAACATGTAGAGGTAATATGTGCTCGCTCTCTAAGGTGGTTCACAATGAAGCCACTGTCGGCGATGCTAAAAAGTGCGATCTATAATTGCAAATAAAATGCGAATCGTGTTAGTAAAAGCCTGTAGCGAGTCCGGACATATTTGTTGGTTGGTTGTCTGTGGCTGAAGTAGGATGGGGATGGTTGGAGGGGGGAATGGACAAGCTTCCTGCCCCTGGCCAGCTGGCCTGCGTGAGTCGTCTGCATCAATGATAGGCGGGCTCGATGGCGATAACACCGTTATGATGCCATGATTAGGTACTCTGTCTAATATGTTCCAGCAAAGATTGGAATTGATTTTGAGGATTTAGCAGCGGCAGTAATCTCTATAGAGATTGTCAGCGCTTCCACAATGTGGTGATGTTTGTTTATCCAGGTGAGTTGCGTGGCAAACCGGAAGAACAGGGGGAGCAGAGTTGGGTAGTATCACAAGTATTCTCTGAGAACCACACCAGATAATTCAACGCTACCATGAAGCTCGTTGAAATAATGACAGCGCAAAGATATTGAACCAATTATCGAGCAGTCTTGAAGCCTTTTCGTTTGCTTCTACGACCCTGTGGGCGAAGAGGTTCGCGAGTGTCTTGCACTACAGTACTTCCACATCTATCGGCGTTTTCAGCATCTCGCATCCAGCCATTTCACTGAGCAGGCCTGCCTAGATACCTCTAAGCAACCTCAACGCAATGCACTTGTATCGCAACAGAAGAAAAAATCACAACCAAGAACGTACTCATCTGGATGCATAGAGGTACTCTGATGGAATTGACAACAGGGGTAAAGCAAGTGAATAATGCTACAAGTGCTCCAATCTTGAGTGACAAGAAATCAAGTATTCGGCGCCAGGACCATCAGCTGGTCCAAGCCAAAACCCATGTAAACTGTAATATGCGGATCATCGTCCGCAACAACATTGGTGTAAGTGCCTGTCCTCGCATTGTACTCAGTTAAGACGGTGCCATCTTCGGCGTATTGGTTGGTCTTAGCGTGAACGCCCGACCGAATGATAACGCATTTGAAACCAATGCGCTCCGCCTCCTCGCGGCAGATCTTTTCGACGCCCTTGACCGTGTTGAGAGAGATTGACTTGCCCTGCCAATTCCAGATCCAGTGAGTTGAGGGAACTGGATACTCATCGGTTCCCATGACCTGCTCTCGGTGGATGGCTGTCGGTTCTGCGTGTTTGGGTAATTTCCTATCCAGCCTCTCGGTCAAGCGCTCAAATGTGATAGACCGCGCTGGCCAGTCGTCCTCCTCCGGGTTCCACTTCCTGTTATAACCCGGCATGTTGGCTGTTCAGTCGAAGTCGTCAGTGGATGCTGTTTCAAGAGGAGAGTAGAGTCCAGAAGGTCTACCATACCTAGTAGGTGTGCAAGAAATGATCCGAATTGATGCAGTCGGTAATGGATAGCAATCTCAGTACCAAGTGGGAGGGAATGTTGCGATACTTTGAAAGGGGGTAGCAAGGTGAGCGATCTGTATGTTGGGTTGATCGAGAATTCCGATGGAGGGAAAACAAAATCGGTTTGGGGAATTTTAGGTCTGTGAGCTTTATAAAGCATGGAAACGGAAATACAGGCTCAGCAAGGTTGAAATGTTCTGGTGAATGCCATCCTTTCGACCAGCGACAGAGCCTCAGCCTCAACCTGAGCGACCGAGAAATTGCACTGAAGGTGATCTTGAAGACAAACCATTCATGACAGAACCTGAATGTCCACTGCTGAAGAGCGAAACCTTGACCCAACAAGTTCTGCAGGGGAATATGGGCCCAGGTCTATCCGCCAGCCACTGAATTGTGAGTTGCCGGCCATTGTGGTGCTGAGTCTCGGCAGGAATAGCAGGGCCATCGTGACAGAGGTATACCTCTAAAATTTCCTGTACGAGATGTCAAGCTTGATGTTGAGTTCGTGATTTTCAAGATGGCATTTAAAGCCAGTTGACTCCTATATATAAGACTACGGTAGTTACCTCTACCTCTAGGTATAGGCACGTGGATGGCAACACATACCTCTAGGTACCGTGTACCTCTAGCCGCGGCCTCAGCCACAATCTGCATTCTGTGTACAAATGGGTATGTTAGCTTGTGAATGGCAATGGCAAACGGAGTGACATAGTCAGGTTTACCTGTGAAGGTTTGGTTGATGGCGGGCCTGCATTCGTGATGGCAATTGGAAGTGAAGGGCTTGTTCCAAACCGCTTGTGTGTTGAACTGTTCGTCTCCCACCATTTCAGGGGCACTGTTCACCAAACCCGCCGCAAACCTGGATTTTTTGCCTGCCACTTGACATTCGATCCACTGCCGCATCATCCTTTGTCTTCGTTTAAGTTGACATCCCTTGCCTCTTCCATTTGCTCCAAAATCTTCCTCTTCCACCTCAACGCAGGACCATCAATCATCGGCGCACAAACCCATCCCCTCCATCGGATTTCCACTTTCTCGCAAACCACAACCAAAAGAAACTTGAACAAGCGCAACTACAACACGAAAAGAAAACCTCCAGCTTGCCGACAATTGCATCCACAAGCAACAAAGAAAAAAGAAACTTCCAACACCCCAAGCTCGTCGGCACGACAATGTCTACCACGAGCGCCGCGCCCCCCGAGCAGCCCGCGGAGAAGCTCACCACCAACATGAAACCCCAAGAAGTCGCCAACAAATCGCCCCTCCCCGAGAGCGCCAGCAAGTCATCTACAGCCTCCAGCGCCGCCTTGTCCGATGTGCCCAACAAATACGAGCTCGACCCATGGCCCAAATCTGCCGTCGAGAACCCCAACGAATACCGCCCCGGCGGCTACCACCCAATCCTCCTCGGCGATCATCTCGGCCCGCCCAGCAACCCTTCCCGCTTCCGCGTCTTCCACAAGCTTGGCTATGGCGGCTTCGGCACTGTCTGGTTGTGTCAGGACATGGACGAGATGCGCAACAACAAGAAGTGGAAATGGCGCGTCGTCAAAGTCATGTCGGCAAAGGCGTCGAACTTGAAGGGAGGAAACGCGGATCTCAAGGTCATGGAAATGTTCGAGGGAGTGGATAGAGAGTTACTGAAGGAGAAGGGCGTGTCGATTCCCATGGAGAGTTTTTGGATCAAGGGTCCCAACGGAAGACATTTGTGCTTGATGATGGAGTGGTTGGGCCCGGAAACGACGGGGCTGGCCAGGTGCATCGGGCACTGCGAGGGGATGATGAAGGATATTTGCTTTCAGCTGTTGGAGGCGATGGAGTTCATTCATTCTAGGGGCCTCTGCCATGGAGACTTCCGGCCGCAGAACATATTGCTGAGGTTGAAGAATGGTGTTGATGAGTGGTCGGAGGAGCAACTGCTGGAGATCCTGGGTGAGCCCGAGCGTGGTACGGTGGTCGAGGATGATGATCCGTGGGACTATTCAAAGGGGATGCCGCCCCCATTGCTTATGAAGGAACCAGAAGAGATGCAACCTGTCAAAGGTAATCCGAGCGTGCCTGAATACCTGGTAGGCTGCGGCGACATTGCTTACGGCTCTGGCTTGGTGTCGACAAAGATCGCCGTGGTCGACTTCGGCGTCGCTTATCCCTCTTCCGACCACCCGGCTCGGGGCACATCCGGAATCGCGGGTCCATATGCCTCTCCCGAAGATCTGACAAGCCTGCGCGAGCTGATCGGAATCAAAGCCGACATCTGGTCCTTGGCCGCAACCATGTTCGAAATTCGCTTCGGCTTCAAACCCTTCGCCGGGAACAACAACGCCCCCAGCGCCATTCACCCCATGGAGCAGGTCATGGGCCCCGTGCCGCCTCCCTTCCGGGCTACAGTTCGAGAATGGTACAAGCTTCCCGCTGAAACAGAAGAAGAGTTGCAGGGCAAGAGCAACGCAGAGCTGTCGTACATCAAAGCCAACAGGGAAGATATGGAAAAGGACAAGAAGACTTACATGGAAGAGCGGGGCGCAGGCGCAAAAAACTATTTGCTCTTCTGCATCTTGTATCCCCGCAGCATGCGCATCAGCCCCGCGCAGGCAGAGGACATGGCTAAGCAGGCCAAGAGCAACCCGGCACAGCTGCCCTTGTGGACTCCGATCCCACGCAACCCCGACAGACGCGCCTTCTACACCCGAAAGGACTATCTCAAATACATGGTTCCCGAGGAGGAAGTCGAGGTGTTCTATGATCTCCTCATGTCCGTCTTCAAGTGGCAACCAGAGGATAGAGCGACCATTGAGCAGATCATGGAGCACCCCTGGTTTGAGGGCCGCAAGGAGCGCAGAGATGCTGTCGTCAAACCCAACCTCACCACGTCGGAACTCGACATTGTCGGTTCTATCTCTACCAAGTTGGGACAAGCCAAGGCGAACATCAGCAACTGGTTCAACATTCTTTTCTGCAACAAAGAGAAGAAAAAAACAATGGGTTCGAACATCCTCTCGCGCTATCTTTGGCAGCCCACTTTCAAGACCTTCGGCAAGATCTCTGGGGTTCCCACTGCCATCTTTTGGCTTCTCATGATTGTTCCGGCGGCGTGGGTTATCAAGAGAAAGATCGATCGGGGTCGCAATGTCTTCTCTCCCAGCAGCGTCAGGGGTCTTCGGCATTGAGGGAGGGACGGGGAAGTCGTCACTATTGGAAGTCATATGCCTGGATACTGAAAGGGAAGGAGCTGGACGGGAAGAAGGATTAAGGGGAGGGAAACGGAGGAGCAGGTTCACGAGATTGACATTGGATGTGAATCATGTAGTGCGGGTTATAGACAAAAGGGACATGGGAAATGATTGAATCACCTATTCTCACGACAGGTGACTCTAGGTAGAAATCCCAAGTAAATGGCAAAGATATGACCAGACAAAGTGGTGATAGTGCAAGTACCCGCGTGAACTCGAACCCGCTCCGTGATTGCTAGTGCCCATCATCTTTTTGCATCAAAAACAACTCCTCATGTCACCTGAATGTCCATTGAGTACAAGAAGGCGTTGCGCACCTAAGGCATAACAGACGCGATGTAGCTCAATCATCAAATGTCCATCATCGAGTGTCGCACACCCAGCAAGTTTCAATCGTCATGTCCGCCATCACACAAATCCAATCCCTGCGAACAGAGCACCACCAGAAACATCACTAGACGCACAGTTCCATGGGCCAACATGTTCACTCTTTTTTCTAGGGATGGAAATCGGGCGACGGGCAACCATTGATATATTCACCACCTCTCCGCTACATTCACAATACACGGCGAGCGTTTCATTCTTATTCCTATGTAAGGTAGGTACAGGTATCTACCTCAATGATCACCTCGCTACCACACTTGTCCATCCAATTGAGTTCTCCGCGGCCTCCGCCCGAAAGAACGATTGATTGTCAGATCCCCACCACACTTTCCGGCCCAGTTCTCGGCCCAGTGGATGCCGATATGGGGAAATCCGCAGAAGGGGTGGCCTCCCACTGGAACTCCATCTCCAGCTCTTCGGCTTTACCCCTCTTGCGTTGCAGGCGTTCAAAGAGCTTCTCGACGGTGATATCTCCTTTGAGGTACCCAGGGACAGGGACATGCTGGGGCGTCTTGACTCTGGTACTCTGGTGGTCGGGATTTCAAAGCCTGACATTGTGGTGATTAGTGCCTGCCGTTTTGGGTTGTGATAGCGGTTGGGATTATTCATCAGTGGCTGTGGATGTTATGCCAATTGATGCACCTGAGAAATGTAGGTGGGCGATGAAGTTCATGATCGGAAGATAGAGGTAGATACGTAGGTATATATATATTCGACAGAAGTAAGAACAGCAAGCACAAAGGCAGCCATGGGAGGCAAGTAAAGTGAGGTGTCCGACGGCACTGCCACTAGATGTAACGGTCATGTAGTTCGAGCCGACCTCCCCGGCCCTAACTCTCGAGGCCAACGATCCGCTTCTGAAGGGGAGTATGTGTTTTACGAGACGCATCAAAATGTTGAACATGGCCTTGTGGTCCCACACAATATAGATGTGGCCTTGGACCACCAACTGATCCAAGCCGAAACCTATATAGATTGTAATATATGGGGATCGTCGTCCGTAACCACATTCTGATAACAGCCGCTCTTTGCGTTAAATTCGGTGAGGACGGTTCCGTCCTCGTTATATTAGTTTATTTTTGTATAAATACCCGATCGGATAATCACACATGTAAAGCCAATGTCTTTGGCCTCTTCCCTACACAGCTTCTCTACGGCCTGTACATGAAGCTGGAGCTCGTTGATGCTGCGGCCCGTAACGGCTGTGACTGGATGTGCCAATCAGCTTTCCGTTACCTTGAGGTTTTCTTTACTCGTCCGGAGCGATGTGTGTGGCACGGCCCGGCAGGTATCTTGGGCAAAGGTGAGTAGGAGAATAGATGGTATCGAGGTGTACCTCACCCGAGATCTTGTTGGGGGGAGCAGACGGCTTTGTATCGAGTTGGGTGTAGGTATATATAGTCCTGGAGGAATACTATGCAGGGCACGACAGTTGAAATACCTTTTTCTCCTTGACTATGCGTGAAGAAGGAGAATGATTTTTCCTGGTGATGTATGGTGATGGTGGTGATGATGGAACGGTAGTTGCCGCGTCGTAGGAGCGATAATCATCCTCCCCCTTGGCCCTTGGCTGACATATTTCCTTTGACTGAGGGGGTCAGTCATCTTCTTGAGATTACCGAACAGTACGGGGTCCCAGACCACATAGGTGTGGCCTTGTAGCAAGAGCTGGCTCTTACTGACTCTCATATAGACCGTAAAATGGGAGTCCGGCTTTTACTAGGCATTCCTTCACTGCCCACTTTCAGCATCGTATACCGTGACGGTCCTGCCGTTCTTGTACACAATTCGAGTCTCATGGGCAAGCTGTCTGATGACGACGCAAGTCAGCTTCAGGCGGTCCGCTTCCTCGCGGCAAATCTCTTCCGTAATGGCGATCGGGATGTCGTTATTGACATATCGCCGATCCTTGGTCTGGTTGGGATCGACGATCCAGGAATTCCGGATCTTTCTCTTGGGTACGATACTATTCATGTATCTGTACTTCCACCTCTCTGTACCCTGATCATTGGTAGTGGATTGAGGGTTCTGGATACTCTTCAGTTCCTATATCTGATGTCCTGTGGATGGCCACATGAGGTCGGTTGCTTGTCTGGGCGGTGCTCCAGTCTGTTCTTCTATTGTGTGAAGGTAATGGCCCTTATCGACCACCCATGTGTATCTGGGTTCTATCTTCGGTTGAGGTTAGACATGTTGGCTGTCGGCAAAGAGCTCGTTAGTGAATAATATTCTAAAAGGGAAGTGAAAATACCTCGGGGCGTTACCTAAGGTACCAAGGAGAAGCTCGATCATGTCGAAATATCGTGGGTGATGGCGATGACATGGAATGCTGTGTATGAGGGAAATAAAAAAAAATAGTTCCCGCCGGCCTGGATGTTGGGCTCGGTAAACTGGGAAAACGGAGCTCTAGCTCGTTGGAAAGCTTGGCTGGTATGTTTCTGGATATGTTGTTGATTACTTCATTGGTTGTATATAAAGACTTCTGAATCTGCCCCAGTGCATCCCACGTCACATCGCCTTTGCACTCATTGTCAATCGGAATAAGTTTACCTTAGATTAGTGGCGGGTGAATTATGACCTGGGCGTTTGAGGACAACTGGAAGGGTGCTGAAAGCCGAGATCATTTGTATATAAAGTTGAAGGAAGACATCACAGCGCTTGGTGGCATGACATTGGAGGAAGGATGCCAGGCTTTGATGGGCAAGAGATGGGAGGGGTTATCCAAATATATAATCCTGATGAGAAACCAGCAATAGAAAACAATCAGATAATCGGTTCACGGTGGACAAATGGCATTTTGAGAACTTTCAGCTTGATTTGATGCCTCTTTACCATCTCTTTGCTCCTTCGCTTTCATTGTGGCTTCTTGCCCAAACGGAGCGCAAAGAGATGTCTAAAACCCTTTGCTGTGCTGTTGCGGTGTGCCAACGTGTAGAAGGTACGGTAGTAGTTGCACTGATGTCTGAGATAAGCCCGTTGATAACTTGTCAACGATCTCCTGATATGCCGATGTTGGACCCTAGCCATCTTTCTCCCTTTTGATGCCCCTTCAAGCCCCCAGTTTGACAAGCCTTTGTGAGCAAGTGAACGAGTACCCCACAGTTGCGCCACTAAGCAAATACCGAGGAAAGGAAGAAAACACCCTGACTCCTAGCTTCAAGGTGCTTGATAGTAGCAAAGAACTCTGTTGCCTAATGCCCAGCGCTTGCTGGTGTTGCTGTGAAGGCCGGGGAATGTTGAGGCTAACACACTGTGCTAATTCCACGCAACTAATCGTTGAATCTAATGCAATCTATGAGACGTCCGTCGTTTGACGGGTTTTATGTGTCGCTTTTGTGTCGCTGGACAACCTTTGTTATTGAGGCCGGGATCTGTTGCTCGAGTTGGAGGTGTACTGGTTTGGCAATCGCAAGGGTGTAAGTGGCGCATATAGAGGTAAAACCGTAGATACGAGAGTCGAGGCTGAGAAAAGACGAAAAAAGAAGGAACTTGCTGACGACCACCGAGAAAGAACGGGCAGCTAATAGGGACACTTAACTAGATTTGGGCGGCAAGGGATCCTTAGTAAGGGACCAGTATTCGTGAGCGACTGGTCGCTCGCCATCCTCCGCACTTACGTGCTTTCTCTGCTTGACTGGGTCGGTCATCTTATCCAACCCACCGAACTTCAGAGAGTCCCAGACTACATAGATGTGGCCTTGAAGTAACAATTCGTTCTTGTTTTTGCCTATATAAATGGTGAAATGAGAGTCGGCCTCCCTCTGCATGTTCTCATATCGTCCGGTAGTCGCGTCCCAAACGGTAACCGTCCGTCCATCAATGTAGATGTTCCTGGTCTCGTGCGCCGCCCCACGGATCACAACAAACTTCAAGCCCAATCTGTCGGCTTCCTCCCTGCAAATCTCCTCTGTGGTGGCGATTTGTGGGCCGTCGGGTTCGTATCGCTCATCTTGGGTGGGATCCACGATCCAGGTGACGGTGACAGGCTCTTTCGACCTTGAGCTCGTCATCTTTCTGGGCGTTCCCCAGACTTGGACGCCCGCATACCTCTTGCGTCTTCCTGCTGCCTTCTTTTGAACTAGGGCCTCCAGGGAAACTGACTTGAGAGAAAAGTCATGGACTTGATCGTGAAACTCGGGGTAGGGAGGACGGAAGATTGATGTAGTCATCTTGAATGCTGATGTTGTCTTTAACGATATCGATTATGTCTGATGTTGATTTGCGTGTACAAGGTACTGCATTATTTTGTCGACGGGTGGTGGTAAAAGAAGAAAGGACCGAGTAGCGAAGATCGTGTAGCTTTTATTCCAAGTCCAGAAATATTCTTCGAGGACAAGTGAAGAAGCTGTGGATGCTCAGAACCTTTGGCTCAAGGTCCAGGTTGCAACTGGTAGGGCAAACCTGGAGTGTCCATGATACCGAAGCATATCATGGCCAGCGCGGCTCTCCGCTCTGTCCATATCCATCTGAAGGTTTCGTTAGAGGTAGCGATCATAACCAGAGTGCATAGGTGGAAGGGGAAGAAAGACGTGTGAATAGACAAGGTTATATATCAGGTTCGCCGGATAGCCTCATGTGGTCAGGCCAACCGTTAGTTCGCCAGGCCTGTCATGATGAAGTATGCCTTCACCACCCGTTTTGGAGGTAAGATTTGACGTTGCTGCCCACAATCCATTCACCAGCGCATTCTTTGAATGTAATGTGCAGTTATATAGGTAGGTAGGGAACCTGAACTGCCCCGTGTTCCACTCGCGGGTCGTTGTCGTTGTTGTGTCGTTTGCTAAAGTCGGCAACCGGAACAAAGAAAGTGAAGTGCGGCGTGGAACCTGTGTTGACAGACACCAGTGCCTTCCACTTGCTTCCATTCACTTTTTGCCCGCACTAACAGCGACGGAGCTTCCACCAAACCTGAAGGAGCTGAACATGACCTTGGACCGCTGAACACCGCTTTTGTGCGACTGCCTTGCAACCATCGGCCCTGAGCGACGACACGTCATTTGCAATCTTGGACGGCCGCTTCCACGACGGTCAAAAGGACGACGATTCTCCCATCTTTCGCAAGTCTGATTGCTCATTGACATCCTCGTCAATCGCCCATTCGACACCACATCAACCGACCAAAGCACACGACACGCAGACCTTCCATCACCATGTCCTACCTCGGCACTCAAAGATTTCCTTACGAGCTCGAGTTCCCCATCGATGACTCCGATATTGAAGATCCCCGACGCTACCAAGAAGGCGGATTCCACCCAATCGTTCTTGGTGACCGACTCGGCCCTTGCTCCAACGGCCGCTTTCGCGTTGTCAACAAGCTCGGCGCCGGCGGCTACGGCACCGTCTGGCTGTGTCAAGACACCCACCACAAGCCTATCACCGTGACCAAATGGCGTGTCGTCAAAGTTATTGCCGCCGAAAAGTCTACCCCCGACTGTCCCGACCTCAAGATCCTCGACCATTTCCGCCATGTCGACCGTTCCACCCTCGACGCCTTTGGCATCTGCCTTCCAATCGAGCATTTCTGGCTGACCGGCCCCAACGGCCACCATTTGGCCCTCGTTTTTCCCTGGCACGGCTGCACACTCGAGACCGTTTCCGACTACTACAGCTTCCATACCGCCCTGATCAAGGACATGGCCTTTGAGCTCGCTGAATCTCTGCGCTTCATGCACTCGCAAGGACTTTGTCATGGCGACTTCCGACCCTGCAACGTTCTCCTCCGTCTACTGCCAGGAGCCGACGAAATGCCCGAGTCGGAACTCTGGGAAGTTCTGCCCGAACCGCAAAAAGTCCGCATCATCCGAATTTGCGACGACAAAGTTTTCGACGAGCTTCCTTCTGCCGATCGGCCGAACAATATACCGGAATACATTGTCGCCCCCGTCGAACTCTCGTTTGTATCCGGTCTCTACACCCGCCATCCCGTCCTCATCGACCTCGGTGTCTCTTTCCCTTCCCAACAGCCACCACAGGAAGGCACGACAGGCATTCCCATCTCCTTTGCCGCTCCCGAGTCCGTCTTTCGCACCTTGGACAATACCTGCCGCCCCCTCCTCGGCCCTGCCAGCGACATCTGGTCTCTCGCTTGTACCCTCGCTCATCTCCGAGTCTCGTGCAATCCCTTCCAATCTGACGACGCCAACCTGTCCTCGGTTGCTAGAAGCTGGGAGGAAACACTCTCCCCGCTGCCAGAGCCCTATCGCTCCAAATACCGCGAAATCAAGAACATCGAGACGCCGCTGGACGAAGTGTGGGGCGATAAGCCCGTTAGCCAGCTTGATCCTGTCGTCGACCCGAAAGCGGTGTACGAGGGCCGAGCAGAACGAAGACTTGGGAGATGCGGTACCCGGAATTGGTTCAAGGAACGCATGATGCGGGTGAGACGGTTGGAGATATTTCCGGAGGTGGCGAGTAAGATGCTGGAGGAGGAAGAGGAGGCAGACTCAAAGATGAAGGAGATGTTGCCCTTTGACGAGGACATGGAAGTGGTGGACATTTATGAACAGGGCATGCAAGTGAAAATGAAAAAGGAAGAGATTGAGCTATTTTGGGACCTGTTGGAGGGATGTTGGAGGTGGAAGCCGGAAGAGAGGGTGAGCGTCGAGGAGATGGTGAGGCACCCGTGGTTTGAGGGACGACAGCCGAGGATGATTCCGAAGCCAGGCCCGTGGAGGATTGTGGTCAGGGTACTGTGGTCCTTCCGGGACTGTATCAGGACGTTCGCCAGTGGCTGGTTTGATGGTGGCAGGGTAGAAGATTGGTCGCTCACCGTTACGAAGTTGCCTCCCAATGTCGTGACGGCATATAAAACAATTGGCAAGTTCTTCTTTGCGTTATTCGGGTCTCTCACTCCATCTGCGCTGCGCAAGAAGCTCATTTGGAGACCCAAGACATTTCCGTCCATCAGTCCTCCAGGTACACCGAGGCAGGCCCCAGCAGACTCGACGGATTGGGAGACATGGTGAGAGGTTGACGAGAGCCGGCTGATGGACAAGCAGATAGCTGGATACGGCAGAGAGAGGAAGAGAACCAAGAGAGAGAGAGAGAGAGAAAGAGAGGAGAAAGATTGGGTAGTGTAGATTTCCAAGACCAGATGTAGGATATGCAGATTACAATGCAGATGGAGGCATGATGACAAGTGCGTTCGCGAATGTAGCCATCTCTGCCTCGCATACTTTGTGCTTATGGATACAGAGCTCGAAATGAACGCCGGTGATATAAGTGAAGGTACGCGGGCTTGAACCGCTGATTTTGGCCCGAATCCTCCACCTCTTTCTGAAACACCAAAGTAATCTTTGTATAGCTTCACCCAGGTTCCAAAATTTTCTCACATTTTGTCTCCAAAGTTGCCGCGTGTCCTCACTGACTTCATGTACATCCTCCACGACAACACCTGTATTGCTGTGTGTGCGCCTCGCAGGCAAATGCATCAGTCGCGCAGGAACTCTGCATACAATTATTTCGCCTCCCAAAATTTCTGGACGGTGCGATTGTTAGCTGCTGGCAGATATGAGAGGCAAGCGAGCGGGCGGGGGGCAGGTAGGTAGGGCCACGCATGCAGCTGCCGTATCAGCGGCATCAAGTCGGCCTTCCCACCAGAGCGGTCTCTTGCAAGCTTCCTCCCAGTATCTGGGCTCAGTTGCTTCCTAGCATGATAGTAGTTCGCGATCGCAGACACGAACCTGCTGATTATCTCCACCTACCGACAACATACCGCGAATTCGACGATGCGTTTCGCGACCGCTTTCTACGTCTCCTTGACTGGTACTTCGTCTCCTGTTAGTCATGACGATGGCGCTCCCGATCTCATTTCCATTTCTACGTTCGGAATACCGGTATATGACAGCCAAGTCCAGCCAAACGAGAAGCTCTCCCGCTCACCTCCAACTCTTGAGTGCCGTCGACTTAAAGACCCGAAACGGAACGGAACTCGAACGATGAACACGAAGGAAGACTACGAGCGACAAGCCGAGCGATAACCACGACAACAGGAACGATAGCGCGTTTAATACCACAACGAGCACAACTTCCACGAAGAAAACAATGACAATGCCTAATCAACATCCCTACTCCCTTCAATTCGATTCCAGGGTGTCCAATGACTACCATTTTATCATTTTCTACACAATATACACTTTTTGACAATGTCGACCTTCTCGACCTTCCACCGCCACTCCCTTCCCTACCGCCTAATAGCTCAATAGGAAATTGTTGTGGAATATTCCGGTACGGTTGTACCTCTTCCTTTTCGTACTTCCTTTCGTACTTCCTCAATACATATCTTGTTGTTGTCAGACTCTAAGCCAGGAACATACATGACTGGATCATACGTGCGTTGCGCCAAGGGAGGAGCGGATCCGCCTCTTCCACCTCTCGTTCTTCTGAATTCGTGAACATGGCCTTATGATATGGTGGATTGCATTTGCACGACGGCTCATAGATCCAGACGGTTGTCGTTCCGCTCAAGGCTTTATGAACTGCGCAGGGCTGAACGTTCTAACGTCGCAGGTGTTGATTTCCCCGCCTCCGCCGCAGCCACGTTAAGTATGCCTAGGTAAGCACTATCGCAATGTTGAGATCGTTAAGTTGCCTTCCAATTTGTCTCCTGGCTAAAAGCGTGTAATGCTCGGAGGGTCGAGGATCCGTCGGTTCCAAACAGGGGACGTTTCCCTTTTTCTGTTCTTCTGTCAATCGAAAAAAGACATTTTGCTGGTCGCTGAAGGTGTCTTTGAGGTTAACCAATCGATGAAAGTCCAGCTTGTCGGCAGCAAGGTAAGCCATCTGGTCGAAACGAGTTGGTTACCTGTACTGGGATCGACTACCGCACCGTCCTCGAAAGGGGTCGTCATGTCCCAGTACTGGGTAGCCACCGCAGGCTCGTTATCAGAAGGTGCTTCGGCTCGTTCTTAGGATCCGCCATAAGGTGGATGATGCTGTTCTCATTACCATCCCAAGTGAGGTAAGTATGGCCCGCAATAAGGAGGCTTTCGATGTTATGGCCTATCAGAACAGTTATATGTCGGTCGGCGGGTTGCTGCATTTTCTTTATTCGGTCGGGTTTTGGGTCCCTTTGTCATCGCAGTAGGGACTCTACTCTTCGATACTTTTCGCTTCCTGTTGAAGTGCTAAAGTGGAGGGCTTGCATCCCATTCATTCTCTGTCTCCGGATCATAAAAGGTCACCGGGATGCCCTCGTGGGTGAGGTTGCGTGTTTCATGTAATCCCTGACGGATGACAACGTAGTTGAGTCCCAGGTCGTCTGGTCTGCCTGTGCGCGGCAGAGTTTTTCCGTTTCGTTTCTTTGTGCGATGGCAAAGGGGTGATTGGTATCCTCTGCGGTGCGGCACAGCCATAAGATTGTGATCTTGGCCTTTTGGAGACCTCTTGGAGCCTGCATCTGCTGTCTTTGTCTTCTTCAATACCATTAACGTTGACGCTTTAGGTTAAGTGGGGACCCTGGCGGACTATGGACGTACTTGAGGTCAAAGAGGTCGGCCTGGTCTCGGCAGATTTCCTCTACTTCGCCCTTGCGACGCATCGTGAAGACTTCGCTGTGACAAAAGTTGATCAAGGCCAGCCGAATCTTGACGCTAGGACGGTGAGAATTGAGATCCAACGGTTGGGACATCTTCCCCGAGCTGTAGTGGTGATGGAGGTAGCTTCACAAATTCGTTCCAAGTCGTTGAGTTGATGGGAAGATCATGGATGTGGGGCCACCAGGGTTTTGACCGTGGGTGGTTGGTCGTATTGGTTTTCGATTGGTGGAAGTGATGTTGATGGATTTATGTTCGGAGTACCTCTATATAACGATTGTGGTATTGCTTTAAAGTTTGTTAACGTTCACGATGCTGTGTAGAGGAACTGAAGGGAAAAGTGGATTCGTCAAGGTACCTGGAGGTAGGGTATATACATATATAGAAATGCTCTTTATAAGCCGTTTGTGTTTCGCTTCAAGTTATTCCACCGTGCTTTCACAGCTCTTCGTAGACCGCCGCGTGCGGAGAGGTATGTATCACGCCACTTTTCCTCCCCGCACTTAGAGGAATATGGAAGGGATGAGAAACTGGCGACACGAACAACTGCATAAGAAAATGGCAAGCAGCCATCCATATATGCCTCCGCTTTTACCCAGAGATGGCTTAGGAGAGATTCTTGCCCGAATCTGCGTCATACGTCATGTTTGTGAGCAAATACATTGTCGTATCTCGTTCGCATTTTTGTGGATTTCCCCCACGCACGCATGTGTGTTGGTGGCTGTTTGCTGACTGCATTTCCCTAGAGATAACTGTTTACAGGTATGTTTGGAACAATCCTGATATGAAAGTTGCAGTGCTTATACCTCTGTGTTTCATCTAAACGTATATTGTCTGATACCAAATGCCCTCCGTGATGATGCAAAGCTTGCTAGGAGGTTGTTGTGATAGGAGCGTCGAAGCATTGATGCTTATGAGGAGACAAAGTCGTCGTAGATAAGGGCTTTAGGCAAACGAGAACTCTGTTTCATTTTCGTTGGATATCTTCACGTCGTTTTCCATAGCCTTCTTATCTGTGTCAACGCTGCAAATGTCGCGATGTGTGCTGGAGCTGTCGTTATCGTTGCCTTTGGTGTTTTTTTTGTAATTCTGTCTCCATTCAGTGGGCTTTTCTTGGCGTCCGAGACTGTCAAATCCTTGAGCCTGGACGGCACTTTCCTGGTTCGAAGGAAGGATCGGAGGCGCAGCACGGACCCTCCGAACTTGTCTCTGCCACTTCAGAAGCCCAAGAAACACTCAGCGAGAAGGTCAGCTGAAGGAACCGATATCTTGGTTACTGGAAAATTTTGGTTTTCTATAGTCATTTCAAATCATGATAGATTTGTTTTCAAGTTGCAATCTTGTTTTAAGCGTCCGTTCGAATTGAGTGTCAATGGTCGATTGTTACAGGAAGATTGGTAATAGCGTTACCCCCGCGTAATAATCAATTGTACCGGCCACAAGCAACAAGATCACTCGCTCTTCCTTATGCCGCAGCCTTAGTAATCACTACTCAAAAATACCCCTATGAATGGTATAATTTCCTGCTAGTATTACCTCTCAGTTGGTAAGTTCACGGTCTTAGATCACGTGTAAGTACAAGAACACGAAATGATCATATTGTGTAACATCGCTGTATCAACACCGGGTTTCATTACACCGAACAAACATGCTGTCCATACTTTAGTTACAGCACACATCAGGAGTACGGGACGAAAGGATATCACTGGCATTATCACCACGAGCATAAGTATCACGATGAAAGTAATATCACTTCAGGCAAAAGCGAACATTTGTGCAAGTTTGGGTGGTACTGTTATTTCCGATCAAAGTTGTTCCTGAATCAATCTCTAACTCTTGGTATTGACATGTAATCCCTTCTGTTGAAGCCCAAACTCCTAGTAGAGCAGTACTCTACAAACATAATATTTCCCTAACTTTCTCCCTGAACTGAATGTTTCCCCCAAGTCCCGCTGTCGAGGTGCCGCTTAATCCGCCCTGGAAAGATGAAATCAATCGCAACGCTATGCTGTTGCTGGTCAGATAAAACTGGCTTCAGTTGAGCGGGTATGGAACGAATGCTTACCATGAGGTAAAAGGGATAAAAGCTGGTTGCCGGATGGCATCGATTACTGCAATTGTTTCAAGGGGGGAACATCGCCCCTCACCACGCCCCAATATTGGACAGCCACCGCAGGCTCGCCCTCAGCAAGGTGCTTACGTTCGTTCTGGGGATCTGCCATAAGGTGAATGGTGCTTCTCTCAGTGCCATCCCAGGTGAGGTAAATATGTCCGGCAATGAGGAGGTTTTCGATGTTATGGCCCATTAGAACAGTCATATGTCGGTCGGCGGGTTGCTGCTGTCGGACAAGGCGTTTGGTGTATGGGTTCAGCACCATCGTTGGTCTGCCATTGATATTGACGCTCCGGGTTACGTGGGGACCCTGGCGGATCATCACGTATTTAAGACCAAAGAGGTCGGCCTGGTCCCGACAGATCTCCTCACAGTCGGATCTTCGAATTTCGATACATTCGACGACCGGATGACTGATCCACTCGATCTTTACCTTGCCTCCTGGGCGCGCCGAGTTCATCTCTGTCTGGAAAGCCCACTGGTATCCCTCGCTTCTGAGCTTGCGCGCATACGTGAAGTAGTCGCTTGACGCGGTGGGGAGATCATGGATCTCGGGGTCCCAGTCGGCATAGCTTGGGGGCGGGTCGTTGCGGGCGGTTCTGCGTGACATGTTGTTGTCTGGATATGTTTTGGTGTGGTGAAAGGGAATATTCGTTGGTAGAGTTGATGTCTTGTTGGTTACTTGTTCCCAGAGGTGAAGAAGGTAAGAGGGAAAAACTAACAATTGTGAATTCGGAAGAGGAGGGTCTTTTATGGTTGTAGGAGGTGAGAATTAACGAACACGTCAACACATACGGAGTGAACCTTGAAGCCTTGAGCCAGGACAGATATTCACTGAACTGATGGGCGACCTTGGGATATCACCGCTATTGTTCACGGTTCAGTCCCGGCTCGAGACCAGAACATTGCTTCAGGTTGCATCGCAGTCAACCTGAAAGAAGGACAGCAGCCAACCCTCAGGTTGCTGTTCAGTGAATGACTTGACATTGCGGTATATAGATCAAGGTTGGCGGTCTTGGGAGTGGATGAACAACCTGGATGAATGTGGGTGAAGATAAAATGGCTTTCTTGTTCACGGCTTTCGGAGTGAAGTCACATGCTGTGCGTCCCTTTGTCGACCAGCCCGTCTGGCCGAAGGTGAACAGCGCCTGTACTCGTGTATCAGACGGCTAAGTTGACATGGAGTGAATGATGAGATTATGCGGTGAACTCCAGTTGTCGTCAAATATCATGCCAGGCCAACTCTGGTCCTACCATTCAATGCCAATGTGCGTTGAACAGTTAGCTTTGATCGGTGAATGGATGCTGGACTGTGCTTTGTCATCTGAATGTCCGTTCACCTGGCCGCTGCCGTGAACCTTGAAGGACTCCATTGTTTCGTTGGTTTCGTTTGCTCCTCGCCTGTAGCCCTGTCACGTCGGGAACAAAGAAGGCGCGGTCCGGTAACGTCAATCCCCAGCCGTAAGCAGCTGCCATCTGGCAAAGCGTCACCTGAACAACCACCGTGAATTGTCCCACGTCTAGTACTGTTCAACAATTTCGGTCCTTCCCCAGTACACAGCCCGATACGATCCAGATCCCAACCTTGCCGGCACTACAGCAGGGACAATCAAAATGGCAGGAGTTTAAATGAGCACACACTTCTGCAAAATTTCTTCCCTCACTCGCCGAAATTCTTCCTTCATCTCAACTGCATCTATCACCTTTTGGTCAGCACATCGACTTTTGTCGCCGACCAACCTAGCAAACACCCCGCGCCACACCACAAGCCGCCTCCGCCATGAGCTTTGATGTCCCCAGCCACTTCGGCGGTGACGAAGACTTCCCGTACGACGTGGAAAATGATTTCTGGGGTTTCACCGAGCACCTCGATGACTACAAGCCCGGCGGTCTTCATCCCATTATCCTCGGCGACCGACTCGGCGACAACGGTCGCTTCCGTGTCGCACACAAACTTGGCCATGGCGGCTACGGCACTGTCTGGCTGTGCCAGGACACACTCTCTTCGCCCCCGAAGTGGAGAGCAGTGAAGGTTATGTCCGCCAAAGAGTCCAGACCCAACTGCGCTGAGCTGCGGGCCATGGAAGCCTTCGGCGACATCAACAGCTCCACCATCGAGAGCGACTTCCACGTCTCCGCCCCCCTGGAGCACTTCTGGATTGACGGCCCCAACGGCCGCCATTTGGCCCTCGTCTTTGTGCTCTGCGCTGACACGGCCAATGGTATGTTCAGCATCTACGGCCATAACCGCGCGCTGGTCAAGGACCTCTGCTTCCAGCTCGCCAAATCTCTTCAACTCATTCACTCTCGTGGCCTCTGCCACGGCGACTTCCGACCCGAAAACATCCTGGTCCGCCTCTGCGATGGCGTTGACTGCCTCTCCGAAGAATCCCTCCTCAAGTCCTTTAACAACGGCGGCAAACCCGACACCGTCCGTATCATCTCCCTCGAAGACGAAAAGCTCATCAATCGGGCCTCAGTCCCCTCTGTTCCCGAACAGATCGTCAGCCGCGCAACCATCGGCTTTCACAGCGGCGTATGTGCCGCTTCCCTCGCCATCACCGACTTTGGCGTGTCTTATTCCCCTCTTGACCCACCCCAGGAAGGCGCAACAGGCATTCCCTTGGACTATGCCTCTCCCGAGGAGCGGTTCCGACAGCGAGAACTCCTCGGGCCTTCCTCCGACATTTGGGCCCTGGGCTGCTGCATCCTCAACCTGGCGTTGAACTTCACGCCTTTCGCTCACATAGAGGAAGGCGACGATGACGACGTGCATGCTGCCAAGATGGAGGATCTGATGGGACCCATGCCGGAGCCATTTAGGGCCGTGTACAAAGAGGAGCACAAGCAGCAGCCAAAGTGGAGGTGTTTCAACGTGGACGTCGCCAACTCAGACGAGATCCAGGATGGCGAGCTGAAGCCCATTACTGAGGTACCGCCAATACGCCCAAGTATTGGAGTAGAAGAGAAGAACAGAATGGAAGCTGTCGTGAAGGCGGAAACGTCTAAGAAGAGCGAATGCGTAATGCGTCCCGGCCAGGACAAGCTCATGCGGCGGATGATGGCCGAGACTGGCTTTTCGCTGACAAAGGAGGAAGTGGAGGAGATGACGAAACAATGGGAGCTATGGCAGCAGAAGAGCAAGGACAAGAAGGTTGGACAACAGCAACTTCCTTTTAGCGAAGAGAGGAGGAAGGGTATGAACCCCGATTATGACCGCTATGTCCGCTTCACGCCGGACAAGAATGAGGTGGACGAGTTGTTTGATCTACTCGGGTCCATCTTCAAGTGGCATCCCAAGGACCGGGCGACAATTGAGCAGGTGCTGAATCATCCGTGGTTTGAGGGACGGAATCGGCATACTGCAAAGGTGCCATCTCCGGTTACAACCAAGAAGAGCGTGGTGGATGAAGCCATTGGGAGCGTCAAGTCGTACCTTTATGTCAACGTCACCAGCCGCTGGGCTCAGGGACTCTCTTAGGAGGGGATGTCCCGGGTCATGGCTGTTGGCGTGGGCGCTTTGGCGGGTTTGGTGTCCATGATTGGACTTGGGAAGCTGGTGAGAGATGGAAGGGTTAGGAAGGCGGCGTCAAGCGTTGCGAGCTTCTTTCCGGCATTCTTTGTGTCGGTGGTGCCGGAGACGTTGAAAACCCACTTGGGTTGGGGTACTACGGGTATGTTCGGACCTGGGTCTGGTGCGGTAGTGGGAGGCTTGTGAGAGCGTTCATGATTGTGCTGCGTAGAGGCAGAATAAAAGCTGGTTGCTGAACATCAGATTGGACAAGAAAGAGCAGGACGAAGCGAGTGAAGCACGGACGGGAATACAAAGCAGATTTACAAAGTACATAATACATGAAACATGAGACAAACGTTTAAAGTGAAACAAGCAATATGACTGAGATGACAACAAGTGCGCTTTGCGTTTTATTCCCGTATAAGCTCTCTATGCATGCCCTAGTACCACCATGAAGTGTGGTGATCGTGACATGAACCACGTCTTTCTGCATCAATGAACATACCGCAGTCCGGACATAGACAACCTCTTCTTATACGCATCCTTCAAGAGTTGTTGCTTGGTTTGCGGGCACACGTACACGACGTAGACCTAGCTTCCATGTCAATGTTTTTTTCGGCTTGGTCTAGTACTCCTTATCTATCTAACCAAATGAGCAGACTCAGCAGAGCAACGACGATTGGCATCAGCAACTAACTGACAAGCTGATATACCATGACAGCCAACGCGAATGGTTGTCAATATGGTAAATCCAACTTGAACAAGTTCATTGTCTGGTACAAGCAGAAAACAGCATGCCGAATGACAACCTATGTACCTCTATCCTGTAACCGAAAGAGCCATGGGTGTAGGAAGCAAAAGGACCAAACGAACGCAGAGACCAAGTACGGTGGGAAGTTTCACACCTCAGGAAATCACAGGGAAGATATCGAGGGACCAAAACGGAAGATGTCAAAGCAGGAAAGGATTGCAAGAAAGAAAGGAAGGGGCAACGAAAACAAAGTAACTGTGGCGCATCGATCGTCAACTGCGCCCTACCACGCGCCAAACATTAGCTTTTTAAGTAGTAGCTCCCTTAGAAATTCCCGAGCTAGGCTCTAAACAGGTAGTAGATATGCGCCGTACTGCGCCGGGATGGTGGCTGAGGTGATACTTACCCATTTTGCCCTAAAATCTCACTGCTAGGATCATGTGGCGCCGTCTCGGACTTAAGGCGTGATGACACTTTGTGAAACCCCAAAAGTCAACAGATACCTAGGTAGTCATGACGATAGACAACTGATTTTCCAACTGCCTCGCAGCTTTTCCGTTACTTAACCCCCAAAATAACCGCTTCCACCTGGACACACAAAAACCAAGCCAAGCACTTTCTCTCAGGTCGTGCGGGCCCGTCTTTCACCTTTTCTCCTTCAACTTCGAGTCCGTCCAAAGGCACTATCCGTACCTACCTACCTATCGTCCGAAGAAAATGCGCCTAATAAACACCTCCACCCTCACCCTAACCTCCTTCCTCCTCCCCGTGTCCCTCCTCCCTCCCTACGCCATCCTCTCACACACATGGTCCCCTTCGCCCGACGACGAAGTCACCTTTCAAGAATTTATTTCGTTGCCACCTCACGAACTCGAAAAGAAAAAAGAAAAGGGGTACGCCAAAATCAAACACACATGTCATCGCGCGAAAAAATCGGGGATCGAATGGGCGTGGGTGGATACGTGTTGTATCGACAAGAGTAGCTCGGCGGAGCTGACGGAGGCGATTAATAGTATGTGGGGGTGGTATCGGGGGGCGACGGTGTGTTTTGCGGTGTTGGAGGATTTGGAGCCTGTTGAACGTGAACTCAAAGGAGTGGGAGGGAATGGGCAAGGGCGAGGGCAGAAGCAAAAGAGGAATGGGAATGGGAAGTGGAATGGACAAGGACAAGAACAGAATGGGAAAAACTCGGGAGACAAAAGGTGGGAGGGGAAAGACGGGGGGAGTAATGTGGGAAGTTCACGTAGCAACGTATCTGCAGCTACTACTGGGTCGGGGACAGGGACGGGGTCAGCGACATCATCACAAACCCAAGCTGGGAGGATGGACCACCTAAGCCATGATGAAAAGGTCGCTCGATTCAAATCATGTCGCTGGTTTACCAGAGGGTGGACCTTACAAGAGCTCATTGCCCCGAGCCGCATGGGGTTCTACAACAGCAAATGGGAATTCGTCGGCGAGAAATCCTCCCTCAAGCATGTCCTCGCCGAAATCACACAAATCAACGAGTCCGTCCTCGAGAACAGCGCCCTGCTCCCGACCATCCCCGTCGCGCAGCGCATGTCCTGGGCGTCATCGCGGGTGACCACCCGTCCCGAGGATATGGCGTATTGTTTACTGGGTATCTTTGATGTGCAGATCCCGTTGTTGTACGGAGAGGGCGAGAAGGCGTTCATCAGGCTACAGGAGGAAATTGTCAAGGAGACCAACGACTTTAGTCTGTTTGCGTGGAAGACTGACAGAAAGTCGGGGACGCAGCACCAGAAGCACTGGGGCATATTGGCGCCGAGTCCGAAGGAGTTCGCGAGTTGTAGGGATATCGTGAATTGGGGAAACACCTTGTATAACGCCGAGTGTCTGATTACGAGCAAAGGACTACGGTTTACGCCGGCGTCGGGGGATGGGTTGCGGAGCGGAAGTTCCCGGTTTAAGGAGACCGAGGGGACGTATATCCTTGACCTGGGGTGTTATCACCGCAGCGAAAAGGGCATGGCTATCGGCGTGTTTCTGCAGCAGCATGGCTCGGATCTGTACTGTCGCGTCATGCCCGAGAGCTTGCCCATGTGGCCGACGGGACCCGGGCAACAGCCCCAGTTGCGCAAGAGTAGGGTGTTTTATATCACCAAGACGGTGTCGCCTGTGGCATCGACGATGTTGGGCACGAGTCATTGGTGGGCATTTAACCTGTCGCAGGTGTTCAGAGCCATGGCCGAGATCAACTTCCGCCCAAAACACGATCAGTTCAGACCGGAGGAAAGTTGGGACGGGGAACGCAAGCTGTTCTTGAGTCAGGGATCGAGGAACTTTCAATGCTGCGCGGTATTCGTGACGACGAGGAAGGACGGGTTGGGAGCGTTAAGGATCTTGGTCTGGTGCCGGCTTTATCTCGTTCACGGCGGCGAGGAAGAGGCGCAGGCGTCGGTCAAGGTGGAATTCGACCCGCCCATCGAAGGAAAAACGGACAGTGATGGGTTTGTGGGATGTAAAGGGAGGGTCATAAGGGACATCTATGAGGGTCAGCAAGTGTTTAAAGTCGAGGTCGAGGCAACGACGAGCAAGAGTACATGTAAGTACTGACGCCAAATGGCGAGGGGGTCAGCAGATGAGGCAGCAAGGGAAGGTAGCGGTGGCGGCCACGGTGGAAGGGGGAGGTATTTCGATTCGGCGGCGGCGGCGACTATGTCGAGCAGCACGCTGGGGAAAGAGGTGGTGGTTGGGGATGGTTTAGTTTGTTTACTTGGGAAAGATGGAGTTGTTCCATGGGTGGCATGACAAAGGGACGAAGACGAACAGGGGAACGGTACAGTCCAGTACTGGTTTATTTGTTAGTTCGAGACCTCGTGTCAACTTTCCTATGCGTTTTTATGGCTAAGTGATGCATAAACTTACCTTAGGTAGCTACGCCATCTCTTGTATTCAAAATGCTAGATTGAAACCAGCTAATGCCTTTTCATTTATCTCTATAAGCTTGGGGACCATTAGAAATACATTTCGTCTAACACACTAGGTATGTATATTGTAGGGGTGCCTGGTGTACCAAGCCATCAAATACACCAGTGCTGGACTGTACATGGAATAAGTGCTTAGTGTTAGTGGATAGCCCTGTAGTGGCCCGGTGAACAACGAGCGGTACTTCAAGCCAGGCCCCACTTGACACACGTGATCTCCCACCTCTTTCGCGGAACTCGCCAAAGCAGGCCGCGACTCCCACCAACACAACGCTGTAACGCGCTGTGGCCAGTGGGGTGGTCCGACATATGTCGATCCAACTTCCTCCCTTCGTCACTTCATCTTTTCAACAACGGCTTTCACCTCGACACAAGACTGGACCGTGAGATCCGACACACACTTCGGCGACCCCAACAATGTCACAATGCCACGACAAAATACCTTCACCGTGGTGCCCAACCCATTGGGCATGCAAGGCCTGATTTCGCGCGACAATGCTCCGGCCTCAAAACCCCAGGCGATGACCTCCAAACAAGCAAAGAAGCTGTACAAGCAAGCCACAAAGCAACCGAGACTCTCCAAGGCCGAGCAGCGTCGCCTGGAGCTGGAGGAACAAGAACGAATCCGCAAGGAACTCGACAAGCAGAAATCGGCCAATAAGGCGAGGATTGCGAGAGAGAAAAAGAAGGCAAAGGAGTTGGCAGAGATACAGGCGCGGAAGAAGAAGGGCTTACCGCTGGTGGATGTCCATCCGAGTCAGGACACGATTTCGAGGTTCGTAAGGGTTGGCGTCGCTAATACGGCTACAAAGAGGGATTCGAGTGGAAATGTCAAGGGCCCGGCTGTGGACCAGCAAAGCCGGACTGTTTCTCCGGAGAGGGACGATTCGAACAAGGAGAACATACCGGATGGTGGAGGGGTGATAGATGAGAGTCCGAGGAAGCGACCACGGCTGGACCAGGACAGTCAATCTAACAGGCAAGATGCGGTAACGATACCCTGCAAGGAGAGCATATCGGGGGTGGAAGACACCACGATCACCAACAAGGAGAACGTGCCATGGGTGGAGGATAGGACAGAGAGTACAAGCCGGCGGACCTCACAACCACGACGGTCAGGCAAGGAAGGATCTCAGTCGCACGACAAGACCAAGACACGTACAGAATCCAACACACAGAGGCTGGAGACTCCTGAGGAAGTTGTGATGGTCTTGCCCAAACCAACAAGGTTACAGCCGGACAGGAATCTGGAGGACATGGGGTTAAGTCGACCGCAATCGGTGGAAGCCTTGCAACCGAGACGATTAGAGAATGCTCCTCTAAAGCTGGATCCAGTTAAGAAGGTTGTCAAACCGTTACCGACTGGTATGCGACCGAGGCCAATACTTGGGGTGACGGACGGGAATCGGCCTACTCCGCCACAAGCATACAAGGAACCAGGGCCACGACAAAGCTATGGAAAGCCAGAGTACGTGAATCAGGAAAAGGAGCAACAATTACCAAAGGAGAGCTCACAACCAAAGCCCAAAGCCTCTACGCCGAACACGTCGGTGGTGCGTTCCGCTGTCGAAGCATCCAAAGCATTCCCGTCCCCCCAACCCCATGTTACCCCCATACCACCACCACCACGACCTTCAATGTCTATCCGTCAGCCTTCAAATGCCGCGAGTCTGAAGCCTCCGGGAGCCCAGCATCAGGCCACAGCTCCTGCCAACCCACCTAGGCCGTCATCTACAACGGCCAATCCCAACAAGTTCCCTTCCCCATACAGACCTATGGGCCCTCCAGCGTTTGTACCACAACGTCCCTCGCCTGGTCCACCATGCTTTAAGCAACCTATGGCCAGACCTAGCAGTGGGGGTATCCAGAAGTCCAGATTCCTTACGAGAAATCACCCTCAAGCGTCAGGTTCGAGATCATCGCTCTCCGGCAACATTGGCAAGCCGGCAGTTCCAACCAATAATACACCGCCAACAAGCACCCAGCTATTCGTCATGTCGCACCTCGATGACCTTCTCCCCAGTCCATCTCAAGAGCTTCGGGAGCTGGAGGAGGATACTGGGTCCACGGCCACATCGCGCCCGCCGGTCTTCAAATCCCAGTCTAGCAAGCAAGGACAAGCCTCTGCGGTTGTTCCCAAGTCCTCTTTGGCACCAGGACCGAAAAGATTCGCTCGACAAACGTCCCATGTACAAGTCGCACCCTCACGACCTCGAATACAAGAAGTGAAGGCTATCGAGGATGACGTCTTTCCTTTTCTCTCCACCCAGGACTTGCTCTTTTCGTCACAGGACATACGGGAGCTGGAAAGCGACACTCCCACTAGGGTTGATAACCGAAAGGAAAGCTTCCAGCATCCACTGAAGCCGTCACCCAAGACTGCCTCTTCGTCGCCCTCGATTGTAACTGTCAAGGAAACTCGTCCATATCAAAGGGCGACCACGACACCAGCCCCGAAACCTGTTCCGGGTCTTGCCTCTCAGAAACAGATGACAAGTGTACCTGCTCTTTCGAGGCAAAGCTCAATCGGTTCGGTGACATCGAATCCTCAGGCGACCTCCACGGCCTACAAATCCCAACGGATATCCCTCCCAGCAGATATCACGCTAGACCCGAAGACGACATCAGCATTAGCATCCCAGAAACAGGCGGAAGCAATACCCCCTCCCTCCAATCCAAGCCAGAGGCCCCGGGCTTCAGCGAGCTCATCTCCCAAACTAAGCCCGGCCATGGGTGACGATCAACAAGCGGAAGTTCCAAACCCAAACTTGCCCACAGCGGCAGCCGCGACTCCTCCCACCCCCAAACCTGCCCCTCGGCCTCGATCCCCGTCACCTCAGCGGTTCTTTGGCTCCAGTGGCGTAGGCATTCAAATCTTACTAGCCATGGCAGAAAGCGAAAAGACGTTTCGGGAGGACGAAGAGCGGCGGCAGGAAAAGGCGCGCCGTGAACAGCTGATGATGGAGAGGCGCAAAAAAGCAGCGGAAGAAAGAGCCAAGAAGGCCGCGGAAGAGAAGCGTAAAAGGGCAGCCGAGGAGAGAGCAGCGGTGATGGAAAGGCTGAGGCGTCAGGGTGAGGAAATTGCACAGTTGAAGATCCCGTCGGCGAGGAGAACTGAATCACCGGCAGTGGCACCGGAGCAAAGGCCTGCTGCGACTCAGGCAAAGCAACTGCCAGGGCAAAGTATCAAGCAGCTCATTCCTTCGATTAGCAAGGTGAAGAGATCAATATCGGGGTGGGTGCCGCCGCAAAGGACTAGCGTGGTTAAGCCAGCCATTGAAGCGAACCCTCCACAACAGCCATCGTCGTCAAAGTCCAATGTTCAGGCACAACATCAGCCCGAACAAAAATCGTTGGTACCCTCCAAGACAACTCCAGTGGCAACGCCCAATCCCAGCGTGCAAGCGCGAGATCAGATATCGCAGATCTTAGAGGTGTCCCCTGCGCCCTCTCAAGAGACGGACTATGGGGATGAAGATCTGGATGTGCTAGGTGAGTTGGGAGGTATGGGACTCACGCAGTTCTTGGGTCCAGAGAAGGATCTTTCATGGCTTGATGACGATGATGATGATTTTTGAATTAGAGCTGAAGAGGTGTGCAAACACTTGTCAAAGTATCAAGCGACTGGCTTATTGTTATTTGGGGTCATTTCCTACCTACCTACTGTTTTCTTAGACCTATCGATACCCAACAAATGTTATTCCAAGTTTTTCTGTTCTCTGTGTAAAGGAGGACTCAGCCACAGCGGGCATGACAGAGGCCAACGACCAAGCCACCTCACTGACTGCACCACCACAAACAAACAAACCCACGACGCTACAGGTACATGGAGTAACTGTGTAACACACCACCACAATCCGGGGGGAACCAACCGGCGGCATCACGTCCGGCCACACACCTGCAGATGCGAGACAAGTGAAGACGACATGTAACGCGTCCCGTAATTTCCGCCCAATGAGGGCCGCTTGGTACCCAAACTTTCAGCCAGATTGACCCAAACGGGGAGCCAAACAGGAACCCAGCCCACCCATCCCACCCACACACCACTACGGCACCGCAGCGAGACACAGGAAGCAGGTAAGCAGGCAGGCAGGCCGCCTGAGGACAGCCGTCTTGGCTATGGATGGGCATGATGGTGGCTCGGGGGGCATGAGGCAGACATGGCGGATTCCAGGCAGTTTCCATTTTGCCTTGTTGCTCCATTCATCTTTCGTTGGCCTCCACTGACATTTGGTGTGCTGACAATCTTGTATGTCCCGACGACGACTCATAGGCGGAACAACACACAAGGCAGTCATTCCATGCTCTGCCATCATCGTTCGTTCGTTCGCTAGCTTGGCTGGGCTGTTGAATGGCTCGGCGCTAGTCGGGGTGTCGGGTGCCTGACGCTTGACGCTGCTGCATTGCTTCGTGGTGTGGCATCTACAGAGTACTCGCATCTACACTACCACTACTACCTCTACCCTGCCCTGCCTTGCCCTGCCTTGCCCTGCCCTGTGTCGTTGCAGCCACTCATCATCCCTACAGAACGTCCACTCCCAACTCTCTGCGGCTTCGTCGAGGGTTTGCGACGCTGGTCGAACTTTCTGTCTTTTTCGCATACACTTACTTTCTCCGCATGTCATCATCACTCCGTCGCTGTTACCAAAGGATTGTTTCGACTTTTTGCAGCCCTGACGAGTATTTTACAACAGTCGTTCTCGCGTCGCGCCAACACAGCCGGACACGCTGCGCACCTTGACGGCTCCCGCTACGCTACAGACAGATACAGGGAGCTTGTGCGCTACTACACCAATCGCCAACGGCCAACAGCCCACTTACTTGCCGTCACTAGCGATCACCCGGCAACCGTTAACCGGGGTATTCCAGCAACAACAACAACAACAACAACAGCTTGTCAGGCTCGTCGGGCTTCTGTCCGACGACATACCTCTACTTTGTTTTTTTTTTTTTTTTTTTTTTTTTTTTTCCTTTTTTTTTCACCA